TCTCTGGTGAGCAAGTATTTAGGCGTTAAGTTCCACGAAAACTCCACTGTTTTAACACAACGGTTCTCTACTGAAAACAAACACCAGCCACACTATTTCCCAGTTTCAGTAATGCGAATTACATCTCATTCCGATCTACGCCTCCCCGAGCTGGTTCTCAAATTGGAGAGTTTGGGGCCAACAGTACTGAGAAGGACAAATGAGGCATAGGTTCTCTGTAAGGTGAGACGTTGTTCTTCGATTTCAAAACTCGGACGTACGGGTACCCGCAGCTGGGTTTCTGGACTGCGTTTGACTTTAAGGTGCAGAACATGGAAACGCAGAGCCATCTCGCGTTGGTTCATAATTTTACATGAACTCTAGTCTACGATAATTTATACTTTCATTTGACGACCACTAGGAGAATATGGTCCGCTTCAACAATAGCCTCGGAGCCCCGGATCGGCAAAGGCGTGTAATGCGCCTACACTGCGGTAAGCCTCCGTCTTGTGAGTTTCATTAGCTGACTACAGTACTGGCTCAAAACATACATGGGATCGATTCTCTCTTACAATGCTAAGAACAAACTTGCTAGATTGATGTGTCTAAGTCGCGCCGCGCTACAGCAGTTTTCTCGCGATCGAGCCTCAAGTATTAACTATTTGAAGGAAGATATTCGTTGCTTAAATCTGTACGCACTACAGCCAAAGCATTACTCGCAAAGCGTTGAGTATCTGGTCCATTTCGATATCAAAACAACAATCTGTCAAATGATCTTCGCAAGATACTCTTCTGGACTCGGTCAGGCTTCAAGTCTTGCTACTTAGACCTGAGCTAAGCTCGGCAGATAGCGTCGAATCTTGCAATCAAAGTCGGCTAGACTTAAAGAGGGTGCGAATCCGGAGGACAAGCCAACCATCAGCCTTATATATCATGGATATGGAATACTGTTTATGGTCCTTGACGATCGATTAATTACCGGATCGACTTCAAGGACTCTAATTTTAAGCCGACGATGGCACCATTGCAAGCTAATGAGATTGTCCATTCAAGTGAGTAGTTATTTTTTTGACTGGCGTAAGTTGCCATTCTCATCTACATATACGCTTCTCTCTAGTGAACAAGTGTTACAAAATAGCGCTAGGCAGACCGCTTCTTCTCGAACTTTAGAATCTGCGGCACGTATAGATTGAGTAATCGTCGGGTGTTAAGCGAGCCCTCCATCGTCACCAGGTCCTGGTGACGATGGAGGGCTCGCTTAACACCCGACGATTACAGTACTGTACGGCGTCAGCTGCAAGTGGTTACAGTAGTTCAGCCTTCTTACGTTAGTTTACTTCGGAGGGTCAAGTATGCTCGAGCGTAATCTCTTGCGTGCTATGGCTATATTCTGCTCCACATCGATGTGGCTGGAGCATCTTTTTGCATGTCGCCTCTTCAGAACGTAGATGGGGCTCATGTGGGATTCTATGTGGGGTCAAAAGAAGAAGTAATGCTGCGAACGTGGGTTTTACAGTTAATTTCCCTACCTGTATCAAGCCCCGTCGCTGAGTTTGTCTAATGCATCGAATTGTTGATCATCACCTCCTAACTCGTGAGATTAGTCGGTTTTGCTACCGCAGAATTGTTCATGACTTTTAGATTCACAACGACCATTACACACTTTTCTTAAACTAGAATTATGTCTTTCACATTGCTTGCAACTTCTGGTCAAACCCGTTTTGTGACTGGGTTTCTGGCAACCTTCAGCAAGCGGGCTAAAGTGTTAACTTTGGCACACCGTTCATTCAGCGGCTTTGTTCCCGTCGTCTCCTCCCCTTGGCACACGGAAACATCCCATTTGCCGTACTTTGCCGACGAGATAGACATTATTATTGTTCTATGAAGTACTTACAGTACAATTCTGTAAGAACATTGACATTCCATATCATGCGACCGTGTAGGGGGGTTCTATAGGTGGACACTGTGGTGGAGCTCCAAACGGCACGGAAGGGATCAAGCAGTCTTGCTGAATAACTAACTTTACTATCCTGGAATCCTGGGGTGTCAGACATTGAGTTCCAAACTCCCTCACTCTACACCGCCTGAGCATTTACATCATCTCGCATCAGCTTGCTTCTCCAAAGAATGATCTGATCATAGCGAAGTTGAGATACAACTTTCAACCCCTATGTTTAGTAGTCGACATCGGAACCATACCATACTGCTATTGACGCCCAGACACGCTAATGTAACGTGCAGAACGGAACTGGATCTTCACAAGATCACGCTTCCTGCACGAACTGTAGATCCTTTTCATCCAAGCTTCCACGGATTTACTGGGGAAGGATACCGCGTCTCTGTAGATCATATCATCATCAAAATGCCCGTATTTACCTCGGGTACAACCGTATTGATTTTCTCGATAAGCTTCCCTATGTCCTCTTTTAAGGTTCTGTTGCTGGTTTTGTTTTCCGCTACTCTTTTGGAACGTGTCGTTATTGCAGGTGTTTGGATTCGCATGTCATGATGTGAGAATCTCAGTGTGATGTGCGTTGATTTTCGACATTTTGCCTTTTTGGAATTCAGTGATGGGAGGTGAGTCTCGGGACAGCACAATAAGGTTTCAGGCGTTTGGGCGATTAGGTGCTTTGTTAGCGATTATCGAGAACAAACTGGCGATGGTTTGAGGTGGCAATGTGGTATCGGAGGCCTACTTGGCAACGGACTTTCTGCTTTTATTAAAACAGCACAGGAAAGTTTTGACATGTGCGGAATTACTTACCAACCTTAGAATAACAAAAAGCACGCTCCAATTGAAATTGAAAACTTCTAAGGCGGCTACTTCACCGCGGAACCAATGCGTCTATGCAATGGGAGAATCCACGGGGTTTGCAGACTTGCAGAGTAAGTCAACAGCAACGACACTTAATGCATCAAACTCATTTTCGAGCCTCCCGAGTCCATTTGCATTATCATCACATCCTTTACCTCTTCCATTTCTCATAGAAACCTCCCCGCTCGACATAAATCATACTCTACAATAATGATTTCCAAATTTTAACTCCCCACCCTGTTTTGTCAATCGCATACCAAGAAACCAGAAGCGTTCCGCACAAAGGTTCCACGCATCACCAAGCCGCTAATACATCACACATGCCATTCTCACATTCCCATCCCTGTCAACCCATAAACTCCGTCTTGCTCTCCTAGCGTTTGGAACCGGCAAACTCAAAACTCAGCGGTTCGTGGTGGCGTGGCTGGTGCGAAGGACGTGGGGATGTGTGCTTAATAACTAACGGGTTTTGGAGGAGTTTGATTATTATCGATCCTGTGGATTTGGTTTCGCGCGCCCAGGGTGGTTTGCTCCTGTTTGGTGTTGTGAGAATAATTTTCTGGGGGGGTTGCGATTTTCAAATGGCAAGGCGATGTTTTGGGCGGGGATGGAGTTTGACTGGGTATTTGATGCTTAGACAAGCATACATCAGAACTTTTTGCGACTTGAGGGTTTCATGTCTAGACTATTGGAATAGTGTTGGAATCTGGTGATTTTGTGAGTGAGGGTAAAGGAGATGATTCCGAGGGAGCTTGATAGTAGCTTTGAGAGGTGTGTTGTACTCTTTCAAATTCAAAATCTGTGTTTCTGAAAGGACTAGAGAATTTAAATTTGATCAGCTGGATAACCATTGAGAATTATGAATACAATCTACGTCCAGAATGACCCGACATCTGACAGATCTGATACGGATTGCTGGTCATCCGCCATTTCTTATTTCGAGGGTGGTTTTTGCTTTATATAAGAGAATTCAAAAGAAAAAAAAGTGTAGGTGTCTTATGAATCGCGAGCAAGAATTTTTTACCCTAGTATAGGTAAAGTTATTTGAAAAATGGCAAGTAGTTAACAGATCGCAAAACATCTCCAGGCCGGTCTTCAGCAGAGCTTTCAGCGTTCGGAAACCAAGAGGACGACGTTTGGATTCTCTCTTTAGGACCTGTTGATTGTCCAATTGCGGTGGGATCCTAGTGTTCTGATAATTCCACATCAATCACCGAGCTGTTATGTGTTGAATGACCTGTTTCGAGAGATCCAAAATAGATAACTTCTAAGCAGAGTTCCATGTCGTTGACAAACTGAGAAAAGTCATCTTGGTGTGTTCTTATGTTTCGTAATTAAGAGACATCAGCTACGCTGAGTAAAGAACACCTTAATTTATAATCTATACCGATACAATGACGCTATTATAACGCGTCTTCGCCATATCCTACTCAATATCAGATGACATCTATAACACAACATAAATGTATACTTCCAATTAAATACCCCAAAACGATAAAAACGATAGTTTTATTTTATCCTTAGATCTTCACGAAAGGTTCCAAGTAAGACATTTCATTATTAAGGTTCTATTAGGCACAGAATTTGATATTTTTAAACTCAGCTTTTCAACTCGAGATGCTGGAGACGTATTTCATTGGCCTTGCATAGAGTTATTTATAGTATATTGATGTACTGAAGTACATGATAGCTCTAAGCGTATTTCCGATAGTCTGATACTGATTTGACGAGTAGCAGAACAGGATGATGATTTCATTAGACATTATGTACTCGACGCGTAACTGAAGTTATCGGAGAGAATATTCTTGCATTATTGGGTTTGATTTCGCATTAAAGGCCTACTGAAATCCTACCCGACTCATGGGCGCTTCCCCGTTGATAGTTTGAGATATCAGATTAGAACATGTTGTTACCTAGCGAAAAATGAGGAAGAAGGAAAGAGGAAGCATTGTTAGGTCAGTGACTTGGTGGCATTCGTGCCATATGTGGGAGGAAAACTCACAGATCAGTAGTGACACGTGCGATATATTTTGTAGATGTAGAATGGAGTTTTTTAATTTGCAAAGGAGAGTATTACCCAACCAAATAGCGCACTTCTATAATCAGTTAATCAAACAACCAAAGAACACAAAAATGATCCAAACATCCAGTCCAAAACCCTTGAGCGGTCTCCATCAACACCTCCCACTCATCACCCATCCACCACCTACAACACATTCCTAAAAATCTCGCTCCCCTCATCCAACTTTCGAATCTGATCCGTCAGTCTTTCCCGCAATCTCTTCGAAGCCGCCGGCTCCGAAGCCAACATCTCGGCCTGAGTAGGTGTAAGACAATTAACGTAAAGGGGATCGAATATGGTTTCGAGGCCGTGGACGATGTGACGCTCGACTACTTGCACGGTGACGTTTGCGACGAAGGTTTTTTGCTCGACCTATGGGGGAGAGGGTCAGAAAGATGAGGGAAGAGGGAGGCGAGGAGACTTACTTTGTAAATAGAGAAGAGACAGTCAAGAGCTTCTTCGCAACTGAAGTTATCCATGTTGGGATCGACTTTTTTGTTGTATGCCGTGACAACCTGCTCAACGTTGATTTTGCTAACTACCTGGAAGCCTTGCTTGTTGTAGTCTTGAGTGGTAGCATCTTCGATGTGTTTAGTTAATTCCTTTTGCTGTCTGTCTTGTCGACGCTTGGTGATTGTGTCAGTGTAATAATGATTATAGTTGATTGGGTAATTCTTGTGGTCGTTCATGATCAATTTCAATTCTGCTCGAGCAGCGGCGTGGCGTTTCTTCAATTCATCAGCGATCTTAGTGTTCCAGATGCGTCGTTCAACATCTTCTGGACACTTGTCCGTAAGCAAGTTCTTCAGGAAATTTTGACAGGCTGTAGCGACTTGGTCGACATGAGTATGTGCGAGACGATCCCATTTCTCGGACAACTCCCAGAAAAGATCACCGATGACTAGAGGGTTGAAGTTCCCTATGAGTTCCTTCCCCCGAGTGCGGACGAGGACGTCGCGAACCCAATCAAGAGCTGCTTGTTTATTGAGCTTCTTTGGCGAAGCGGATAACTTGCTACCGAAAGACATAGACTCCGCGGGAGATGCGTCGTCATTACCACTGTCCATGTGGATTTGATATTTGTGACCTTTCAAACGAATGTCCTCGGCAAACTTTGAATTGAGCAACTGGATAACCGCTCGAGTCCGGCGAAGCGTAGAAGGAGATGTAATCGAAAACTGTGGATCAACATCATGATGGAAATATCCTCCTTCATAATGGCCATCAATAGCCGCTCTGCATGTTTGCCAGACTTCAAGACTGAGACCGGACAAATAAGTCTTGCACTCTTCTCCAGAGGATCGTGGGTCTCCAAGCTGCTCAAGTTGTCCCTGAGTCTCTACCAGCTTGTCCTCGAGCTCCTCCCGAAGGCTGGGGAGTTCCTTCTTCACATGTTCAAAGAGAAGAATACTCAGTCGGCGTCGAAGCGCATCAATACCAACGCACTCCTTAGGTAGCTCTCTCCAGTTGGTTGTTCTAAAGAAAGTGTCTTCAGCCATCTTCCGCTCAGTAAGGGTGGCATCCTTCTCCTTCCATGCGCGATTTTTCACGACGTGCCATCCTAACTTGAAGAATATATCTCTGTTCTTCGCCAGGTCAATATAGCCAGCCTGGTGACCGGATCCATCATCAGGAAGATCGGGCTTAGTAATGACACCCAAAGTACGCTCTCCTTCCGGATCAACCTCTCTGACCCTATCAAGAATAGATTGATTGGCGTAATCCGTACCAGCAGACACTACTGCGAGACAAATTGTTCGAGGTTGCTTGATATAGTGATTGGTGATCTCAGCAACAAGGGTGATGTCCATCTTCGTGGTGGCTTTGGTCTCAGCTCCAATCAATCCGGGTATGTCCACGAGAGTAAGTTGTGGTCGATCAGGACCAGCGTACTCAACGCTGAGGACGTCTCGGGCAAACGCAGGAGGTTTAGCGTTACCATCAGTGGCATCGAGAACCCCAATCCCCATAATCGCCATTGCATCATCCATGATAGTTGGGAGATCGTCGAAGTTGGTAATGGACTTTTCAAAGAGCTTGATGCTAGCTTGTTCAGCTGATGGGCGGTTAGAATCTGGAATGACTCTAATTGTGATTGAATCCTCAGCAGCATTTCGAAGCATGATTTCCGTAGCATAGCGAGTGCACAGAAGATCATTCCTGGGGAATGGGATCTCAGTGAGTGCTTCAAGAACGGAGCTCTTCCCCGCGGATTGATCACCGCATACGACTATTTGAGGCAATGAAATTGTACCTTCCAAGCCGCATTTTCGGACTCGAGCGATAGTGTCGAGTACTTTGCGCTGCTCTTCCGTTTGCAGTTCTGCGAGCGATGACGGAGAATCGACCGCTTCTGACATCGGAGAATCCATTGGAGTGTTGTCCGACAAAGGGCTGCTCTCGCCAGACATGGCAGTCTGATTTGTGTGATAAATGATTGAGTGCTTCAACTGAGATTTTGTTCGTTGTTCTGTGTGTTGCGTAATAAGGGTTGTTTGGATAAGTGGTAGTGGTGAAGAATATGAAAGAGGTGGATGAGGCCTTTATCATCAAATTGAACCCTCACCGAAGAAAGAAGATCCAAACATGGAGACTTCTACCTGGTTCTGGCCGTGAGTCTGGTCATTTCGCTGGGCTCAATAACGAGGCTGGGTGGCCCCTCCCGAGCGACCCACGACGAGAAACACCAATCGAAGAAACTCAAATGCAGCGGCCCTCTCCAACATTCTCGCTTCCGGGCAGGCAGTTTCCTAGTGAGAGTTGTCCTTGATTGATAAATGAGCCAATGGCTTCGAAGTGAAAAACGGATAGGAAGGAGAGATGAAATCAATTAACCAGGTGCAAACTAGCTTAAAGATCGGACGGAAAGTAACTACAGCTTCGTTCGGCGCATGAATCAGAGATTAATCTCTTGTTTGACGATTTGATGAGTCCGAAGCAGTATAAAAGTTTTCAAGGGTGTTGAGGTATGTGTGCAAGTATGGAAAGCCTGCGAGTTTCCGTTACCCCGGCTAGGCGCAGCCAAACAGACATCGACCAAAGCAATCATTCGGTGAGTACTTGTGAATCCAGACTCGAATGTTTCAAACACTGGTGGATCTCTCCCGACCATGGCGAAAGAAAGAAGCTCGATTTGTGGTTAAAAACATGTCTATCAGGTAGACCAGGAGATCGAATTCAGCCAGGCCACCAGCGAGACCTCGTTACTACTATTAGTTTCTAGAATTGGAACAACGGCGCTTCTGAGCAATGTTTGTTTGGTCAAGTCTTAGGTTGAGTTGAGGTCGAGGCTGTTTGCTCCAAAGTCGCCATTGAATGTTGGTCGTACAGAAAGGGCAGATTTGGAAACTCAGCCACATACAACTTGGCGACCCGGCGGGTCGAGTACACAATCATCCTTTCGCTGTCAATGGAAATTTGAAGCCGTACGTTGATATTATGGTGTTGTTATGTTGCTTCATTTCCAGATCATAGTTCTGTTTTAACCACTAACAAGTAATCAGCGAAGATGCAAAATGGATGAACAAACCCACGCGGACAGATCGATTTTCCTACTGAAAGATGAAAGCTTGTCGGATTCAGCGATGCACTGATGGTGCAAAGTCTGAATGTAAGCTTTTTCTGAGGAACAAGATCGTGTCTGCCATATGACTTTAGTGCTTGATTTGGAACTGTCTCTGTCAACTTTGATTCGACTGACATGATAGACATTGACCGGCTCTTGGCTAATGACCCGGCACAGTCCGCAGCGAACAATAGACATTAGGCCATCGTCTATTGATCTTCCATTCTTAGGACAGTTATGAAGGAGACTTTGGAGTGTATTAAGTATAAGGATACCGACCACCATGTCTGACTAATCTGTGCGATAGTTTGCCGCTTATAGAACCAAAGAATTTAATAGTATACCAAGGCAGAATTTGTTACAAAACAGGGTGCCTGCGCTTGACCCTTACGTGTTAACAGATACCACATGCATCGGAGATTTGCATGAGTAGTCGCAGAAAAAACTGCCCACAAGTGTAATAGATTTGAAATATCCGGTATTTCACACTCTTTGGATAACCACGAACCTTTTCTATTGCTCGATTATTCGGATTTTGAATCTCTCTCTCATTTAACATGAGGCAGAACTGGGCAAATTCGGGTTTTGGTCCTCGTATGATACCAGATAGACAATTTGAGACTCGAAATTCTGGATGAAGAGCAGCAGATGGGCAGTGACATGACGGTTCGCAGGTGAAGATAATGCAGGATCTGAGTGATAAGCTAAAGGAAGTGAAAAGAGTGCTTGGATTCCTGGTTTCCAGCTGATCAGAATAGAAACGAGTTGATTAGTTGAGGCCAACCTCACTACTCGTATAAATGTCTCCTTAATGCATACTCATGAGGAAGCTGATTAAGATGGAAACGTAATTCGAAAACAGAAAAGCTACGACGATGGAACACGGTTCTGGCTATTTCAAGAACGATAACCTCTAGAGTTTGGATACCAATAGATAAAGTACGTCTACTTGAGCTTCTCTAGTTTCCACGACATCCGGCTCTTGGCCTCATAACAAGAAACAAGAAATACCAGATCAGCAAAACTTAAAACATACGTAGAGAACCAGCTCTTCGGTAATCTCAGAGCGCCGTTGACGCCGAGTTCAGCCAAAGAGTAAAGGCATCACTGGTGTCGTATGCCCATCCCCGGATCGTCCGGAACGAGCTGTAGAGAATTCTAGCTGATCAAGCATTAAGTACTTCGGTACTCATAGAAATATGTATCAGGCGAGTGTGCATACTGCCGCTTGGCAATCTGCCGCATTTCCGATGAGCCTCCGTTCAAGACCGAATAATGATATGTTGGAGTTATTCATCAAGATGCAGGGAAAGACAGCGCGATACGGGAGTGCTGCAGACGATATGTGGTGTTTTGCTGACTTGAACTGGACTATGCATAAGATCAAGCTTATATGCCTCCAAGCTTATAGCTCCGGTGTATGGTTGAATATCAAGTCCCGATGTGAAAACGATTAATCGGGGAGAAAGAGTTGCTCTCGGACTTGAAGTGCACTAAGCGCGGGGCTCTCACGTGCAGTGTAGATAAGAGGGCGATAACGCCGATTAGGTGCTCCACCATCGGGTCGATCCTCGGGTTCTGGAACTTGAATGACTGCATGAAGCGCCTGCGGATTTCACCGTACTTTTGGGTGCAATGTAAACAGACGTTAAGCGGAGAGCCGTATTAAGTCATGACTAAATCGTGGTTCATACTACCATCAACATCGATTGAAACGTGTACCAATTAATATGAAGTTGAAGCTGTAAACATGCATGATTTCTCCCCATGTCACGAGTGTCACTGCCGACAATCGTGGATATGGCAAGTGTCTAGACAAGGATATCGTCTGCGTAGCGGCCTCTTTCTCCTCAGCCATTTGCATCATTTCAACCTTTTTCCCGACACGAAATGGACGGGGATAGCTTCAATGCGGGGCATGATATCCTATCACGACGACGGCGATAATTCTTCACACGTCCTACTTCGTAAGATTCGTTGCAGCGTGGTATTGGCCAAGTTCTTTGTCTCGAAGGGGAGAATGGCTGTGGCGGCAGGTCGAGGGTGGGTCGCCCATTCACACGTAAGGCCCCATGAAGTTGATCCAGCCTGGGACCGGAACCGGATCCTTCGGCCTTCGAACATTCTGTCTGAAGCTATTCATCGTCCGAACATACCTACCTGGCTGGTCGGTCGTAGTGGATTTATCATCCTCCTCTCACCTAGTCATGTCATCTACATAACCATTACTACTCCGCCCGTCTTTTCTCGTTCTTTATTTCTGTTTCCCTTTCCCTCTCGACTGCGTCGATTGAGTCGGATCAACATTCGCTGTGCCAGTGTCGGTATTTGACGTATCTTGCCTTTATGTCAAGGTGATCATCAACATTAACAGCTCCGCCGGCCTCGTCGAGCTTTCAATGCTTAAACCTGGATATCGGGAATTATAGATAGAGAGTCTCGAGGACGTCGAGGCTGCGTCGCCATGTATGCTCTACGGCGATCGCTCATCGCCATTGTCGTTTTCGTTGGATTATACTTCGCGGCTACCGCTCTGCATAAGCACCTCGATCCGAACACGAGGCAGTCCGAGGAGCAAAGGGAGGACCGGCAATGGATTGCGACGTCGAAGTACTTCCTTGACCGCCAGTCATGTCGATGGTTGGGTATCTGCGGGCTGGCACATTACCACCCAGATCCTGCCGCGATCTCGTACAAGAACAGGAAGAGGGCTGGAGCTCAGGAGCCACTAGTTTTGGGCGAGGATGAATATACGAATAAGATTGACTGGAAGGACATTGCAGGAAACAACAAGCCAGTTCCTGGGGATTGGGATGGAGATAGCAATGTGCTTAAAGAGGTTCCCCAATATGTTCTGGACCATGCGCCTCTGATTCATCTCTATTCGAAAGAACAATTCTGGCCTTCCGATATTGCTGAGCATTTGATGCATACAATGCCATACATAAACCACACGTCGATGCAGATGGAAAACAGCTCTCATCATACAGTCTACAATTTACATAAGCTGAACGAGAAGGCTAGTTGGAGGCACTTGTTCATGAAAAGTAAGGATGATGTTGAACAACGTCCGGAATGGCTAGGTAGTGCTTACAACAAGCCTGTCCCTTACGAAGATGAAGAGGAAGTCGATGAAGATGCAGTAGATGAGGACGAGTATATCGAATTCACAGCAGATGATTCGGCTTCATTCGAGCAGCAGCCTTGGTATGACCCCTTTGGTGTGAAGGGAAACAAAAAGGCGGATCCTATCACCGAGAAGTCCAACAACCGATCTCCTCGATTGGAATTGAGGAAGAAGAATGCTCGAAGCCCAATACTTTCGTCCCCTGGGGGTTACTCTCCTGCGCCTGTAACCCTAGTCATTGTTGACAAAGGAGATGGGATTGTCGATGCATTCTGGTTTTACTTCTACAGTTATAACCTCGGGACCACTGTTATGAACGTCCGGTTTGGAAATCATGTGGGAGATTGGGAACATTCTTTAATCCGGTTCTACAACGGTGTACCCAAAGCTGTATTTTTCTCCGCTCATTCTGGCGGCCTCGCCTACTCTTATGACGCCGTGGAGAAGGGCGAAGGGAGAGGAAGAGAAGGCCGACCGGTTTTGTACAGCGCTTACGGCTCGCACGCAATGTATGCCACACCCGGCAAACACCCATACATCCTCCCCTTCGGCTTGCTGGCCGACGTAACAGACAAAGGTCCTCTGTGGGACCCCGCCCAAAACTATCTAGCATATCACTACAATACGTCCATCACGCACAATGCCGACGCGAAATTCTTTTCAGGCAGTCTCACCATTCAAGACATGGCCGATCGTCTCCAACCCGCTCTCAACAATCCCAAAGCACCAATGGGTTGGTGGTGGTATGCTGGACGCTGGGGCGATAAGTTCTACACCCTCAGGGACTTTAGACAGTGGAGGTTTGTAGGTCAGTATCACTACGTGAACGGACCATTTGGACCGCGATTCAAGAACTTGGGAAGAAGCAAACCATGTCAATCGAGGGGTCTATGTACGATCTTGAAGAGCATTGATGCGGGAAGGAAGAAGAGTTGGTTAGGACGACGGGGTCTTGGGAAACAGGAATGAGGATTGGATAGATTGATGATTCATGATAGATGGGGTTGGCGTTTGAAGTTTTCTTGGTTTATTTTTCATGTTTCAGCGAAAGAGATGGAGCGGTCAACTGGTTAGATGAGTATCAGGGCGTTTTGCTACTGTGATCGCCGATTTTGCCTTATACCATGTACCTTTACTCTGGTTTTTACGATCCTTTTTGAAAGCGAGATGGGTGGGATAGAATTGAATATACAGTATTCTTAAGTTTCTCAGTGCTTTGCGTCATGTGGAGAAGGATGTCTGCCGCGAGATTTTGTCGGTTGGGCAGACCTGTAGGTTACAACTCCAAGATCTAACTAGCATTGGTATGGAAGAATTCTAGCTCTTGCTTACTTCTTTCAGTCTTAGCATACACAAGTGAGAAGGCAGAACCGATCGTTATACGACGATTATGTTCTTTCTATTAGTCACTAGGCTTAAAGAGAGAATACACAGGTGCACATTCTGCCCAAACCCCGTAAACCAATTGCCAACACACTTATCATAATCACCGCTATGGTAGCTGACAACAAATTGGATCTTGGTTTTAAACCCAAAAGACATCTTCGACATTCTCCCAATGGTTCTCGCAGATTACAATAAATGAATTCCATCACTCGCATTCTGGTAGAACACGCCCAAGCACGTATCTTCCACATCAGTCATTATAATAAGGAGCACCACGGACCGTGGATACCTTCCGTTCATCAGCCAACTTGTGCCAGTATATTTCAAACACAGGACGACATATCATGCTCAAAACAAGACTCTTCTCCATCGGCCGCTCACAATCGTACTCCCCCAAAGAGTGACTGAGAAGCGGAAGAACCTCAAACTGACAGTATCTGCACAACGCCTCTGCATCGATCGGTAATAGCGGTTTCTTGTCCTGCCGAACGATGATGGCGCTGCCTCCCCTGCTCCGCCAATCGTCCGCAGCCAAGGGCCAGGTGTCTTTGGAGGGGTTGAGCGAGAGATGGAGGAATGTGGCATATTGGTTCACGAAAGGACTGCGTCCGTCGTGGGCTGCTGGTCGGGGGTCTTTGGCCCATTTTGGATCGTGCGGAAGGTGGCGAGTGAAGATTGGGATACCGATGCTTGCGGCGATGTCAGAGGTGAAGTGTCCGGAGAAGATAGGGTCGTTGGATGATAGGACGACGGATTCAAAGGCTGGTCTGTTCAAGATCTTTTGGTCGCCAAAACAGTTTATTCGGACTCCTTCGACGGCTGTTACTGGACTGTTGGGCTGCTGTTGGGCTGGTTGCTCAGTCGGTTTTTGGTTTGGCTTTTGAGCTGGCTGCTGGATTTGGAGACCATCGAAAACTCTCAACATTCTGAAGTCATCGTCGCCTGCTCTGTAGATTTTGAAGTAATCGGCGATATCTTTGAAGTCACTCATCTCGATATCTTTGCAAGAGCGGTGCTCGAGTCCTTGTCCCTTCTTGGCATAGGCCACCACCGGACCTTTCCACTCGTAGGGTTTCATGGGTTGTTTATATGTGATGGCCGTGATGCTGGTGTTGAGTTTCGATCCATCTGTTTTGAATTGTTCGCGGTAGGCAACGAACAGCGTGTCTGACAAGGGCTTTTCGCACGTGTAACTACGACGAAGGATCTCCTGCTCGATAGCAGAGTCGAGTCTAGGAATTGAACGGTCATCGGGATACTGGTTGGATTCATTATGATCTCTGTCGTCCCAGGCACATTGAAGCCAGAAGAACTTAGGCTTTTCCTCATCGACTGGGAAGTGGATGGCCAGAAAGTGTTTATCGCTCGGTCTACTGAATAGATCGAATTGGGAGAAGGATTCGCAAGGAAGCTGATGGGTTGGTAGATCTGCTTCTTGACATTTTTGGGAGCAGTACCCAGCACTTCCGCACTGCTTGCAGGGGCGGCTTCTGGGGGCACTGCACACTGTGCAATGTTGAGAGTTCATTTTGGTGTTGGGCGAGGTTGATGGGAAAAGATTTTGGGGAGTTTAGAGTTTTGCATGGAGTGGAGAGGTGATGGGGGCATTCTGAAAATGAAGGTGAGGAAATGTAAGCTGAAAGTTGAGGTTTTACACCGACGTTAGGGAAGAAACTTATTTTCAGATATCTGATACAGACTCGCCTTTAGTTATAAATGGCTTATCCTCTCTTTCAAGTCTCTCATGAATTTCATCTAGCAGATGAAACTCTGCCTAGGAAACGCCATCGAGGTTTAAAGAAGCAGTGTTGACAAACTAAAAACAAAATGGAAAGGATGTCAAAAGCACCTACGACGTCCCAATCTGTCCTTCCGCGAACTCGAGTAAGAAAAACTTTGAAAGTGCAAGAACCGACAAAGTGAGACATACGAGGGAAATACAAACTATATTGCTGAATAGGAAAGAGAAATGGAGAGGGATGTGGATGTTGTTCGTCCTTATGACATTTGATGTAGCCAGAAAGGCCCTGATATCTGTTGATATGGTGGTGGAGTTGAGGCAAGGTTGAGTTAGATGGAGAACATCTTTCCGATAGTGTACGTCTTAGGAATATAAATTAGAATAGTTTAAAAGCGTACAATTTTGAAAAAAGTCGTTGCCACGTAAAACTTGCAGTGGTTGACCTCACTGTCGTCGAAGTCAAGGACCCACTCGCGTAATTTGAACTGTGGCTGACGCCATTAAATTCTTCCGTGGCTGAACTCCAGATTCCCGAGGTCCACCTGCATATTTCCTCCTCGATACTTACTCGCAACCATCTCATCTCATTCATCAAACTACTTTCCTTCCCTTCCCGCCTACTCTCTACTCTATTTCACACCACCCAACCCAAAAATTCCTTCCCTTTCCAAATATCCAAGGAAAAAATGACAATCAACACCCACTCATCAACTACAACCCCTCACTCACTCTCCACCTCCCTCTCAAAGACGCCTGAGGATACAAAATACATCATCTTCTACGCTTCCATAAACCCCAGTACTGGGAAGTCATGGTGTGGCGATTGTCGAGATGCAGAGCCTCTAATTGAGAGGAGATTCGCGGAGGAGGGGAGGGATGTGGAAGTTGTTTTTGTGGGGGTGAAGACTGTGTGAGTATTCTTTGTGTTTTAGTTGGAAATCAAGGCTAGAATGGGGGTTATCACGAAGGGGGTTGTGAGGGTTAATTTGAGGGGATAAGATATGACGAGAGACTAAAAATGGCTAACTTGTTATGATTGCAGCTGGAGAGATCCCGAGAATGTTTGGAAGAAAAAGCCTTTTGCGGTTGAAAAATTACCTACGTTGCTGAAGATTACTGGAGATGTGAGTTCTCCCTTTTACTGTTGTTCTTGTAGAAGATACGGAGCAAGGGCAATTGGATTTGAGCGTTGAGAGTTGGATCAAAAGTGTGACATATCCGATGCTGATTTGTGCCTAGAAATGGGACAAGCTTGTGGAAGCTGATGTTTATGATCAAGCCAAGTTGGATGCTTTCTTGAAGGATTGAAATGGGTTTTATCTTCGCGGCTCGAGCGTGGGTTTGAGCAATGAGGTATTTCTTATCCCTGCGCCATCTTCTTGTTGTAAACTCATAGTCTATCTTTGAGCCATCTACAGTCTTTGTTGTCGAGAACGTAAGCATTGGAGTTTCATGCCTATAAGCATCGAACTTGTGGCTTTTCAGACTCTCACGGACACATTTAGTTGTGCTACATCGAGTGCTGTCAACGAAATGAGCAGAATATGCATTCTGTAATCACGTTTGTGCCTCGGTATCATGGTCCTTAACACCAATTTCTCGAAAATCATGATGGTAGCATTCCAGATTTGGGGGTCATTTGGAGCTGGTTTTCGTGACATCGAGGAAAAGGCGTGAGGCCATTGTGCTAGGAAGTGATGATTGTCCATTGATCTCGGAGTTGATTTTTACTTACTCCAACCGCTACGCTCCAGATACAATTTCGAGAACGATTTTGCAAAACCTGCTAAGTTCGTTGTCTGGAAGACTTCTTTCCCAAAAACGATTTATGTTCAACGACATCGACTCTACACATCGAAGTCCCCTTCCCAGATTAAGCGAAATCATCAGAGGAGACCAGAGGGGAGGAACGATTCATCCGATAGTCGTCCTATAACTGGTCATTTTCATATCAAATACATGTTGAAAGATCCTTGGCATATGGCACGTCCAACTGGCTGGCTTGAATCCCACTCTTCGATTTGGTGGTTCGTTGTGTATTGATGCCATTCCACGTTCACAGCACACCATTCGCTTACTTAGGGCAGTCTTTGCTACTATCAGTTCAACGACAATATCCAATCCCAAACACATCAGATGACTAAAACTACTGTTGCTATTGCGTGTTTGGATCTAAGGTTATCCAACCACTTCAATTGGAGGATTGGTTTGCCATTGATGAGAGATCTATACCCATTACAGCTCAGTTTCCCACTCTTACACCATCTTTGCAGATACCATCTCTTGTGTTATATGAGGAGAAGGGAGGTATACTACACCAGGTTGTCGGAACACGGCGTCTGCTGCTAACTCCGTTTATTATGACCGCTGCGAGTCAAATGCTTGTCATTGTTGTACGGGTAAGTGAAGTATGGGGAACTCAAGTATAAATACCCCGCTCTTCAACCAAAGTCAGCCTTTCAAGTGCAGAAATCTGAGGAAGAGGACCTTTTCCAAAGCTGTATTTATCACTACCACAGTACTCGAATAACTCACAATGGCCCCATCAATCCAAGAACTACCAATTGAGGTCCCTTCAGTCTCGCTCGAGAAGCTCAATCTCGCGAACAAGGAGGCACCAAAAGTTAAGCGACAAATCGAAGTCGAAGGAGGCAAGACAGATGCAAAGGTAAAAATCTCACTTGCCTTGCCTTGTATTCAACTGCTAACTTCCTCAGTACCCTCACTATCTCCCAACCTGGAACCACGGTCAAAAATACCCAGCGCTCGAACCCTTCAACCACGTCGACCCCGGCCTCTCCGCCGACTCTTCCTTCCCAGACCTCCTCCCCACCGGCACAAAACACATCAAGTTAACCCCCACAACGGGCTCCGAAATCCACGGCATCCAACTAAGCAGCCTCACCTCCGCAGGAAAAGACCAACTTGCCCTCATCGTCGCCCAACGCAAAGTCGTCGCCTTCCGGGACCAAGACTTCGCCGACCTCCCCCTCCAAACCGCCCTCGACTTCGGCCGCCACTTCGGCCCTCACCACATCCACCCAACCTCCGGCTCCCCCGAAGGATTTCCAGAACTGCACATCGTCCACCGCTACGGCAAGCCCGGGACTTCTGAATTTGATTCCTTCCTCGCAGGCCGCAACTCCAGTGTCTCATGGCATTCGGACGTATCTTATGAGTTGCAACCGCCTGGCACCACATTCCTGTACCAGTTCGATGCCCCTGAGACAGGTGGCGACACGTTGTTTGCGAATCAGGTTGAGGCGTACAACCGGCTCAGCGAGCCGTTGAAGGAGCGATTGCATGGCCTTAAGGCAGTACACTCAGGGTTCGAACAAGCGGCTTTCAGTAGAGACAAAGGAGGCGTGGTGAGACGGGAGCCGGTGAAGAATGAACATCCGCTCGTGAGGACACATCCGGTTACGGGGGAGAAGGCTTTGTATGTTAATACCGGGTGTGAGTACTTCCTAGGTCTCTGCGAATTAAGAGGGGCTAATGAGAAGTAGTTACACGCAGTATCGTCGGTCTCAAGAAAGAGGAGAGTGATGCGCTGCTGGCGTTTTTGTTTAATCATATTGGGAGGGGTATTGATTGGCAAGCTAGGGTTAAATGGGCGCCGGGGACTGTTGTGGTGTGGGATGTAAGTTGCTTTTTAATTCCTCGCCTATGTGTACGTGACAAACATGATGCTGATGTATCATGCAGAATCGTGTTACAGTTCATTCGGCGACTCTGGACTGGGATAGTGGAGAACGCAGACATCTGGCTAGAATCACACCACAAGCTGAGAAGCCGTATGAGACTGAATATGTTAGGAAGGAGGGTAAATGAGTTATTTATGCTGTCAATTGAATGAGCTGGTATCGGTATTAGTATTGGAGTGGAACATCTACTTTTGAAGACAAATACGTCCTGGCCAGAATGAACGAGCACCTAACATATAGTCAAAATACGGGCAGTACTTAAACTCACTACTACGTATGGTGTATGAGTTGTAGCTGAACATTGCTTTTAAACGCGCACATTAGCTGGGTGTAAGTGAGTCTAGTACTCAAGTCCCAATACTTGTTTTATTGATTAATCATAACTATATGTGATAATATCCCGCTAATGATAAGTACCCAAAATATGACGCTTTCACCCAACTAGGTCACCCAATCCATATTATCGAATCCCGGAGGCCCACTAATAGATCCCCTTCCACTGTCACCTCTGGCTCTGGCTCTTCTGAGACCTCTACCTCCACCTCTACCTCTCTCCGTACTCCTTCCTCTACCCCTCCTTACACCCCTTCCACTACCTCTACCTCTACCTCTTCCTAATCCCCGTCTAATAGCCGCGATCTGCCTCAGTCTCATACCCTCAATTCTCAAATTCTCAGCCCGACTTGAAAGCTCAATATCCATCCTATCAGACCCGCCCGTCGACGACCCAGAGCTATTTGTTGACGACTCCGATGCATGATAAATGTGACCCGTCTCTAAACTATTACTTCCAATCAGTCCACTCCTTCCAAACCCCGGGGCCCTCCCACCGAGTTTGCCATATAACGTACCTGATTTCCCCAAGACACATACCCTCCACGCCTCATTCGTAAACGTGGATTTCGAATCCATTCTGCTCCCGATTTTTCGGACCCATTCTAGATTGCTTCTCTTCCAACTTCGCATAATGTCTTTGGAAACTTCGGTCACGCCGTCGTGACTTGGGACCTTTGCGTGGCCGAATAGGGTCTCGGATAGTTCGAGGCAGAGAAAGTCGATTGGCGACATTTTATCACGGAGTTGGCCCAATATACATGCGACTTCGGCTTTGTGTTCGCCGAGAAGATGGTTGAGAGGGAATTTGATGTGAGTCAGGTTGTTGTGGTAGGGTTGAGTATCTGTTACGATACCCGATATCCATGCATGGTAAGCGTCGGTAAAGGCTCTGATGTCTTGAGACGAAGCATCAAGCTGTGGGTATGGAAGGAGCGAGGACTGCCATTCCAATGTGTCTGGCAGAGTTTTAGGTTTGCGATGCTCATCTCGTTGCCACTCTGGTGTTCGAAGGCTTTTCACACAAGCAAGAGCTTTTTCGAGGATTATTTTGCTAGCGCGTTCCCAGGTTTGAGCTTTTTCGCTACTCTCGAGGGACGGAACAGTCAGATAGGACATGAATGAGGTAGCTTCGAAGGCGGAGTGATCAAGAAGTGTTCGGAAGATGTTGAAAGCTTGGTTTTGTGCTTGAGAAAGCATTGTGGTGTCTCGTAAACGGCTGGGTAGGGTTGCAAACGAGAGACCATCGTACCCATGGACTCTGTCTCCTTGCCCATAGAGTGAGAGCCAATGTTTGTGTTCCGCGAGCTCGACAAGTCTGGGATCATCTCGAAGCCTTTTATTGAAATCCACAACCTCCCGAGGTGGCTCGACGTTAATAACCACGAAGTTGTAGTGTAGATCTAGAATCTCCTTGCGTGTGGTGTGTGCCACCCTGAGAAGTGTCTTGAGAAAGATAGGTTTGACAGGTAAACGGGGAAGGTTAAGGTGTTGAAAGTCAATATCATGCTTCTCAGCGTACATTTCTAACCACTTGGTATTTGTCGCTATAGATCCATGAATGATTGGAACGATGACTCGATCTACAATCTTAGATTGAGTCTCAGGAGAGAGTTCAGATCCAAGAACTTTAGCAACTAATGCAAAAATTGGAGGAAGAGATCGACCCGGAGTCAGTGATCTGTTGATATCATGTGCTTCAGGCAAAATTTCAGTACGTCTCGCTTCATCCCAATCGGCGTCAGTAAGATTGACCGCCTCATCAAAACGGGTGGCAACTGGAATTGTCATTTCGAGCGCAGCAATGAGCCGTTCTTCGAGATCATCCTGGCCTCCGATGACGGTTGCCTCGAGCATTGCAATGATGCTGTTGACAATTGCAACTCGAACATCAATGTGGTTCGAGTCCTTGAAAAGCTGCACAAGTATATCGACCGAGAAGTCCTCAGGAATCCAGGGCGGAGAATCCAGAAGCTGGGCGAGATATTTAATAGTAGTGATTTTAACAAAGGGCTCTACTTTTTTTGCAGGTGCATCACTGGAGGATTCAGGCTTCCTGTCGACGAGAATCATCTCCTCTGAAATTTGTTGTGCCTTTTTCCGCGCTCTTTCTTGGGCCTCTTTCAAGGCTTGCGATATTGAATCTGCAAATAGACGAAAGAAAGCCTTTGCTTGGTTCGGGGACAGGCCATTTAGGAACGTTTGTGACAAGAGTTGTCTGTGCCAAGCACTGGCACTTGGAAGTTTCATCATAGCTTGAAGAATGAAGGGATATGCGAGATGTGGGCGGTCGCTATGCCCCAGCAGAGATACAAGGCGATACACAATCTCGCCTAACTGAGCTGTAGATTCTTCGGGCCCAGCCTTCAGTAATTTGTTAAATGCAGAACTGGTTAGTTTGAGCAAAAGGCTGGGGGGCGTCGTGTCGGACAAGAGCTTCAGAAGATGTACGGGGCCCGCGATGTCAGTCGAGTTCTTGTCGATGGCCGCCTCATCCAACCAGAGTTTTGGATAGCGATGATCTGTCTCCTCCGGAAATGCCCTGCTGAGAATGTACTCATTACTGTCTGCAGGCTCTAGACGTAATTCTAGGTACTGAAGTGCGGCGACGATGAAGCCTTCTCGAACCTCGGGCTGTCGGAGTTGCGAGTTGGTCAACCTTTCTAGCTTCCAAAGATCTCCAGCACGAGATGGAACGCCGACAGTCTTTGGTGTTGGTGGATCAAAAGACGAGGACTTTTCGAAATTAACACTTGACCAACGATCGTTGTAAACAGAGCAGTCTAAATAAGTGACTGGTTCAAGAATCCTGGACTTGATTTCAGGAAAAGGTCGAAACTCATCTAGAGGATCCCACTCCTGAAAGGTTTCGTTAGGCGATTTGAAAGGCAGAACTGGATAAGTAACAGACTTCCAGCGCTGTTCATCTGGATCAACGATCTCAAATTCGGGAAGGAATTTCTTGTAGTTGACTCTCCACTTGCGATGGGCCTCTTCATTTGTCATTCCCGGACTCAGGTTTTTGATTGCGTGATTCCATGCGAGAACAGAACGTTCTTTTTGTGCTTCCTCAGTTGGTCCTTGGTCGACGTACAGCTTTAGAGCGACCTCATAGCCATCTACGAACCGTCCTATCGCACGCAATAAATCTTGATCTTCCGTAATTGGAGCTAGAGATTCTTCACCAGCGAATACGACCGCTTTGGCTCGTGCAAGCAACCATGGAGTGCGATTGTTAGCAAAATCGTGACCGACATTTATCTTGGTCAAGCAATGAATTGGTAGACCCCTAGGTAGTGGAGGAGGAATGATAGCAGCTGAAGCATTTACAGACGGGCGATGCTCTTTCCACAAACCATCTCTAGCTCTTGCATAGTCCTCAACGAAGCGATAAGTCGAGTCCAATTCATCCACATCATCTAGCTGGTACCGCAAGTTTAGTGGTCCCGATGGGACTTGCAATTCCAGACGCTCATATTCAGGTTCCAAACATATTCTCTCCATCCGGATGGCCAGCTCCAGTGTGTTTTCCCAGAACAATTTATTCAATTGCTCATCGGTAACACCGTTGGTTGTGTGAAGCATCTTCGCAAGTGTCAAGCGGTGGTCCATGACTGGTCCAAGTATAGTTGCAGCACTTTTCCATTGATGAGCTGCGAATGAAGGTTCCTTCAAAGCTGAACAGGATGTTTCGAAAAGTTTGAAGATTAACTTGTTTGCTTCTAGCACCCGTTCGTGTATCAATTTTAGGTCCAGCTTCGTCAGCGAAGAAACATTGTATTCCACAGGAATACCAGACAGTAGTCTGATTGACTTGAGGCTGTGGAGAATGTCTTGCGAGAATAATGTTTTAACGGTAAGCGGATCCTTTATAAAACGGTTGATGTACTGCAAAGTCTCTCCATAGAGCTGTAGCGACCCACTCAAAATGGCATATCGAAGCGCATTACGGGCATAGCCAGCCCGTTCTGCCTGATCTCTGCATTTATTGGCTCGGGACTTTTGCTCTTTGACCTGCTCTTGAGCAAGCTCGAAACTTTTCTGGTAATCGGAATCTGGATGAGTAATTTCAAGGTCGGTAAGAACCGAGACAGCGTCCACTTTACTACCGCGAACCATGTTGTTGAAGATGCTGTAGTCCACAAAACCGTCTGAACGAAGAAACATATCGTTACCATGTATTTTAATAAGCTTGCGGAGAAGAGAAACGTTCCAAGGGTGGCCAATCGTGTAGAGCAAACGAATGCTCCAACTGTATTGGCTGACATTTCGTAGGTCATCATCGCTTTCGATATCGGGGTTATCTTTCTGGGTATACATGATCAAAATCTTTAAAAGTCGCCACCTGAGAGAGCCCAAGACCATGTCCACCAGAATTTGATACGTTTGAGAATCTGGGTGCTGGCGATCTGCGGCAATGAATTTCAACATGGTGATAAGGCGGCGTTCGAACTCTTGTCTTTTTTGAGGATATTTAGCCCAACATCGTATAGCGAACTCTATGAAGGTGCCACGGAGCGACACATGTTTCGACTCAGCTGGGCGGGATGAGATGTAGGCGATGTAAAGTTCCATGAGCTCCCCCGTCATAGCAGCATCAAACTTCTTCTTCTTTGCTTTCACAAAAAGAGGGTCAATCAGGATCTTCACCACATTGTGGCCTCTAACTTCAATTTGTGGTTGGGCGATCAATTCCTTGAGCAGGTTGACCGAGTAGAGCATGGATTCCGTCCAACCTGAGGTTTTGCTGCGTACATCTTGGTACTTCTTAGCTTCGAGAACAGATGGCAAGTAGTCCAAAGGTTTGATAGTGTTGGACTTTTTGTTCTCAAAAATTTCCTCGTTGCATTTTACGCGAAGAATGCCTGGATGTTGTTTGAGAAGATTCTCCGGAAAGCTTGGACGATCAAGAGCGCTCTTGAGCAAAGGACTGTTCTCATCCCGAAGTAGTTCCTCTACAAATTCGGGAGTACAAGATGGGACAAGTAAGGCATAAGTGCTGATAAGCGGTCGAGTGTCTGTGGTTCTGAACGGGGAATCTGGGTAGAGATCAGGAAGGAGGCCCTTCAGCAATTCGGTGATCATCACCCGTTTGGCATCGGATTGGCCACCATGCATACGCCGTAATATCTGTCGAAGAAAGTCTTTGAGATGTGTGATTGAGAATTTACTTAGAAGATCAAGTACTCCTTGCGTTCCTCCCAGTGTTGTCCAATTTTGGGTCCAGTATCGGTCTCCACGTAATTGTTTGGCAAACCTCTTGATGGCAGTTGACCGCAAATTCACCGAGAAATCTTGCTGCAACGCAAGAGCTATAGTATTTCCGGATTTCGAAGCAATAGAAAGCCAAGCGTCGACCACTGTTGGAGGGATGAGGTCAGTCTTGGCAGCGGTGAAGAGTTCGTCTGTGATTTCATCTGGATGTTGTATATTCATTTCGTCGCGAAGATATGACGCGATTCCCTCTGCAGGGGACTGCAAAAGCAACTTGATATCAACCATGATGGATTGGATGATGGAGAAAGAACTGGTTGTGACATGAGTTAAAAGATCAGACGCAGTCGTTATAAAGGAATATGTGGAGTCAAGAAGTACCTGGCGAATGACTCCTCCCCGTAATCCAACCTAAGCGATGTGAATAATCCAATCAAGATTCGCTTGGCCAGATAAATTGGTCATGTGATGTGGACTAGTTACATCTGTGTCGAGGTGAATACTTGTTGACCAGGTCTTCATAGCCAATGGATGTTGGCCAGAGAAATGGATTATAGCCTTAAGCATGGAAGGAGTGCATGCGGAACCCATCTAGTTATACATAGAAATCATCGACTTGGCTATTTTGCATGCATCTCACCGAATAAAGGTCACTATAAGAACGACAGAGTCAAAATCCTAGGCGCCCATACTATCCGTCCATTGATCCTAAGTCTATCTGTCAGATCCGAGCGTCCATCAGATATCGTCCGTTCGTCGCCGCCATATGAATCATATCATAAGTAGAATGCTGGTGCTCGCAAGCAAATCAGCAATGCACCGTCAGTCAAGTCATCCTCGCAACTTCTCCCTTCCAAGTGTTCCGTTCGATTCGTGTAATATTGAGACCAGATAAACATTCCTTTTCCATGCCGTCGTAAACCGCAAAACTTTTCAGGTACCGAGCCAACCCAGCAAATAGGAAGTCCCGCGGTTTGGTGAAAGTCGGAAACATAGGTAATAAGGACAACGCAAGCGCAACTCCCAATGTCGTGTAGATTTTTTATGAGTGAAAATGTGGAGTGGATAAAATAAAGAAATCGTGATACTAAGTCGCGTACATTTATACAAAGAAGGCCGTATCGTATGGTCGTATCGTGTCGCCGCAAATCCTCAAATCAACTGTATGTCTGAAAGCCATCACCCATCCAGAGGCCCTGGGTTTCGTATCTTGTCTCGTCATTCGCATAGCATCTTCTCGGAAGTGTAGAAAGTCAAATCTCGATATAGCGAGGTGTAAGGCTTGGCACTTCGTTTGTTGTATGGTAAGAGAGCGATTTTAGTTTGGGCATTGAGCCTGAACGTGACCAGGCTGCTTGCACTTGTAGCAAGTGCGCTCGCTGCTAGTCTCTGATGGGCAATCACCTAAGAAAAGTTAGTCGTTACTCTCGAAGGCAAGGAGTATGGGCGACCTACGGCTCAAGTGACCAACCTCGCCACAGTTGTAGCATTTTTGTCCCTGAGTGCAGTCTCTTGACATATGGCCATAGCCGCCACAGGAGTAGCAGGTCTGTCCACCTTGACGACCGCCAAAGCCACCTTGACCACCTCCGTAACCACCACCTTGTTGACCTCCATATCCACCACCGCCACCTCCGTAGCCACCAGCCTCAGGGCAGTTTCTTGCAATGTGGCCGATCTTGGAACACTACGTATTGTACATCAATTTCTGATCATGGTTCCTCGAGTCAACTAAACCAACCTTGTAGCATTCCTGGTTGCCACCACCTTGTCCACCAAACCCACCACCACCACCACCACCACGTCCAGCTCCCTCAGAAGCTGGGTTGGTGCAATCGCGGGAGATGTGACCAGGTTGACCGCACTAGAGTCAATAGAGTTAACATAGAAACTAAGACTCTTAAGCAATTATTATTTACCTTGTAACAGGTCTTGTCCTTTGGTCCCTCAGGGCATTCACGGCCTATGACGATGTGAGCAATCGGTTCCCAAATCGGTACCAATATTCAGCATACTCATGTGTCCCTCGCCTATATTCATCGTCAACATCAGTCTCGCGCATCATCAAAAGTTCATTCGTCGTCACTCACCACCGCAGTTGTAGCTGTTCCATGTATTAGCACAAATCTCTCTCACATAATACAGTAGAGTGCGACTTACCACTTGGCAGGGCCTCTGGTTGGGCAGTCTCTGGCCTATAATTCTTGTTAATATGGAGAACCTTTCAGTTCCAGCTCCCGGTCTCGTACCTGGTGAGAAGCATCACCACCTAGGTTTCAGAATCAGCTTACACCCCAGCAATGTATTGTGTGAAATGAGTCAGGGGGTTAACTATGCGTAGGGAGACCGCAGAGATTGTGCAGCGTGTGAGCTTTCTGCCACATATGTTGACTCTGCGTTGAAAATTGGCAGACCGCCACTCGTATTGTGGATCGTAACTAGGAGCGGTCTGCAAAGGGCTATTGGTTTTCAGAGTCTAAGCCCTTGCAAATTTTTAACTGGCAGACGCGTGCTGCTTGTCGATGCTTTCGAGGGGTTCGTAGGGGCGGTGTGTGGAATGAAGGTGAGAATTTTCGCAAAACACTCACAGTTGTAGCATCCGCGTGCTTGTCCTCCACCGTAAGAGTCCATCTTGCTGATAGAAAAAGTGGTTTTCTTCTGTGTAGTTGAGTTGTCAGTAAGAGATCAATGGTGAAATTCTCGGGGCTCGCATCGGTCAGAAAGCCAGTGATGAAGGTCGTTTTGGCGGGGAGACCAATGTCAAGGTGGGGTTTGTTTATTTGAGATGAAAGAGGATCTAAACATACTTTGTTTATGAAGTGTAATAAGAGAAAGAGTATCTGTACAGCGTACAGAAGATATGTCGAAAATAGAAATCTGCGAAGAATCTAGGATTTTCGAAGATTGTGATTGTGTTGGAGATTCGAGAGTTGGAAGGAAGCAAGAAATATATCCTGCTCGGAAGAAAAGGTCTGTGGCCCAAAAATTGAGCAAGCGAGTGGGGCAAGAGTTACCGACCGCCGGGGTGTAGCCGCTCCCGTCGCTGGCAGTGTTAGGTAGGAGGAGGCGGTCTGATAGACTAAGAACTAGGGTTATATGATATTTAAGTGAATTATGATACAGTATTTGCAACTATTCAATGATCAGGGTCTGCGTTTGGTAGGTGAAGCAGTTGCTAATAATATGTCGGAATATTATCCTAACCCGATACAAATTCACCTCCTCGCTTGCCAGCGATCAACCACCACCCCTTCTCGCATCTCCCTTTTCGGCTTTTAGAAACCTATACATTAATCTAGGACGACTCTTATTATAATGCGGCCTAACTATCCTTACCGGTGTTTGTCCTCGTACCACCAACTGTCATGTAGAGATGAGCTGGTAGCGTATGCGCTCTTAGGTGCCAACTGAGCATTTCCCGGGATGACGAGGATCTTGCGACTCGTACAACTTCATCTTGCATCCCTTATATTTTACACTCCCTCCCCCACGGTTCCTTGCAGACTGCCTTCCGAGGCCGCATGTTTGGCCTCCTCATGGAAGAGACGTGGCACTTACCTTCCCTTTTCACGTATTACATGCTCAGCCGAGACTTTGCAGCCTGCTTTGTGAGATAATACCATGCAGGTAATATATCACTATTACATCTGGCGATCAAGCAGGTGTTGCAGATTCTCGTGCTCGGTATAGGACGACGATATTGCTCCATGCGGTGCTCTGTAACGGGCGGAACCTTTCACTGCACCCTCTCCCGTCTGGGAGTATCCGTTGGTGAATGCATCCGGATTCTAGCGTACCACTGATTGGATTTTAAGAGACGAACTATAAAACACCCAGTTATACTTGATGCGAGCAGGGAAACGAATCCTTCGAAATATCGAGGTTCTGGTCATGTGACCTATCACGTGCAGACTGGCCTTGGTCTCAGTAGCTTCAAGATCACTTCTCGATTTCTGTACTTAGTAATGTCTATTATCTTGGTGAGAGAGGATCTGGAAATCTCATCCCGGCTCCATAATACTGTGGGTGATTGCCGTTCGGGAACTCCTTCAGTCCATGTTTTGCTGATATTAAAAAGCAAAACGGTTACGAGAGAATATGGAGATCATAATGTTTCTAAGACCATAGCACAGCCAAATCACCTGCATGCTTTTGATCATATCACCAGCAATATACTTCCCCTCGGGCCAGCGGATAGCCACCCCGGAGGCAGAATTGAAAGCAGACGAGAAGCCTCTGCTGGAGATCCTAAAAGTACCCCTCATTCTCGGCATATTTTCTGCACCTATGGACGGTGAGGCCTGGAGGGAAGATGCAAGATGTGATATAAGAAGCGGGCTTCAAGTGATGGTGTGGGTGCGTCTTCATATCTGCAGCGGGAGACGAACGGCTGAAGTGCTAGAAGGCGATTCTCACTCCGGATTCTCGATGCGTTCCGCGTCAGGCAAGACAAGAGAGACGTCGGACAGCATTGTTATTGGGAAACAATTGGAATGGTGGAGAAATGTCGCATAGGTAGTGGTGGGGTTTACATCCATATATGTGCGTTCCAATGTGGGATCCCCAGATTCCGGACTTCATGTTCCGGAGCAAGATCGGGAAGCTGCCGGGACGTATACAATATTAGACTATACTTCAGGTCTCCTAACGTTGGTTCAAGCAGTCCAGGAAGGCATATCCCGTCATGAACACCAAGTATAGCTGAAGGAGCTTGGCGATTAGCTCAATCTAAAACAAGAGCTGAAAGCCTCATACTGCCGCTAAGAAAGTGCGCTGATCTAATGCTAGGTAATTGACGGAAATCATACGAAGATCGTATGAGCTTAGCGCCATTGCCTCTTATCGTTCCGCTGGAAGTTGGCGTGTTGGGCATGTGGTATAAGTGCACCTTGATAAGCGAGACACCATGATTTGCCTCCGAAGGACTTAGCACATTTGGGCTGGAGACTACCTCTTAGAATTCTAAGTATGAACAAAGTGTCTTCGTCCTAGTAGCATGTTATGCCAACTTCAAATCTCAACAACCATTCCTAGAGCTCTCCCAGCATTGAAGGCCACGGTTTGGTGAACCAATCACGGAAAGTAGTTTGGAACCAACAGCAAGGTTGCAGTCCGCAGACTCAAGACAAAAGCATCGCAAAGAAAGGGCTGATAGAGAAATGTACATCTCGATTTCCAGCATCATGGGCATATCGTCAACTCTCGGAATTGTATAGCAGTTAGGCACCGGCGGTGAACCTAGCCAGTTTGCAATTGCTCCTATTATCTCCTCACTTGAAGCATTCAAGCGCATCGAGCCCGCGAGGACTACACGCTAGTCAATTTTACCGATTTCAGAAAGTAGGAGGACATATATGTTGAAGTCCATTCTGGAGAGCTTATAGACTGGCGATGCCAGCTGGCCACAGAAAGCAGACAAAAAAATAGCGGTCGCGCCACAAAATTGAAAGGCCAAGTTAAGAAACTCCGCCTGCCGCAAAAAGAGACTGAGAGCGTTCATTATCTGACACAAACTGTCCAAGCAAACGGATACGAGTGTACTCAAGAATGGCAGATGTATATAGCTTCTGCGAGAGCTGTCACGTCCTTGGACTCTTCGCTATTTCTTTAGCCATCATTCCGGGTTCAAAAAGATATCAGCTTCATGCGACCTGAACTCGCTTCTCATGTTACTGATTCCCACTATTTGAGCCCAGGACTGACAGCAAACAGGACATTTTGTACCATCCGCGTCCTCTGCGTGTACGATCTCGGATTATAAGCTCATGGGCAACCTTCGCTTCTCTAAGTCTCGGAACAAGATACTCAGAGCCAATGCAGCTGTCTTTCTTCTCGACTCCATTCGGTGAAGCATAGGCAGAGTCCGCGGAATTCATGGATTGGTGATAAGTTCCGGAAAGCTTGTCCTGTTTCGCAGTGACTCTGGAAGGCTCGCGTCCAGATCTCGACTTCTTTCTTAGCTACAGTGTTTCTTGCACAGCCAGGCATATTTGATTGGGTAACAAGATCCCAGATTTTCTGCTCGAAAAGGCGCTTAGAGATGTAAAGCGTCAATTTCGGCCTTGTGGTTCCTAGGATGGAATATGAATAGGCAATTCCGTTGAAAACAACGTATTTGTTTCCAATAATTGGAACTAAATTTCTTGACACTTACCTGCAGGTCGTGATGTTAGCTCACACTTTTCTGCTAGAAAGAAAACTCACTACATTACTTCTTGCTGGACTTCTTGAAAAATTCTTAACTTTATGCGAAAAGTGGCCTCTAATTATGGGCCTCGGTTTTGGAGAAGTTTTGTGGTTGCCCATATAACAACAGTCATGCTCTCAATGTATCGTCGACTGATATTTTGATATTCAACATCATGCTATTACCACATCGCTTGCAACATCTAGATTTAGATCTAAGTAAGATGCTTTTTGTTGAACGGTGGGAAACTGTCCGGGAGAAACAGTCTCGGTTTTCTCTGACCGATGAATATAAGGTCAATAGCTTGACCTCCAATTCGCCTGGAAATGAGATGATTGGTTTCCGAAGGATATGATCTACAGGCATCAAGTAATGACTCTGGTGGGACATAAACCAAGGAAACACCTGCAGATAGTTTACAAACAAGGTTTGAACAGCTTCCCCAGATATCTTCCCTTTATGGCATCAACCCAAACTCTTCTAGGTGCATATATTTATCTATGAAATGCACTTTCGCCGGTATGAGGGATACCGTAAGAATATCCGGACGCAGGAATATACAGAGCTGTGCACCGCGCAATTGATAAATAGCGGAAGCAAGAAACGAATGACAATAAGTTGAAAGGTTCGGAATTTAGAAGACAATTATTGAAGTGTGTAGTGTCGGAAAATGAATGTCATTTGCCAATCCGGAAAGTTTTGACACTTTGACAGAGACGGGAGGCTTGGCTTGACCCCTTAGGGGTTTATATGTGGCTTTTGATAAAATTACTCCGATGTGCAATAAAACTTACCTTTTATCTCACTACACGTGATCTTCTATGATGTTTCATCTTATTTATTGCTAGGGAGTCCTAGTTTATGTTGTTTACACTCCGCACTCTGGGCTTGCAGGACAGCACGGGCCACCATTTCATTTCAAGACGTTAAGCCCAGGAGACGCGGATAATAATAATATTGACGACGCGACCGACTTTTAATACATTCATTCACCAAAATATCCTCACATCATTAGTCCGAACATACAGTACAAGGTGGATTATCCGTGCGACCACTACCACCGGCTTGGGTTTTAAACTAAATATCTTGCAAGAGCCGACAGGAACAAGAACAGGGTCGCAACTACCACCCTCTTCGTTTTGCAGCCCAATAACATTCTCGAGGAGGAAAAATATATCAGGAGAGTCCCGAAGCTTGACCTGCCAGCGTAGCTCGTTTACCAGATGGTTCGTCCTGCGGTATTTCAGAGCCGCTGAGTTCGAGTCAATTTGCATAGTAACAACGGAGTTCTGGAGGACATTAGAAGGGAGTGGCACGGATATTCAACAGAGCATACAAGGAGGGCAAACATGGCGGGAGGGAACATCAAGGTGGTGGTGCGGGTGCGGCCCTTCAATGGAAGAGGTAATTATGTTCCCATGATCAGCATAACTGCTTGGATCTTGGTTCGACTGAGCGAACGAAAGGATGCTAACCTTCATCCTCAGAAATTGACCGTGGAGCAAAATGTATCGTGCAAATGAAAGACGCCCAGACGGTCCTGACACCGCCCCCAGAATTTGAAGCTCGGAATGGGAAAGCTGGGAAAGACGGAGGTCAGAAAGTTTTTGCATTCGACAGATCGTACTGGTCCTTCGACAAGTCCGACTCGAATTATGCTGGACAGGACAATTTGCACAATGACCTCGGGAAACCCTTGTTGGACAACGCATTTCAGGGATATAACAATTGTATTTTCGCATACGGACAAACGGGATCTGGCAAATCTTATTCGATGATGGGCTATGGTCCGGAAGCAGGAGTTATCCCCAAAATTTGCCAGGACATGTTCGAACGAATTGGGACCCTGCAAGAGGACAAGAACCACCGCTGTACAGTGGAGGTATCCTACTTGGAAATTTACAATGAGCGTGTTCGAGATTTGTTAAATCCTTCAACCAAGGGCAATCTCAAGGTCCGCGAACATCCATCTACTGGGCCGTATGTGGAAGATCTGGCGAAGTTGGTGGTGAGTAGCTTCAACGAAATTGAGAATTTGATGGATGAAGGAAACAAAGCTCGTACGGTTGCTGCTACGAATATGAATGAAACAAGTAGTCGAAGTCATGCCGTATTTACTCTTACTCTCACGCAGAAGAAACATGACGTGGAAACAAACCTGGCTATGGAAAAGGTTGCAAAGATCAGTCTTGTTGATCTTGCTGGATCCGAACGTGCAAATTCTACTGGCGCAACCGGGGCACGATTGAAGGAAGGTGCTGAGATTAACAGGTCTCTCTCAACACTGGGTCGAGTTATAGCCGCGCTAGCGGATCTTTCTGAGGGGAAAAAAAAGAAAGGGAAAGCTACGAACCAAGTGCCTTATCGTGACAGTGTTCTCACCTGGCTTTTGAAGGATTCTCTCGGTGGAAACAGTATGACAGCTATGATAGCAGCTATCAGTCCGGCGGACATCAACTTTGATGAGACCTTGAGCACGTTGAGATATGCAGACAGCGCTAAGCGAATTAAGAACCACGCGGTCGTGAACGAGGATGCAAATGCCCGAATGATACGCGAGCTCAAGGAAGAATTGGCAAGCCTCCGAAGTAAACTAAGTGGCGGCGGAGGGGCCACGGAGGAGGTCTATGCCGAAGGAACACCGTTGGACAAGCAAATTGTCAGTATTGTAGCACCAGATGGAACAGTCACAAAGGTTTCCAAAGCGGAAATTGCAGAGCAGCTCAACCAGAGCGAGAAGCTCTACTCCGACCTGAACCAGACCTGGGAGCAAAAGCTTCAGAAGACGGAAGAAATTCACAAAGAACGGGAAGCTGCTCTAGAGGAATTAGGTATTAGCATAGAAAAAGGCTTTGTTGGGTTACACACACCCAAAAAGATGCCGCATCTGGTCAACTTGTCGGATGATCCATTACTGGCCGAGTGCTTGGTGTATAATCTGAAACCAGGTACAACAACTGTTGGTAACGTTGATGCAAACGCTGAGCAAGCTGCGGAAATTCGTCTCAATGGGTCTCGGATATTGGAAGAGCACTGCTCTTTCGAAAATGTTGACAATGTGGTAACACTCTTGCCCAAGGAAGGGGCCGCAGTAATGGTCAATGGGAAGCGTATCGTGGAACCGAGAAGACTGAGAAGCGGTTATCGAGTAATTCTGGGCGATTTTCATATTTTCCGGTTCAACCATCCTATGGAAGCCCGCGCGGAAAGAGCAGAGAGCTCATTACGACATTCGGTGCTTGCAAATCAGCTACAGGATTACGACAAAGCCTCTCCATCCCCTAGCCCCAGACCAGGCCACTCCAGAACATTTAGTAAGGCTACCTCTGAGGCAGACTGGGATGGGAGCAGGCCCGATTCCCCAATGCCCCAACAAGGGGGAGATTCAGACTGGTCTTTTGCCCGGCGAGAAGCTGCTAGTGCTATACTTGGAACTGAACACAAGATCACTGGCCTTAGTGATGAAGAGCTTAACCTGCTATTTGAGGATGTGCAGAAGGTGCGAGCGGAACGGGCGAACAGAGAATTGGATGACGATCTTGATTCGGTCACCTCATATCCTGTGCGAGAGAAATATTTGTCAAATGGGACGCTGGACAATTTCTCGCTTGACACTGCGCTCACGATGCCATCGACGCCTAAACAAGGCGAGGTTGAGGACAAAATGCGGGAGGTGCGAGAGGAGATGCAAGTACAGTTGGACAAGCAAAAGGAGGATTATCAAGAGCAACTCAAATCTGCCGAAGCTGCAAATGTCGAGGTAGAGGAGATTAAAAAAGAAAAGGCCCGGATGGAAGAGAGTTTACGAGAAGTGAAAGAGGACATGCTCTTGCAGCTAGAAGCCCAGAGGAAAGAGTTTGAGGAACGTCTCCAACAGATAAGTCCCAACAAAAAAGTCCAGCTGGATGGCCCTGCACCATTGACCGAGCAAGAAATTTCGATCGCCAAAAGAGTGACGGACCACTGGAGGGGTCGAAGATACGTCCGTATGGCCGAGGCCGTATTGCAGTCTGCAGCAAATCTCAAAGAAGCTCAAGTTATGAGTCAAGAAATGGACGAATCTGTCGTCTTTCAATTTGCGATTGTTGATGTTGGCCATGAACTTTGCTCGTCATACGACATGGTGTTGAACGGAATATCGGGAGAAGGGGATGATTTGTTCCTGGAGGACGCAAAGAAGCCCTGCATTGCTGTTCGTGTGATCGACTATAGGAGCAGTGTGGTACACCTTTGGAGTCTACAGAAACTGCAGGACAGAGTGAGGCTCATGCGGCAAATGCATCAATACATGGATCGCCCAGAGTACTTGCAACACTTTCGTTTGGACAACCCTTTTGTGGAGACGTGCATGCCTCAGTATACCCATATTGGCGATGTAGATGTCCCACTAGCTGCTGTCTTCGAAAGCCGTGTGCAGGACTTCAGTCTTGACGTGGTTTCTCCTTACACGTCGCATGCCATCGGTATCATCAAATTGTCGCTAGAACCATCTTCAGCTCGAGCGCCCTCTAGCACGCTAAAGTTTAATGTCGTAATGCACGACATGATCGGCTTTGCGGAGAGAGAAGGCACTGATGTCCATGCCCAATTATTCCTGCCTGGCATATCTGAAGATGGTGGCGTCACGACAACACAAATGATAAAAGACTTCGACGAAGGGCCTATCCGTTTTGAAAGTGTCCACAGCATGAGTGTACCTATGTTTGGTCCGATGAACGTCTCTTTACGCGTTGCGATATTCTCTAAAGTCTCTTCTATGCATTTAGATAAATTACTTAGCTGGGACGATATGCAGGATCATCCACCCCGTCCTACTAAGAAGCGCAAGAGTGCTCGTATCGCCGAATCACAGTTCTTTACTGAAGAAAAGCACGATGTTTTTTCTCGTGTGCAAATCCTTGAACTGGCGGAAAACGGAGACTATCTTCCTGTTGAAATTATTCAGACAAGCGATCTTGATAAAGGGTCCTTTCAGTTACACCAAGGACTTCAGAGGCGGATTCTTATCAACCTCACGCATAGTTCCGGTGAAGCTTTGCCATGGAATGAGACGGGGAATCTGCGCGTTGGCAAAGTACAGCTGATTGACCATGTCGGCAAAACACCAGACTTGGGCTCCCCCACCCCAGAAATACCGTTGAAGATAGTGTCAAAACCTATCATTGCAGCAAATCCTAACGGAACGACTACGGTGACGATGATTGGCCAATGGGACTCAAGTGCTCATGCTTCATTGCTACTTGACCGCGTTACCGCAGACAAATATAAGGTCCAAATGTCTGTATTTTGGGACATAACTTCTAATAAACTGGCTGAGCCGATGACCTTTTCGATGAATGTCTGCTCGCAGATCCTTCCGCGCTCGCATATTCGTTCTACATCTATGTTCGCCTCGTTATGGCAGAGCGTGCGTATAGTACACTCAATGAGTGGCATCTTTTCAGTTTCGGTTCGGCCTCGGCCAGTCAAACGTGCTGGGGATCTTTGGCGGATGAGCACCAATAATGACTACGTAAAGGGTGAAGAGGGATTGACAAATTGGGCACCGAGAGGTGTATCTCTGATTCGAGATTACATCGCAGCCAGGAGGCGGAAACAGCGAATTGCAGATATTGAGGCAGCTAAACCGGTCCTCGCCAAAGTCACATTTCCTGAGAGAGATGTCGTGGAGGCACAATCAGCCGAAAGAAATTTGGTCGAAACTCCATTGACAAAGCAACAACAAACACTCCTTCACAAATACCTCAACCTGTGGCATCTATGTCATGACCCCACGACGAGTATTCTCGGGTCAGCAAATGTCGAACCACCATCAAATGGTGTATCAACGCCACCTCCCGCGCCGTCTGCCTCGCCAAACCTCTTAGCTACTATCTCCCTCGTTCACAAAAATCCCGAGATCCTCAAAGGCGGCACCCTACTCACTCCTTCAGCTGACAGCACTCGCTGGGAACGTCGTTTTGTCGAATTGAGACGGCCATATTTACATATGCATTCCGTTCCAGACGGCGAGGAAGTCTGCGTGATTGCCCTACGAAATTCACGCGTAGACCATAAACCTCAAATCGCAAAGCTACTCAAGAGAGACGGTGCAAACAATCGAGGCCGCGCCGGGGAACGGGATGAAGAAAAAGTATTCGCGGTCTACGGCACTGACAATACCTGGTTATTCAAGGCGCGAAGCGAGCGCGAGAAAGTAGAATGGATATTTAAAATCGATCAAAGTTATTTCAGTAATGGTGGAAGCTCCGGAGGAAGTGGGAGTGAAAGTGAATGAGATTAATGACGCCTCCGAAATTCTGAGGCCATAATTTTGGTGGTTGCGTTGTGCTAATATTTGGGTTGGTGAAAGAAGCGAAAGCATTTACATGGTGTTTATTTGGATCTAGTTTTGAGATGATGAGGTCTTTTTGTATGAGTATATGATACCCATGTTTCTATATTACACTATCCTATACCATTCCTATCAGCTGTAATTTCTTTTGTTTAGAGGGGCATGGGGACTGCGAATAGTGTTCTGATAGAATGGAGATATATATTATCAGTTCTGATCGCTCTTGATCAACGTTTAAAATAAGGTATTCTATATTGAACAAAAACTAAATAATTGCACTATTTTCGCCACTAACAAGTAAACAACGTACATTAAGCCTCGAAGTGAAAGTGTCTCGCAGAGCACAAAATAAGTGGCAGTCACCTACCTAAACTAGATTACAAGTCGACTTCGAATAGAGCTTGAAAAGTCTGATTTGCTTAATACACTTCACGAAATAGTTATAAGGTTCTAGCTTAATCCACTAAATTACGACGTTTCGTCAACTTTGTCGAAGAACGATTCTGGTTCGACTACCATTTATTTTGTCCTCCGCGAGAGTGAAATCACGATCAATATTCACAGTAGTAGCCGAGATTATACGAATACGAATACGAATAAGAGGAACCTCGACATCGTCACTCGCGCCAGATTTAATACTTCTCAACCACAACCGCTCGAGATGAATTCTTCACGAAATGCAAATCGGTCTGGCCGGGGGCGGGGTGACCGTGGACCTCGTCGGGGAGGCTTCTCTGACCGTGATAGAAATCTCAAGGATGTCCCAAACATTCAACAGGTCTTTCCAGGCGCATCGGTCTCCATCGTCCTGAAGCCGGACCAACCAACTGGTCGTGAGGTACAAGGTACTGTCGTGGAGGTCTTGACGTCCGGCAACCATCCGCGAGGTATCAAAGTTCGTCTAGGAGATGGCCGAGTCGGTCGCGTTCAGAGGATTGTCAGTGAGGAAACTGCGAAAGCAGGCGCAGAAGGGTTGAGTGGACTTGGAAGAAATGGCGAATCATCTGGAGAATCTCGTATTGCTACCACAATGCCGAGCGGTTTTACACATCGCAAGTATGGAGACTACCGCATAGATGTGCCGGACGAACCTCCTTCAAACGAGCTATCCCTTTCCGATTATGTCGTTGTCAAAACTGCGAAGAAAGGCAAGGGGAAAAAGAAGAGTACCGAGGAGACCGATGCGGTTATCAACGACGGGGATTCCACGACGCTATCTGCACCAGCCTTGGTGACTTCTAAATGTCCTGTCTGCGGTGACTTTGAAGGAGATGAAGCCGCCGTAGCTCACCACGTTAATGAGCATTTTGATTGAATACATTAGTTGCAATCTAGTCTTGCATCCTTTGAGGAGATATATTCGAATGCGAGGCTCTCTTTTTTCTTCTTTTAGCATCACTTGCAGCATCATGGATGGAACACACTCCATTCTACCCTTCACGCAAGCCGAATAAGCGTGTGTTGCTGACATATGCAGAAATGATGGGGTTTTCTTCAGACAAATTCTGCCAACCCAGGAGAACATTAAAAATATTGCAAGCTAGAGGTGGCTTCGCCCTAGCTGGAAGTACCAGCTCTAAGCGATCATTTTGAGGATCTTGTCTTTGTGTACAAATGCAAGGTCGGTTCATAACTGATCTCACAGACAGTGAAATAGTCTTCACTTGAAAAGGGAACACGTTCGTCATGTGGAAATCACATCTCAAGTGTTGTGGATAACATGTCATAGCTACATGTACCGTCATCCGTGGGGTTTCCCATGATTCACATAACATCCATCTCAAGCCAAGTATATTTCTACAAATTTCTTTTGCGGACGCGGATCTGACTGCAGTATTTCTCCACATCACACCAATTTTTACCTCAGTGGCTCACTCTTCGATCAAATATACGCAAGCTAGCCCAGACAACATTTTTCACCCTCAGTCAGTCATCAAAAGGACATTTCTGCCCTCTCAATATTCGCATATATCCTATTCCGTATCGCCCAGATTTCAGCATTCACTATCGACTGTCTAACACATCCAATTAGGAACCTAGACTCCAGCATTGCTTTGAACGAGAAACAGTCTGACAACCATTATTTCCAGTATAGACAGGTTCTAAATTTGCCCGCCAATTTTTTGGTTCTTTCGTCTTGCATTGCGACGTGGGCTAGAATCTGACGACGTGTGGAAGCACGCGCTCGCCTTTATCTGTATCCTGATATTAACGTTTCACCATTCTAGGTGTTCGGAGCGATTCTTCGTTCATGGTTCTGTCATGATTGTCTCGCGCTCTACTTCATTCACACTCTTCAGTATTCACACGAATTCGCATCACATCCTGAATCGATTGGCGGTTGCAGTCTCACACTTCTCGACTTTCACAACGACAGGGCAGGAACGCCTGGGAATTCAAAAACCATGTCAGATGACACCGAAAGAATGGAAAGAACCACCCAGGGGATGACGCATAGAACCCATCAACGTCGGAAACCGAAGATCCGACAATACAATGAATACACATCATTTGCTTTGGGGACGAATGTCAGGAATCGGAAGCACGAAGCTCTCGATGTCGAAGTAAGCATGGCACAAGCTCTCATGCCTCAAGATCCAAATGGTAGACCGGCACATTTCGCAAACAATTTTGAGGAGGCTATTTTTGTGTTCACTGTCATGATGGCCACGGCAGCGACTACATTCCTCCAAGGAGTTATTGTAATCAATACTGTGGCTATTGGGGAAAACCTCAATATGACGGATTCGCAAATTACGTGGATAGCTGCTGCAATAGGGTAGGCCGTTCATTCCCTTTTCAATCATTTTATAACCGTTATCAGGCTCGCGAGTGGCTCGTTCATGTTGTTCTTTGGGAAGACCGCTGACCTATTCGGTCGCAAGATACAATTGCTCACTGGCATGGCGTTTCTTGGCTTCTTCTCGCTTCTCACAGCATTCTCTCCCAGTGCTATAGCTATGGATGTTCTTTGTGGATTGTTGGGACTAGGTACAGCTGTTATTTCGCCACCTGCGATTGGTACACTTTTCGCCTCATACCCGGAGGGCAAACGAAGGAACATGGCTGCAGGCGCTTTAGGTGCCGGTAACCCTTTGGGCTTTATAATAGGTAGTATCTCCTCTGGAATTGCAACCCGGATATGGAGCTGGAGAGCGTCGTTCATCGTCATCTCGATTTTTTTCTTCGTGATGACAGCACTTGCTGTCTGGACTATGCCGTCTATTCCTCGAATTGGAGATCCCCGAATGGCAGTCAAACAATTCGATTATTTGGGAACGATCCTCACGGTCGTGGGCTTTGCCATGCTTACAGCTGGACTAACGTACGTACGTCAATACTCCCACCCAGAGACTCGCTGACCCTCTTTCAGACAAGGACCAGAAATGGGTTGGAGATCTCCTCGCGTAATTGCTACACTCACTCTAGGTATCCTGTTTATAATAGGCTTTGCGTTTTGGGAAAAGCTTCATGCCCATCCTTTACTTGACCCAGCTGTATGGGAAAACACCAACTATACACTTTGTGTACTTTGTACAATGTTTGGCTACATGTCATTCGTCACAAATCAGTTCTGGATTCCACTTTACATGCAAGAAGTTCAACATCTTCCTCCATTGCTTATTGCGGTTCACATGCTTCCACAAGCTCTTGCTGGATTTGCTTGGAGCTATATTGGTCAAGCGTTGGTTAGCCGGCTTCCAGGGAGAATGATCATGGCTATAGGCGGGTTTTGCTATCTAATTGGGGCGCTCCTTCTCGTTTTCATACGACCAGAAACATCATATTGGAAGTTTCTATTCCCCGCAATGGTCTTCACTGTGGTTGGAGCGGACTTTCAATTCATTGTTTCTAACGTACGTACTCTTCTACCTTACAAACTCCCAATTTCGAGCGCATGTGCTAATATTGTTACAGCTCTACGTCAACAAGCAGATGCCCGCTCAGGCCTCATTAGCGGCAGGTGTAATTCAGACGGCCTACCGGCTATCAGTGTCAGTAGGTCTGGGTATAACGTCTGCCGTATACAACTCGGTGCAGAAAACTCCAAGGGGCATGACCGACTCGACTTTCCCATATGTGCAAGTTTACTTTTGCGGTGTTGCGTTTGCTGCAGTCAGTCTTGCCTTCTTACCATTTATGCGCTTAGAGATGCAAGGCGGTGAAGAGAAAGCTACAGCGCCAATAATGACGGAAACTCCCTTCTTTGATCAAGAGGCACAAGAGTCTCCTCCTCGGAGTGCTGGCGAATATCGAGATCGAATTAGCGAAGAACATTCTCGGAATCTCGCAAGCAAACCTAGTCAGAGCAGTATCGGAACCGCGGCAACATGTGGTAGTGAGGTAACCTATTTTCAAAGGTGGAGTTGGGAGAATGAGCCATACTGGCCGCCAAAACACGCTGAATACACCGGACATGACAGTGCTCAGGATATGGTTTATGAGGTGTGTATAAAGTGTTTGGAGGAAAGACGCGTCATCCTACCGGTGAAAACAACAGACAATGGACACAATCACGACAGTCCTGTCATGGACGGGCAAGACGGCTGGATATGAACCCTCAGCCATTTGACCGACCACCTCGCTCGTCATAAAGTTGATCTGATAGATGGACGATTTCCATTGCTATCGTCTCGAGACACAAAGATTTTTGGGAATAAGAACAAGCCTGTCGCACGAAATGAGGAAGTGCTTCAGCGCATGGAATGGATATAAAGAACATTTTGGAAGTTGTCAAACAGAAGACAACGGCGACGATATTTTCTTATTATGCAAGAGGTTAGCGAAGATTGGTTGACATTTGCGGAGTTTGTATTGCAAATTGCTGGGTGTAAAGGGCTTTACAAAGATACATCTGGACATTTACATGAAAGGAGTGGGATTCGGCTTGCCATGAGAGGGCTGGTGCGGTCTGTGAATGTCCAGGTGACTTTGGGGTGAAGGCGTAGTGGGAGGTGATGTCAGAGGATGAAGGGGAGGGGATGTGGAGGTCTGAATTATCTTTAACATTTATCCTTAGTTAGGGGCTGGTGATTGCGTTGATGATGGGTGTTTTAGAATGGAGTTCTTGCGTTATATCGAATATATTTCATATTGGTGTTGAATTCGCTTTTACAAGACTAGGAATGAAGAGTGAAATGTGGGATGAAGTCGTTACACTGGCTATCAGAGTTTGAGTAGTTACTAGCCAGGAAGTGCAGAGACATCTTTGTAAGATACCAGCCATGCGAAAAAAACTACAAGCATGCTAGTGAAGCACGCTAGTTGAGAGCCGTAATAAGACTACAGGTAAGGCCAGAACAGCCAAAATGACTTACGCGTCTACCATCCAATCTAAACATGCCCAACATCTACAATCGAAAGGCATCAAACTCCAATACCATGTTTTGTAATTGTTCATGTATTTTCAGCTTCAGATCATCTCTAAGTTCACTCCAAGCTCAACCTCTGATTTGGTGCCAGGATTGTATAAGTCAAGATAGCTGTCGATCTCATTTTCGAAACCTCTGTGTTTTATTGGTCGTAACATTATTTTGTATGATGGTTTTGATATTTGCAAGTTCCCTCCATACCTAGCGGGAGTGTGGGGATTTCAGCGGTAGGATAAAACGTGAGTAGGGTTAGTTGATGTAGATAACGTAGCTAGGAGCTTATGCTAGCTAGGTACGCTAGTAATTTTCGAAAAGGAACTTGTCTGTGCAGTCAAAGTACTTTGATGGAACAAGCAGTAGTTGAGACGCAGTGAAAGTCGTATCTGAGGAAGCCGCAGGGAAATGAGTAAAGGGTATCGTTCTATTCTCTACATTGCTATCATCTACAAACCCCCCGCAGGCGGGACATAAGGCTTGATCAGCATTTCGCTAAAGCTTTCCAGCCGATCTTTCCCCCTAACTTCCTCTACTAACAGCGGCATCTTGACCACATTAAAGTCGTCATATAACTCCGCAATCTGTCCCAGATACTTCTTTTGCATTTTCCGCCTCGCGTTACACTGATCGCAGTCACTTCCCGCTTTCGGGAACAACAATTGGTTGACGACGATGGAGTGTGTGTCGATGTTGTAGTTTGCCAGCTCCTGAATCATTCGTTCGGTCTCGTAGAGGGACAGGAATTCGGGTATGCAGACACAGACGAATGTAGTCATGTTTTCGTCTTTGAATTGTCCGTTTACTTCGCTGATAGTCTCACGCAGTCCTTCTAGTTTCTCCATCATTTCAGGTAGACTCTGACCATTTGGAAGACCTCCGTTGGCGCCGAGGATTCCGTTCAACATAGGACCGAACTGCGTTGATAAGGCGGAAATCTTGGCTAAGGCTTTCTCGAGAACTGTTGGGAACTGGAGGAAGCGGAGTGTGTGGCCGGTAGGAGCGGTATCGAAAATAATGGTTTCGTAGGAGAGCGATTTGACCTGCTTTAGAACTTCGGCGAAGGACATGGCTTCATCGATACCTGGGATCTATGGGAATAATTAGCCTCACTTACTCCTCAAAGCCATGTAACACAGAACTTACAGCATATGCCAAATCCTGCATCATACCCATTCCCCCAGCAACCTCTCCCTCTTGGTCATCCGCCTGCCCAATAAGATCCTGAATGCTGCCATTGGGATCAATTTCCATCGCGCTGAGATTCGTGTACCCCTCCACTAGTCTCGCTTCCTTTCCGAATTTCTGGGAAAAGGCATCCGACAGATTATGTGCTGGATCTGTGGAGATGAGAAGCACAGAGCGGCGCACTCTGGCGAGCTGGATAGCCAAAGAACATGAGGTTGTGGTCTTTCCTACTCCTCCTTTGCCTCCTACGAAGATCCATCGAAGTGACTTTTGGTCGAGAATCGATTGGAGGGTTGGCTCGAGTTCGTCGTCGGCGTTGACTACTGCGGAAGACATTGTGGAGTTTGAATTATATGATCTGTTCGTACAAGGAGAGTGACAGTAGGCTTGGGATCGAGAGACTACCACTCTTGGAATATGACCACCAACGCTTGTTCGAAGCAGGTTCTCGTCGCTTCGTCGGCGTTCTTTCTGCCGATTCCACTGCTGTTATTTGATTGGCCCCCACCATGAATGACGAAGGCGGTGAACTTTGGTTCTTGAAGCCCCATCTACCTAGGTAGGAAGTAGTTTGCGCTTCCACTCGATGAGACAGTCTAATTCAGTTATTACCACTTCTCCTACACAAAAGCTTAATTGCGATATATCATTGCTTGGACTCAATACACTTTTCAACACTATCTCGGTTTCTTCAGATCTGTATCCCACGTCAGAGAAACGTAAAGGCTGTTGACACTTCACACTTTCGGTCGAGTGAGAAATAGTTGAAGATATCTCGGGCAGACACGTTGCCGCAGTTCTACACATTGACGGACTCCTTCCCGACTAGTAAGTTCACTTAATCCGTGTAAGTTTTCAATTTTCGAGATTCAACTGCGGTATACATTCCTGGATAGCTCCGTAAGGCTGAGGCGGCCGGTTCCGCTTCGAAGCTATAATTTTCCTTCTGGGTCTTATCAACCTTTACTCTCTCTTCCACTTAAAGAGCTAAGTGGTTCTCTTTTATTTATATTTTTGAGGTTCCCGCTCTCTGATTTTCTGATTCTTATCAATACTCACTTCTAGCAGATTTCAATTAGGTAGGGCCAGACCTGTATTGATACTCACACAGTTCGACTTGCTAATGCGAGATCCAGTGGCGCATCTCAACTCTCTTGAGACGACATAATTTACGACCTCTTCTCCTACGCGAACGTACCAGCTCTCAACCCCTGCTTCTCACCGCACGAAAAACAAAAAGCCAAAAGCCTTTCCACTTCCCCTCTTCGCGAACATCGACCCCGCTATCACAATGGCAACCGATCGAGACCCCATCACCTGCCACGTCCTCGACACAACAACCGGCCGTCCTGGCGCAAACATCTCAGTCAAGCTCTACAATACAAGTCTTCCGAATTATTTCTTCTCTGCCACCACCAACGGAGACGGTCGCATTGCCAATTGGCAACTCCCAGAAGGGTCGAATGAAACGATCGCTTCCCTAATCCATGACTATGCTAGTCAGGAAGGAAAACTGGTTGCTGGATGTCCTTTAGGGTCAAGCATATGGAAACTCCAGTTCGACACAGGAAGTTATTACGGCGTGCAAAACACTTTCTTCCCAAAGGTCGAGTTGACGTTCTTGGTCAAGGAGGGAGAGCATTTCCACGTACCGCTGTTACTCGGTCCCTACAGCTTCACTACATATCGCGGCAGTTAGAGAACAAAAGTGCAATGGAACTGGTTGGAAACAATCTATTATGATATCACCTGCGAATAATCTATCTCATTAGTCATGCAATCAATGACACGCAGCCTTTCCTTTCCGTCTGAGTTTACTGGTCTGACTGCCCTAGCAAACCAGCAATCATTTTCTCCAGATAACTCCGTCGCTGCAAATAACCAAAACCAAGCACAAATCGAGATCGCTGGGGTATCTTATTACTTCTCCAGATGAAGCTTTCTGAGGATACTTCTTTTCTTGCTCGACGAGCTCTGCGATTTTTCCGAATGCGCATCGCTGTTGGAGCTCACTTTGCCCAACGATTCCTGACTGGCACCAGTGTGTACACCACTGTCCCTCTTAGATGCCTCCCGGCTGATTTCCTTCAGGCTCTTCTGCTCGGTTGTGCCGTCTTCGTATTGGATATTGTCGTAAAGACCAGACTCCTCAGGACTCAATCGGCCATGAATAGCTTTGTTTCGTGAATTGCCTCTGCCGAGGAACGATCGATGTTTGGTTTTCGAGTTCATGCGTTTCAGGCTTGCTCCCTCGATCGTTGCATTTTCTGAAGTATCGGCATCGGGATGTCTTAGAGTTGTGTTGGTATCTAGTTTTAGTGTTAATTGGTTTCTAACATTACTTCTTGAGCAGCACTCACGTTCACTCAATGGCTCGGGGAACCCAGTGCCCTTTCCATCTCTCGTGGTCTCTTCTCTTGGAAGCTCCTGAACATGATGGGCCTGCATAATGATTGTCTCGACGTGTTCCTTATAGGTCCTAGTCCTCAGATCCTGTGGCACGTAGTGCTCACTATGAACGTCCGGGAGACTCTTTGCGTCGTTTCCAGATATTCTACCCCAAGAAGTCTTGGATCTTTTTGGCGGTGCGAATTCAACAGCAGGATATTGATCGAAAGAAGCTCTCGAAGTGATGGTTCGTTGGAGTTTACTGATCGCCATTTTTGATTAGTGCCAGCACCAATAACACCAGGAAAGAAACGCTTTAAAATAAGGGAATGAATTGGAAGTGGAAGAAGGAAGTGAATGATAACAATCTTTAAATCGCCAACTTTCTTCAAGCTTATGAATAATAAGACCCAAAGAGTCAACCCATTCTTTTGTCGCGCGGGCGCCTTGAAACTGGGTCACCGTTTGTCCATCTCATTCACAGCTTGTGAGTGGTTACTCACGAAGCGCCGCCGCGTCTACTCTTTGTCTCTCTGTCCCAAAAATAGAATAACCGAGAATTTATGTACTCACAATGGCCTTTCTTCTTTTCTTGAATAAGCGAGTAGTTTTTCCTTTCAGAGTTATCGAGGGGAGTCTTGGGGTTTTTGTTTAAAGGAGATGGCTTGGTTGCGAGGAACTCGGCAGGAATCTGCATACAGGGCCGGACTGAATTGTTGGACCCCGGATTCCGCATCCCACTTGGCGAGGGCAGGCATCACCCCGCGCCTCGATTTCAAGGGGGTGGGAGAATTAAAGATGTTACGTCATTGTGATCGCCATCTGGGTAAATCATTGGTACATCCACATTATTGTTTTCATAAACGACATGATTTGAGACGGCAAACCCGATTTCTTGCTTACTCTGTACACTCATACTCAACAACAACTTGCGCTATAAATGAGTAGTTGGACTAGCCGAGACGGGACGAGTCGGCGATGGCTCGGCAGGTCCCTAAATACTAGCCGTATATGCGGTATGCTGTTGGTGTGTTGTTAGCTGAGTGTTTCCCGGATCGAGCGTGCCGCTTGGGTGAGGGATAAAGCTTGTTTCGTGGTGACGGATTCGTGAGAGGCTGAGGTGAGACGAGGTGAGGTTTGTTTGGGGTTTGGTGCGCGGGTATGCGTGGCTTTTGCTGCGCTTTCAGGTTGCCTTGTTTGGGGAAGTGGTTCGGGAGGGTTTGGTGGTTGTGGTGGAGAGATCTCGTTGAAGACGCTGGTGGAGTTGAGGGTTGAAAGTACGAGGTTTGTGAACGTAGGGTTAATGGTGTTGGCTTCTGGTACGAGAAAGAGTATCTGGTGTCGCCTAACAGTCAAACCATTGATTTCCCCCCCTAATCATATATGACTTTTGTGTCTCATGAATTAGCTGAGGTTGGAGTGTCCAAACCTGAGATAAAAGAGTGTTTTATTCAAACACCAGAAATGATATGTAAAGTTAGTAAGATTACTTCCACAATCCCCCCCCGCTTACCAAGGGTCCGAGACTACCTAGGTACTCAAGACAAAGCCATTTTGTACTTGGCCCTTTTACGTGCAACCGTACTGCAAAGATATCTCGCAGTCAGTCATTCTATCGTAGCACCGATGACACAGCAAGAACGGAAAATTATGAATTTAACGATAGTTTCGAAATCCATTGGCAACTTCACGGTAGTCCACGTAGAAGCGAAGGTAACGACGTCAAAAATGAAGCTCCATCTTCTAATTCTATATCTCTCCAGGAGCTGTAATGATCGAATTTCGATTCGGCGATTGAACCGTGATTCAATAGTTCTCGAATATGGAGACGGAGCTGTTTGGCGCTGGACGATATAAGTGCCATTAACCTAAGCGGACCAATCGATTGGACCCATACTTGAGCTTGGTAGGTTTTTGCAAGAGTTCAGAGATGTCTTGATTTCTTGATCTCCGAAGAGGTCAGACTATTTAATATGCCATGTTATGTCAACTACATTAATTAGTATCATGTCCAGACTACCACTTATTTAGTGATCGAGGATTGCTTTGGTGCTTCATCGTGCTTCAATGAAGCTACGAAGTCGGGGGGCTGGCGGAGTGTTTGATTGGGATTTGGTATTACTGTACCGGCAAATGGGTTGTGCTCGGCAGATCACCAAAGCCGTTCGAAGCGAGACATGGTCTCCCCCCCTTTTCTCCAATGTGCCGTCGCTCGGAACCTCAAGTACTTCATGTTGTGCACACACCATTTTATACATCTAGCCACGATTTCACCATCCTCAAAGCAAGCTCAAAGCATTATCATACAGCATATCAGACCAATAAATCACCGGTCATCACGGGAGAGCGACCGGGATCTAATGCAATGGAACATAAAATAGCCAATAGGCACGAATTCGACAGCGTCCCCGCATGCGGAGGCTCGATATTCGACAGTTGAAAGATATTGCAGCCATTCAGAGGAGACTGATAACTCTTGGATTTTGTGATCTCACTGCAGCTTAAGGTAGGTGAGCTTTACTTTTTATTTGGTTCCGTCCCTTTAATAAGCAATGGCATTCAATAAATATCTTATTTCCTCCTGGTATTCATCCAAAACCCTTAAAGCTTTCAGACTCGGAATTTTAGGTCCGTGAAGTTTCATAGCCTCATAATGCACTGCCTAGCTTTCATCATTATTGCGAGCTGCTGTGGCATTCTAGGCGATGCGAGACGATTACCATCAAGTGCTTTTGGCGTTCCAGGAGTCAATGGGACATATGACTACGTCGGTAAGTTTCTCGAGGCGTGAGCCGATCTTTCTAACAAACCATAGTGATTGGAGGAGGTACCGCTGGCTTGACGATTGCTGCAAGATTGAGTGAGACTGCATCTGTAGCTGTTATCGAAGCTGGCGGATTTTACGACACCGATAATGGGAACTTCAGCGTCGTACCATTCAACAGCTTACTCGCAGGATTCATTGGCAGCGCTCTGAACTATCCTCGACAACCACTGGTTGATTGGGATTTAATAACTGCGCCTCAAGCAATCTATGGTAACAAGCCAATCCACTATGCTCAAGGCAAAACACTGGGTGGATCTTCCGCTATCAACACGATGGGATATCATCGTGGTTCGAGAGGTTCGTACCAACGATGGGCGGATATAGTGGGTGATCAAAGTTATGCTTTTGATAATTTGTTGCCTCATTTCCAGAGATCTTGCAATTTCACGCCGCCAGATCTTGTGAAACGGAATCGTTCTGATGCCGTACCAGCTTATGATCCGACGGCGTTTAGCCCTTCTGGAGGGCCGCTTCACGTGTCGTATGTGAAATGGGTTGATCCGACTGTAGTAGCTATGTCAGGGGCTTTGGATCAGCTAGGACTTTCTGTTAGTCCCACGGGATTCAATAGCGGAATTTTGTCTGGGTACAGAGGGTTTGCAACTTCAACTATTGACCCAACTGACGGTACACGCTCGTCTTCGTATGCCAGCTTCTTGAAGCAAGCGCTTCAACGTACAGAAATAATTGTGTATCCACACGCTCAAGCTCTGAAGATTAACTTTAACAGTTATAAGAAGGCAACCGGTGTTGTAGTGTCTACCCAAGGGTTAGAGTGGACGATCTCAGCCAGGAAAGAGGTCATTGTCTCTGCCGGAGTCTTTCACTCTCCTCAACTATTGATGGTATCAGGTAAGTAGAAAAATGCTCGCACACATCCACGTTCTGACAAAACCCTAGGCATCGGTCCGGCAGCCGTCTTACAATCCCACAACATCCCGGTTATCTCAGACCTTCCAGGCGTAGGAGAAAACCTCTGGGATCCCGTATTCTTCATCACAACCACCCCCGTCAACACGTCTAGCGGTTCAGCTCTCCTCTTCGGTCCACAAGCCGCCAAAGTATTAGAAGAATACCTCGAAGACGGCAGTGGTCCATGGGGAGCAGCAGGCGGCCACTTCTCGTTCGAAAGAATCCCAGCCCATCTCCGCTCAAATTTCACAAATAGCACCGCGCAAGCACTGTCTTGGTTCCCGTCAGACTGGCCAGAAATCGAATATGGTATTGCTCCTTCACCAGGGGCCAACGGTACGATGTTTGGCGCATTCGGCGCTACGATCGTTGCACCTCTTTCTCGCGGGAGCGTCTCTATTAGTTCCTCGAGCATGTTAGATCAGCCTGTTATTGATCTAAATCGTCTTTCTCATCCCGCGGATTTAGCGGTTCTTGTTGCAGCTTTCAAACGCAGTCGAGAATTCTGGAAGACTCCCGCTGCTCGAGCTATCAAAACCGGTCCTGAAGCCTCACCGGGAGAAGTCATCCAGACGGATGCCCAAATCGAGGAGTACATAAAAGGGAACTTATTTGGTATATACCATGCTAGTTCAACTTGTAGTATGGGAAGAAGAAACGATACGAAAGCTGTTCTAGACAGTAAAGCAAGAGTGTATGGTGTGAAAGGGCTGAGAGTTGTGGATAATAGTGCGGTTCCTTTTGCAGTGCCGGGACATCCACAAGCTACGGTCTATATGCTTGCGGAGAAGATTGCGGATGCAATTTTGAAGGAGAAGGAAGCCTGAGAATGCTTCTCGATGTTTGATATGGTGAGCAGTTGCAATCGAAGGTGAACGAAAGTCTGTGTCGCAATTACTTTTGCAGGCATACTCCGAGCCTTTCATGCCTTCTAGTCAGCTACCCAGTTCCAGTGCTGTGGCCGGTCTGTTTAATACATAAAAGCGATAAGTGAATTAAGAACGAACCCCTACTAAAGGGTTCAGATCCCGTCAACAGACCTTTTAGATATACCATCAATCGTGATCTCCGCTAAAGTAAGCGACACTTTCTCTTATCATCCACTTGTTTAACCATTCGTAGTCCTCCATCAATCCATCAGGTAGATGATAGAGTACGCACCCGACAAAGTACGTATCCGATCTCGAGTAGGTACCTATCTGTAGTACTTACCTTATAGGTAGGTAAGAGGTAACAAATCCGAGATAATGGCTCGCATAAGTGGGGGCCTAGATTAAAGGTAATGGTAACACAAGAGTGGATGATAAGTAGACCCTTTCATATCCCGCTTTACCAGATCATAGCAGGCAATAACAGCTTGTTAAATACAAGCCTTCGGCAAGCATTCTGTTAGTTTGTTGGTACTTACGTGAAGGGTGTAAGCTTCTAGAAACTCAACCTCACATATACGTTCGGACCAAATCAATTCAAATCAAGATTCGAGAACTTCATCATGGCAACTCAAAACGAGTCACTCATCGTCCCCTCCTGGATAAACGGCAAAGAAGAAATCTCATCCTCAACCTACCCCATCACCTCACCCTCCACCAACAAAGTAGTCTGGCACTCATCCCTTACCACACCCACCACCATCCTCCCCGTAATCGAATCCTCGCAATCAGCGTTTCTCACCTGGTCACTCACCAAACCGACATATCGTCGTGATATCTTACTAAAAGCAGCTTCGATTTTAGAAGAACGGACCGAAGAATATGCGCCTTACATGGGCACCGAGATGGGTGCTGAGGTCGGAATTTCCCACTTTTTTGCAATGCCTTTGGCGATTCAGATGCTGAAGGACATCGCTGGGAGGATTACTAGCATTTGTGGGAGCGTGCCTGCTTGTGCGGCTGAGGGGATGAGTGCGATGGTTTGGAAAGAGCCGTATGGTGTTGCGTTAGGAATCGTGCCTTGGTGAGATTTCAACATCAAAGTGTGAATTCAAAAGAATATACTAAGTGCATACCAGGAATGCTCCATTCGTTTTTGGAGTCAGATCAGCTGCTACTGCTATAGCAACTGGAAATACCTGCATTCTCAAAGCATCTGAGGTAACACCTCGTTCTTACTGGGCTATTGGCAAGGCTTTTCATGATGCAGGACTTCCTGCTGGTGTATTGAACATCATTTCTTGCCCTGCTACGGATGCTGCTGCTGTAACAAAGGTGCTCATTGAGCATCCTGATGTCAAACACGTTGACTTTACAGGCAGTGCAAAAGTAGGTCGTCTAATTTCTAAAGCTTGTGGGGAGAATCTCAAACCGTGTGTGATGGAATTGGGAGGGAAGAACAGCGCAATAGTCTTACAGGATGCAAATATTGAAACAGCAGTCGCAGAATGCATTGCTGGTTCGTTCGCAAATGTAAGCCAAACCCCTCCTGCTCTTGCTTTAGCTCGCTAACGTCGCAACAGTCCGGACAGATATGCATGTCAACAGACCTCATCATTCTGCATGCTTCAATTGCCACTAGTTTCCTAGAGACGTTGAAAACGGCACTTTCAAACTCAAGCTCTGCTAATGTTCCAACGCTTGTTTCTGTATCTTCAAAAGAACGGGCCCAAAAACTCGTTAAGGATGCCTTATCTAATGATGGACAATTGTTCTTCGGAGCTCAACCCGAGAGCGGGCCTCCAGGGGCATCATTTGTGCCTTCTATTCTTGGAAATGTGGGCAAAAATGCCCAATTTTGGAAGGAAGAGTCATTTGCCCCTATGGCTGGATATGTCATCGTGGAGAGCGAAGAGGAAGCAATTGCTATAGCCAACAAGTCCGAATATGGCTTATCTGCAGCTATATTTACCGAAGATCTTAGACGCGCTTTTGCGATAGCTAAGAAGATCCACTCTGGGTAAGTCGTTTTACTCTTCCTCCCAGGACGTTGCTAACATGGCTACCAAAAAAAGCGCTGTGCATATCAACACTATGACGGTGCTTGATGATCCTGTCCTGCCATTTGGTGGAGTGAAAGCCAGCGGGTGGGGCCGCTTTAATTCGGAGGAGGGAATGAATCAGTTTTTGGTGACAAAGACCGTGACTTGGAAGGACTAGCTTCAGAAGATATGCAGATACTAGAAAAGGTTGCAGAGAGATCCAGATCAACATAAATGCTGCCACGAAGAATCGGACTGGCGAAATTGGAACTGCATAGGCTTGAAGACCAGGCTGCGGAGAATTCGTTCGTCTTATGTTGGTAGGATTTTAATCTCACCGTCTCGTGGGTTGAGTTTACAAGACTCGGGCGGTATTCCGTTAGGACATAGAGTACCATCGATATAAAGCTCTCCTCCAAACATCGTATGCAGTTCCTGAAGGAGGTCCGCTGTGTCACTGCGATCCAACAACATCTCCCTTAACCAACGCTGCTTTCCCCAGTGAGAGAAATGCGGCCAGCTAGTTTTCAATATCAAAGAATTACCGCTGCTAGAACCACGTCCAAACAATCTGCCATCAACAAAGTCTCCATTACACATCAAGTCCAACGCTTCTTCGTATTCTTTGAGGCCCCGTGGACGATCATTAATGGCGATCAAAGTTATTGATTTCACTATTCCTTTCCTCGGGGAGGCAGCGATTGCTCTCAGACCACTGCACATCCACTCAAGCTCATCCCGATCCAGTAGCTCCAGCGTAATCTCGATATGTTGTAGCTGGTGCAAACCTTTGATGCCAATGCAATCTATAAAGAACGCGAGGCGCGCGAACAACTCAGTTTCTTCCCGAAGTCGCAAGCCATTGTGGAGCCATATAATCTCTTTACACTCTTTCTGTATCTGTTTACAGGTTCGTAAAATGGACATCGATTTCGTCACTTCGATACTCCATGGCGAGAGAGTGACAGCGTTCGAGGAGGAGGCGAGAATATCGGTATAGATTTTGTCGCGCAACTCGCGAGGTAGATCAAGGAAAGCGAAGAGCTTTGGAGGCTTCACAGGAGCTGGTACACTGTAGCGTATCTTCCTTTTGAAGACTTTGGGGTTTTGAAAAGACATCTTTGAACATGTGGATTTCTTTGCTGGTGATGTAGGCAAGGATGTTGGTAGTGGATGACTCGGCCATGCGAGAAATCACTTTACGCGACCATAGCGCGTCGCGTAAACACGCGACTCCCCAACCTCCCTTGGACAAAATATGTAAAGACATCTGCAACTCAATATACTTGTGAAAACACCTTTTACTTAGAAAGCTCGATCATTGAACATTGTTTCCATAGCAATTCATACTTTTCAATATGCCTACCGCAATCAAGAGAAGGAAGGTCGCATCCGCCTCATACAAAGCCGCATCCCTTGTAAACAAGACAGGAGGCATTGCTGCGTTCACGAAAGTCTCAAAAAGTAATACCGTTATCGAAAAAGATCTTACCGGAAAACCCAAGAAACTCCCTGTTATCTCAATTACCCAGATTGACCAAGAATCACCGGTCCTTGGGAGGAAGCGAAAGGCTATCGAGATCGAGGAGGAAAGCGAACAAGAAGCATTACACATAACGTACTCTGCAGGAAAGACTTATGAAAGGGAACCACTCCCACCTACGCAGATCACACCTCAGACTATCCCTCAAACTCCACGAAAGCCGTTGCTTAGCAGCAAAGTACATTCAGTCGACACGCCAACCAAGGGAGCTCGGGGACTTCTCGACCGACTCCTACTCACATCCAATACACCCACTCGATCATCCTCAAATCCAAAATCAGATAGCACACCTCTTCTCGATCTTAACACTCCTCCGTCCTCCCAAGACAGCACAAACAAATTACCAAGCGAGTTACTGGACCTGATAAATTTACACGCAGCATTCCTCACCGCATTATCCCTACACTATGCTCATAATGGAACCAATTCTCCTGCAGACTTACGCATGCTTTGCCCAAACGTGGCCCGAGCATGGGGGAAGCGTAGCGTTACACCCGAAGATATCCAACGAACACTTGGTATTCTGAATAGCCATAACTCTCAAAAACGAAGCGACAATCGCGTAGCACATCTTACACTTTCAGATTATGGGCACGGAAAAATATGCATAGAGATCAGCATTACTGGAAACAAGGCGGGCAGGATAGCTCGGCCTGTTAACGAGAACTTGATGAACGAAATCTTTGTGAAGGAATTGGAAGGATTATGGGAGCAGAAATCTGCGACCGATCTCGAAGCGAAACAATTTATCTCAACGCTCCCTATGGAACCTATCACAACATGCTCTTCGCTCATAAAGGGCGCTGCGGTAATTGCCAAAGGACAACGAAGACTGGAGGAATTTAAAGTTGGAATTACAATCAAGAAGGAGGAAGAGAAAGTAAAAAAAGAGGAGGCAGAAACATTATATCAAGCAGGCGCAAAACCAACACTTCTCGAGCGCCTGAGAGCGAAGCAATTGGAGAAGATCAATGCTCCACCACCACCTACAAAGGAAGAGCTGGCTCGAAAAGTTGCAATGCAGAAAATTGAGGAAGTTGCAGCGGTGCTAAGCATTCTCAGCACCTCGAGCTCGGTTGGACAACAGCGAATATCTTTCACCCTACCAACTATATGGGGAAAGTTGCGAGACTCGTTGAAAACGCCCATCTCGAAGTCGGAGGGAGAAGTTTGTATCCGATTGCTGGCAACGGAGATCGCGCCTGCGTGGGTGAAGCTTGTGAAGCTGGGCAAGGTGGAAGCCCTTGTAGTTAATCGAGATGAGAGGCCTACTGAGGCCAGCATTTTGGAGAGAATCAAGCAAGCTGCTTGATGTGTTATACCCTTATGACTGATTCGGATTGGATTGGCGCATTGTTGGATACCCCTCTGGCACAGAACCAGATAAAACTGTACTGCAAAAGTAGATAGAGAGAATAAAGTGATGAATTGCACCTGTTCTTCTAATCATGCCGAGTCTCATTCGACTTCTATCATAACGCTGTGAACGTAGCTTCATAAGCTATTGATTTTCATGACCGCACGACACCGCCGCCTAAAATACCCATCACCACAACTCTACTTCTTCTTAGGACCAAATCGCGGAGCCCCAATATCACTTCCCCTCAGCTTAATACCCAAAACTCTCTCCATCGCCCCCAAAATCTTCTGATCAGGCGTCGCCGTTCCTCTCTCGAAATCCGCCACGATACTCTGTGTTGTGTTGCACTTAGTCGCCAAATCCTTCTGTGTCATCTTTGGCTCCATCTTCTGTCTCTGGTCTGAGATCACCGAGCCGACCTCCTTGCCTACGGTGTTGGGCTTCACGATGTCATCGCTTCGGTCGACCTTTGTGAGATGTTGGCCTTCGACGCCGGGTTTGGATGCCTGTGATTGTTAGACGGAGGGTAAGCAAAAGTGAGGGGGAAAAGAGACATACGGAGTTTCCAGCGCCGAATTTCTTCTCAGTGCCGATTACGGCTCCGCTGCGCTGGGCGGCGTTGAGTGCTGATTTCCCACGCACGACCGTCTCGCGAGATGTGGCGCCGCCGCGGGATTTGCTTCCAATCTTGGTGACGGAGTCCCAGTCGTCCATGATGAGTGATTTATGTGTTGGGGATTGGAGGTAGGAGGTGGTGTTTGGAATGGAGAGAGAGTATTTGTGTGGGAGTTGTGAGAATGTGGGTTGGTTCGTTGATTGATGTTGTGGTGACGGCGAGGGGTCATGGAATTTAAGAGTCGGTGGTAAGGCTGTGGGAGGCGGCGATTGTTGGCCGAATGAATCATTGGCGCCTGAGGCCGATATGGAAGGATCTGGAGGGGATGAGTTAGTAAGTGTCAATTTGACTAAAAGAGTACTCCAAAGTAGACATTTTACATTCACTTTTCGACATACAGCTTTCTCTTCATTGGGGTTTTGATATTAAGTATTCGAATCCCCAACTAAATGTTTTCATCTGAATCATTGACCGCATAAGACCCTTGAATTTCTACTTTTGTAGACTCTCGGTAGTTGAACTATGTGGAATGCCCATCAGTCTCCTAGAATCTATTCCATGTATACCCCAGATTATGCAAATACCAACATCATTATTAACTTATACTAACCCCCCCCCCCTTTGAGAAATGTATAGATCTCGTGCCTCACCAGAAACAAGAGTTACATGAACTCACCGCCTTATCTGCTCTCGCCAATCAATCCTCATACATCGGGTCTAAGCTCATGATCCTGCACGATCCAATTACGCACAGGGATGACAATGTATGGAACGCGAATAGAAAATAGTTCTCTTGCATCACCTGTCAGAGTCCGACGACTTGTTCACCTCCATTCCGGTCGGCGCGATCTCCTTCCCTTTCCCCTCCACCCCACCTTCCTTTTCCTATACCTATGCGGCCCTTTCTTCGTTCCAACAATGGGCTCAATCCCTCCATTTTTAGAGGCAGCAGCTTGAGTCGTACATCACTCACTTTCATTCGCCCCACGACATCGCCAAATTCTCTGCCATTAATTCAAAGAGCTTTCACAACTCCAGCTGCGCAGTGTACTACCAGTGTCAATTCACTACACAAGTTTGGGTATGTAATCAGACAGTCTTCGCTTCGAATGTCATCTGCAAACCGCACATCACATATGTTGGTTGGCGCATCAATCCTCATTCTCGCTTTATGTGCCTTAGTCTTTTCAAGCCACCTGCTTACTCTAAACATCAGTTCTCGGCCTGACCTGCTCTCGTCTCGTTTCTCGACTTTCAGACATACACCTTCGATAGCATCCTCGGTTCGACATTGCTCTTATAGACGGAACAATATGTGCAAAATCCATGGCGGACAAGATGTAGCAGCTGCTGGGCTGGACGTAACCCATGGAAGAGAAATCTTGCCTGGAAATGTCATTCCCAGACACTACGATATTACGTTGGAACCCGATTTCAAGACCTTGACATACAACGGAACGATTCTGATTGATTTGGATGTGGTTGAGGATTCTACTTCGATTTCGGTAAACACTTTGGAGCTTGAAATCCACACTACGAAGATCAGCTCGGGAACAGAAACCATCAGGTAAAAAGTCTTGTTCTCTGCAGGTCTCTAGTATTGAAACTGATCTCTTCGTAGCTCTAACCCAACATTGGCATTCGATGAGGCGAATCAAACAACCAAAATCACCTTCGAGAAGAGTCTGTCCAAAGGATCCAAAGCGCAGATGTATATGAAGTTTACGGGGCAGCTTAATGACAAGATGGCTGGTTTCTACCGCTCTACATACAAAAATGCTGATGGCAGCGAGAGCATCCTGGCGACAACTCAGATGGAAGCCACAGACGCCCGCCGAGCTTTCCCGTGTTTCGATGAACCAGCGCTAAAGGCAGAGTTCACAATCACTTTGATCGCCGACAAACACCTTACCTGCCTGAGCAACATGGATGTAGCTTCTACCACTGGGGTTGTGTCTGAAATGACCAACAGTCTGAAGAACTCTGTCAAATTCAATCGATCACCTAAAATGTCTACATATTTGGTTGCCTTCATTGTTGGAGAGCTCAATTATATCGAGACCAAAGAATTCAGAGTCCCAGTCCGAGTTTATGCACCACCAAATCAAGACATCGAGCACGGTCGATTCTCGCTTGAGCTTGCTGCCAAGACCCTGGCCTTTTACGAGAAAACATTCGACAGCGAATTCCCTCTTCCAAAGATGGATATGGTTGCCATTCCAGATTTCGCGGCCGGTGCTATGGAGAACTGGGGTCTGATTACCTACCGTGTTGTAGATGTCCTTTTCGATGAGAAGACGAGTGGCGCATCTACAAAGGAGCGAGTTGCAGAGGTCGTACAGCATGAGCTGGCTCATCAATGGTTTGGTAACTTGGTTACCATGGACTTCTGGGATGGATTATGGCTCAACGAGGGCTTCGCAACATGGATGTCCTGGTATTCTTGCAATATCTTCTACCCAGAGTGGAAGGTGTGGCAGAGTTATGTAACGGATACTCTTCAAGGTGCTCTTTCTCTTGACTCTCTACGCAGCAGTCACCCAATCGAGGTTCCTGTAAAGAGAGCAGATGAGGTAAACCAGATCTTCGATGCCATCTCATACTCCAAGGGTTCTTGTGTGCTTCGTATGATTTCGAAACATCTCGGCGAAGACGTCTTTATGGAGGGCATTCGCCGATATCTCAAGAAGCATGCTTATGGAAATACTCAAACCGTCGATTTGTGGGCTGCTCTTAGTGATGCTAGTGGCAAGGATCTGAAGGAGACCATGGATATCTGGACGAAGCACATTGGCTACCCAGTCCTTACCGTTACCGAAAATGAGGGTGATAACACCGTTCACGTCAAGCAAAACCGTTTCCTCCGAACGGCAGACGTCAAGCCGGAGGAAGATAAGGTTATTTACCCGGTCTTCTTGGGAATGCGAACCAAAGACGGCATCAACGAAGATATCGTCCTAGACAAGCGGGAAGATTCTTTCCCAGTCAAGGATTTGGATTTCTTCAAGCTCAACGCTGATCACAGCGGTATATACAGAACTTCATACACCCCAGCACGTCTCGAGAAGCTCGGAAAAGCTGCGAAAGACGGACTGTTGAGTGTCGAAGATAGAGCTGGAATGATTGCAGACGCAGGCGCTCTTGCAGCATCTGGTTACCAGAAGACATCTGGTGTTTTGAATCTTTTGAAGGGATTTGATAGTGAGAAAGAGTTTGTCGTTTGGAACGAGATTATCTCTAGACTTGGGGCTGTTCAAGGTGCCTGGATGTTTGAGGATAAAAAGGTCAGAGATGGATTAGAGTCTTTCCAGCGGGATCTCGTGAGCGAAAAGTCACACAAAGCTGGCTGGGAGTTCAAAGACACGGATGATCACATCGAGCAACAATTCAAGGGTATGCTGTTCGGTAGTGCCGGTATGTCTGGCGATGAGACATGTAAGAAGGCTGCCAAGGAGATGTTTGCGAAGTTTGCGGCTGGTGATAAGTCTGCAATTCATCCAAATATTAGAGGTAGTGTTTTCGGTATGGCTTTGAAATATGGTGGCAAGGAGGAGGTAAGAAAGTTTTCCAGAAATTCGGGTTGTTATTCTAACATAATGTAGTACGACACCATTCTCGCCACCTACCGCGAGTCCAAGAACGCCGACGAGCGTAATACTGCACTCCGTTCTCTCGGTCGCGCTAAAGATCCCGAGCTGATCAAGCGCACCATTGCTCTCCCATTCAGCGGTGAGGTCAAGGAACAAGATGTCTACCTTCCAATCAGCGCTCTTCGCACTCACCCAGAAGGTATCGAAGCCCTGTTCTCTTGGATGACTGAGAACTTCGAAGTTTTACAGCAGAAGTTCCCGGCCGGATTGTCCATGCTTGGCTCAATTGTGTCGATCTGTACCTCTAGCTTCACTTCCCAGAAAGATCTGGACAGAGTTCATAAGTTCTTTGAGGGTAAGAGTACAAAGGGTTTCGATCAGAGTCTAGCTCAGAGCTCTGATGCTATTCGTGCGAAGGCGGCATGGCTAGAGCGTGATAGAAAGGATGTGGCTGATTGGGTGGCTAACTACCAGGGGAAGGGAGTTAAGAGTGAGCTGTAGATCTGAACAGAGCGCATTGTAGATGGTTATCGAGTAGAATCTAGAAATCACCACTATAAATACACACATGAGTTCTCCTCGCAATAAGTTCAGTTTTTGCTGTTCTTATCTATATTAATCCCCTCAAGAATTTCCCTTCTCATTCCTCATGCAGGAGGTGCTAATGCCACTCATAATTAGTGAAGCTCATTTCGTAGATGGACAGTCGAATTCAAACACGTCCCCGCTAACAAGTACGTAGAGATCTTGGCTGGGTCGCCTGGTAGATGAAGCAACTGACTTGTGTGGGCGAGAAGACGGGCTGAAATGAGAGTAACACGAACTGGGAGGGAGCATTGAGAGGCAAGTCTCCGATTTCAAATTTACTGCAAAATCACAAAGCTGGACTTGAGGTTTGAAAGTACGTTGGGCTTCTTAAAGCCGTGTTTAGGGAGAAAATGAAGGTTGTGGTCAGGTTCGGAGGTTCGACTTCACCTTTGAATTTCTTCACTTCGCAATGTTGTGACACTCTTTCTTCATAACAAACTTCAGCGGCAATCATTGAGATAGATTCCGGATACATTGTGATGTCTTCCAAGTCAGGGAGTTAAATCTTGAGTACTTCTTTCGAATTTCACAAGGGTTACGTCTCACCAGGATCTTCGACACAGCGTTGAGTTCTTTCACTGTCCGCGGAGTTCGCGTTCCTTGAGAGAAATCCAGGGAAGACGTATTGAGGGGCGGGCATCGATAGGGAGGTTTTCTCTGAGAGAAGAATACGACGGGATAGGGATTTGAAATTCAAGTCACTCGCATTCTGGATGCACTCGCGGTATATTTATCACACCACCACATATCAACACACGTCAACATTCAACACTACTAGAATTATTTCATCACCTCTCCATCAACTCACCATGGTAAGCCCATCTCCCCATCTCCCCATCTCCCTCACCTCTCCCCACCCCCTCCAATCACTAACATCCCTTCCACAGCCCCCCAAAATCCTCCCCCCAGCAGCCAAACAATCCAAAATCCTCGACTTCTTCCGCACCACCACATCCGTCTACACCCTCCGCGAGCTCGAAAAATGTCTCCCAGGCGTCGCTGGCATCAACGGTATGCAAGTGAAGGAATACCTGCAAGCGTTGTCCGATGAGAATCTGATCCGCGTGGAGAAGATTGGGAGCGGAAATTGGTATTGGTGTTTTGTGAGTGAGGAGAGGAAACGACGGGAGGGTGTGTTGAAGGGGTTGAAAAATGAGAAGGGGGGTCTGGAGGAGAGGATTGTGGCATTGGAGGGGGAGGTTGAGGTTGAGGAGGGGAGGAGGGGGGTTGATGGGGAAAGGAAGGAGTTACTTGAGAGGTATAGGGTGCTGGTGGAGGAGAAAGAGGGGCTGGATGGGGAGTTGAAGGGTTTTGGGGGGTGTGATCCGGGGGAGATGAGGAGGATGGAGAGGGAGATTGTGAGGATGAGGGAGGAGACGGGGAGGTGGACGGATAATGTTGAGGCGTTGGAGAGTTTTATTGGGGGGCTTACGGGGGATAGGGGGGCGACGCAGGAGTTGATGGAGAGGTGTTGTGGGGAGGAGTATGTGGTTGGGGAGGGGTTGAGGGAGTTGGGTTTTGAGGGTTGATGTTGAGATGGTGTGGTGTGGTTAATTGTGATGGGTGACGGATTTGTTGCTGTGCTGTGCTGACTGGCGGAGGGTTGCTGACGATTACTGGATGTTCAAGGAACCAGATCAAGAGTTTATGATAAGAACTGGCTGATTGATTTCATGTAATAGCTTCGAAGGTTTTGCCGAATCAAGAACAGTGGTACTGTTTCTGAATAGCTACTCCATTGAGAGTCTGCTTGAACCTCAAAAGTAACTGATGGAAATGAACAAAGATAGATTAGATCCTATAATTCATACTACCTTCCCTACTTGGATGCTTTTACAAGTACTAGTATAACTACTATCAGATACTTCATATACTTCATATACTTCATACATCTCGTCAATTAAGGACCAACTCTATAAACCCGAGCTCATCCGCAAAGTACATCTCACACGCCACTGACTTACCACTAATCGTGATTCTAATTATACCTCGAACTTCTATCCACAAAATCCCATCCGATCAGTAATCAGGTTCTCTACAGAGTAGTAACCTTCAAGCTCCATTCCCTAGAAAAACTTTCATAGTAATCTCCCGTGAAACATAAACAAATCACATCCTCGTATGCACCACCCCAAGAAAAGATTTGCTTTTGTGTCACCACCGATGCACTCGCGTGACGCCACGTCAGTCAAGCTTTTCTCAGCTGGCGGGTGAGAAAGGCTTCTTTTGGCCCCTTGTGAGGGATAATGAGGGGACGGAGTGTACGGAGTATGTTTGGTGGTAATCTTGCGTGGAAGTAAACATCATGCCGACTCCGTTTGGTGCGTGTGGTGACAGTTGCTGACGGATAGTTCGGGTTATGAGGAATTGGAATTGTGATGTTGTTATTTCTGTCGTGAAGATTTGAAGCCCACAGGTCTATGCGTGTACAACGAGTCAGTAAACAACTCTATCCCCAATCCTTGAATCAACCGTCGTCAATCCCCAGATTCCAAATCATTAGGCTCGTTAGATCCAACTCCTCCACAAAAAGCTAGAGAGAAGAGGAAATTGACCATAATTTCATAAATGTGAGTGTTGATGTTGCTCCACACTGTATCCGGCCGTCAAGACAAACCCGTCTGGCTCAGCCACGATGTATTGCGCATTCAATGATATGACACCCAATTGTGATGGTTCTGGCAGGCGAATGTTTTCTGCAGGAAGGTTACTCTGCGACCGGAGAAGGAATGGTTTCAGTCCGTGTTTGTTGATATAATACGACGGCGTTATTATCATTTCTGTAATAATCTTACTCGTAGTTTGTCGTATTTTTTGTTCTCGTACGATAATATTCTCCACTTGTGTATCGTGTAATGCGACGGATTCGATACGCGCTCTGACGGTCAGAAGTGAGGTGAGCGAGCAAGCTGGAGCTTCATCGTGTTAGCTCCCGGGTCGAGGCTCGAAGCGCTGGTCCAGATCGATGCGGTAGAACGTGGTTACTCGAGTAGCTGAGAGGATCATAGAGAGATCTCGACTCTACCGCTTTTGCTCTAAGGCTACATACGACTTCTATGCTGGTTAGTCAATCTTACGATCTAGTATCTACACTCATCATCATCCATCTCATCTCCATCCATCTCTATCCCTCTATCTAGGGTCCAATAGTCCTTCCCCGCCCACTCCTCACCATCCGCTGCCCATCCAGCCCATGACCCCTCCCCCTAGAAACCCCCCCAAGCATCAACGCTCCAAATGGTGTGACGGATCGACCGCTCTGAACTCCGACTGACCTCTGCAGCAGCCTCCAATGCCCTTCGCCTCGACCGCCGTCCTGCGCTCCTCCTGCCTGCCAATTCTTCACATCCAATTATTCCCCCGGATCAACTCCTCGTCTCTGCTGACTGCCCTGCTCCCATGCTGGGCGCCTTTAACCTTACTCTCCGTACTCGTTCCACTCGTTCCACCAAGTCTTGGTCCCGTCACGAAAAAGGTGTTCGTTCTCTCGACGTACGACCGCTGCCAAAGTATCCGGATTTACTTGGCATCACGAATATCCTCTTGGCAAGCAAACATCTCGACGAACTGATCAGAGCATGTGCGCATATGCCACTCCAGCGTCCTCGACATCGACGCCCGTGGTATCGACTCGCCGGTCGCTTTTGGCGCGATTGACGTCGCCGTTGAAGAGTCGGACGAGGAACCTCACAGATTTTCACATCCGCGCCGACGAGCCACATCGTCAGTATTCGCCGGGAGATGTGGTGACGGGCGCCGTCGTCCTGACGATTGTTAAACCTGTTCGAATCACGCACATCACCGTCCGACTCCATGGAACGGTGCGAGTTTTCAAGAATCCAAACGATGCCAACGAGCCGGTAGTCGTGGATGCCGAATTGGCGGCCGCGGGCGACCCCAGAAAGACACAATACTTTGGAAATGGCCATGCTTCTTTGTTCAACGATGAAGTCACCCTGTGTGGGGAGGGTCGTTTGGAGACGGGTATTTACGAGTTCAAATTCGAGTTGGAATTCCCTAGGAAGGGCCTTCCGACCAGTATTGATGTAGGTCATTCAAGATTCATGGTTGAATGCATTACTGACGCGATCAAAGTTCGAGAGGGGAACGATATCATATTTAATTACAGCTACTGTGACGCGTCCAACGTCTATCGCTGCGACGTCGAGTTGCGATCAGAAAATCAACCTTGTAGAGACTGTCGATATTGGACCCATGATGGCACCAAAACCGCGAACAATATCCCTAGAGCCCATAGCGCGACGGCCGAGAAGGAGGAAAACCGTAAAGGCCAAGGAAGGAAGTCCTCAGGAAGTGACCGATCCAAGTTCTAGCAGTGAGCAGGCACGTACGGCGAGTTCGCCGCGACCGGAAGAATCCGCAAGTCAATGTGGTTCGACGGATCACACTGCGAACCCACGAAGTCCAGCCTCAAGTGAGGTACAAAGCGTACACAGCGCAGCAACAAGTGCGGATAGTGCTGTGAGTAGCAGTACGGGTTTGAGCTTTCAACTTGGACCGGTACCACCATCAGCGCGATCAGCGAAAGGAAGCCAAACAACGAATAGCAAAGTTTCAATTGCGGAAAAGACTATTACTGCGACGATTGAATGTTTGAAAGCCGGTTGTCTACCTGGTGATAATATTCCACTGAAGATTTCCATCAAACACTGCAAAGCTATGAAAAGCATGCACGGGGTAATCATAACTCTGTACCGGCAAGGAAGAATCGACTCTGCCCCGCCATTATCTCTTTTCAAGGACATCAAGGGCAAGCAAGCGGAACGTTTGAAACATGAAGAATACTATCCGAAATCAAAAACTGGTTTAGGTGGACTGTCGCTGACATCGGCGGGGTCAAGCAGTGTATTCCGCAAAGATCTCGCTCAAACATTCGCTCCAATATTTGTTGACCCCGTTAGTCTGTCGACTGTCATCAACGCGTCAGTTCGCGTCCCTGAAGATGCTTTTACGACAATCACCGGTGTTCCCGGGCAAATGATTACGTTTAAATACTTGATTGAAGTTGTAGTGGACCTAGGAGGTAAGCTTGCTGGTCTACAGCGACATGCTCCTAGAGCAGGTGCAGTGGCAACATATGCTGGGAATTCCACAGGACCTCGAGGCGATGCTAATATGTTGGCGGCGTGGGGCTCAAATATTGTTGACACTGATCACATTCGACGAGAAAAAAGTGTTGTCTCGTGTCTCTTTGAAGTTGTGGTTGGATCGACAGACAGTGCTCGAAAGCGAGGAAGGGGGAATAGTTCGGCTCAGAGAACGGTCAATGAATGGAACGTGGAATCCCCAAAGTCACCTACCAGAGTCGACCCTATTTACGAAGAATCAGCTGGACCTCATGGTCCTGTAGAAGGGCATCAAAACAACCAAGAGCCATATCCATATCACGAACATCCTTACGATGAAGAATTTCCGGATTACTACGCAAATCCTGAATACGATTATAATCATCATCCTCATTATCCACACGAACCCCCAGCGCATTCTCAGATACATGTACCTCCACCAGAAATCCAAAATGAAGAGGGGTTAAGCGAGAAAGAAAGGGCGAGAAGAGCTGAACAACGTTTACTCCCAAGTCAACCACCAGCCGAAACCACAAACGAAGAATCTTCCTCCTCAAGAACCATCAACGGTCCTTCAGCACCTTCAGCGCCGCCTTCCCATCCTCTCGACTCCGTCGACGACATCTACGACGCCGAACCTCAACTTCCAAATTCCGCACCTAGCGCTCCTCCACCTCACGACCTCCTACCTAGTGCGCCTCCACCGGTCCTAGCTCCTTCCGCACCACCACCAGAGGACCTCACCCAATTAACCCCCTCACATCCTACAGATGATAAACAAGAGCTGGAACGCCAACGATTGCTTATTGAAGCTAGTGCGCCCGCGGACCATGTTCCTGATGATGATAATGCTGGCGAGGGCAGTAGTAGTTTGCCGCATGAACCGTCGGCGCCGGTGCTGGGCGAGGTTGATGGGGATGGGGATAGATTTGGGGGGGTCAATGGGTTTGCGGTTGGGGATGGGGCGGGTGCGAGGGGTGGGGAGATGTTGCCTAGATATGAGAGGTGAATTGAGTTTGTAATAGGAGGGGAGATTGTGGGGATGGAGAGGGTTTGAAAAGAGGATGAAGAGCGTGAGGTGTTTGAATATGCACTGCGATAGTGTTGTAAAAATCCTCTGCCGTAGTGGGGAGATTTGAATGAAATGATATCCATGAAAAGCCATTCTTCTTATTCGCCTTTTTACTTTCTACACCTTTAAACTATGCATAACATATCATCATCTCTACGCTTTCCCTTGAGAATCTAACTTCCATGTCGTCAAGATATAGTACTAACAGACTAATTAACTATATAAAAACTACCCAAAGATTTAGACACTCTACCCTCCTGCATATTTCACGAAGTAACATGTGTACATTCAAACTGGTCCCAATCATCCGTCAGTGACGTCTGAAGTGTAGCTCTCACTCTCTAGCAAACACCAATATAATTAAAGAGGGGTACGCGTTTATGAGCTTGGTGTCACAGGGATAGGAGATGAAGGTTGCGTTTCTGGGTCAGGGGGTTTTGAGGGGAAGGGTGGGAGATGGTGTGTGGGTATTTGTGAGAAGTAGAGGGCACAGTGGTGCATGTATCATCGTCTAGAGATACGGTAAGGAAACCCATGATCCTCTTATCTAATATCTCATCTCGACGTATATAAAACCGCGTTAGGATGCGAAGAAGCAAGGCGAGCGTTTTTTTAATAATAATAAAGAACTATATATTTTAGTTGGAGTTATGAGTTTAGAAATTCGTTATGTTATTTTCAGGTCTGCGATTAAAATTAATATATCAAATATCTCCGCGAATAATTCAAAAAATATATATATATATATATATCTTAAAAACTATGTTAACAATATCAGGAAAAGTGTCGTTTTTCTCGGGAACCAATGAAATACCACTCCATGTATCGCAGAATAGTGCGGTTCCAGATTAGCCTTTATAGACATTAATTTTCACATCTAGAACGTTCAACACTCAGATTCTACCATATCCAAATCCAACTCAACCCGTCTTCATCTCACCACGAAAACCCTAACCACCAAACCCATCACAAATAATTGAAGTACACCGTTTCATCTCATCGCACAACGCCCAAACTCACCTATAGTACTAACAATTCCATCCACCTAAGACCGGCTCTCCGTCTGTTCCCTCGGCTGATAAGTATAGATGCCTTTGTCATGATATAGATTTAACTCGATTTTGCATTCCCTGCCGAGTAGACGATATGTCGTTTTAAATGAAGTGTCGTTTATCCTCGCTATTATCTTCGGCATAAGTGCTACTTATCCTCGATGCCTGACCATAATGTTGCTCTGATTTAAATGATACGCCATCCTACGCTTTGGTTTGATTTTTCATCTCCTTGGGATCTATACCATGACAGACATATGTAATCTCACAAGAAACAACGGACTCGATCAGTGACGTGAGTGTTTGAAAACAATCTTTCTAATTTTCTCTAATCCCGACTTTCTCTTTTATTTACAACTAAAGTCCCTTCCTGCCCACCCCACCAAATCATCTCAGTTCTAAAGGTATCGTGCTTGAACTTCTTCCATCCCTTTAATCTAGTAGAAGCAAATATAGATATAATCTCGCACGCGTCAGAAAAACAACCTCACACCACACCATGTTGTGTGGAAAACTCCAGGTACACCGTTCAAAAAACACATGCAATGCCAAACCACCAAAGAAAAATGCACCACTAGTTGAAAACACGTCGCTCCATCAGGCTCTAGGCCTTGATCTTCAGAGGCTTGGTACCAAGTCCGTTTCTGTTGCGGAAGAAATAGACATTCTTTCCCTCACCAACAGCACCCTCAGATGGCTCAACCCATTGACACCATCTAGCGCTGGTCCACATGCTCTTTAAGAAACCAAGGGAACCACCTTCGACGTTGGATCGGTAATGAATGCCCATGACTGGCTTGATGGCCTCGGTTGCTTCGTCGGCGTGGTAGAATGGGATGGTGCTGACGTAGTGGTGGAGGACATGAGTCTCGATGATACCGTGGAGGAGGGTTCGGCCAATGAAACCAAATTCACGATCGATGGTTGCAGCGGCACCACGGACGTAGTTCCATGAGGAGCCGGAGTAATGGGGGAGGGAGCCGTCAGTGTGTTGGAGATAGGTGATTGCAACTGAAGATGAAATTAGCATGTGACATTCAGGATTTGGGTGAGGTACATACCGAGCCAGTGGTTTACCCAGAGATAAGGGATAAAGTACCACACAAGCATGTTTTGGAATCCAAAGCTTTGGCAAAGTTTGTAGAGAACAAATGCAGTGATGGCAATACCGAGATCACTCAACAAAATGAGCTTGGCATCCTTAGCCTCATAAAGAGGACTGGCTGGGTTGAAATGGTTGACTCCAGTAGTGTAGCCATTAACTTTTCCTTTTCCACGGCCCTCGTGTTGCTTTTCGTGGTTGTTGTGCCCAGTGACGTTGGCAAGGAGGTACATTGGCCAACCGAGAAGTTGTTGGCCCAAAGAGTGGAGGACAGTAGCAATTGGGGTTTCCTCGGTCAACTCATCAATCTCGTGAACGAGCTTTCCAATACGGCTTGCGTAGTGTTCGCGAGTCTTTGGGACGAAAACCATGTCACGCTCCATGTTTCCAGTCGCCTTGTGGTGCTTTCCGTGGGAAATCTTCCAAGAAAAGTAAGGAACAAGAAGAGCAGAGTGGCAAATCCAACCTGTTGTGTCGTTCAGGACCTTGGATGGAGAGAAAGATTGGTGACCACATTCGTGAGCGAGAACCCAGAGTCCAGTAGCAAAGAAACCTTGCAAGATGGTGTATAGAGCCCAAAGACCAGCACGAACTGGGGTGGATGGGATATATTCTGGAGTTATGAACTTGTTGCAGATGGCGAAAGTGGTGCCCAGACTGAGGATATCACGAGCGACGTATGACAGTCCTCGTAGTCCAGATCTCTCGTAGCAGTGCTTTGGAATGGCGTTTCGGATATCATTTACGGTGTAGTCTGGGAGGTGGAATTCGTTGCCAAAGGTATCGATAAGCTTTCCATGACCCTTGTCCATCACATCTTCGATTGAGGACATGGATGAGAGGGAGGATGATGAAGGCGAATGGCGTGGGGTGTCATTTGGAGATCCGCGTGCGGTTGAGGGTGCGGAATCGGCTGTGGTCGAGGTCATGGTTCTTTTCAGAACCGAGTTCTGTGGACGAGCGGTGGTAGCCATTGTGAACGGCGTATATTTTTAATTCGAAATGTGGTTTGCTGGAACGATAGATTGTTGTATTTATGCCGTGTCGACGCAGGTAGACAACTCGAAAGGAGCGTGTTGTGTTCTAGTCTAATTTTGTTGAGGACTCAACGAGGACGGAGACTCGACTCGGGAAAGGGAGGGTATAGAACGCGAGAGCTGGTGCGGTGTTAGCAATTGATCTTTCTCTGTGCGAGAAAAGAAAAGATGAATACATACAAAGAGATGAACACTCTCGGCCACAGACGAACAGCAGGAAATCTTGAATCTAGGTGTGGTTGGTTGTGGAAGAAGAAAATAAAGTGCAGCTCGGGGTACTTTTAACTGTGGCTAACTGCGGCCCTTGGGTGCAGGTCGACCAACATCGAAACACGGTGGTGCAGGGGTCACTTCGGCAGAAAAGCTTCCACCGGCCAGCTCAGGGCGAATTTAGCAGAATTTACCGCACCAAACCAGCCAATTTTTCTGATCCGTCTAGATTCAAGACTTTTCTGCCCGTCCAGCTAGTCCACCGACTCCAGTCTGGCTGTGGAATCGAACTCGATTTTTCCGTCGATCGCTACAACTAGTAGTAAGTGCTCCGTTGTCGAGTTGATTGTTCGGAATGCCCTAGCCTAGTCCTTCGAAGATTGCAGTTTTACAATATCAAAGTTGATATCAATGGTTACGAGACAGTTGTTCATGTATTGCTCACACCTGTACTACTACTGACCGCCTGGCTGTAACCGAGTATGGCCTATTTCCTGCGTTTATCCTATTATCACTCTGCGTACTTGGTACTGTTTCTACAAGAAATCCCTCTCTGGGCGGTCATTTCTACCAATAAAATCCTCCGCTAGTCCACATCCGCGCCATGAAGGGAATCATGCAACTCAGCTGTCACCAGAGTTACCATCTGCGCGCCACGGCATGCACAGCTTCCACCAGTTGGGTGACTGCATGTTGTACTACGAGATACGGAGTACCAGCTTGACTTGCTCTGAAGTTCTTTCTGAAAGTATATCTTGATTCAACCTCTCCTCACCCACGACATCGATTCCATTCTCACCTGCTCCAACTGACAGCGGCAAGCATGATCGCCACGCTTCAACGCCACCGTCTTCGAGTCGTGGAGAAAGCTAGATGGACCGGGTACTTTGGAGGGGTATATTGTGGGGAGGTGACTTGGCCTCCTCTTGCCTGGTTTGATGTTGGGTGTTGTTGCAGTTGCTCACCGCCAACGATCGTCTCACTTAGGGTTTTGCAAGAGGTTGTGTCTTGCTTGCCTTGCTTTAGTGTGTCTTCTTCAGCTCACACTGTACATCGAATCTTACGCTTATGGCAGATATGAGGAGCTCATAATTGAAAAGTCACAGCTGAGACGGCCTCGCTAACCATCACCAAAACCTCACTCAACAACTCACAACCCCATCGCAGCCCCTCAGATTTCACATGCAAAGCCGAACAGCAAAAAGGATCGGCTCTGCTATCAGGGGCAGCTCTCAGGAACGATCAGAAAAGGCCACATGCCAAACACCAAAACAGCAGGATAAAACTGAATCGAGGAATGCCATTTCTGCGCATCATGACCCTGGCCGCACCGAATTCGACATCCGTCGTTGCATTGTCCAATGGGAGCGGTGAGGGCTGGACCCTTCCTGCAGCATCGACCGGGAACAACCCACGCTTCATTTTTGTTGGGATTGCCATGGTCCTTTTCGTTGAGGGCATGGGGTTGTGGTGGCCTGAGGATGAGGCATGAATTGGAGGTGCGAGCCGAGGGTAGATCTCGTCACGGGATGTCTCCGAGGATGTCCGTAGGTCTTTTTTATATTCCCGAATCAGCCCGAACTTTTATATCACGAGATTCGACAAACAGGTACAAACCACCGGTTCTAGTTGTTGAGACCTAGGAGGTGTCGTACTCGTACAAGACAATTGTCACACGACAGCTGAACTTACCAACCTATCTAGGTAGGTAGGTATTGAATCACTCTTGCTTCATCCAAACCATCAACCTGCACATTCACATGCAAACCCCTCAAGTCAACGCATTCGAATACGTCGGTGACAGCTCGAACCCCTCTCGATCTTAATTCCGATCCCAACAAAATCCATTCAATCCATGTGATCGGCTTGAATTCTATCATAACGCTGCCCCTAGCCGAGCATGTCTATCAGATAAGGCGTTTTCAAGTCATTGAAGTCAACTCGATAATTCGTTTCGGGCAAATACTTGGAGTTCTCTAACACTACTTATGTACTGAATATTTAAGTACTGCACCAGTGGGTAACATAATGCTGCTTAGCCAAAACATCCGACAGTGACTTAACGTTACAATGTAACAACACAGCTTACTATGCACTATTGAAGCTTAGTATCTAAACTGTAACAAAGTTTTTAGCGTCCAAAACAACAACGACTTTTTATGCTAAGAAAGTCTCGGCTGCTGTTTGTACCCTGCGTAGAGAATTGTGTTTCTAACTGAATAGAGTGATGAGGCTCGAATGTATTATTTTCTTATGTGATAGATATCTTCTGTTATAAGCATACAGCTAAATCAACTGTAAATTGTTTAGTTGTTTCCTATAAATAACAAACGACCAGAAACGGAGTTTGATTTCGAAAAGTATTTAAGTCCGTTTGTCTTTATAATAAGTAGATGGGTCAGCTGATCTCAGAGATCCGACTAGTAGGCCACGAAAGATGTTCACCTAACAGACTGGTTAGAAAGCTGGATAATTTTCCCAATTCAATACTCTCTCAAACTCTATCCTTAAGGCGTTTAGGTGATCCGCTTGCAAGTAATCTCTCGACTGTTGTCTCGTAAGAACAAGTTGGGAAGATGGAGCTTGTGGAGAAAACACACCTCGAAATAGACGAAACTAGATGGAAGTCGGCAGATATTTCTCTGCTTAATTGACTTAACATCACACACGTCGTTACTAATCTACCCTACCCAACGTCACCATTCAATGCCCCTTAATTCTAAGACTCTGTACACGTAACTTCAGCGTTGAAAACCCTTGATAAGTAAATCACAGCTATCAAGTTCCTTCACCAATAGATTCTTTTAAGTAGCTATCCGTCTGTATTACTATACCTTAGCGAAAGATACAAGATCAGTACTGAGTTATGTCCCCCCTAAACCATATGAAAATTGTTGCTGAATGAGTAATTATATATCAACGAACGATGTTCGGTTGATTGACTTTATTTGAACAAATTTTGAGTTATTGAGTTGGGATTTTAAGTCGATTGGATCTGTGTTGGATTTTTTGTGTCTGTTGGATTTGAAGATTTTGTAGTGTTGACTGGGAGGGGAGAATTGGTTGGTGAGGTTGTTGGGAGACTTCTGGCTTGTTTGGGATTGTCCGCAATAAGATAGTGTGGACGTTCAACAGCTCAATATTGCGGCGTGAGAGCTGGATGGGGTGGAATATCCATCAATCTATATAAACTGACTCCAAGTATAGGTGTAAGATTATCAAGTATACTCAGATCATTTTACTTCAAATGACTCGGAGGAAGAATTTGGTCGATGACCTTTTTGGTATGTCTGCAAATTAATACAGACTGTCCACTATGGGGAAACGTAGACGTCTGACAACGTCAATTTTCTGGGTGAGAGCTGAAATATTCACTAATGCGTATGAGATAGCATCAAGCACGGGTGTAAGATTATTAAGTACGAGGACATGCTTAAGTGTATACTTAAGTCATTTTGCTTCAGTCTAACATAGAAAGTTTCATATTCCTCGCCACTGAACACTTGAGCAAAGTTTTGGCAGTTCTTGCGTTAGAGCTGAAATATCCTTGAACATCCATAATTTGTACAGAAGCATCTGCCACATGTTCTTCGGTCTGAGTCTAGGAGATTTACATTCCTCGTCGCTACGCGGTTTAGCAAGGATAACGTACACTTGCAATAATATGATCCAAACGCCCATAATATGCATTTTACACTTCGTATGATACTGATACAACGCATTCCTACAGATCCATCTACTCCCTCTATTTCTTCGGCCACTTCTTCCATCCACGACCATGGCCTCTCTGTAAACCAATTAGCTTTGCATAACCTATTCTGAATAAGAAATGGAAAACATACCTCCTTCCAAGTCTGCACCATCTGCGGCATCTCCAACATAGCCTGTCTCCTCTTCTCCAACCTAGTAACCTATTAGCAATCATCCTTGCCCCATCTCCCCTCCCAATCACAGAAATCAACATACCGTCCCTTCAGCGTCCTCTCACTAGCCTTCCCCTTAACCCTCTCCCCAATCCCCGTCCCCTTAACCCTCAACCCATTCTCCATCCTCTTCCTTAACTTCTCCGCACTACTCTTCACCGTCGGCGGCAACAGTTCCTCCACCCCATGTTTCCTCGCAAGCTTCGCCAGATCAGCCTGTCTTCTTAAGCTAAACACTGGATCGTGCCAGAGTCCTGTGATCGGGGATTTTTGCGCGCGGAATGGGTTCGGGAAGCCGAGCGTTTCGATGTCGGGGTTTACGAATGGTTTGGCTTCTTCTGAGGGTTCGGAGGTGGAATTGGGGGTAGGGGCAGGTGTTGGGGTGAGTGTGATGGCATATGGATTTGGTGGTGTGTAGGAGGGTGGTAAGATGGCTTTTGGGGGGTAGCGTGCGAAGAAGCGTTGGAGGCGCGGGGGGAGGGTTTTGGCGAGGTCGATGTATTGTTTGGGTGGGAGGATTGACATTTTGAAATGCGGGTTGGGGTTGTTGGGCGCAATTGTCTGATCGAGTGGTGATGGAGGTGGTTGATGTTGAGGTATAAATTTCGAGATTCGCTTAGTCAGGTTTTTGGGGTTCAGCCTTGTTCTTCGCCTTGTCTGGAGTTAGAGATCAACAACATTTTTTGCGCCGACACGGATTTTGTGACGACGAGGGATTCAAAGATCTAATCACGGGTGTTATCAAAGGCTTGGACTTGAAGTCTTTCAGCGATTACGTGGAATAGTAGAGAGTGCCTAAAGGACTGCGAAAGACACAACAGTCGTTTAGTACCTATTGCGAACATGAACGGAAGGCTATCGTCACCTCCTCCCCCTCCTCCAGATGCTTCAGCACCACCTCCTCCTCCGCCGGAATCATCAGCACCTCCTCCACCCCCAGAAACAACAGCGCCTCCTCCTCCACCAAATGGCTTTGCGCCACCTCCTCCCAGCGATCTACCCCCTCCTCCTCCAACAGAATTATTACCACCGCCTCCCGAGGAGCCTTTGAAGAAGAAGAAGTCAGGATGGGGCGCGCCACGCGATCGAGGACCTCTCAGTATCGAGGATATCTTGAAAAAGAAGAAAGAGGCAGATGAAGCTGCTGCAAAGGTATGTTTGAACTCCTGATCATATTTGGTTCCCAAGTTCACAAGCCATGTTTAGTATTCTATGTATCTATACTAATTAAGTCTTTTACAGCCCAAGTTCTTGTCAAAAGCAGCCAGAGAGAAGTTAGCTTTGGAGAAGAGAGCGAAGGAGGTTGAAGAAGCAAAACGCAAAGCAGAAGCTGCAAGGGAGTCTGTTGTTCCCCACGCCAACGGTGATTATGATGGATATCAAAATGGACAGAATGGACACAAATATCAGCAGAGATCAAATGGCGACCGAGGTGGCTCTTCGGTGCCAACTGGACCACGAGCTATGCGCCACGGTGATCCACCGTCTGGGCCGCAACAAGGACGAAATGGGAATCCCAATCGACAATCAGATAATCCACCGCCACCTAAACCTGTAGCAAGTACTGGAAAGGCTTCTTTGGCTGGGGAAAAGAGACCGGCGAACAGTGATGATACTCAAGCTTCTTTGATACGGACTCGATATATGGGTGCAGAGACTAATCAATCCACTTTTTCGGCAAAGAAAAAGCGACGCCGGACTACCGAGAAAAAGTTCAACTTTGAATGGAATGTTGAGGAGGATACCAGTCCTGATTACAATCCTCTATACTCTGCTCGAGCTGAGGCGAACTTTTATGGAAGAGGTCGATTAGGCGGATTTGCCGAGGATGCAGGGGAAAGCGGAGTGCTGAAATATGCGAAGGCACTTGAAGAACGTGACGGTGAAGCCGGAGCTGCTCGTGCGAAAGAGATTATAGAAATGGAAAGGCGGAGGAAAGAAGATCAGACGGGCCGTAATTCGCTCGACAAGCATTGGAGTGAAAAGAAATTGGAGCACATGCGAGAAAGAGATTGGCGAATCTTCAAGGAAGATTTCAATATCAGTACCAAAGGTGGAGCCATTCCCAATCCAATGCGAAGCTGGCAAGAATCTGGACTGCCAAAGCGGCTATTGGATGTTGTTGCTCAGGTTGGATATGATGAACCTTCAGCAGTACAGAGAGCGGCTATTCCTATTGCCTTACAAGCTAGAGATCTGATTGGTGTCGCTGTTACTGGGTCTGGTAAAACGGCTGCGTTTCTACTCCCATTACTCGTTTATATTTCCGAGTTACCGCCTCTCAATGAGTATACGAAGAATGACGGACCGTATGCAATCATTCTAGCACCGACTCGTGAATTGGCACAGCAGATTGAGACTGAAGCAAAGAAGTTTGCTACACCACTCGGATTTACTTGTGTTAGTATTGTTGGAGGTCACTCTTTGGAGGAACAGTCATACAATCTGCGAAATGGAGCTGAAATCATCATCGCAACTCCTGGTCGTTTAGTGGATTGTATTGAAAGACGGGTGTTGGTCCTCGGTCAATGCTGTTACATCATCATGGATGAAGCAGATCGAATGATTGATCTTGGTTTTGAAGAATCTGTCAACAAGATTCTGGATGCCCTCCCAGTCAGCAACGAAAAGCCGGACACAGATGACGCCGAAGACGCTCAAGCAATGAGTAGACATCTAGGTGGTAAAGACCGCTACAGACAAACAATGATGTACACAGCAACCATGCCCAGCGCGGTCGAAAAAATCGCCAAAAAATACCTCCGTCGCCCAGCCATCGTCACAATCGGTAACGTTGGAGAAGCCGTCGAGACCGTCGAGCAACGCGCCGAGTTCGTCTCAGGCGAAGACAAGCGGAAGAAGCGTCTCAACGAGATCCTTGCGTCCCGCGAATTCGCACCTCCTATCATCGTCTTTGTCAACATCAAGCGCAACTGCGATGCTGTCGCCAGAGACATCAAACACATGGGCTTCTCATCCGTCACCCTCCACGGTTCCAAAACGCAAGAACAGCGAGAAGCAGCACTCGCCTCGGTTCGCTCAGGCGGCACAGACGTGCTCGTCGCCACGGATCTCGCGGGTCGTGGTATCGATGTCCCCGACGTGTCTCTGGTCGTCAATTTCAACATGAGCACGAATATCGAGAGTTACACACATCGTATCGGTCGTACGGGTCGTGCTGGGAAGAGCGGTGTGGCGATTACGTTCCTGGGGAATGAGGATGCGGATGTGTTGTATGATTTGAAACAGATGTTTATTAAGAGTAGTATTAGTAAGGTTCCTGAGGAGCTGAGGAAACATGAGGCGGCGCAGCAGAAGCCGACGAGGGGGGGTGGGCAGAAGAAGATTGAGGATAGCAGTGGGTTTGGGGGGAAGGGTGGGGGGTGGTAGTGCAGTTTGGTGAGCGGAATGGGAGTGGGGAGATTGATAGTGGTCGGAATGTATAATGAGCCCAGCCGTTGCGATTTTATGGTATCACATACACGTTACTTCTTTTTTCTGGGTTAATAACTCAAACCATAACTCGCGATTCGAAGTCCTACACCCATAACATATTACTGTAATTATAGAGCGATTCACTTTCCATTTCTTCAGTCTTACTATCACACTACTGTTATATACAGAACTGACCTTTTTGACAGCTATCTCGTCCACTTACATGCTGGGCACAGGACTTTGAAATTAATCGTAGGACGAATATCTTACAACCAACGAAGTATTACTCCTCGTCTTATTCTTTACAAATTAAATTCTCTAGCATCAACATCACCAAACTTCCACCTCCTTCGAGACACTTCCCCGGAGGTATAAATAGTGTAGTGTTCTCTTCAACCAACATACCGATATCATATACACAAGTCAGCTTTTCTGCAACCCTATCTCCTACTAGAAACCTACACTCCACAAAATTTAATTTCAAACAAGCACGGCTAGGGGTATGTGGATATAGATGAAGAATACTAACTCTTGAACGAGGTTTGAGTAGGTTGTTTGAAAGGGGCCCGCTTCGCTAAGCGACCCCCTTTTGGTCAGGTGAAAGACTCTTGCTCGATGTCTAAGCTGTTCTCTCTTTTGGGATAGGTGCTCGAAAGTAAGGTTGTGGTTACTATAGTATGGGATTCGAGATCTGCATGGGGAAGGAGAAGTTGTGTTTTGTAATCTCTGAAAAATGAAGAGAGTTATGGTTGAGGTCGTTGGGTTTTTGGTTTTGGTGCATGATTCTGGTGGATTGTAGATTTGTGTCAGCGTTGATCGGATTGACTGGGAGAGGATTGAAGTGGGAAGTTTTTGAGGGTATTAGGATGGTTGTAAAAGTGTTGGTAAAGCCAATGTGTGAGTCTGTGAGATGTGTATAATCTCTAAATAGCGGTGGATCTGGTTGTTTGTGAAGGAGAAATTTCGTGGGTCGTTATATGCCTATAGGGCTTTGTGGGATGGTTATATAGATGTGAAAAGGGACATGTGATGCAAGGACAAGCGGATTGGACTTTATATATACAGGTTGAAGTTATTTCTTGCACTGCTGCATGATTGTTTGGGATGGTTTGCGCGACGCTTAATTGGAAACAAGAATGAGTTCAATGAATGTGACTAATTTGGATGCTATAGGAAAAACGACGTCGAGGTTCATGGTGCAAAGTATAGCGAATTTGGTATGATTTGGGTTTCTGGATTAGTTGACGTTTTAAGGGTTCTGTGTTACAGGATGGGTGCGTTCAGACTCGTTGTACTCACAAACGATTCAGTTGTTCAAACCTGCTAGAAATTACCAGAATGTAACATAAGTTGGGTTGCATATAGCCCATGTTAGTTAACTTAAGTTCAAGTAAAAGGTTAAACTCAACTCGTTTGACGTACCGTCTGGAATAGATGGGTTTAGCTTCTGTGTAGTTATGTCTTCTGAATCATTCTGGTCCAGTGGTTGAGACAAGTAACTCGTAGACCGTTTGATGTAGAATATACAGACTGCATAGCGAGGTGATGATTTCGTTTTGCAGACAGGGTTGGAAGAGAATTCCTCGGTCTTGGAAATGTCATGGTTGCGTGGCGAGGAACTTGATAATGGTAATGTTGGAATCCCGTTGAGAATTTTGTATATTCATTATAACTATAAGCTGATTAGGTTTAATCTGATTCGATTTAAGTACTAGGTCGATCAGGTCGAGTTGCAATCGCCCGACCTGAATCAACTCAACTCAGTTAATCACTTCTTAGTTGCAAACACAAAAAACAGTGAATTTCACCGAAATCTAACGTGCGAATAATACCATAAAGAGCTGGTCTACCTGTGATATATATTCTTTACTGATCATACCTAAGCACCACGAAAATTTATCGAAGTGTTTCGTCTTTGCTTTCCAACTCAAATTTTACTCAATCCCAAGATCTATTTATACCACCCGCTCGAACGGCACGACATACACCACAACCAAATCACTTTGAGCCGCAGATCCGGCATTTCAGATAATGTGGGGTACATGTTCCTGACCACATGACGGTGGATAAATTGAGGTTTTCAATATCTGGATAATAACCGAAGGGGGAATGACCATATGCAGATCTTTGGAGAGATATATATAATTGAGACGGTTTTCTGATGATTTTTGTAACAACTTATAATATTTTCCGATCAGTTCTGTTCAAGATGAAGGTCCTCACTTCACTAGTCGTTCTGGTCTCGGCAGTAAAAGCTCACTATGTATTTCCCTCGCTCATCGTAAACGGTGCACCAACCAGCGAAGCAAGTCCTCTCCCCATCCGACATCTCCCACTAACACCACCCAGTGGAAAAACGTCCGTCAATGGACAGGCTACCAGTCCAACGGTCCCGTAACCAGCGTCTCCTCCCTCGACATCCGCTGCAACGTCGGCGCCTCCACCAAATCTGTATCCACCATCGACGTAGCCGCGGGCTCAACACTCGGATTCACTGCCAAATCATCCATCTCGCACCCAGGGCCGTTACTTGTATATCTTGCTAAAGTGCCAGAGGGCAAGACGGCGGCGAACTGGGATGGGAGTGGGAATGTGTGGTTTAAGATCTATGAGATTGGGCCTAAGTTTGGGGGCTCGTTGAGTTGGCCTGCTATGGGTAAGATCCCCTTTCTCGGATTTCTAAACTCTGGTCTTGATTTGAAGAACGACGCCGGCTGATGAGTACAGGTCAAACTAACATAAACTTCAAAATCCCTTCCGCGACACCCAGCGGCGAGTATCTCGTTCGCGTCGAGAGTATCGCATTACACTCTGCTAGCGGCGCTAATGGGGCTCAATTCTACATCTCGTGTGGACAAATCAATGTCACCGGTGGTGGCAGTGGCAAACCGACGGATCTGGTGGCGTTCCCGGGTGCGTATAAGAGTAGTGATCCGGGGATTATGTTGAATATTTATTATCCTGTTGTAAGTTACGATGAGGTAAAGAATTAGAAGGGACGTTGCTAATGAGTAATTAGCCGACGAGTTATGCTATGCCGGGACCGGCTGTTTGGAGTGGTTGAGATAACGGTTGGTAAGGTTTCTGTGGTGATTCGGATGAAGTCTGTTGTTTAGAGAGTGTAGAGCGGGTGTGTTGGATACCGTAGTTCTTGATTAGAGTGAAGTGAGATGAGATTCTAGTCATAAATCCGAGGTCTCGCTTGGAAACATCTCGTGCTACAAAATATTTACTGATGCAAGATGTAAATCATCTAGTAGGTGGTATATTCAGCTTCGAAAACTAAAGTTTAATATTGTATATCGTTTTCTTATAGTAATACTATTATTATGTTCGATAAATATATGATTCTCACAAAACCCTACTCGCTTACCCCCTTTTTATTCTCACAAGTCACAACCACATATTTTCATTTACACTTACTATACGGAACTTTTTGTTATATTGTTATTTTAAAGAACTCAAGTTCATGTGCGATATAGACCCATCGCAGTAATACCCCTAGTAAACTATGCGACCTCCGTGATAACATATCTAAAAAAAAAAAAACAGTTTGTGTAAGTCAGTATTTCTCTTCATTAAACCCCGACACTCCTACCAAACTCCCTCTCCGAAAAAAACACAACATCGCTTCTTAAACACTCATCCAGCCCCAACTGAGTCCATGAAACATGACGCAACTCCTCATAACTAAGAAGACACATTAAAGACCATCACCATCTCCACAACATCCCTCGCAAGATCTTGTCCACTCATACCACCACCTCTTTCTTGATTTCGCATTCTCACCTGTAGGTGTAGAAATCAAATACGAGTCTACTCGACTCATCACCAATCTACACCTGAGCACCAGAACTAATTTTTACACAGCCAAAAGATAATCACCCTTCAATCTCACCCACGAAAACAAACTCAAATCTCATCCCCTTCCCCTCTAGATAGATAGACTTCATACCTTCAATTCAAAAACAAAACCACCCATCCTGTGTCGAAAAGAACTCCTTCCCATCCTTTAAGAAAGTTAATCCCTTCCGTCGTTTGTACGCAAAAACGAAAAGTAATATCGAAGAAACTCCCAGCGATGTGACTGTCCAAATGAAAACTGCCTCTTAGCTTCATAGTCATATCTTCCTCAGGAGTACGTCATAACCAAAACTTCACAAAACGGACTTATTGATGGGTTAGCTAGTCACGCGTTGTAATACCATGGGAGTAACAATCATGTGATCTTACAACTCGTCGTTCTTGATATGGTCGGGGGATCTCACTAGACACATTTCAGATGCAATGATTGTAGCACCGCATGATAATTCGATACCCAGAAACGCGATGTAAAAACTGAATATTTCCAACATGCCGAGATCACACACGACACGTATTTCTTTTAATCTTAAGCTCTGCTACCCGAGATGTGTATTATGCAATTGTAACTGATATACAAACTCTTCTGCTACCAATCTGACGAACGAAGTCTGTGCATGCTTTTGTTTTCTAACATGCAGGCAGCCGCGACAGACTAAACATATACCATATACCAATCATACTTTCCTAAAGCCCACGAGCTCTCTCATGTCTCAAGCACGCAATAAGATCAAACACTGCCTTCATACTCAAAGCATCTATTGCTGCTTTACGCCCACTCCCGAAACACCACCCGAAACCCCTATCAGCCCTTCCCGCTGTGGAAAAGCTGCGACACTACCATAATACTAGGCGTAGACAGGATAGACGGAGATGGAAACAAACACATGAACGGGTGGAGATGAGAACAACCCAATCTACAGCGGTATGTGAGAGATGACGCAAAAACGTGCGTGGGATAAAAAGGAATTCCAACTTTCTGGGTTTCTCAAGTAAAGATGATGTTGGAAAAAGCAAAGAGAGATGGAGAAGGATCGGAAACGGCCGAGATATGTGGGATGAGATGGAACGTGCTGGTTGATGGGGTTATGATTGATAGGAGAATAGTCGTGGTGTTTCTTTCGGATTTGTTTTGAGATTATGCAGGACTGGATTTCCGTAGGGAGAGGTGGTACGGCAGGACAGTGAGGGACGGTGAAAGAAGTTTGTGAGTAGTGTTACTGCTGGGTTTTGATTCTTTGAAGGCAAATGCGCGGGATGGGGAAACGTGTTGTTTGTTGGAGGTGTGATTGATAGGATATGTTCTTGTATATATTCTTTTTGATTTGGTGTGTTGAGGTGGCAAATTGAAGTTTAGAAGAAGATGTACCATGAGAGAAGAGTGAAAGAAGTTGTGGTTTGATAGACGAAAAGGGAGATTGATTCGCAAGTTTCGGCAAGGAAGACTAGAACAGTTGGAGAACACTCCTTAAAAGTAAAAAAGCCTTGATCTGGAAATAGACTTTGACATTCAAATAATGCATGCCGTTTGCCTTTGCTGTCACACGGGTTTTCTTGTGCCCTGTGCGAAAAGAAAGGAAGTGAAGTTGCACAGCTAAGTGATCGCTTTGAGAAAGTTATGTTACACAATTTACGGGCCAAAAAGGAGTAAGTGGGCGTCTGACTTCGAATCTAGAACTACTGTAGATAACCAACACCTCACCAACGGGAGCAATAATTATGGCCAGTTGGCAGAAGACGAATGTCTGCTTCACCAGAACTCGGTGACTTGCTCATGGCAGAAGAGTATAAGCCTCGAAAGTCAGAAAGCAATTCTCTCACTTCCAATTCAATACGCTTTCCCCACTTGTAGATGTAATCGTTTCCTGAGACGAGGGAGCGCCCACTAAAGCCGGCGATTAATAAGTTCAAGTGGTGACCGAATATTAAAGCATATGAACTATAGCATGAAACGGAAATGATGAGTGGTCGGCATGTTGACTACACAGATTGATTTACGTGGACTTCACTTGAAGTCCCAAGTCTACATCAGTGGATAGATATTTGACCAGATTCTGCCTTATGGCCCTGTTTCAGATGTGATTTCGAAGTACAAACCAACAACAGGTATGAAAGAAAACCGCCCTGGTTTCTCCTGTAGAAAGTTAATCTACCAAGAAAGCCTTTGAGAGCAGAAATCATCGTAGAGATAGATGTCAAGCTAGTCAACGTACGTGTGCGAAACATATATTTGAAACAAAATACTAAAGACGAACAGTCTCAAGCATGCTTCGAAGCACAGCAGTCGACTTTGACTTTGCGATGAACCATCTTTCCACCGCAACGTGGGCGATGAATGGAAACGTAAGCTGGTATTAGTAGTACTATATCTGTGGTCATCGAAACCATAAAAACTCAAGCTGCATAATTCATATATGAAATGCATGAACCTACGCCTCAAGCCAACAACACATTCATGCGTTGGCACCAAGTTCCCCACAATCAATCGTTATCAGGACCTTGCGGATCCTGCCTCTGGGGAGAAGGTGTTTGCCTGGTCCCTGGGAAAATAGAAGAGGGTTTGAAACCTTCTCGAAGCGTCGGAGGGCAACATGACGGTCCGGACATGGATTGACCGGCCATACTTTTCCAGAGACGGAGACCGGGGCATAAATTAGTTAATCATCCGCACTCGTGGGATCGCTCTTCAACCCTGTAAGCCAAACCACTTTGGGCAGGGGGAGGCGGACAGCCCACGGAAGTGATTTTCCAAGGATCCAGGCGACAGATAAACTGCCAAGATAACGTAAAATATATTGAGCACCACTGCCGAAGGTATCTCGATCGACAGAGATATTGAAAGGTGGGGAAATAAACCAGAAGAAGACGCCAGATTTGAGACAAAGGAAAGTGAGATGGACACAATTATCGGATCGACATAGCGTTTTTGTCGTTCTTACATACAACGATGCTCTGGAAATAACCCATCGCTTTGCTAAACTCTCAAGTTTGAAGGGTTTATCCGATGACGGTAATAAAAGTTTGACTGGCTTGTTGGTGGCAATCACTATCAGATCAGGAAAGTCTAATATACCAGAAAACGACGTTGTCGACCGTTGAAAAATAGCGGCAAAATATCTCGCTTCTGTTCCTGGTTGATAGTGCCACAATCTCCCTGCTCATGCAGTCATGATGTCCATTTCCAGTCTGGCCACAACTTGTGTGACCGTAGGTGAAGTTTTCTCCTAGGCGAGGCTGCTCGTACGTTTTGTGAGTGGTGTTGTCGGTTTGCAAAGAGCTCGTACAAAAGCTAGACTTCAAGCTAGGAGCATTTAAGTTGACTATTCCAATATACTTTCCGCGGCCCAGGTAGAAAAGCCAGCGCCGAAAAAGCGGCGCCTGAAGGCAGGCCTCGAGCCTGGCCCAAGTGTATCATTTAGTCTAAAACAGGCGTACGTCGAGTGCTGCTTTTCTGGTCAAGGAAGCTTGGACGCGACTTGTTTGGGTCTTGACTAGCTACGCAAGCTGGCTAAGTTGGCTGTGAATAATGGCAGAATAGTCCGGCAAGAACTAGAAAGCCTATGACGATGATGCCTCTGGCCGAATTTTGAAGATTGAATCTGAGTCCATCGAGTTTTCCTCATGCCAGGTACCAATTGAGCTGCTCGTACATGAACAAAACCAGTTGGTCGGGAAAACGTCCCAGGTCTCCGGCTGGCACGAAGGCACGTTGCGTTTCCGTGGGGCATTTATATTTCCACACATCTTTCGATTATTCCCCTCACGGTGTCGGCATTCTCATGTTTCACCTAGCAGAGTCCCGCAGTGATTTTGGGAGCTTATCCGGAACCCGCGAGTGGGGTACGCTATTGAAGCTGACTAGCCTGAGAGCGGTCTTGCGACATTGGGTCTCTAAACCATTGAAGATCCTGGGCTTTGAACTCGTCTTCCGGCGAACGGAGCGAAGCGGTCCCTTGCTAATCGATACGACACGGGACGAAGCGATGAGGAGATTCAGACGGTCCGTGGCGGCGACGATGGCACCTTATCGATTGCTTCTGACAGAAGGCTCATGTAATGTACTGAGCCAGTTATCAGAGAGAGTTATCGTATCTCTGATATACAAAGACGGGAAAGAAAAACGAATGGTCAGGTTTGGTATGCAGTTGACATATGCATAATAAACGCGATATCGTCAAACTCGGACTGTGCGACGACGTCGAGAAGAAATTCTTGTACCTGCATGCCCCCATATCTGTACCTGCAGTAGAGTTCATCCCCAAAACCGCCAACCTTTTCCTATCCCCGATTGGGCGAACGGTATGCAGTTGGATGGGGGTCGGTCGAGGCCGCAGGTCCGAAAACATGTGCCATTTTTGTCCCAAGCATTCTGGTCTGGGAGACTACTGGCCGTGGGCTGGGACACCTTGAGGTCGCCAAGGTCAGGGCAAAGTCGATCTTTGGGTAGCAGACAACCGCGCCCATGCACGCTACAAAATATCGTCGTTTTCCGTACCTTTGCCGTTCATGTGTGATGGGATGAAGATGCCAGGTTTCCGCCGCGTTGTAACTTTTTGAGCCGTCCAACATGTGGTATCCGAATTCCTTTTGTGCGGCGGGCACATCTTCGCACCCAACAGTCATCGCAATGTGTTCTAGAAACAACATTTCTGATTCTTCCATACTGGATTTGGCCAATTCCCGGTTGGCGTCCGAGGTGCTCCTTCTGGAAGTCCACCGAAGCATTGAGACAGCCCTTCTCGGGCCTTCATCAAACAATGCCATGACGGGTGAAGTCGAGATATTGTCCAATTGGGTTGAGATCTGAACGAAGGTGGTGCTGGGGTGGAGATGGAGAGTGCACAAACATGGCGTGCCTTGCATCTGAGGCTAGAGAATTGTGCACGCTCAAAGTAAAAGCAGCAGCAACCTCTCCAGACTTTCAGAAATTCTCAGAAAAGGACCAACCCGCACGAGCTATGTTTAGGCCGCGCTTGCACATCTCCTGCATTAGAGCCAATGAGTTGTGCACTGGTGCACTCGTCTTATGCAGGCACGCAGGATGCCCGCCCACGCATACTGTAGAAATGACACCCACCATGAGCCTACGAAATCATCCTCCACACCATTACCACCAAGTGGCACAAGCAAAAATAAACACCGTGTGCCACATCCAACCAATAGTTGCGTGGGTGATGGTTTATTCTTATTCAACAGGTTGTCAACATGAGTCGAGCCGCCATGCCCCAGGAATTGTCGTAGATGAAAAGAAAACGGTGTTCGTGACTGTGCATCCTCACTTGCTGACTTGATGCAGCTGACTTTCCCCATGAGTGAGGGAAACGCTATGAAAGCGGTCGATCTTCTCCTATCCGAACGCCATTATTCGGCTGGCTATCGTGTCGTATCGCGCTATCGATAAGAATACCTTCCCCATCTTACTATCGCCCGACCAGGGTTGTGTGTTGGAATTATGGTGAGCTTCATTTGTAACGTTCATGGGCATCCTTTTAGATTGTGATCCATTTTTGGACGTACTAGATTCGTCAGAAACCTGCAGACGCAAGCTACGGAGTCAGTGTAGTCTCGCTACCACATCGTGGGATGTTTATTAGTATCAACAACAACGTGTTGTGAACTAATGTAGACGCGTTTGGAAGGCTAGGTCGGAGGTTTCTTTACGTGACGTTTCTTCGACGTGTACTGTGGGGTTGTAGCCGTTGCGCTTGCTGGACGGACTCTGTCGACTTCTGTATACTATACCGTGGCTTCGAGCCTCATCTGGAATGATTATTCAAATCAAGAAGTCTTGCAGTAGCTTTTCAGACAGGCGACAGGTCATGTAACTGGTTGGAAATGATACTATTCTGTTCCTGCAGCCAGCCTTTTTGGTTATTCGAGTTCGTGCCTCGATCTGACATGAGGATTTCTGTACCATCTCTGTACCAGGCCAGCAACGTAACGGAATCAAGAAGGTGCAGTTTTACCCGCGGTGGTCACCTTGATTCGGCTGCATCCCACGCATGTGCGATCTGTTCGTCATCATCGTACACCATTTCTAGGTGTTTCATGTTTCAAAGACTGTACGCCCTCACCCACCTCTACCGGTGGAGAGATGGCTGAAGAGGAAGCTAGAAAGATATCGATGTGCAGCCTAAGTAGGGATGAGTAGCACGTTTGGTGTAAGGGACGGGTAGAGCGGTGGGACAGTTGACGCAGCGCCGCGAAGATTCGTTTTTCTGATGTCTTTGATAGGATATCGACAACGGTTGCAAGCGAAGATGGTCAGGTACGCTACGTTAGCTACCTGAAGACTTTGAGCTTTCGAGCAATTATTCGCTTTTCGGTGACTTTGAAGGCCCGGATTGGTAACTGCATCCCAAGCCAAGGAAGATTCTGCGCTTGCTGCTCCTCGCACTGGTCCAATCTGCATCTCTGGGACGGTGCAAGCAGGAATGATTGGTTGTGTACGTGTTTCGTGTCTGCGTTTTGTGTATATGTTTTGGACGAATAGAAATCGAGTGCAATTTGCAAACAAACAAACAAATAATAAAAAGCTCTTCCGGCGCCCTCTGTATGGCCGACTCAACAAAACCGAGTACGTGATCTGCTTCTGATCCGGTCTTCAACGTTTGCAAGCTGCATGATGATATGCAAAGACAGGTCTTAATAGCTGAAGCCAGCACGTCGTTGAGTGGGGTATTTGGAGGCTGTGGTATCGGAAGCACCGCACTTTTGAGACTCACGATGTGAAGTCTGCACGCGCTCGCAGCTGCTATGACATGAAGAAGCATAACGAAGGCGATGAAATCTCCATGTGGTGTTGGCGATTGGGTTGTTCCACGCTGCGGCGGTTGTGCTGTGTTGATGGACCGAGGATACTTGCATTGCCCGTGAGAGTCTGTTGATCAAGCTGCTGCTGCTGCTGCGGCTTTGTGACTCCACCATTGAATACCGCGTCACGCTGATCTTTGATCCAGAGGCGGAAATGCAGGTTTGTAGACTGGTCTCTTCGTAGCTCAACGGAATGTGAAGCCAGTCGTTCTGCAGCGACGGCCTCAAGTCGACCACTGCCCAGCGTCAACAGCAACCACACTCATCACACTTCAAGACAATGTTCGTGATGGTGGATACGCGACTTTTCAGAGTTCAGCGTCCACAGCGCCTACGTCCGCCGACGCTTCGTACCTGGTGTACCTGGTGTACACTGGACTGGTGATGTGCATTCGGGGCGCGCAAGAGGCGACAAGCGGTTCGAAACTCTGAATGGATCGATTTCGGCCACTGCTGGAGGGGTCTCGCTGGATAAAAGAGCTGTTAGTGTCCTCGGGCTTATGCATGCATATTATTTGCTTGTGATGGACCAATGCAGTTCGTGCGTCCACGAGTATGGATGAGGATGCTCACGGGGCGCTGCTTTGAGGAGGGCATGAGGATATGAGTGGTGCGTGTAAAATCGACAGATGTGTGGGCTGCACAATAATTCGCAGCTGTCATGTTCTGTTCTCTGTTCTCTTCTGCGCTCGTCTGGCTGCTGCTTGCCTCTCACTCGCCGCGACGCCTTCTCGCTAGACCCCAATGAGCAGCCAGGCCCGCCAGCCCGTCCAACCACGCTGGCCAACGTCCCACCATCAGCAAAGTCCCGGCAGCTCCAGCAGCGCTGTGTGGGTGAACTCGTGAACGGCGCTGCGAGACCAGGGCGCGCATGGAGAGGAACAGAGAGAAATCCCAGCGATGCCTGTCGGGGCTGGTCCATTATCCATTACTCTCGGGCTGGAATTAGAAAACTATGCTGTCTCCACCTTCTTACCGTCCAAGGTGGCATAGGCATGGTCGTGTTGCCGGCTCCCCCAGAGGCTTGCAGAAGCATGGGTTGACTCTCGCAGACCCTTTTACAGCGAATAGCACGTCTGCTCGCCCTCGAGAGCTGCTCCATTTGCGCTCTTCACACCAGCAATTGGGTCCATATGGCCCATCGTGTGCCAGCCCGGTGGACCAGTGGACCAAGCAAGCCCACTCGTATCCCATGCTCACCATCCCAACCTGAGACCATGCCTTTCTCACGCTTCTGCTTCCTACCCTGAATCTGTCTAACTGCCTATCTTGCCTCTATCGCTCGTGGATCGTCCGTCCGTCTTTACTTTATTTGCAGGGTCCCCGTCATAACCACTCTCGTTTGCTCGTCCGTCGTTCAGGTTTATCACCCATCCATCGCCAACCCATTCTTCTTATACCGCCTCGCCGGTTTCTTTTGTACATCGACACTCTTTGGATCATCTTCGAACTTGTGCTCTTATCTCAGCCCTTCGATTTGTTTCCGTACCTTCCTTTGGAATCCTGCTGCTACTCATTTGTGTATCTTACCTCACTGGTACCGAACGAACCCCCGATACTGTACTGCAACAAACGAAACACAATATCTGTCGAATTCTTCCTCGAATTCTCTTTGCATCAGCGAATGTATAATCAGCTTTTATAACTTGATAGTTATTTGACAGTCTTTGGGATATCCTAGCTGTCGTCCAGTCCCTCCCTCAACACCACACCCTGTTTCCCAGTTTCCAGCACTCGACGCTTTTGAACCGAACCAGCTTTTTTGCTTTCGAAACATATATTAATCAATCAAACCAAATCGTTTTGACTCGACAATCACTGTACGTATTTATCGACATGCACGTTTGGTGGAAAGAGGATTTCGAGAACCGAGAGAGAGCGAGGACTGACACTTGACAGTCCCTTCTAGCCGAACCATCTCAATCAATTCGCAATGGACTCTGCATACCCTCACGCCCCAGTAATGGGACAATCTCCCTTCTTCTACTATAACCCGGATCCTAAGCCAGATAACCGCCAACACGGCCATTTCTCCCAGCATCCACATAATGTCCAAGTCCCAGTGTACCACCCACAGGTACACACCATGCCATCAACGCCAATCTATTCCAGACCAAACTCATCTTGCTCACAGCCGCCAATGCAGCCGCAGATGTTCAATTCCGGATTTGCGGGCAACATGACTCCTATGGCATCCCCTCGCCCGATGTACCAGAAGCCAACGATTCTGATTCAGGAGCATGCTCCTCGGATGAAGATGGAGCCACAAATCAACGATGCTGACATGTACTACTACCCATCAACACCACCCTTGTCCTCATCTGGAAGCACCTTGAGCAGTCCATCAACCTGCGAGTCTCTGCACACACCCATGCACACTGTATTCCTCGGCCTTGAGGGATTTGAAGGAGTAAAGGAGGGTTGTGAGAGCGATGTACAGTCTGAGAATCTTGCCGGCGGTGACTGGGCCCGATGCGGATCACCACCAATGACCCCAGGTACGTTCAACATTTGCTACTGTTGTATCTGCAGCATCGCGATAATTGATTCACACTTATTGGTTGCTGTGGGTGACTTATTACATGGAACTAGACTAACGTGGTCTCGAAATAGTGTTCATCCACCCAAATTCGCTTACCAGCCACGCTAGTGAACTCCTGTCTGCGACAAGCTGCCCTTCGCTCTCTCCCAGTCCATCTCCTTACCCACGATCCGTCATCTCAGAACAAGACTTCGACTTCTGCGATCCAAGAAATCTTACCGTTGCATCGTCTGCATCTCCATCATTGACCAGAACGGCAGCTGAATTTCCCGCACTCCCCACATTGTGCGCAGGAGACGACGAGGAGCACCGTTTCATGCTAGGGGGTGATACCTTCCACAAAGTTGAGCAGTCCCAAAACGCCAAGTTTAACTTCACCGCCTCAGCGCACCACGGACTTCCTGCATTCGATCAATTCTCTGACCTCGACTCGGAAGAAGACTTCGTCAACGGACTGGTCAACTTCCCTACCACAGATAACGCACAGTACTTTGGCACCAAGAGACAACGAACCTGTTCCGGTTCCGACCTCATCTCCCTCAACAGCGAACCCTTCATTGCTGAGGAAGATTTCGAAGAGTACGAGGACTTTGAGGACTCTGAGCAATTTGCCGTTGCCTGCCTTCCAAGCCCACCTGCATCGGGATCCGAGACTGAGGTGAAGAAGGAAAAGAAGACCAAGAAGGCCAAGAAAGCTCGCCGTGACGAGGAAGACGACTCAACAGACTTTGACAACCTTGTCAGGTCACGCAAATACACCGTCCCAATGAACTCCGCATCAGCACCAGAGGGCTCGACTGAGGGTCAACAACACTACTCTGCCAGCCACAGTCACTCTGGTTCATCCGAACGCCACGCTACTGAAAGTGTAATGGGTTCAGAGGCCGGTAACACACCAAGCAACGCACCCGTCAACCGACGTGGCCGCAAACAATCTCTCACCGAGGATCCATCCAAAACCTTCGTCTGTGATCTCTGCAATCGCCGTTTCCGAAGACAAGAACATCTCAAGCGTCACTACAGATCTCTTCACACTGAGGATAAGCCATTCGAGTGTCACGAGTGTGGAAAGAAATTCTCCCGCAGTGACAACCTCTCTCAACACGCACGTACTCACGGCAGCGGAGCTATCGTGATGGGTGTGTTGGAGGATGGCGAATTACCCGGCGATCACATGTCAGGTAGTGACAGTGAACGAGTTCGTCAGCTTGGCGGTGTCCTGTTCAATGTTGCCCAGAACATTTCAGGCAGCGAAAGCGAGGGATCGTCAGGTACCGATAGTCAATCCCGCAAGAAGCGCAAGCGGTCCGATTAAGCATCCTTCCGATTGCTTGTCCTTCCAATCAAGTCATCATCCTGTCATGCACGAATTTTACGAAACTCTTATGGCGGCCTCCGACTTGACTTGACTTCTCCCCTTTGGGATTCCTCGGTCTTGCGACCACTCTTATGTTACCACGATGGATGCGCCTCAATATCAAAAGTCTTGCTTTGCTCTTGTCGACCTTTCTTCACTTCTCTGTATCAAATTTTCTTTTACACACACTTATTCTTGCCGATCGATTTAGCGTCATGACACGGGTTTTATCCGACTTTGGGGGACATAAAGGGGGAAGGCGTGTATTCTTGATGATGGGGGTTGGGTTTGCTTTCGTCTACAATCGTTGTAATACAACTGTCAACAGGAAGCGGGTCCGATTGTTGCAGCTCGTCTGTTGCCATGCTACTTCTCTCACATTCAGATCTTTTCGCGCCGGACACGGAGAAACTCTTTGTACACCAAAAAACATATGTATAGAATTCTAGCAAGACATATACTTGATTTACCCATATTAAACTACCTACCATTTGATGAGTGATTATTTGTGAAATTGAAAAATCTTTGGTGGTTGTCTTAGGGCAAACCACCAATTTCGCCTAAGACATCGACCACCTGCATCAACGCCAACTCGTACCTCATCCAAACAAAACAACCACCCACAACCCCGCCACCAAGAACCATCCATCTATCTAAGCATAAACAACCCCTCATCAATCAATCTCGATAAGAATCTTATGACGTAAACACCAACAACCCAACTTTATTCCACGCGAGATTTGAAGGCTGAGTTTGTGCATTGTACGTGACTGGTCTGGACACGCCGAACTCGCATAAATTCGCCTTTCGCTTGCGGCTGCGGCTCGACTGCGTCTGTTGCATTTTCAAGGTTGAAGATACTTGGTACACGGCGTTTGATTCGTAGACGCTTGTAACTGGGGAGATTTTAAGCTGGGAAAGGTACCTGGGTAGCTGGCGTGTTAGGCTTTCAAAGGTAGGCTTGTGCTTGCCAACTTACAACCTCGTGCTCCTGCTCATAGGCTCGTAAAAGTGCTCGCAAGCTCGCAAGCTCGCAACGCCGGCATGACCGAACCTCTCAAAGTAATCGCCCTCATCTCAGGCGGCAAAGACAGCATCTACAGCCTGCTCCACTGTCTCCAGCACGGCCACCAGGTCGTCGCGCTCGCCAATCTGTACCCCGCCCCGTCGTCCAATGAGCTTGAGTACGATCTGAACTCTTTCATGTATCAGACGGTGGGACATACCGTTATCCCGTTGTATGCAAAGGCGTTGGGGATTCCGCTGTATCGCCAGGAGATCACGGGGGGCGCGGTCGAGGAGGGCGTGGTGTATGAGATGAGGGAGGGCGATGAGACGGAGTGTCTTGTGCCGTTGCTGCGGAGGGTGGTGAGGGAGACGGGGGCAAATGCTGTGAGTACGGGGGCGATTATGAGTAGTTATCAGAGAACGAGGGTGGAGTGTGTGGCGGGTAGGTTGGGGTTGACGGCGTTGGGGTATCTGTGGCAGTTTCCTGTTGTGTCGGGGAGTGAGGGGGTGTTGTTGGGGGATATGGGTGAGGTGGGGTTGGAGGCGCGGATTGTGAAGGTTGCGAGTGGCGGGTTGGATGAGGGGTTTTTGTGGGAGAATGTTGCGGATGTGAGGGTGAGAAGACGGATTGAGGGCGCGATGAGGAGGTTTGGGAGTGAGGGGGATGGGGCGGTATTGGGTGAGGGTGGGGAGTTTGAGACGTTGGTGCTTGATGGGCCGGACGGGTTGTTTAAGGGACGGATTGTGGTTGAAGAGGAGGATAGGGAAATTGTTAGGGAGGGGGGTGGTGCGGCTTGGGTGAGGATTAAGAGGGCGAGGGTGGAGATGAAAGATCAGTCAAGAATTGAGGAGGTGAAATGTCGGGTTCCTGACCTTTTGGATCCGAAGTTCCGTGACATTCTTGCTGAGCTTGAGGAGATGAAGGAGGATAGTCCTGGTTCTACAACTGTTGTATCTTCTTCGGAAGCAAAACCAATACAACTACATACCACAACCCAAGATCCAAATACCCTTCACATCGCCCTCACCCCAAACCCATCAGCCTCCTCTATCTCCATCACAGGACAAACTCAAGATCTCATATCCCAGATCCATACTCTCCTAACCAACCACAAAATCTCCTCGACATCAATAACACACACCACAATCCTCCTCCGCTCAATCTCAGATTTCACAACCATAAACAAGGTATATCTCCTCTCCTCCCCCCTAACTACCCGACTAACAAACACAGCTCTACACAACCCTATTCCCACACCCCAATCCCCCCTCCCGCATCACCATCTCCCTCGGCCCTCTCCTCCCCAAAAACACACACCTCCAAATCAACCTCACGCTCTCCATTCACCCGCTCACCCACCGCAAAGCCTTACACGTGCAATCCTGCTCGTACTGGGCACCCGCCAACATCGGACCGTACTCGCAAGCCATCTCTCTACCTCTTTCGCCTGGACGTGAACAGCGGGTCGTCACGATTGCAGGGCAGATCCCGTTGATACCGGCGAGTATGGAATTATCTGAGGACAAGGGGTTTGCCTTTGATGCTGTGTTGGGATTGCAGCATTTGTGGCGGATTGGAACGGAGGTGGGCGTGGGTTGGTGGGGGAGTGTGGTGGTGTTTTTACCGCGTGCGAATTTTGATTTTAATGAGGAGAATGCTAGGATTGCGGCGAGAGCTTGGAAGTGTGTTCATGCGCCTCCTGATGGTGACGAGGATGAGGAGGATATTGATCTTTGGGATCACAAACATGATTCTGTGAATCAAACACACGGGGCTAGGAAAGGGGAGAGTGCGTTGCCGGATTGGAATGCAGTTGCAGGATCCAAAGAGCCACCACCGTTTTTTGCAGCTGAGATTGAGGATTTACCGAGGGGTGCGGCGGTTGAGTGGTGTGTTAGTGCTGGGTTTACTACTTCTGATTCTGCTGGTGTTGTAGTACATGCTACCGTCTCTGGCAAAGGGTGGAGTATCTATCAGACTTCCATCGCTAATCAAATGCACACCATCCTCTCTTTTTATTGGAGTGAAGATGGAGCGGAGATGGATGAAGCGCTGGCGGATGGGCGTCAGGTTTTGGGATTGCAGGGGAGGGATATGGGCTGGATTGGGGCTTACTTAGATAAGGAGGTCAAGAATTTTGAGAGTCAGGATGGCTGGGTTATACCGTGTAATCGGATCTGGGATGGGAGACGGAGGAGGGTTGCGGGGGTGCTTGTTTGGGAGGGTGTTGTTAGTGAGTGATTGGTATAGAGAGTGAAATGAAATGCAGATGAAATGAAATGTAGATAAAATGAAATGTAGATGAAATGAAATTATGTATATTGAGTACTGTGTAGTGTTTGGGATTGTGTAAAAATCTATGTTCTGTTGCATCTTGAGATAGGCTTCTTGCTTCGAGCTCCTATACGTAAGGCCCTGGTGCGGTCCCTACAAGCAAATTTGGGATTTCTGCTGAGCTATAGTTCTCAGAAGATCGTCTCTTTTCGTTTGAGAATGTGTCACCATGGTGATGACCGAATTAGTGAGCGAACGAGGGTGAATCTTGATTAATTCATGTCTTCCAAGGAAATAGAGTAGTATCATTGTTTGATTCGCACGAACAACTGATCTGGAGACAATATTGGTGAAATTGATTTTTTGGTGAAGTTGATATCAATGACATATTTACCCCACATTTCCCAAAGCGACGACACAACACCAAAAAATACCCTAGCTGATTTTCCACGAAGTGGATGTTTTGATAAGTTTTTAGTTTCGACTCAACTGAATTTTGGATTTCTCGTCACAAGATTCTCGTAGCTATCCCATCTCAAGTCCCCACAAGTCTCAACCTCGCACCTCCAAATACCTCAGCCCTACAACCTCACTCACATCAACAACAACCACCATAACCTCACATGACCACCACCCAACCACTCAAAACAACACTTCACAAACTTAACTATGCCCCCCTCACCCCTCTCCCCCACCACCTTCGCAACAACCCAACTCTCCCTCCTAACCACAGAACTCGAATCCGAAGTCCTCACCACCACCACGCTCCTCACATCCAGCACACCCACCGCCCTCTCCCGCGCCGGTCTCGCCCTCACCAACCTCCTCCTGGTCTCCCAACGCACCGGGCTCGGCGGCAAAACCGTCCTCGAGCTCTCCCCCGACCCCGCAACCGCTTCTGGGTCCGAAGACCTGCCTGAACATGGCATCCGCGTTGGCGATCTCGTCGTCGTGGGTGAGCAGCCATCGGGGAGCGCTAGGAAGAGGGAGATTCAGGAGTTGGAGGGGAAGGGGATGAGAGGTGTGGTTACGAGGGTGGGACGGAGGGCTGTTTGGGTGGCTGTTGAGGGGGAGGAAGGGCCGACGGGGAGGGTGTGGGTGGTGAAGTTGGCGGATGAGGTTACGTTTAAACGGTATTTCCTTGCTTACTTACTCTGTGGGAATGGGATGGGCTAATGGTGTGGTAGGATGAATCAAGTAATGACGCGGATCCAGAAAATGGGTTCAGATGAGTATTCCACGCTCATACGCGTGTTATTTGGTATCGACTCCCCGACTCCGGTGCAGGATGTCGGGGATATAGAGTGGGTTGATGATAGTCTTAATGAGTCTCAGAAGGATGCTATTAGGTTTGCGCTGGGATCGAGAGAGGTGGCGCTTATTCATGGTCCGCCGGGGGTAAGTGATGAGATCTGTGAGGTGTGAGGGGGCTGATGAAATCTAGACTGGGAAAACGCATACGTTGATTGAACTTATACTTCAGATGGTGAAGAGGGGGTTGAGGGTTTTGGTTTGTGGTCCTTCTAATATTTCGGTGGATAATATTGTGGAGAGATTGGTAAGTATTACTTTTCTTTGAAGTTCATCTTGTGACGCCGCTGGTTGATATAAAGCACATTTGAAATGGATGAAGGGGTTCAATCGTGTTCAAAACTCCTCTGATCGAACCCAGCCGTTTTCCAAGTCAAGAAGACTTTTACTTGCATTTCAACCTACAAGGGAGGATGTTCCTCTTCTAGCTTTACTTCCAAGTGTACCCTTCCAGCTCCAAATGACACATTCAAGGAGAAGCCTCTCAAAACAGCAAAACCAGCTCAAACATGGCTGTCTCGAGCTCAATAAAAGTTGTCTATATAGAAGTTTTCGAGGTGCGCCGTATGGAGCTGGAAGGGACACTCTTCTCATAATCCCCATTCTCTCACAGCCTCCTCTATCTTCATCTCTACCAATCTGCATACCTATTCCTCTCCACACTCACAACTAACCCCCCCAGGCCCCCCACAAACTCCCCATCGTCCGTCTCGGCCACCCCGCCCGCCTCCTCCCCTCAGTCCTCCACCACTCCCTCGATATCCTAACCCGCGACTCCTCCGCGGCAGAAATAATCCAAGACGTCCGCAAAGAAATGGACACCAAACAGGCCTCAGTCCGCAAAACCAAAAGCGCACGTGAGCGCAAAGCCATCTACCTAGATCTCCGCGAACTACGCAAGGAATTCCGGAATCGGGAGCGGAAATGTATTAGTACGTTGATTAAGGGCTCGAAAGTGGTGTTGGCGACGTTGCATGGTGCGGGAGGGTATCAGTTGAAGGATGAGGTGTTTGATGTTGTTGTTGTGGATGAGGTGAGTGGATTGTGATGAGTTGTCGAGGAGAGCTGATGGGTGTAGGCTAGTCAGGCATTGGAGGCTCAGTGTTGGGTTCCGTTGTGGAAGGCGAAGAAGGTTGTGCTTGCTGGTGATCATTTGCAGTTGCCGCCGACTATCAAGTCGCTTAATTCGAAGAGTAAGAGTGAGATTAAGAGTGAGACGAAGAGTGAAGTAAAGAGTGAGGGGGGTGGAGGGGAGATCATTAAGGGTATGACGCTGGAGACGACGCTTTTTGATCGCTTGATTGAGTTGTATGGGGATACTGTTAAGGTGAGTGGACTTTTCATCAGATATGGTAGTGTTCGATATAAAGACAATTCATGTCTCATCGTGTATGAAGCAGTGAAGTGCTTTCATACTGAAGCGAAAAAACCACTCACTCCATTCTCATTTCCTTAAAAGCTCATCCCACCTCATGCTCAACAATCAAGCTAACCACCCCTAGCGAATGCTAACAACCCAATACCGGATGCACTCACTAATAATGCAATTCCCCTCCGACACCCTCTACTCATCCCTCCTCATCGCGGCCAACTCCGTGAAATCGCGTCTCCTATCCACCCTTCCCTACGACGTACTAGAAACAGAAGATACGACCGAACCGCTCATATTCTTCGATACCCAAGGCGGTGATTTTCCAGAAAAGAACGAGGAGGAAGAGGAAGAGAAAGGGAAGAAAGGGAGGTTGCTGGGGGATAGTAAGAGTAATGAGATGGAGGCTTTGCTTGTGAGGAGACATGTTGGGAATTTGGTTGAGGCCGGGGTGAAGGAGGAGGATATTGCTATTATTACACCTTATAATGCGCAGGTGAGTGATGCATTATGCCGTTCGGAGCGTTCGTATTGAAGGGAGCATGGAGGAAAGATTTGAAAGGTTGAGATTTCCTGTTCGAGGCATATTTGTTGGTACATCGTGTATGACTTACACAATTGTACCAGCAGATATGCCTCCCAACAAACAACTTCTCAACCGCAGAGAGATGACCCCTATGTTGTGGAGAAGTTCATGTCGGATCTGCTATTCAAACCTCTCGTCCTCCCAAAACACATCATGAACTCACTAATACCACCGACAGCTCGCCCTAATAAGCCGAACCATAAAAGAAACATTCCCCGGCATCGAACTCGGAAGTGTCGACGGTTTCCAAGGCCGAGAAAAAGAAGTATGTTCCCATGTCATCACTCCAAACATCAAACCATGAGCCTATCAAACATCCCTCGCTGCTCACCCGAGAAGTCTGGGGTAGCAAAAAAAGTGCCGAACATCCCATTGACGCAACCAAGGCCATAATCGTATCTTTGGTACGCAGCAACCCCGAAAAAGAAGTCGGCTTCTTGGGCGAGAAAAGAAGATTAAATGGTATGTTTCTCACCCACCCTTCCTATCTACCCGAAAACCGGGAATCGCAAAACAAATAGTTCGTTGCACTGCGTATCGGAATTTAGCACTGACGCGAAAAAAATCGATAAAGTCGCTATGACACGACCCCGTAGAAGTTTAACAATCATAGGCGATTCCGAAACACTGTCGTGAGTTCAGACCCTTCTCTGACATCCGTTTCCCATATCCATTTTCGATAGACTTATCTGACTGGGCTGGGTCTAGCGGCAATAACAAGTTTTTGAAATCCTGGATGGTGTTTTTAGAGGAGAAGGCCGATTTGAGATATCCTGATGTGGGGGAGTTGAACAGTATATCATGACGCGTGGGAAGGAATGATGAGATGTTCGGTTCTCGGATCGAAAGAGTGAGATCTGGGTAATGGCATTAACACGGGCAGATCCGTGGAACTAATTGGTTATGCTTGCGCCATCATCCTCATCTCGCCTCCAGATGTTGAACGGGGAGATCCACGTGATTTCTAGGATCAGACGAATGACGAACTGGGAGCTGGGTTGTTTCAGGTAGATGGCGTCGTTATACTTTCGTCGTTGTATCTAGCGGCGAAGATACAGTAGGTTTTCTGTGTTAGCCGCAACTATACATATATAACATCATGCCATCTCCCTCTCTCATTTCAGCAACGAGAGGAATGCACGCTGCATGAACCTCGTGTGCGGGCACTTGCTTGTGAGAAGATACGAGCGTGTATCTGGACGAGCGAGAGTGCCTCTGGCGCACATACAGTGCTTTGACTCTAGTTGTTGCTTGTTTCATAGCGGACTTGCATTAGACCTATCCCAGAACACGCACGGCAAATTAGTCTCTTCTGAATCTGGAAAGAGTGATGGATTCTTTTAGGCTTTCGAGCAGGTCATCTTTCGCTGGTGTAGCGTCTCATGCAGACAAGCCGTGTATGGGATGTTCGTCTTTTCTTTTGTTAGGGGGAGGAATGGAGATGTCCATTCGGGGAATATACTTTTGGTTGGATATTGCGCCACGGCATGATTTTGGCCTGGATGAGGTGCAATCGTGGAGGGAGATCGCGCCAGTACCATGAGTTGTGCCTCTCGTTACCGGAGGATGACGGGTGGTGATGGACTGAGGTTGTTGTTGGTGGAGAGATCATAGTTGCTGGTCATAAGATTGCGACATTGAAGAGTGCTATAGGCTTGTGATACGTTGGGTATTATTCCTATAGTTGTTGTCTGCCTTTGCAGGTTGGAATTGGAATCACGTCCACGTCGATACCCCTCTCCACCGTGTTTCAGATCTCCAGAGTGAAGTCTTTTTGGAGCAGCCGCGATGCAACCCACGCCAGCTCGCAGGAAGCGTTTCCCGCCAGCAGAGGTGTCGTACTGGCGTCGACGGCACCTTTCCCAATGACTTTTATTGTCTGCGGAGAATTGATCCAACGGAGAAAAAGATGCGATGCACTGTGCAGTAGACTGGCAGGCTGAAGGGTCTTTTGACAGAGTTGGCGGTCCTGTGGTCCCTTAGTGGGGTCTGCTTGCATAAGGGAAAGCACTTGCAAGTTATTCCAAGTGATAATGGTTGAGATAGCATAAAAATATAAACACAAGTATAATTGAGCAATATCATATACTTTAGTCTTCTAGTCTCGGATTCCTATCAAGCCGCTTCTCATACTCGCCCGTTCGAGCCACTTCTCAATACACCTCGACCCCTTCGTAGGGACTTTTCGAGCTCGGCACGCGTTGATGGACAGTGGACACCACCTCCCCTGTCCCTTCCCATCCCTAGCAGCCCGCTCTCATGCCAGCTCAAGTTTCAGGGATCTCTCCCTGTTGTCTATCGCGACAACTCCAGGACACCGAGGACAGGTCGACCTAGGATATATGATACGTGATGCGCCCACGCATGGACTGATGATTTTAGTTGGTTAATGGGCATTCTTGTCAACATGCCGACTTTTGTTCTCTCCTTTCCCATTGTTATGTGCTCTGGAATGAGGGTTATATAGGATTGCGCCTCGATCTATTTCTAATCGCCCACCCCTCTTCGATTGTCACAATATCCGACACCGGTAGCATGCGCAAGAGCTGGCCTGCAGATGCATACCCCTCAATAACAAGTCTGGCCTCAACTTCTCTCTAGATTCTGGATTGTCAGAGACAGATTGTAGATTTTCACAATGAGTAAATTTCGAGCTTCTGGAAAGTGGAATGGGGATGCGCCGAGTCGAGAGACAGGGTCGATCCGCGGAAAGACAATATCGAATCCAATTCCAATAGAAGACGAGGATTTCCCAATTAGAACCCCAGGCACAGGCATTGCAGTACCCATAGGATCCAAGGGAGAAGAACAAATCCGGTTGAGGTCGTCCAACAGTCCCGATCTGGAGAGTATAATGGAGAGACCAGCACTACCAGTGGGTGCTCCCGCAGACCATTTAGAATCGACGTCAGTAGCCGCGAAACCATTAGAGGAGAAGCCAGCTAGACGCACAAGTCCTCCAAGAGCCCCGAGAATGTCGACGACAAGCGTTCCTTCAAAGATAAATATGGAAGCTCCCCAGCGGAAGAAGTCGTCGCTGAGGACGGTGTTTGGCAAATTGTTTGGAAAGAAGCGGAAGAGCGTTGCCTCCACTACCACGGCTCCAAGTCAGGATGGCGGGGATCGTGCGGATCAGCACCGCAGTGTGAGTAAAAGGAGAATGAATTATGGCGAAAGCTTTACTGACTGCTGAACAGGATCCGTCTGCGCTCACTCGCAACAAGAGAGATTCTTCCAACACCCAGACTCGCTCAGTCTCATTGCCGATAAATGAGTATAACCGCGCATTACGGTCTCACTCGATTGTACTCGATCCAGAGGACTTCACGATGCGCGAAAATCCAGAGACAAACCAGCGAGACTCCACACAGACAGATGGGCAGACGCGGGCGAGGAGAGCTACCACACCTAGCAGATTATGGACACCAACAAAAGCAGCTGGGTTTGCTGGTGACTGGACAGGCTTATCACCTCGTCCTGCTAGTAGCCATGCAAGAGGAAGCAAATCCGTATCTGCTGGGGAAGCAGACACTGGCATTGGCATGGCCGTTACCAGCGGTAGCCATCCAAACCGACGTTCCAGAAGCGTGGGCGAACTCAGAGCTATCACTTCACCTGCCATAGCAAGACGGAGAAGTGATGAAATCCGATACTGGCGAGAAAGCTATGACCCAGGGGTGATATCTCCCTTGTCCTCGAACCGAGCCGAAGACCCCATATTGTCCGACGATGGTGAGGATCCACACGTGGAACCCGAAGAACCTCCTCAACCCTTCAATTTCGGACCTATGGGTGAAATGGCCGGCATGAAGATAACTCAAGCAGCGAGTTTGGAGTCTCGGGTTCTTCAGCTAGAAAATAGAGTGCAGAGGATGGAAAAGGCTGTGATTAAGCTCCATCGATATCAATCTGCCGAAGCATTACAGCTTCAAGATCCTCCAAGAAGATCAAATAAATATAATAGTGTGTCGTATGGTCACAGACCAGCTACGGGCACATCTGAGGCTTCATTGCCAAAACATGAAACTCGACATCGAACACTCGACACGGGGTCATATGGAAGCCAATTCCGTTCCTCATCATATGGAAGCAGTCGACCACGTACAGTCGACACTGATACCCAACAACTACCCTCGCTAGAAACATTTCCTTTATCAAACAACGAAAACAGTACCTCCCAAACCGTCCGGCCTCTCTCCACATCCACCACCATCCGCGGCATCCCATCTTCCTCCCCCACCATCTCGAAAGACGGCTCCTTCACAGCCGAACACCTAACCTACCTCACCAACCTAATAGTCAATGAGCAAACAGCTCGCCACCAGCTCGAAGCCATCGTCCAGACCCTCTCAAGCCAACTCCAAAGTCTAAAAGTCACGTCTTCTGGGAATGACCGCTTAAACCTAAACACGCAAGGTAAAGCCCGTTTCGAACACTTCGAACAAGACGACAGTGAAGACGAAGCCGGCTACGGTGACGAGGTCTTCCAAACGCCCAATGAGGAGCGGAATTGGGGCGATGGCACGTTTGGGGATGTGATGAAGGGGGATAGTAGGACGTTGAGTCTTAGTCGGATGACGACAGGTAATGGATTGCAACTTGTATAGGTGGGATTTTGAGGGGCGCGGTTTGTACTATTATACCATGGGATTTGGATGCGAGGTCATTGGGTGGTAGCGTTGCATGTTTTGGCATTTTTTGGGTAAGGTGTTTTTGGGTATTTGGGGGTCGGGATATGTTAGTAGGAAGATTGAATAGGTGGTGGTTATATAGGTGAGTTGTGAGAGATAGAAATGTTGTAATAGAAATGTTTGAAAACTTATGTTAATCTCAACTTGTTCTTGATTACTTCAACATTTTTAGCTAATTCTAGATTCTGATGACTGGCCGCTCTTTGTACACTGTATACACACCGAATATAGTCGATGCTAGCGCGAACATACACCAAGTAAAGCCAGTTTCACTCTACCAGGTGGTTCTCGGAATGCCTTTTCTATCCTGATATATTTTACGACAATTTCGATACTGAAAGCTCTTACTTACCCTTACGATAAACATAATAGCTAGAAATGAATTCTAGTACGGTATTACTTTGATAGCAAGTTTTCCACGTTATTTGTAGTACGTCTATTATCTTTGAGAAGTCTTGCGATGGCTTCTGCGGCAGGTACATATGTCGTGCTTTGTACACGAAAGCAGCATATGCTAAGAGGAAAGAGCTAATCCTGCAAAGAATGCGTAGTTCTCTTGTGTACATGGCCGATCTTGGTGTTTTTGCTGCAGATGGCTGTTTGAAGATAGCAGGACCTACATGTTCTAACCGACTATCTAGTACTTCATAACACCTCTTCTTCTGAATAGAGGGTTTCAGTATAGACTAACACTCAATGAACTGAGGCATAAATACGGCACTTTCAAAAAGCCCAACTACTTCCGAGATACACTACATCATTCCCTTCCACCACCTACCCGGTCTTCAGCAAGTGTCGCACCCGAAAACACATGGATACGTAGCACGACCACGCGCGTGACATGTTCTAGCTGTCGGGAGTCGGGCGGCAGATAGCTGTCGGGCAGATACAGAGTTACGGATTATTTGGGGTTGTACGGACGGATGTGATTGCTTGAGGTTGTACTGTTGGGATGAGATGAAAATGGCAGGTGAGATAGGGGTTAAGTGGTGATAGATGGGATGAGGGGTTTGATTGGGTGAGGATGTTGCGTGTTGTGTATGTGGTTTGCCGCACCGCTTTTTGAGGATGTTTGTGGAGAGGGATTGAGAGGAGGGTTAGTCACGTGTTTGTTATTTTGTTTCTACTAAAGAAGATACAAAATCAGTATTATATCTAGTGACTATAAGTCTGATGATTTCTCTGTATATATAACGATTGATAAAGCATCCTCACAAATAAAACTCCAATCACATGACACTACTCCATCACTGTCAAGTCTCTCAAGCCGCCGAGTCTCTCGTCCTAATTTCCACCCCCTTTAACCGCCTTAGCTCACCCTCACTCCAAGCGCTCCCCTTTCGATTTATGAAACCCAAATCCCACCATCACTCACCAAAATAACCTCGAACCGCGCGATGAGTTCATCGTGATCTTGCATGCACGATCTTAGTAGATTTGCATGCGCAAGTGCATTTACGATGTTCAAGTGTGGGAGGCGAATGAAGTGAGCGAATCAAAATGCTGTTCCTGGATTTAGTTCAGGGCGGATGGCGTTATTTTTGGGTGCTTATTTATGCGTGGACTAAATTGGGGTTTGTTGGGGCCGTGGGTGAGATGATCGACGAAGGGAGATCTGTTGATTGTTTTTTGTTTTGTTTGGGGTTTGGGGATGGGGAGGATGGAGGGTTTGGTTGTGAGGTTTGGATGATATGGAGATGGTTGAAGTAATGTTTGTGATTCGGAATTTGGATTTGCAAGGGTCTTGGTTTTGTAAGGGGTCCAGAAGATATGGTAATGTATACAAGTATTTACAGCGTTCCTATGACGAGAATTCAATGAAAGAAAAGGTAAATGATTGAATTCCGAATATATCACACATCCGATTCTACGTTCCGCCTAACAATTCAGCTGATCAAGTCGACCAGTTTCGTGATACCCCACGAAGGCTGAACTAGGTTACCTGAACAGGATTCAGGATCACCTATCTTTTTCTCCGAAAGATCGCAATCTTGAGGACTCCACGATCGGGCAAGCATATCCCAAATATCAACGGTGGTTTGATCAGAGATTTGGCTTGTTGTTGTGGAGAGTGTTGACGACGCTGAGCGGACTTGTTTGCTCGTTACAAATTGTCATTTCCTTTGACATCCACTTGGCTTTGGTGGTTACGTCGTCGGTGGGTGATTATGAGATTGGATTACCGGTAGTGACTTAGAGAAAGAGTCATTTGCAGTTGAAGAAGAGGAATTGGTATATTTTGCTATTGACGTTTGACTGTTCGGCCGTTTGTTTGGTAGCCGTCACTCCGCTTTCTATTTGCTCAGTCAATCTGCAGTTCTCCCGAGTCGCTGCGCAGGCTGGTGGCAGATAGAACAGACGAGGTTGAATTACACAGCGTCTGAATCCATCAGCTGAGCAGAAAATCTTCATGATCTTGAGACAAAAGATAAAGATTCGGCCGATACTAACTGCGTGATGCAGTGACTACTTGATTAAGACCAAACGAAGCAACACTTGCTCCAAAAATTGACATCACCACAACAGTCCTAACAAGAGCTGGACTATCCAACTATTTGAATTCAATTATAGGAGGATCGTCACCTAAACGCACACTCAACAGCCTAATAAACATAATTACGAAAAGTCGCTCTCCTTTCCGCCCCTGAATGCTGATCTTGGACGCTTCACTGGCCACCACCACTTCCCACCACTTGGCCAGCCCTCCTTTGCCTTCGTGAGTAATTTGGCATCCCTGTCCGTTCCTAGATCGCTCCTTCCAATGCCAACGCACTTCCCCTTGTTTAGTCGCACCTGCCCCGCTCGCTAATAACTACCCTCCCTCCCATTGGCCTCTGCTTGGCTTGTTCCTGGCCAGAATTAGTCTAAACCTAATTCAGCCTAGCCGCGACACTCAATTTCCAGGCACGCTGGCGGACTGCCTCAACCTCCCTATCTTCCTCGTTCTCTTCGTCGACCTCCCCGTTGAAGACCATCACATTCCATCCCAACTAGAGAGTTTCGACTCTCGACCACACTCATTTAGGAACTGCTGAATTATCGATCCCTCTTTCCAACATCCTGATCCAATACCTCCTCTATCCGCTTCCAACGAGAAATCCAGAACTGTTTACAGAAAACCTACCACTCTATCCATCCATTTCGACGAAGAACGCGAAAACTCAAGAGCCTGTCGAGATCGCTTGTTAAATTGTACGTCGCATCCTTCGATCGCTTTGCATTCGCTTTGTGTGCTGGGATTTCCTTTGTGCCGAGTAATCTTCGCATTGTCCTGGTCGCGAGATGAGTTGGTGGTCCAGTCAATACTAACAATTAATTCACAGTTTCGATCACGACACAAAGTCTATGACTCTCGAGATTTCCATATAAAACCCCTGCAGCAGTCTCCGAGAGACCACCGTCTTTTAGTTTTAGTATTCTTTCACGAATACGCTTCTTCACAATGAAGTTCTCCAGAATCGCGCTGCTTAGCGCCGCAACTCTCGCGGTCGCCCAGCCTCAGCATAACCATGCCCGACTCCACGGAAAACGAGGCACACCAGTCGAAGCTCGCGACGCTGCGTACACCACTGTTGTTGCTGGCCCAGTCGTCACCGTATATGAGCTCAATGGCGTAACCATCACTTACGACGACGTCCAAGCAGGTATCAAGTCGGGCAAATATGTCCTTATTGGCGACACTCTTCAGAGCGTTGCTCCAGCTCCTGCACCCTCAACTTCAGCTGTTCCACCACCACCATCTTCCACACCAGTGCCAAGTTCAAGCGCCGTCAAGGCTGCTGTCTTTGTGGAAAAGCCGACCACCTCTTCAACACCAACCCCTACCCCTACTCCGACACCAAGTAGCGCCCCGGTCGCTGCATCTTCTTCGTCTTCCCAAGCCGCTGCCACGAGCTCTTCCCCATCCAAACCCTCAAGTGGTGATGGTGATGTTACCGCCGAGTTCCCAAGCGGTACAATTCCTTGCTCTACCTTCCCTTCGGCTTACGGAGCTGTCTATGTTGACTGGCTCGGTCTTGAGGGATGGATCGGTATCCAAAAGACTCCAAGTTACTCCGCTGGAGCAAAGTCCATTTCCGAGATTCACACTGGTGTCTCTGGTGGTTGCGAAAAGAACTCTTTCTGTTCCTACGCCTGCCCTCCTGGTTACCAAAAGTCTCAATGGCCATCTGCTCAAGGTAACACTGGACAATCTATTGGAGGACTTTACTGCAACAGCAACGGTATGCTCGAGCTTTCCCGCCCAAGCTACAAGACCATCTGCCAGAAAGGTGCCGGAGGTGTTTCCGTCAAGAACAAGCTCTCCAAGAACGTCGCCGTTTGCCGTACCGATTACCCAGGTAGCGAGTCCGAGACTGTTCCATTGGACTGTGCTGGAGGTGCCACGCTACCAGTCACCAACCCTATCGCATCTGAATACTACGAGTGGGAAGGAGCTGCTACCTCTGCTCAATACTACATCAACCCAGCAGGTGCTTCTGTCTCTGATGCTTGCAAGTGGGGAACCGCTGGCTCCAACATGGGTAACTGGGCTCCTGTAAACATGGGCGTTGGAACCACCGATTTCGGTACCTTCCTCTCCATCTTCCCAAATGCTCCAACCAACCCAGATGGAACACTTGACTTTAACATCAAAATTACTGGAGATGTTACTGGTAAGTGTGAGTACAAGAATGGACAATATTACACCAACGGTGTTGTCTCTCCAACAGGATGCACAGTAAGTTCAACCCATGACTTTAAGATGAATTCAATGACTAACATATTCCAGGCCGGTGTTACCAAGGGTGGATCTGCAGTCTTCGAGTTCTCATAGAGAATTAAAGAATTATAATCCACATTACCAACTTTCTCATCGTGGATACCCTGCTGCTCGTACACTTGAAAATTTGCGAGTCACGACTGTTGCTTTCCTCGCCTCTTCATATATCCAAGGGCCTTTCAAAGTCTGTCGGTCATCACATACTCGCCACAGCTAGATCAAAAGTCATTAAATGAGTTATCTAAAGTGCTTCGATTATATCGCCTTCTGGAAACTCGGGCCCTTTTGGACCTCTTCTTTCCTTTGTATCCAATGTCGTTAATGTTTTGTTACAATATTGTCTGGTGGCTCGGTGCCTTTTCTTACGCACAACATCTGAGACAGTGGCTAGATGTGGTGGATTCCCTCTTGATGTTTGTTGGAAGGCGTGAGGGGTGTTCTAAGCGGATGGATGCTCTTAACATGGAGGTGCCGGATTCCTTCGATTGGCCATCACTTTGGTTATAAGGAGCTTTGAACGCTCGACACCGCCATACCCTGTGTCATAGAATTTCCTTAACAGATACTTCGTCGGTTCTCTCATTTCTACGGCCTTTTTCCAAAGGCCGCTGGCGCACTTTGCATAGCTACGTATGTTCTGTCCTTCGGCTCTTTTCGGCGTTTGCTGCTATATCGAGCGAATGATCCAAATCTGTCAACTTGAAAAGGAATATGGTTTTTGCTTGTGGCTGGTTCTGCAGGGTGTAGATACTTATGGGACCTTTGTGTATTCAACCAAAAGAGATTTCGGTAGTTCTAGTGGTACGAAGGGAGAAGAAACAAGGAAAGACGTTCGATCTGTTGCATCCCTTATCCGCCTTCCATCTTCGTCAAGGAGTTAAGTCAAGTCAAGTAAATATCTGGGTTTCTAGTTTCTTGTGTATACGAAAATTATTCCTATTCGCTGCTTTTTGCCTGATCCGTGAGTGAAGTTATTGTAGGTGATTGTGGTTCTTGAGTTTTGCGAGATTGATAGTGATGAATTGTTGTGTTTTCTTCGTAAAGAGGTAAAGGTGACTTGGGTTGGCATGGGATGGTAAGTGAGTAGGTGAGTGGGTGATTCAGTAAGTACTCTGGTCTGGATGTGTTTCCTGTGAATATCCGGTATACTCTTCGATACTTTGTGAATCCAATGATGTGAGTCAATATCCATGGAAATACAGATGAATCACATAATATCGCTTGGACCTAGAGCATTTCACTTCGAAAAAGAAAACTCTAATCTATTGTGACAATTCACGTCCTTAAAACGAATACCTCTAACTTGAAGGGAAAGCCACAACAACCGGAAGCTCCCTCGCTAGTGGGCTGTCATCCAAATCCGGGGTCTGTCCACCCCACTGAAAACCACACCTCGTAACTCACTCGTCAGTACCGCTGCACCCCACCTGCAACAATTGCGTGCTTGTGATGGAGAAAGCACAACACCCTACCTACCGTCCACTCCTGTACTTTCGGCCAACTGGGTGACAGGCATTGATTGAGTACCTGAATTGAGAGCGGTTGGGCTGAGAGGCGTGATTGGAGTGGGGAGGGTATACGGATATGGCGTCTCAAGCTGCTTTGTCCCAAAGTCCTCGGACGTCGTCGCCATCATCTGCGAAACAAACTGAAGTTCGAAAAACTCAATCAGTGCGATCGCTGCCCACGCGCAAATCCGCAGATACAAACTCGAATTCACCGCTTGGGCGCGTGGATAGTAAAACAAGGATTGAAGATCTGCTGGACGGGGCGAGGAGTAGGAAGGTTAAGCTGTCTGGGGATATGGCTAGGAGGAGGGGACAGGAGGATGGGGTTGATGAGGGTGTGGATGAGGCGACGAGGTTGGATGTGAGTGGGCAGAGAGGATATGCTGGGACGGAGGTGAGGGAGAGGGATGTAGCTGGTGGTGGTGTAGATGAGGGGGAAGTGCTAGGAGGAGAGGAAGAGGGAGATGGAGATGGTTATTGGACTCGTCTCCTCAGTAAATACGGGAGTATTGAACTGGAGAATAAAGGAAGTGTAGCGCGCGATCATTTGGCACTTGGTTCGTTCTATCTCCCCTTTCCTCTACCCATACTAACCTACCTCTCCAGAACGTACATTCCTAGCCTGGCTCCGCACCTCCCTGGCCTTCGCCTCCATCGGCATAGCCATCACGCAGCTCTTCCGTCTCAACACCACCTCCGCCGCCGCCCACACGCGCATCCGCCAGATGGGCAAACCCCTCGGCGCGACGTTCCTCGCCATCTCGATCCTTGTCCTCGGCGTCGGGTTTCATCGCTACTTTGAGGCCCAGCATTGGGTTATCAGAGGCAAGTTTCCGGCGAGTAGGGGCAGTGTGGCGCTTGTTGCGGGTGTGACATTGGGTTTGATGGTTACGAGTTTGGTTGTTGTGTTGGCGGTTGAGCCGGGGGGTTTCGAAAGGAGGTGAATAGATGCTTGTTGAGTTGATCACTAGCGAATATGCTCGAGTGGGTGTGGAGGACGTATGGTTGAGGTAGTGAGTGAGGACTAGATTGAACCACTTGGCGTTTACCATTGAGGTGTAGAGTATGATACTATATGCGTTACCCAGCTAATCAGATCTGTGGTGCGAGAAACTTAACATAAATATCTATTAAACTAGATACATTCTTACTATTAATCTTAAGGTCTATCACAGCATCCTTTAGCAACCCTTGAGACGATTTTGTTACCAATAACTCGTGAGAAGCTATTTCACATTCGTCTACTGTGTACTTACAGAATCAACAAGATGGATTTATATAAATTGGGGGTCGTTTAAATAACAGTGAAAGGTCAGTCTTTCCCAGAATTTCCCGTTAAACCGTTCTACTTATATCCAATTTGGTCAAGCAAGTAGTTTAAGACTTTGAGCAGGCATTCATGAAAACATTTCTCAGTCTTCTTTCTGACTGACTCAAGAAGACTCAGAACTTCCAAGCTATGTTCTATCATCTCTTTCAAATCCAGCACTTATGAGTATATATAAACAGTTCCTCTCCATGTTTTTTCATATTAGTTAGAGCAGACTTAAAAGAAGTAAGTCGTAGCATCAATTAAGAGTCTTACGCGTACTATATAATCGACTTTCCTGTACGCGTGGTAGCATTAATCACCAGTCTTCCATTTGTTATTTCTCTCAGGGTAAGGAATACCATTACCCAAAAGGCTTACGTTGAATTTTTTTAACGGCCTTTTCGCTTTAACAGAGACAAAGTTTGGATAGCAACAGAAATCGCAAATCACAGCTCCAAATCTCACTTCAACCAGAGTCACCTGCCCAGCGTTGGTGAGATTGAACAACATAGGATATTCTAAATAACAGTGAAAACACCAATTGTATATGATAGCCAAGATATCACATGATTCGTTGCAGGGACATGCCAAACCAAAGAAAGAACGGTCATGCAAGGAATGAATAGCCCCAATCCCTTGAACACCCTTTCCACAGACTCTATTTGCAGAGTATGTCTACTACTGCCTCATGAACTCGCAATTTCGCGGTCGTGGGTTGAGATGTTTACAGGTGTTGCTAGAATAGGAGTTTGCAAAGACAGAGTAATCTCCAGTCAAGTGGCAGCCTCGCTGTTTGAAGGATTGCCTTTGAGGAACGTAGGAGTGTAGCTGTGTAGATGGTGAGGAAGTATTGATGTTGATGATCCACGCTATCTTGAGATCCGTATGTGGAAGGGATTAGAGGAGAGGTTGTGGGTAAGATAGTGAGGTTTGTTCTTAGGTTATAGCAGGTTGTGTTTATGTTTGGTTTAGGGGAGGTAGAGGAGATGATAGTTTTCCTGTGTAGATGTGAATAGTCCTTCCTTAGTAAAGTTTTTAACCTCTCGATGTAAATAGTCTTCAGTGAATTCTTTTAGATCTCGATGTAAATACTCTTCAGTGAAGTTTTTTTCTTGTCGACACAAATACTCCCAAGTGAAATGCAACAAGAACGTTGATTAATACCCTACCTTTCCACCCCAGTATCGATTACCACTCACATTACTCAACACGCGGGTACATCTCTCTTCATCTACACACAAACCCTCTCTTAAGTACCTCCATCACCCAAGCCAAATCCCCCAACAGCGAAGGTTCTGATGTCGTGATAGTGATTATATCACTTCCAGGACAAGTCTTCCAGATATGAAATTTTCTTTGGTGGCGTATACACATGAGTTTCCAGTACCCACAGAGACTTCGATGCGCCATCCTAGTATCTCTATCGCTATTCCTCATCGTGGTCAGGAGGAATACTTGAGATGTACTTGGAAGTCTTATCCTGCCACACAAAAAGAGTAATCTAAACCCAAAACCTTCCATAGATCACCCTTCAAGCACATAATACTCACAATCCCAAAAATGAACACACAATTCAAGTCAAATCATGATCTTATTTTTAAAAAGCCTCCCTAAACTATAATACAAATTCCTAGCTCACCCATTGCTCCAGTTTTCCTTCTCGGCAGCGAATTTGTAGTGCTAATAAACTACTCCGTTGTGCTTGCCTAAAAGCAAGCGGGTATGATGTTTGTGCTGTGAAAGTAATGACGGACGTGGGGAAACATGATGCAAAAAGTATTCAGGACGCCGCTGTTGTTGGGTGTTTTGGTACAAGATGATGAGAGGCTGTTTGCCTTTGAGGATGTCGACTCGATGATTGACCGATTGCTTTCGTTGCCTGATACGTATCGTATGATGAGAAATGACGTGAGTACGACGACCCACATTTGCTCAAGTTGACGAAAGTGAGTCCAGTGACGACAAATGCGCATCTAACATATCGAAAGTGAAGTCGATGTCCAGAAAGAGCATTCTGTCGAGACTGTGGAAAATATGATTTGATATAAAGTGATGAAATTGAAATGATTGATTACGCCGTGGTCTCCTATGCTATGCCTTGCTATGCTGAGCATTTTAAATCCGCCCTAAATGTGGGCGGCTGATCTGGGTATGTTGCCGTTGAAGTGGTATCTTGATGTCATCGAAGAGGTTCGTATCTATGTATGCTCTCCATCTGTGTCTCCTCCCCGAGACACATTCCCTATATTGCTGTGATCGTATGATTTTTATCTCTTCCTTCCTCCACCGCTGCCACCCGTTGAAGTGATCTTCGACGTCGACATCAGATCACCGATATATTTTTGTAAGAATTTGTTGTTGTTGTCTAGCTTGTCGTGTTCCTCCTTGACGGCTTCGATCCGATTAAAGATCTCTAAAAGGGACTTTTGAAGGGTTTTGGCATGTCTGTCACGTAATTAGTCTACCGTGACAATCAGAAGGACAATAATAATCAACTTACGCATCTAAATGCGCTCTCGCTTCCTGTCCCATCTTCTCTAAATCCTGCGAACTCCTTCTTGGGCTCATGGCTCTGGCATCATCCTCATCAAAGTCCTCATCTTCATCGTTCATTTCCGTACGTGCCTCACGTGGTACTATGATGGTCCCACTTGATTTCCGCGATAACAGACGAGGCCTCTTGAGGTTTTGTTGTGGTGTGACGGTGTCTGCCTCGTGAACTGAGGAGGAGGAGGATGAGCTACCGCTGGAGCGCAGGGACGCTGGTAAGGCTTGGGGATGTGGTGATGTTATTGAAGACATATCTGGTGGTTGAGTTGAGTTTGCGACTCTATCTCCTCCGTGATTCTCTACTGCTTCTTTGCCGCCGTCCTTAGATGGTGTACCGTGAGAAGCCGTTGTGTCTTAGGTGTGCGATCTCAACTCGCGAAGCTGTAAAGGTGGGAGAATCAAATGGTATATGAGGTCCACAGCGCTGCTGCAATAATTGATTCAGGTATTGAAAACGGTCGACGTGATATAACCTTAAGCCCTCTAAAATCGTGGTGAGGATAGCTGGGTATCTTGGATCATCTGCTTGCAGTGAATAAGATGAAAAGTCGTGCTGAAAAAGTTGTGGTTAAAGGATTTGTGGTATGCGTGGAGGTAGTTGCTGGTGGATGTGGGTTTGATGCAAGCAGCGCAGCAAGCAGCAGCAGGAGGCTCGAGAGGGAACTTGCAGCCACTTGCAGCGGCGGGTTCGGATCCACCTTTGGATCGGCGGGTGAGACCCTGTCGGAGTGGGTTATCTCTCCGCTCTTTTTCTACGTCCGTACAAGTCGATTCTGCCAGACTAGACAAGTTTGTCTGTGACCCGACAAGCGTATCTGCGCGCGGAGGAGTCGTGGAGTCGTGGTGTAGTGGGAGTTTGATGAGTGTTAGGTTTTGATCTGCGTGTGAGAGGGCAACTTTATTCGTAGGAGAGTGAGAAGAACGCAAACATGATGAGTACGGAAAATCTATCATCAGTTTCACAGGCGAGGCTCCGAGGCAGACACGACGTCATTGAAGGAATAGGACTCTGGACAGATTACGAAGGACGGTACGAGCCATAGTAAGGTTTAGTCGTATGTTTAACCTTGGTTCTATCACTGCATGGTCATCTACGAAATGCTATACTGTGTAATTGTATCATCACGTGTACTTTCAAGTCATTTCAAAAGTGCGCGATAAGTCGTCGGTCGTGTCTGTTCGTGTTTCCTTTGATTTGATTCCCCCCAGTTTAGTAGGTGCAGGTCCCTCGTCCTCGCTCGTGCCAAACAAACACGACAAAGTCATTGTTGTTGCCGGCTCACTCGGAGCCTCTTCTCCCCCCTCTTGATTCTCTCTCAACTCCACTCAGCTCGACTACACCACAATAACTCGATACCGAGGTGATATTATTAGTATATTGTGGTGTTGTTCGTATAGTCGCGTCGTGTCGCTGGTGTATTTAAGTACATCAAGTAGTTCTACACACAATCACCGCTCGTGTGGCTCATGTGGTCCCCTGAATCCCCTCTCTTGCCTATCTCATCCTAGCTGTGGCGGACACATGGCCTTCAAGCCCTTCAAACTGGTGGCTTGCGTCGCACCAGGACTATTGACAACTCGTACCTCGCGCCATATTTGAAATCATTTCACCAAACGAACCAGCGAACTCTGATTTGATACACCCTTACACCGTTCTTCCACCCAATGCGTCTATTATTGTTCAAAAGAGTGACCACAACCCCCATCGGCTCTCCTTTCCCGACCTCGTCCATTTCTGCATTCGTCGGCAAGGAAGATTTCGCCGCGTTTGGGACCGATCAGCCCCACGGCAATGACCTCACAGATGCCGATCAGAACACGGACGCAGCCAGTCATTCCGACTGACCGTCTGGGATCAACAACCTTTCTTCTGCTTCCAACACCTTGGCCCTCAGGCAAAAACGACACTTGACATTTCCAACGCCCAATCATCTCGGAAGGAAAGGATGAAACTCTCCCCAAGTTTGGACCTGTCGGCATGCGTCAAGAACAAGTGGTTCCATGATTCAATCTCCTACCCACAAAACATTGTCTATCTCTAAACTGATTGATCAAAACAGACACTTGTCACTAGCCGTCCCTATCACGACTCCCAAGAATCATAGAAACCGTCCATCCCTGACCTGAACACCACATATAATACCCGAACTATCCGCATGAGAGGCTCAAGATATTCATAGGGCATGGATTGACACTTGCGCTCTTGGAATATCCATCTATCTCCATTCGTTACGCAGTGACGGCGACGGATGCGGCCAACGGTTTCCTATTCGTCTTGAGGTCATGGGATTCCAGATACCGGTTTTCCATTTCCACGATAAAATGGGAAATCCAACAAACAATCTCGTAAACATCCCACCAACACACAGCTGAAAGACATGAATGGGAAGATGGAGAACAGACACAACGCCAATCCAACAGTATCAAAGACGATCTCGGTGAGAAAATGACGAACAGAGATGCGCACCAACAAAGATCTACCGTCCTCCTTCCATGCTCTGTTTGGGCCATCCACTTCCAAAATTGGGGGTAAGCAGTTGGATCTTTTTGCGTCACACCAACCACGCCGGACGTACATTTTTGACAGCATCACCCCCTTTCAATAACTACGAGGAGCAAAAGTTCAGTGGTCAAAAGGGGCCTGCAGCCGAGCAACGGTTTTTCTAGTTCTTAAATTGCTTTTTTGTGATACCGTGATGGTTGGGTGGGTAAGCTATGAAAATAATAGGCATGGCGTCCCGAGCACAACCAAGACAGCCGCGTAGGGACACCGAGGGATGCATTTGCCGTGGGGGTTACTACTATGGATTGGTGACTGCACTTCATCCGCGCTATCCCAAAGACACCATGGGCTGTCGTGCTCTGCCGGAGGGGAGGAGTAAATACATTTACTGGTGTGTTTCAGGACTCTCTGATTCACTAAATGCTGCACTATTCCAAAGGACATTCTGGTGATGTCGTGCTCGAGGAGAGGAGTAAGCCTAAGTACAGATTTAACTCTCCTAGTGGCGTTCGTCTTCCACCTCTCAACCTCCCTGCAAACGTTCACTATTTGTTCAATATGCTGTACCTCACAAGACAGAGTATCTACTTCCAATTCGTCAACAGAACAAGCCTGCCACTCCAAATACTTATTATCTAGCGGCCAGCAACTCACCTACTTGTCATGGACTCCATAGATCAAGAATAAATATGGTAGGTTCGGCGCTGTACAACTACTCATTTACAGCTTCATAGTTGTCTAATCTCCCACGAAATTAAATCCCAGAATTTATACACATATGAATACATGTGTCTATAGCCTAAGGGAGTGTGACAGAGGAAACTCCATTCCCCAGGCATATCCATGCTTTGAACCGACAAAGGTGTAGTTGGCTTGAGTGAACATTATTCTCCATCTTCAAACTCCGACACCTACCTCAATCTAAAGCCTCCCGCCATTCCATCCCATTCACATCACAGACCTCAACTCCCCACGCTCCCACAACACCACCAACTCCCCCAAATAAAACGAATCACACATTCACAACTCTCCCTCAACAAACTAAACTTTCTAACCCCCAACCACGAGCTAGAATATCTTCAGTCGTATATCCCAATCTCGCCTTATCGTCCAACCCCTTCCGGCTGTACACCTATTGCCTTGGCACAAAATCTCTACCCGCCAGAAACGAGCGAAAGAAAATATAGTTCCATTCCTCAGAGTTTTCATACGGACTTTGATATGTAAGTCGAGTCATCTTGGCTTGTTTGTGAACCTATTGGAATCCAACTTAACTCGATTCACTCCAAGTATCCACTGTGCAATAACGCCACTAGCTACCAGTAACCTTCCACGCATTGACATTCAAAATTAGAGAAAAGTACTCGTACTGTATTATCTCAAAGTTTCTATGAATGATCTAAAATGACAATAACCTTCCTAGCCATTCCGCCACCCTCCCCCCCTTTAGTTTAATACCACACTTCAAGACCATTCCCTACTAAAATCCTTTCTTTGATGAAAACACTAATCATAATACATGAAGTTGTCCTTTACCAAGTTAGAAGCGACGCAGACATATTCTGGGAAAGCAACGCGCTCAATAAATACGCATGATTATCCATAAACCTCAGATAATCCCGGTGCAAAAAAGTACGAGCTAAAAATAAGTCTAGTAATACGTCACTTAAGCGTGAATCTCACCCAGGATTCGCCTTTCGAGATCGTGGTCACCCCTTTCGTTATTGCTCTCCTGCTTCACACTCATGCCCGATACCTTTCGAACAGATGGAGAAGATCTAGGTTCATCCTCATCATCTATGACTTTCGAGGCAGCAGGTGTAACAATACGTTGTCGTTTATTGGCACCATGATTTGGAGGTTGAAATGATGGAGGTATTTTGTTGGCTAAACCTTCGTTGCTTGGAAGTCGTAACTCCATGCTGTGAGGCGAATCTGGCATGTTTTCTTTCCTACTTTGCACACTTTCGGTGGTTGATGGATACCGAGCGGCACTCCGAGTGTTGGATGTTTCGGCTGGTTCTGGCTTAACTAATAAAAATGTCAGCTGTAAACACTTTATTGCGACGCCGGAATCCGTACCGAAATTTATTTCTGCTGCCCTCTTGACCGAAGACTTAATTGCAGCAGCGGAGGTGGAGTCAGAGAGTGCAGTCATAGCCACGGCAATTGCTTTCGAGGTCTCCGAAGCCTCGCGCTCCCCGTTGGCAGGAGTGTTGTCTGGCGCTCTTGGAACCAATGCTTCACAGATAGACTCATACGCACCCGCCGCATGCATGTTCTGGTGATTGCCAACTAATTTGTCAGAAACCACCGGATCTGTGACCTGTCGGCTGCTGTTTGTTCGGGTGTTTGATTTCGAGTAGTCTGGCATCGATAAATCGGTGGAGGATCCATTCCTCCATGACGAGAAGGCATTATGGACAGGCTCAGTAAATGGATCGAAAGTTGGCTGACGTGGAAATGCTTGTTGATTTTGGTTGAAAAGAGATCCAATATTGACATTGGCGTTGGGTTGATTCATTTGCACTGCTCGACGAGGAGAATGGGTGTGGTCTTCCATCGCATCACGGTTCTGTTGTGGTGAAAACTGTTGCGTATAGTATGGTCCGACGATGGAAACCTGGCGCCACATGGATGAATTTGGCCATGCGATACCAGAAGCCTCCAAGACCTCTACTGAGCCTGTCAGCTGCTAAGCCCGGAAACCGACTTTGGTCGTCATTCAATCCCAAACAAAATGTTGCATAAGGCTTACCTAGCGGAGCGTGTTGAAAAGAGAGGGATACTAGATTCTTAATCCGCTCAAAAGGGTACGTGAGATTGTCCCTGGCAAACCCTTCTGCGATGATAACCTTGACACGACCAAGATCGTCACCTGCGTTCCAATAACTTTGGGATAGCAGCTCTTTGTGAAAGGCAGGGAACTTTAATTTCTCGAAGTCCCCGTGCTTGTCCAAATCTACAGTCCTTAGCACTTTTATCGTTAAGTAGATTTCGTGACTGAAGGTCCCCATACCTATGCTAAGATCGATTATGGTTGGCCACGGGCCATGTTGACCAAACCATTTCGAACTGAGAGTAATCTGTTAGTTTTTCAAGGTCTCCAGATACGATGTTCAGTAAGAGGTGAAATACCCTGCGATCCGGCCGTCCACAAACACTCGAGCTTCAAATACAACATTGTCAGTAGACTTCTTCAAGGTCTGTATGTATCTGCTGATATCTGGGTTGTGCCATGAATGAATGGACACGCGGAAGTTTGCCCCAGCAGGGAGAGCCGGAATAAAGGAGGTAACCGTTGGAAGGAGGAGAGGATTGGTTTGCGAGCTGTGTGACTCTGTTGAACTGGATCAGTGGTTTTGAAAGGTTAAAAGCATGTCGCTAATGAAAATACCAGGATCCTGGATGACTTGACAAGCCGTTTTGAACTCTTGTAGAGGAATCTTTGACTGGTCTGGGAAGACAAGGACGTCCCAGTTTTGGTAGCGCATCTTGGTTTCTTGATATGTTTGATGTACGAGTAAGTCTGAAAGTCGAACAACGAAATAGAATCCAATTCTGCGATGCGAGGTTTCAATTCAAAGGTGTTTGCAGCAGCGGAGAAGAAGTGGCTTTGCAGTACGACCTGAACGAATATCGGAATGCGATCGAAACTAGACAAACTGGCACAGTCACGGAAAGAGTGATGAGATAGGCAGGGTGAAATGTGGTAAGGGAAGTATGGCTGGCGTCATCGGCGTGGCATCATTCGCTCCTTCCCTCCTTTCTCAACCTACACCTACAACATGTGATTCTGGATATGCGACCTGAGCAAATGGCCCGAGAAGACTGATTCCAAGAAATATTTCCAGATTTCACGCATTTTAATACTTATGCCTCGGTGAGCTCAATGAATGTTAACAGCCAAACTCCTTTATGTACAGATCCACATGCCGACTGATCTTTCACGACTCCCCAATAGCTCTAGCCTGTAATGTTCATTAGCCCAAGATCCAATTACCGCAAAACTTGACTGCCGATTCTTGACTCACACGTAATGCACCGGGCCCTCCCAATTCCGCCTCAAGTCCTCCCTCAAACTCCCTTGGCGCCGAAGGTTTATCTGGGTAGAACATACTCACGACCCCACAGAAGCTGAAAACTACCGCAACGAAGCATCCGATCTGGAATGCCCCCTTTCCTGGCGTTACCCACGTATATTCTTCAGGGGAAAATGTGCCCAGAATATCGTTGTCTTCATGAACAGGCTCTCCATAGTTTCGACGTTCCTGCTTGTCCCACCAATCGGCGTACGGATCGCGAAATTGTCGTTTAAGAGGAGGTGGGTTGATATATCCTCCGTTCTAACAATCACGTCAATCAATTGCTCGTAAATTTGAGGGGTATGTAGCTACCGACCATTTCTGGATCTTCTGCTTCAGTCTGCATACAATAAGGTTAGCTCTAGCTTCTTGATACCGCGTATATAAACAATTCACGGCCTATCGGTAGTGACCCACCAAGTGAGGATATTCAGCGTCAGCTCTGGCGGTATCTCGTAGTGAAATGTTTCGTTTCTGGGCGAGGAGTGCCCGGTGAGCTGTCGGAGCCGCAGCCCTCAGCTGACGGGCAGTTGCGAGACGTCTTGACAACATCTTTATTATTACCTGTCAGCTCGGCAAAGATTAATTGTAAGTACTGAGGTTCTCAGCTTCCTAGAGCGTTGCGGGCGTGTTCTGAGTCTTGAGGTACGATGACCTGCGACGCGGATGAGGTTACCACCAAGCGCCGCTAGTGCCTCGCTTAATCCCTACGACTGCTCCTCGGGGCTGCCAAATTTGTATTTGTGTTGATAGCCATCAAATCCTCACAAGTCTGTCAATCCCCAACGCCACGAACGTCCAGGCATGCACAAATTTCACCGCAGGATTGCCTGAGTGATTGCGCTTCTTCCGACGTTACAAGCATCTCTTCAGATGTCCTTTCCACCGAGATAGCGATAGTGCCTGGTCTTTTACCCCCAGAAGTCATGACACAGACCGCGTCGGATGCTCTCGAGAGTCAGCCAACAGCCTTGGACTCCACAACATCAGCAGTCGATATCCTCAACGAACCAAGAACTCCTACACAGCTATCGGATCTGCCAGAGGCGCTGGTTAATTTTGAAGCTACCAAGACAAATGGCGAGAATACACAGAGCCTGGAGAACGAGGGCCCTCCGACCAAAAAGCGACGAGTCAGCGAGACCGCGACGGTTCCGCGTCGAAAACCAGAGTCACCACCTTGGAAGAAGATAATCGCAGAGGGACCTTCGACATTTACGCAGGATGGAATTAGAAAATCTGGGAGGACAAATCATATACCTCTGGAACTGCAACCACCTTCAGACAAGCGTCAGACCAGGGGCCATGCCCAAAAAACGACATCATCGCGAAAATATGGGAGCTTGAATGGGTCACACCAAGCGCGAGATGGAGCTGCCATTTCTGCGAATGGCACGAGGAAATCAAGTGCGTTAAACTCTGCCGGTGGTCAACAGCAAGCAAACCATTCCAATCAAAAGGTTGCCTCATCTCCCAAAAGACTTCATCGAAAGTCTATGGCCAGCGAACCTAGGCACACTCCCGCGCGCCAGGAAAGACAATCTCCTCCCCCCAAAGCGCCCCAGACTACCCTTAGTCGACCGCCAGTTGATAAGGGTCGGCGCTCGCTACGCGGAGGAGACATAAAAACAAACGTAGAAGTTCTGAGCTCCCCTACCAAGCAAGACGAATATTTAGGAGAGAGTCCCAAAACTAAGTTATCACGAATCAAACTTCGAGTGAAACCGACATCTTTACCGTTAGTACATCCTGGATTGGTACTTAAAAGACCACGGCAATACCCTACTTTGGAAGAATTCTTCACCGGCGCACGACACGTGCCCGTGGAGGCGGGAGGTTTGTACAATGTAGAGGATGGATCGGAGTATACCCCCGAGTCAGTCCTCAAGGATGCCAGCCTTATTATACGACTGGAAGATGCAGCAGAGCCGGGAGGTTTGTTGAGTGAAGGTGTATGCCAAGCTTACGAGCCACCAGAGGCCGAATCTGTTCCAGAACAATACGCGCATCGAGATCACCTAAACAGAGCCGCAGTTGAGTTCAGGAGGTTGATGAAGATCGAGCAAAGAAAGCATAAAGCCACGGCCAAGCGACTTGCAGAAGCCTGCAGAGATGAGTGGATAAGAAAGCAGCCGAAAACAAGCGAGCAGCTGGAAGCCGAAGAGATAAAGGCTGGCGAAAACCGCTACAAACACTTGGTCAGGATACTTCAGGCAACATGGGGTAATGCTCGAGCAGAGGTTAATCGGCGGCGGTTGGTAGAATGGCAGGCTCAGGAGCAAGAGCGAGTCCGAAAGGCCCTCAATGAAGCTGTTGATAAATCCACCTTAAAGTTACAGGCACAAGGAGCATTCAGGGACTCCGAAATGACATCAGAAGACGAACACACTGGCTCATCGGATGGGGAGGATGAAGAGAGGCTAGATTCTGAAATCGATGATGGGGAAAGTAATATGTCTTCTGAGGAGTCCGAAGCAGAAGAACAACCAGCCCCAGATGCAGTGGAAGATGAACAGCTTACACAGGAGCAGCTTCGGGAGAAGTACTCAAGTTTAAAACCCCTGCCAGATGCCACCGAGGATATTGAAATGCCCGATGCTGCAGCGGAAGAGGCGCCACTTGATGCAGAGTCAGAAGCAGGCCCTATTCTGGATGATAGTGACGAGTCAATTGATATGGACGATGACTTAGGCTCAAGCGATGATCAAGACGGTAGTGACGAGGAAGACAACGACGAAGAGGAAGATGGTGACGCTAGCGATGATGCGGGTGACGCCAGTCTTTTGGGCTTTCTTGCCCCATCTGATATTAAGGCCTTGGAAGTCGATGTTGAGGAAGTAGTTGAGTCGACGTCTGCAGATGAAACCGCTGCCGCCCAAGGAATGGAAGAGGATATGGCAGCTAGTGGAGTAGCAAAACCAGAGGAGATAGAACATCAAGATCATGACAGAAGAGTTGTCGAGCCGTCTGCAGATGTCACCATACCGGAAACTTCATCACAAAAAGTAGCTCACGACTTGGCAGTCGGAAGTCCCGATCGCAGTAGTCAGCCCACCCCAAACACAGCGGAAACTCGTCAATCGGAACTTGATTCGGCATCATCTGTTGAACTTCATGAAAATAGCCGCCAAGCTACAGAAAGTGGTACACCACAGCCGACGAACAACCTGAAAACGCCCATTCCTTTCCTTCTGCGTGGCACGCTCAGAGAGTATCAGCATTACAGTTTAGACTGGCTTGCTGGTTTGTACGCCAATCATACCAACGGAATCTTAGCAGACGAGATGGGTCTTGGAAAAACAATACAAACTATATCTCTGCTGGCCCACCTGGCCTGTGAGCATGAAGTCTGGGGACCCCACCTAGTTATTGTGCCCACGAGTGTCATTCTCAATTGGGAAATGGAGTTCAAGAAATGGCTCCCGGGGTTCAAAGTACTTACATACTACGGGTCGCAGGAAGAACGAAAGAGGAAACGTATTGGATGGAAAGCTGAAGATGCGTGGAACGTTTGCATCACATCTTATCAGATAATTCTTCGCGACCAAGCGATTTTTAAGCGACGGCCATGGCATTACATGATTCTTGATGAAGCTCACAACATCAAGAACTTTCAATCACAACGGTGGCAGGCAATGCTGACTTTCAATACTCGAGCACGACTACTACTCACCGGAACCCCTTTGCAGAATAATCTTACTGAACTCTGGTCTCTGCTCTATTTTCTGATGCCATCCGACGGCACAGAGCAGGGTGTAGGAGGTTTCGCAAATCTTAAGGAATTTCAAGATTGGTTTAAAAAGCCATCTGAACAAATCCTGGAGCATGGCCGTGAGCAGATGGATGACGAATCTCGGGCCATCATCGCCAAACTCCACAAAGTTCTCCGGCCATATCTCCTACGGCGATTGAAGGCAGATGTTGAGAAGCAAATGCCCCTCAAGTACGAGCACGTCGAGTACTGTCGGCTGTCGAAGAGACAAAGAGAACTATACGACAGCTTTCTTAGCCGCGAGGACACGCGAGGAACTCTGGCATCTGGTAATTACCTCTCCATAATCAACTGTCTCATGCAACTACGGAAGGTCTGCAATCATCCCGACCTGTTCCTTGACCGTCCAATTATGACCTCATTCCCCATGCAAAAGTCAGCTATTGCAGATTTCGAAATCAAGGAATTGCTTGTTCGCAGACGTCTCTTAAAAGAGGACCCCATGTCTGAGGTCAGCTTGGAATTCCTCAATCTTGTTCCCACGAAACACGAACGGTTTTCTGGCGCTATCACCACCAGGAGTGCTACGCTTAGTGCACAAAAGCACTTGGTAGATCTGCGTGAAGCTCAACGACGTAGGGCGTCGAACGCATTCACTCAACTCAACACCTCTACAGCGAAATCGAACTTGGTTTATCTGGAGAGTGCTTCAAGGTGGGGCAGATTCGAGGAACTTCAACATTGCGTGTACCTAAGTGCTTTACGACGACAGCAGAAGCCAATCTACGGGAAGCAACTACTGGATTTCTTCCATCTGGGCATTGATCAAAGGCCGTTCAAGCCACAACCGAAAAGGCAAAGCCAGTGGCAAGCCTCAAATTGGTTATTCAATAACTCAGCAATAATTAACGATATGGTACCCTCTCTGGCTGTACGATCTGAGCGGCTTGATACCACGATCCGCAAGTTTGCTTGTGTGACACCACCAGTAGTTGCAAGGGACATGTCGAGTATAGCTCTTACACCCAAAGGCGCTGATGCAATACAGTCCTCCGTCGACCCGTCCTCTAAGGATCCATTTCACGAAGCCAGAATGCGTTTATCAATTCAGTTCCCGGATAAACGCTTGTTGCAATACGATTGTGGAAAACTTCAAGTTCTAGATAAACTTCTCCGAAAATTGCAGTCTGGTGGCCATCGTGTGCTAATTTTCACTCAAATGACGAAAGTTCTCGACATCCTAGAGCAGTTCTTGAACATCCACGGTCACAAATACTTGCGTCTTGACGGTAATACGAAGGTTGAACAACGCCAAGTTCTGACGGATCGTTTCAACAATGACACGCGCATCTTAGCATTCATATTGTCCAGTCGCTCTGGTGGTTTAGGTATCAATCTCACTGGTGCTGACACTGTCATATTTTACGATTTAGATTGGAACCCTGCCATGGACAAGCAATGTCAAGATCGTTGCCATCGTATTGGACAGACTCGAGATGTGCATATCTATCGCCTTGTCTCCGAGCATACTATCGAAGCCAATATCTTACGCAAAGCCAATCAGAAACGCATGTTGGATGACGTTGTCATCCAAGAGGGAGAGTTCACCACCGATTACTTCAAGAAATCTACGAATCAGGAAGTTACTGAAGAGGAGCCTTCCTTGCCGCTCGATGATGACGCTGCTGCTGCCAGTGCTGCCATGGACAGAGTTCTCGGAGGACCTGACAACAGCAAGAACGTTCAACGAGTTCTTGCTCAAGCTGAAGATCGCGAAGATGTAGCGGCAGCCCGAGTGGCTGAACAAGAGATTAATGAGACAGATGCTGCAGACTTTGACGAGAATGCGGCTACGGCTACGGCTACAGCAACCCCTGCGGCAGCTGGGACACCTCGAGATGCTGTGGATACTCCAGTAAATGCAGATACTCCTGCCGGCGAGGAGGAGACAGTGGATTTAGACGAAGACGAATTGAATGCTTGGGGCGACCGCGTTCAGTCGACTGACGACTTCATGCTCAAGTTCATGAGCGATGAGCTAAAGGACGCTCCAATTGAGCTTCCCAAAGACAAGAGTAAAAAGGGAAGAGACAGGAGTCACAGGAGTCACAGGGCGAGGTAATCATGATTCAATTTTGTATAGTATGGTTGGGAAAATCCGTCTTGGCTGCTCCATTATTAGGAGGTAAATGTGTATGAACATGGGATGGAAACAGGGCGTCTTTTTTACAGAACAGCATTATTGGGAGTTATATTGGGAGGCTCATATGAGGTGTGCCAAAAGGAATTGTAAATGTTACGACACATTAGAAACTCGTAGTGTCATCGAAATCAGGCTTCCTGAATCATGGACGCTAGTGGTAATTACAGAATTTTTGAATCGCAACTTAATGAACATCTGCCGAAAAGCGGAAACCCATTACCCTGCGGTTATCTCATGTCATCAGAAATTGAAATATCTCAGCGTCCTAACAACAGAGTTTTGAATTTCAGTCTCAAGTTACTGAGTCAAGTAACAGCTTCGATCTCTGTGGGAACTTGAACCTGGGAACTGTCGAATTGGAATTAGTATAGCCGTGGTACTCGTACTGCCGAACGAATCAGTAACAGCTTTAGAAGAAATCGCCGATTTACCCCACCAAAATATCAAACGCTGCATGCTGACAATTCAATAAGTCGGACCATACCGATTATGGAATGGCTAGCACCAGCCTCTCGAAACCGGATAGTGTACTTCAAAACTTTTATCTTTTCTAATCTTATAAAATTTCTCTTTGCAATTCGTTCTTGTCTCTGAGTGTTTCCTGATATATTCTTTTTGAGTGACTTTGATAAAGCGGACATAGCTCCGACCGCTGTCAAACGGTCAGAACCTTAATCCGAGCTTTCCGAATCACCGGGTAAGAACGATCTAGGATTCACAACTCCAATTTTATGAGAGGTCAGAGGCTTTGATTTAGCTAAGATTGAGATCCGGGCGATTTCGAGATATAACCATCCATCTTCGACTTTTAATTATAAAGTTTTATCTCCCTTATACCTGGCATCCTACACTCAACACAGTGAAACGACTCAAACGATTAGGTGGTCAAACAACTGGCGAGGCTTCACTTCAACATCGCTTCAACTTCTCATTATAAGTATAAGATAAGGCGCAATCTCATCTTACACCCTCAATATGAACGACACTTATCCTCCTTCGGTTTCGCTATTAAGTGCTCTTCAAGTCCCACCTGAGCTCAGTCGACAAGGACAAGAGATAATCAAAGCTTTAGTCTTTGGGCTGGTACCTGCGGAACTCCTCTTCTTCTCAATATATTTTCGACTTAAGGGCTTCTATAAGCTTTACCGAAATCTTACTGTATCCGCGCTGGTAGCTTTTTGGATTGCGCCTTATGTTGCCCCAGTATCATGTGGTCCAGTCAAATGTTTACAGAATTTTGCGAGTGAGTATACGTTCGTTTTCATTTCAAGCAAGTTTGCTAACAGAGTCGAAGTCGCGATTGGAACCATGAAGCTACTTGATGTATGGGCTCGGCATCATTCTTTACCAAACCACAATGCTAGGAGAACACCACCAGATTGGTTGTTAGCTCTCAAAATAATTACAGAGCTTCGATGGGAAAGCTTTACACCAAACACTGTACGCGCATCGAAAGATCAAGAGAACTTCAACGAGCCATTGCAGCTAGCAATCCATATTCTTGCTTTCGTATTCTTGCAGTCACTGCCTCAGAAATACCCTACCATCGTCGCTTGGGAGGTTCTGCTAAGCATTTATGTCATATGGACAAGTATGCAGATGATTCTCCGGTACAAGAGTAGCCCAGCTTTGTTTGGACCACTCTATCTCGCTGATAGTCTTACTGGATTTTGGTAAGAAACATACTCATCTGGAGGAGCAAAGTGCTGACGGTTATTGTCCCCAGGTCTGAGACTTGGCACAATGCTTTCGCATCCCCATGTACATCTCTTGTTTACGCACCATTGAGGAATAACCTTCCTAAATATGGTGTTCCGGTACCGATTGCTAGATCGCTTGGAGTATTTGGAGCTTTTGCATTAATGGCTTTATTCCATATATATGCTTTAAGTCCGATATTGCCGAGACATGCACTGAACAGAGTTGGACTCTTCTTCCTTCTTAATGGCGTGGCAACTGTGACAGAAGCAATGATATGGGGCCATAAGAAGCATTGGCTTAAGACAGTTTTGGCTTGGGTTTTTGAGACAGCGGTCTCAACATGGACGGTCAGTGGAATGCAGATTCCAAATGGTTTGACTTCGATATCCTGGGGAGCAATTTGCAATGCTAGATACTAGCCGCGTTTGTTTTGAGATTCGGAGTTTTAGGAGGTTTGAACAGGATTGATGACTCATGAATTGAACAGTCGGAAGGTATAATTAATTTGGTTTTGACTGGAGTCTGGTAGAAACTCTAATCTAAGAACAACAAAATGAATTAAAAACTTTTAACATGTAAATTTTCAGTGACTTTGCAGTGGTTTTGAGTTGATCCCAAACAGGTCGAAACTTGTCACCGCCTTCCGTTTTCGGCGTCAAGTCGGCAGTAAACGAGGCAGAGGATACTCAATATGGACTGCCCATCAGCCTTGTAACATGGCCAAATATTAGCAGCGATACATCAATCGCAGACTATATGAGGCTAAGATGGGAAGCTAAAAACCCCACAAGCTATGGAGCAATCATCGTCCAGCTCCAAAGTAACGGGTAGGTGAAAACTGTTTAGATATTACATGTACTGGACTGACAATGATCTGCTTAGTCGAGTATTTTGATCCTCATGGGGTGTATCAATTACTTTCGCCGGGTCTCCTACCCCGATTACCTCTTCAGAATCTCCACTGGGAGTCGCATAACAGACCCGTACGATCAATAGATACTTTGCACGTTGACCTTGTACCAGCAACATCAGAACTGCGCCCAAACTCCTCGACCGGTACAGCGACGAACAGCAACCTTAACCTTTCTCGTGTCAAGAGCGAAGAATCGAGCGCAAGTGGGAGCGATGGGTTTCAGACTCAAAATACTGGGCAGCCAGCGGGAGAGAGACCAGAATCTCGAGCGGAAAGCGGTGCTAAACCAGCCACGAAAGAACGAAGACACCAAATTCCGGGCTTGCGCCAGACACCATATTTGAAGGTGTTTCTTTTACGATGCGACGATAACGAAACGTACAAAGCGGAGGCGCGACGAGAAGTCCGGGAATGGATCAAGGAGCATACTCCCCCTACACAAAGTTCTACGAAACGGACTACGCAAGAAAATCATGATGCTTACGACTGGCTTATAATTCATGTGGTCGTCCCGAATACTGCTGCTGCGACACAACCTAGGACAAGTGGGAAATCGTCAGAGAATAGTTCTGGAACTGCTGCCGAGAAAGCAGCGGCCCGCTGGAGAGGTGGAGGCTCAACAACGATCTTGGAGAAACTCCGAGCGGATTTCAACGGCTCTTCCAAATCCACTATCGATCGGATCGTCCAAATCAGAATTGGCATCAACGACGTTCCTTACGAAATCCTGCCTCGTGTTGTTCCTGCGATTCCGGGGTCTTACACGGAAACACCTCAAGAAAACGAAAATGCTTGGGCAGACTTCATTTCGAAGTTGAAGGAACGAATTCTCGCTTCTTTTGATCTACGTGTTGGCCAGTATGAGGAAGACATTCAAGAGAGGGACAATCAGAGGAGCTTGCCAGGATGGAATTTCTGTACCTTCTTCGTACTCAAAGAGGGTCTTGCAGGAGGATTCGAGAGCGTTGGCCTTGTGGAGGACGCCTTAGTAGGCTATGATGAACTCGCTGTTGGTCTTGATGCAATAGTAAGGGAGCAGGCTATCACTGGGACTGGGCCTCAACATGGGGGTGACTTTTTGCCCTTCACAGAAGACCTCAAAAAGGTGGCGGAAAACACAAAAGTTGCCATGCTCAGAGACCTTGGGCAGGATGACACGGAGGAATCTATTGATTTACAATCAAATCCTATATCGGCTGATTCTGATGTGGACGAGATTCCAGTGGATGCGTCTAAAAAACGGTATCGCCAATTGATCCTTTCTAACAACATTTCCATCTTTGACTTTCGTTGCTACATCTTCGCCCGTCAATTATCTTTGTTGCTTCGGCTCGCCAATGCGACCTCCTCGCAGGATGAATTGCTTGCGAAGCTCAAAGAGCAGCGAGAACTAAACATGCAAGGGATTGCGTCTCGCTCACCTGCTGTGAAACAAAAGCCCGAGTCGGAAAACTTAGTTATACTTGCCGAGATCTGTAGACGGACGTTGGCTTTTGTCGCATCTATTTCTCGTATTTTGAGAGACGATATCTGGGCTTCACAACTGCAGCTACACAAGTCCACACAAGAGGGAGACGACAAAGATGCGCTGAAAGTCCAGCCGATACAGGATCCTATCATGGAAAAGGTTGTAGATAATATTGCGTCTTCCTTTACATTCGGTGTCGCTCAGCAAATCCTGGCGCAAACCTCAACAAAGGCTTTGCCAATTCCTCCTTCGACTTTGGCGCCGCCCAATGGTAAGATGGAACTTGGGGGACAAGAGCCAAAAGCCTCTATTCCCGAGCCAAAAACTATGATGCATCCTGCGCGAACCACGTCTCTTGCTGTCCGTTCGATCTCGAGAGACCCATCTACAGCGGGCAACCGCAGCTCAAGTGTACCTGGCGTAGGCAATCCTTCAATGTTTATCAAAGCCGGCCTTGAGGAGCTAGCGGGCCATAGAGCAGAACTCTACTTGCTCTCCCGCAGCGTTCTTGAACAGGTGGGGAAGGAACGTGGTTGGAGTACTGGATGGGATGAAATGGCGAAAATTCACGGTAGTGGACGTGAAATGGAAGATGTTAGTCTTGATGATGAAGTCTCGGTATCTAAGAATGTGAGAGAGAGGGACGAGGAAGCTGCCGTGAGCTTTCATGGAATCCGCAACAGGCTTCTGCGAACAGCTGCCGACAATCAAGAAGACTTTACTCGTCTTTACGAAATCTTAACAGACAAAGCATTGAGGCACTATACTGTTGCTGGATACAAGCAGTCTGTGCTGTCTACAATGGCTGATCTAGCGATCTTGAAGTATCACGTCAAAGATTATGCTGCTGCTGCTTCATACTTTAATGTTATGACTCTGTCGTACCGCGAGAATGGATGGTCACAAGTGGAAATATCGATGCTAGTCCCGTATGCAAACTGTTTGAAAGAACTGCAGCGGAAGGACGACTTCGTGCGGGTGGTTCTCGAACTGTTGTCCAAGTCGGCAGCGGCTGAGAAAGAGACACAGTCACGCAGGTCAGCCCTGAAATTTGGAAGGACACCAAATTTTGAACCAGACCAGGGTGTCTCTGCAGCTTCTTATTTGGGGCTTTTATTACAGACCACTAAGTCATTTCAACACGAGATACGTGTGCCGTTAGAGAACTTCTTTGCGCATTTGGATGTCGATAGCACAGCGCGATATCACTCGGAGCAGGACAGCTTCACTTTGACAGTGAAGCTTCGATATTTACTTGAAGACGATCTCACAGTGGAGAAGGCAAAGGTCAGGATCGACGCTACGTTTGGAGAGACACATCGTGAGATTTGGCTGGAAACCGATGGACCTAATACTTTCACCAAGGGCGACGGGTTCTTCACTGTGAATACCAATGTAAGTGACAGCCTCTTGCTCACAGATAATCTCTATTCTAACCTCTCAGGTCATCGTTCCGGGTACCTATACTGTTGGACATGTGAGTTTACATGCCAGCAACATCACATTTGAGTACGACCATGGGAGTGCCCCGATTGCAGCAAAGAGTAGTAGTTTCTTCAAGTGCCCGAAGATTCTCCTCTACCACAGGTCTGATGCATTTGATGTGAAGCTTTTTGCATCCAAGTATATGCACCTTGATCGTAACCGCTTCCTCGAATTGGAGTTGTCCTCTGGCTGGAATGAGGTGATCGAAGGCGAACTACACATTCGTGCTGCGACTGCTGGAATGAGACTTCAAACAAGTGAAGCTATCGTTATTGTCGGATCTCTGGTTCTTGCAAAGAAACAAGAGGCGGGTGTCATAAAATTTGGTGCTCTTTCATCTCATTCGTTGGCCAAAATCCGCATGCCCTTTAACCTTGAGCATGAGTCCAGCGATGTCTCTCTTAAGATCGAAGTATCCTATACCACCGAAAAGGGTACCTTTTTCTTCGCTACTATGCCAACGATGTCAATTATGCTCCCACTCGGAGTCAATGTTCAAGACATGTTCAAACATAAGGCTTTGTTTTCAAAGTTCACAATATCTTCAGCGACGTCAAGCCCCTTACGTCTGTTGAGCTCCCAATTAGATGGCTCCGAAATGTTTAATTCGCAATGCGGAGTCCCTATCTCTCAACCTATTATCATCTTCCCCCGGCAGCCGGCGACAGTGCTATATAAGATAACAAATAAAGTGCCGGCTTCTGCAGTGCCCAAGAGTGCCAAATCATCATTATCTTTGGTACTTCATTATGTTGGCCTTGAAGAAGAAATCGAAAGTGCAGTTACTACAAGCCTCAAAGCTGCATTCCACGAAACATCGTTACAGCAATATTCCCGTCTACTTATACCGACTGTTCTCAAGGCCCTCCAAACTCGTCTATCGCATTACGACCACGAGCGTATCGCGGTGTTGAGCGAGCTATCGACCTCTTGCTTGTCAAATATCCAATGGAAAGATCATTTCCTCGGGTTAGGAATTACTCTGGATAAGGAAGACATTTGCAGTCTCCTGACCTGCGGCCTGGAAACGTGGCAACAACAAACACCAACACTATCACTTCTCCCTCTTTCCCGGGGCGAAAAATCTATAGCAGCAAGCCGCTCCATCATTATTCCCGTAGAAGTCCCCGCCGTAACAGTCGTGCATACCGCCGACCTAAAACTCTCAATCCCGTCCTCACCAATACAATCAAGTACAATAATAGCAGCTTCCAATACCCCTATTCCCGCATCGCTAGAAGTCAAATGGACAAGACGATGGGATATGCCGGAGGACTCAGATCCCAAGAAAAACAACAGCCTTGAGTTCTACTACGAAGTCTCGGGTCAAACGGATACGTGGCTAATTGGAGGAAAACGAAAAGGTCATTTTAAGGTTCCGTCCAATCATCCGGACAAAAACGAGAGCAAGGACAAAAAAGCTACACTTTCATTCCCGCTCGTGTTAATTCCGTTACGGGAAGGGTATCTACCATACCCTAGCGTGGAGATAAAACCAGCCCCAATCGCGAAGATTTTAAAACCAGGAGCAAGTGATCGTGCGGAAAGTCCGAAGAGACAGACGATTACATGTGAGACTGATTACAAGAATTCTGGGGAGACTATCAGAGTTATCAGTGATGCCTGGAAAACGACTGTTAGTCTTGATGCTAGCGGGCCTCAAGGAGGAGCGATGCTACTAGAGAGTGAGAGAAGGGGGACACTGGGCGGGGAAGTACTTGGTTGAGACATATTTAGCGAGCGAAACCTATGAACCTCATTATCATACTTGCGTTTAATTGTGTTTTTTGACCGACTTCTGCACTATCCCTTATGTTAGTTTTGCGTTCAGGACCAGTCTAATACTCAGGTCTAAGGCATATCAACGCAACGCTTCATCCCCAGCTCAGAAGGCGGCGGCGGAACTGACTACCCCGAAAGGCCAGGCATCACTGCATTAGAACAGTATCTCGTCGTCATCCGAACTGGTGGGTTTGTAAGCCAATGTATAATCAGCACAGTAATGGTAGCTGCTAAACATTAGCAGCAAACCCATATTACTTTGAGCCAGTTACAAACCATCAAGTGTAAGTATGGTGAAGTACATCGAGAAATTCTCACCTTCCGAGAAGTACAGGAGTAGCGAAAAGTTGGCAACCGTACCGAGGATCAGCATTGTACAACCGAGGACAGCTTTCCGGATAATTAGCAGAAGAGAAGGTTATTTTATCTTGATCTCTTCGCGCGGCTCAGTTAAAATATCTAGGTTCCTTTTGATGAAGTGGATGAGACGGTCAATACAGCTTACGAGCAGTTCTGGGAGAAGGACATCCTTATTGATCCCCTTTGACGCTCGTTAGATGATGGAAATTTGTGAAAGGAAAGGTAAAGAGAAGCCTGGTTTACATTGATCATGAATTTGCTACACCGTCGGAGAAACACAACTGTCAAATAGGTATTTTCAAATATGTACCAGCCTCTGTTCGAGGATATATTAGCTAAAATCCTGAAAGGGGATTTGGAATCCTACAGTAAGATAGCAGAAAGCACTGTTGGTAACCCAAATCTACACTGGCCAGTCATGTCTTCAAGGTCTGCTACATATAGCATCCAAGTAACCGCACCAAACCCAGCCAGGCCCGATACAAGCAAAGTTACAGTTACCGAGTAAACTGTATCTTAAAATCTCGATTATGAGTGTGCTTCAACTGAGTGCGCCCGCTCAGCAAGGAACAAGTACCCCAAAAATTTCTGAAAGATATAAAATGCGAGACCGAGATGGATGGCCGTATGACAGTTTGCTGGATCAACAATCCTGTATCCGAAGTAGAGAACAGTGCTACCGATACAGTATACACTAGTAAGCAGATACGTTAGAATGACGGTGTAATGGGCCATGGTTAATTGACTAGGAGAATGGGTTTGGCAAAGTGAAGAAAGGCGGGTTACTGGTTTTATGTTAGCAATTTTGATGGAAAAGTGGAGGCCATGAGCTTACCTGATGCCCATATTGAGAGTAGGAGACAGAAAAGTAATGTTATCATATAGGTAATGTGACCAGGCTGTCCCGGACTGGGTGTTGATGAGAATGTCGGTAGGGGGTTCGTAACAATAATTTGATCTAAAGCATCCTCATTAGGCGCGTAGGAGACTTTATTGACTTTTGCAATTGCAGGAGACATGTCCAAACTTTTTGGACAACGAGGTGGTAGTGAGTATTTCGCATCATAGGATCGAGTCGAGCGGGTTGAAAGCTAATATCGTTGAGAGGAGTAAGATTACAGCTGTAGGGTACGAATTGGTTTGCGCGTCGCCGCATTCAAGTAGAGGTGTACTAAACCGCAGCTGACCGACCAGGAAGGTACCTGAGGTTGCGTCTCGTGAAGCAATTGCACCGCAACATGACGTTCGGTCTGAGGGAGAGGGAAAGAGCGAAAGGGGGGATTAAGCGAGCCGAGAACAATGCCTTGCAGGGTCTCATGCTAATTGGTCAACCACTACGAAAGCCTACTAGTTATTGACCTCCAAGACAAAAAAAGCTTTAGCAGGAGCTAATTTGAGAGAGTTCCCTAATTTAGAGCTGTAAGGTGGTCCGCCTAGCTGAAGAAACCATCGCCCAAACGTTAAATTTCGAACCTGCATTCGCTTCTTGTAGTGCCTGCAACCCAATTACTAAATGAGCCAAAATCTACTTAGAAGACGTAGAGCTTAATTTATCTAATGAATAATGTTATCTGAAAAATAATTTAGATGGGAGCGATGTTGTGAAACACCAGCTGATGTTAGAATTCACATTAATCCAAATTGCTCTCAGCTTCTCGAACCATTATGCAGTTTGAACGAATGCTGTCTACGTTATTGGTTCGGCTGTTATATCAGTTTAGCAGGTAGGGAAATGAATTGACAATATCAAATGTGGTAATTCGAGCATTCTCTTGGCTATTCTCATAATTATGACTATTCTTCTTCACGCCACTAAAACTTTGGCTTCCTCAATTCACCAAAAAATAGCATGCATGATTCTTTGATGTTTCATTATACTTCAAAGGGCAAATATTTTTTGAGAGCATTTGTATATAATGAGTCAACAACTTTGTCCAGCACTGTCGGCCCGCGATCATCTTATGTTGAGAAGATAATTTCAACCCAAATTCCTCCAGCCACTCACACGACATCAAATATTCAACAGTCTGAAAGCATCTCTGAATACGGTACTTATCCAAGGACATTCGAGGATCTAAGCATGGAAGATACCGATATAACTCCAGCATTTCAAGACCTGCCCGGCCAAAAATTCACACTCAGGATCGTCAAAAGTTCGACATCAGAAACTACAACGCAAATGAAATAAAGTGGATCACTTTCGCAGCAGAGGCTAAAATTACCAAAGAAAATCTGGTGAAAGACTACATTGTCAACAAGCATTTGCTTGAAACCAGGATTCCATATTTTAAACCCATGTTCCATTTCCAATGACTACAAGGCGGTCAGTTTGACGACACTCCCGTAGAGCTAGTCGCAATTCTAGGAGTTCTGTCACAAAAGAGTATTGACATGATGCTCTCTTGGGTGTATGAACTTAGAACGTCGACAAGTCGTGACAGTAGTGTGACTGCTCAGCTATCGGAGTACAAGGAGCTAGCAAGACTTGCGAATTACTGGATGATTGATGATTTTAAGGACGCAATAGTCAACGAGCTTATTGACATCCGGGTTGAGGACTGGCATGACCCAGACGTTCTTCTACAACATGGAGGGCCGAGTGAGCTATTAAATCCAGTCGAGAATCTCCAACTGAGGTGTTTTCATTCTCACTCAGCCGTAGGGTGGGCAGAACTAAAAGATGAAAACTGCAATCTAAACTCCAGAAGAGTCCAAGAAATCATTAGCTCTGTATATCTAGGATTAGGAAACCATCGATAACGCTGTTCTTGGAGACTTCTTTCCAAGCAAAACAAAATTCTTCCAGACGAAATATATTGAGGGCAGATATTCCAAGAATAGAACTCGGAGTAATTCGCCTAGCGACAGATCAACTACTTTGACACTTCAAAATCCGTTAAATTGAAAGTGTTAAATAGCAAGTGTTCATCCAATGAAACTTTTCAAAACATTGAAGAAACATGTTCCCGTCCGCAAAGTATGAGTGTTCAAAATGAAGCAAATTTCCATACAATGAACAAACAAAGTACCTGCTTGCTCTTTTAATGTCATGTCATCGTGTGAGGATTTCATTTGCTCCCAATCGATAACCCTGATCTGCAAATTGCACTCAGGTAGCAAAGCAAGAGGCGTTCGTCTAGCTATGAAAAGCTCAGAGACATTGTTATATCTTCCTACGATAACCCCCGGTACATTGCAAGACTGACGGGACACGCTCTAAGTATAACGATGCTAAAAACGACTTTCCAACATTCCTTCCCCAATAGATACCTTACCCCTTTCAATAGGCGAGATTACTGTACGTCTACTTGAATAAACAGGGTAATTATACCGTTTCGATAGAGCACCCTTATTTTGTCGCAAAATGTCCCTCCTTGCTCCTGTCACACTTGCAACGCACTAGTGAACCACCTAAGTTTGTCTCATTCTTCCAGGGGGTTGTGAGATTGTAACTTTCCTGCTGAGCAGTAAAAGTACAGCTTCAGATGTGAAACCTTCTACCGATTTTCACGTAATTCAAACATTATATTCATTTATAAGAGTATGGACGAACATTTTTTGTCACTAGCTTTCATCAGGATCATCACTAAAATGTGCTCAGGGGTTGAATTTTTACTATAAAAGGAAATACTATTGAAGAGGACGATCTGATAAATATATCCTCCCAAGTGAAGCCAAAAAGTGCTCGTTTTGCTTATCTCTCTATGACAAGATCTGTGCTAATAAGGCATTGCAAACTTTATGTCGATCTCGGGGAAAGAACAATTCAGTCGCGTTACCAATCACTTGGCAATTTCTGATAACTTGACTTGTACTTATCAACCATTTTCCACTTGACAAGCTTCTTTGAATACGGATCAAGGAAGAGCAAATCTCCTGATGGAACATCTGCAACACTCAAGCAGCCTTCAGGAATTTTAGGTTGTACCAACTCAATTCGCAACGATGAAGTCAAAACTTTGTGGGCATGCTCATCCAAGCTGCTCTTAACATTTGGAAATGAAAGGATCTTGGCACGATATGGATCGCTCATGTACCGGCATATGTGCGACTCGACAGCAGCTAAAATGAAGAGCTCTCTGACTTTGGGATGAGATTTCAATGAGAAAACTGTGTCGAGATGTTCCGGAGTCAAATACTGCGTATTTGGCACTTTTTGATTTAAATAGTCGCCATATATACTACCCAAAACCGGCATCAGCTGTCGTGGTTTATGCCCAACCATAATGGCTCTATGGATCGTATCAGTAATAATGTCATCTATGCTTTTTCCAAACATATCTCCACAACCTCGGATACCCCAATGTTCGGCCAGTTTTGCTAATTCCAGTAGCGACGAGACGTATCTCTCTGTGCCTTGGAACGCAAAAGCTATTGAACCACGGAAAAGATATGTAAGCATTGTCTCAACGCTTTTTCTCGAAAGAGTTCCTGGAATGATGGCGATCTCTATAGGCGCATGGACGAGACCGTCCTGCAAATCGTCAGATTTGAGCAATGATCTGAAATACTCACTGTGTTCCTTTAGCAATGTGCTAGGAACAGCGAAGTCTACGGGAAGTTCGGGATGAACTTTTCCTTCATAATCAAGTGCTTCGAAGATTGCGGGTGGTTTGACATTACCACATGCGTCAACTCCTTGATCCAAGTGTTCCGTAAGTCTTGCAACGATGCGGATTGTCACTGGACGACTCAAGTACTGTGGAAGTAGAGTTGTAGTGAAGCGCTGTTCGGCTGTTAGATTTACCACAGGCTGCGGGGTCTTGACTGCAACCTTTTCGTCGACAACATTGACAGATTCATTTACTTTCTTCTTGTCGTCTTTTTGGGAGAACATACTTGTAAACTTTTTGACAAATGTGTTGGCTAGGCTTTCTTTTCTCTTTTTTTGTTGCAGGCTGTATTGCGATATGTGCTAAAAGCTAGATGGGGATTATAATTTGTAGTGGAAAGTTCCTTGCTTTTGTAATCAAATCTGCCTTCAAACACCATCTGAAAACAGAGCTGTTCACATAACTGCGAAAATTTACAAACAATGATGGAGAGAACAGCAAGGAAAAGTAATCAATGGGCAGACGATCTGGAGACAAAGGATAACTCAGGTAAGCTGAATGGAATACAAAATTCCAGCTTCTTTCACTTCATCACAGAAAAAGGCAGTCAAAGTTGGAGATCCTTGAATTCCACTGGATTTTATGAAGCGTCCATCAATTTTGCAAGATACCCCTGCTAGTTCAAGCGATTCCAGTGTATCGATAGTCCACAGATCCACACTTTTCGGCTGTTTTTCGACCAGGGCCATCGTGAGAAGCTTGCAAGCTTTATTGCTTCATACAGTTAAAGACTCTATAATATGAAACATTGACGGGGTCTATGGAATAGCAGATATGCATACTATAGGATGATCAAAGAATATATTGCAGAGAAGCGACTATATGCTCCTTCTATTGCAGGTTAAAATCATTCAGAGAACCAGTAGCTTAGACAAGAGTCGTTGTTTTCTCGTCTTTCTATTTGATATGCCCAGATGGGAGACTGGAGTAGCTAATCGGCGACGAGACATATCGGCTATTGCTATTTGGATTTGTATAAAAGATCTTGAGGACTCGGTAGTAGCAGGATCGCTTTTGTCGGGTTTACAGCGGTCAAAGTGACGACCAGAGCCGCAAATTTGAGGGAAAACTGATGAAACAAGCAAACTTTGGCTGTGTTCATTCTTCAAAATCTTAGTCAATCTCCTCGTGGTCTTGAAAAGGCCAGTGCTCTAACAGCTCTCTTCTCTCATATTCAGTCTCAACCTCATTCAGCATCTCGTTTTTGATGTATTCAGCCTTGGCTTTCGCCTCTTCAAAGGTACCATTTGGTACCCATCCTTCGATATTTACTCCTATGAAGGCGCGAATCTGTTCCATCTGTAAGTCTGCCTCCTTTTGCTTGGCATGCCTCGCAAGACAGTTTTTAGTCTCTTCCATGGAATACTGCACAGGCGCAACAACTTCTGGTGCTAACTCTTCCCATTGTTCTAGCGTGGAGATCAGTTCTGCTTGGAGAGAAGCATTATCTCCTTCCCAGGGTCGACAAGCAGTATCATAGAGTCTGTTTCTCATGACAATGTTATGTTTTCTCATTGCATTGAAATGAGGTTTGTTATGTCGATCTGTGAAACCAACGTAGAAGTAGTGCACTTGTCGTCGACGGTAAATTTCCAGTTCATATTCTCTTTCACCGTCCGACAACATGTCAAAATTCGAACGCAACTTAGGGGGTCGAAAATTTTCCGATTCATCGTCGCCATCATTCTGAAAATGTTTTGGTATCTTGGCTTGTAAAAACAGGGGAAGGATTGTCGCATGCTCCCAGTCGATGATACCGGTGAGCTCGCCGAATCGGAAACAAAAATATTTCTTGGAGATAAAGCAGGGTGGCGGATGGTAGGTGTACTCAGTTCTTCTACCCTGGGAACAACATGGGGGGCGAGTTTCAGGTAGTCTAATAAATAGCCAATATGTACTTGGGGGTCAACCCTTTGATGGCCGTAAAACTCCCGGTAAAGAGCTTCTCGAGGATATCTCTCACAGCCAAATTTTTGGAGCCACTCCAGCTCCCTTTCTCCGACGGCGCTTAAGACATCTTTTGAAGTATGCCCTGATGAAAACGAATTAGCTGAGACCAAAAGCAAGGGTATGGGTACTGACAAGGCCCACGGTTGGCAGAAAGTTCGTCTCGTTGTTGGTACCACCATAGATATTCGGTCGAAGGACCAACACAAAACCTTGGCATGCTTAAGTTGGTTTGTGGGATATCTACGCTTCTGACCCCCGGATCTAGAAAACCTTTGTGATATATACTTCCATTAGCAGGAAGCTGGATGACAAAAAGGTTCTTCTCCATCTTGACAATTTTTTCCATGATAGCCATCCTCTGTTTCAAGTCCATAGTATACCAAGTTTCCTCTAATTCATTTCCCGCAACTTTTTTTCATAATGATATACTCAGAACCTACCGGATTAGAAGAAGACGAGCTCCAACCGAGAATTTTTGGAACGGGTACGCCGTGTAGTCGAAGAAATTCCATAGTAGCTACTTCGCTAGCAATACCATACTTTTGTGGGGTGGTACATGGATATGGAAGGCGTGCTATAACTTTTGCGCCATCACGAAAGGTAGCTTCGAATATTCGATAAGAGCCACCCTCTGCGATCTTGACAAATTCTACAATATCATTCGTAGACTGAGCGGCGGACTTAGCAATAACTATGAAGAGTTCCTCTATATCGAAATAGAGGTGCCTCTCAGGAAGCCGTAGGTGATCATTGTATCTAAAATCGTGAGTTGGTAGCAATGTTTGCTTTCAGGCAGTCGGAGTGACCTACAGCCACCGGCCAGACGTATAGTTGTAGCAACAGTGCCTAGTATCTCTGTCACTGACGTGGTCATAATGAAGTTGGCGTTTCTTGTAGTATATGCGTACTGGCCATGGATGAAGCTTTTGTCATGTACTAAGGAGAGACAAGCGAAGAGGCTGTGCTCGGCGGACAAGCTTAGAGCTATACATTTAAGAAAGCGACAGTTTTTCTTTGATAGCAATCACACATTTGCTGGTTTCTCGTTTGAAGGCACCTAAAGACTTGGCTGGGCAAACAATTTGTAGTTCAGGGCCCATTGTGTATCTAATTAGAGGTTGTTGGTATGCGCTTTGACATTTGAGCCACCCAATCTATCGATCGGCCTACTTTCTGTGAGCGGCCCGCGATAAACACGACCGGTCCGACCTCAGCCGATAGCTCCGAACCACTGTATCTATCTGTGTTCTACTGGATGTCCTAGATCTTCTGACTTTATGGAAAATCTAGGTCTGAGGTATCACTTACAATAAAGCTAAGTCTTTATTGGGACTAATGGCTGTTCATTCGTCGGGATACCTGATAGGGTGCTGAAAATGGTCAGTGTTTCAAATGCAGTCACCTCTTGAATTCACTCGCAAGTCTTGAAAAACGGGTAATTTTTGACATGTGTTAGTTCCTATTATCAATCTCTCACCCCTCCAACTTTAATACCGAACCATGTTTATTCCATAAGGTCCCACGACAATGGTGGTTTGAAAACATCAAGCACGTTAAGGTTGAAGAAAACATAGCAGTAGAAGATGATGTTTTGTTTGTAACCACATAGCCCGGTAACCAACGAATTATTAAATGCTATAAAATCCAAATGGCTTCAAAGAAAGTTCAAACGGTTTGGCGATCGGTTTTCGCCACCTTGGATTCCCGGGCCTTCTCAGACCATGGGAAGTGAGCAACTGGGACAACGAAGAAGGAGTTGCTGTAGTCCAAGTTAGCTAGAGTAAACGTGAATCATAAAGTGGAGTCCTTACGATGAGTCTGCAATACCTGCAAGAGCGTTGTACCAAGCCAAGAATGCCGCGAACAACCCAAAGTATCCACCAGCTTTCTGGGCAGTGAGATTGACCTTGCCCTTCGAGTCCGCAGTGAGATGACCAATGGAAAGACACAAGAAGGCGATATCGAGGGTCAAAAACAACATGAAGAAGGCGACCGTAGACCTCAGCGTACATATGAGCAATAGGAAGGTGAATATAAACCATCCCGCGAGGAAGAACCCAAGTGCGTTGTTTAAATCGTTCACGTGGGCCGTGGTTGCTGCGCCTGTAGTAGCATTCTTCGTTGCGTACGAAGCTACGATACCGAATCCGCCGGGAGTAAGAATGATGGCATAGGCGAGCCAGAATCCACCATATGAGGAGAGTGCCGTAGCACCAAAAGTATTTCCAACAGCCATTTCCCTGTTTTTCGTGTTAGTAATCGAGATTTATGCGTCACACAGGCTCGCTACTCACCACATGCCGGCAAGCAACTGGACAAGACCTCCATACCCGAAAGCGAGAGAAACAGCGATGTTGGGTTCAACAGTATCTCTTACTTGTATGTTGATGAGGGACAGAACGAAGGTGGTGAGAGCGAAAGCAGACAATCCAAGAGGAGCAGGATTGGCAAATTTGCGGTGCTCAGTTGGTTTGTAAAGACCTGGTTGGAATTCTCCACCGAACGCAGGAAGCCTGGCCGAATCTCCAGTATTCATGTGAGCCAGTGGATTTCCACCGTAGTTACGGTATTTGCCATTCACTGGTGGCGTGGCATGATCATGTGTACTGGTATCGTATTCCTTGAGCTCAGGCTCCATTGTCGTTGTTGTTGTAGCCATTGCGAATATCGCCTGCAATCTAAGAGCTGATGGGTGTTATAGGCAAATTCTTTGGCCAAACTACACCAAGATCGTTGCTTGTTCTCGCTCGAAGATAACTCTGCTAAGGTGATGATGTGAAGGGAGGAGAAGAGCTCAAAAGTGATGAAGGAGAAGGGGGAAAGGGAATATATAGTAATTAGCAAGGGTCCCGGATGATGGGGTATTTCACTAATGCAGGTCGGGGTAGTGGGTTGTGAATCCAGTCTGTGAATCAAGGGCTGGTTTTACGGCGGCTTCCAGATCTGGATGCAATCTATTGGTGAGTTGAGGTGGTTAGATACGGATTCCAACCAGGGAGTAAAGCCAGAAGGATGGCTACGAGTACTTTTCGGGTTAGCTACTCCGTTCTCGTAGCTCCATATTAAATCCAACAGTCCATAAAGAAGCTAATCTCCTCTGCGGGGATGTTCGTTAAGGCTGTAGAGGAGTTGGGGACAATCCGGGGTTACGGTGTATGCTGGCCACCAGGCTATGTGGCTATCCCACCCATAGGATGTTGGGCAACCTTGTAATACATATGATCCTAGTTACACTAGTAGTAGAGTACTGGTATTTGGCTGCCACAACAATGTCCGAGGTTGTTCCTGTTGGACACAGCGAGCTTTGCAATCTCACCCTTACTTCCATCTGTCCTGGCGAGCCATTGCAGAGTTCGGAGCGGTTGAGAAAGGTTGATGAAGCACTAATTGCTCATCGGGACAGGGAACTAGTGCCCGCACACGTCTACGGAGTATAGTTGCCGGGGTTTCATACGTGTTCGGCCTGTCTTCTGAGATTTTCCGGCGGTAAGTCATTCGCGGTGGGCTGGAGTCGTCTCCTTACTGCTGAAAAGACCAGAGTAAGTTAGAGCATCCCCGCGCCGTGGTGGGGAGTGTCCGCGGTATCTTCGTTCCCAGGTGGTGTTAGAGGTTTGTCCGAAGACAGCTCTTTCTAATCACAAGGTGTGAAGTAAAGTGAGGTGCTGTGATTTGTGACATTTGCAGCTAATGCAATGGTAATCGAAGACGAGAAAAGATTCGCGCCCTTTTCCATTTGCAGTCGTACATGGTGTAAAATGCGCCTCAATGCTTGTCACATCTTAGCATGCGCTAAAGTCTGAGCACTAGACCACATTAGGCAGTATCGTTGGCTTCCAGCCGAAAAACGTGATCCCCTTATTCAGCCTAAATCAACCACCTCCACCTTCCTCGGTCCTGCATCAACAACAATCTCCAGCATGTCAACTATGCACAACAATATTTATACGTTCAATGTTTGCGAATAGGAACCCGACTAATTGTATTCTGTTGTTGGAGTCCGGACTCCCGGTGCGGCAAGAGTTCGAAAAAAGCCTTCTGTCCCATCAGCGTGCAAACGCGGGAAGACATACAAAAAATTACCCCCATACGAACTGCGCGGGCTAGATCTGACATGATTTGCGTGTCGGAAGATTCGGATACCAAGTTTGGGTGACAGGTGACACTACTGTAGTGATGTTCCATCACTGTTCTCTTCGGTGCAGTAGCTCGTAATGGTTTGCTTAAAGCGTGAAGCTTGAACCCATAGCTATTTCCTATGTTTAACCACCAAGCTGATCCATTACTCACGTTCCATATTCCAACAAAATTCTACCGAAATAATTCAAAAGCCTCAGGTCAACAAAGGTCCGGACATCAGAACAAGACTTTGGGCTTACAGCCACCCCTCGGTTGATCGCTGTGGCCAAGCTTCAATTGCCTGATACCCTGGCCGACTCAATCACCCCTTGAGCAAGCCCCCTGTTGCCTCAGCTCGCCGTTCCAATCAAATTATTTCTTTACAAATTCAAAAGCTCCCCGATGAATTGTTTCTGTTACGAGAACCACCACAAGTGGTTTGCCATTGTGACACGACTTGTGTCAATAATTCTGGCATTTTGTACGAATCTTTTGGCTAATATCCACATGTTAAGGTGCTGTCATAGAAACAGATGAAGTGGAGACCTTCTCTCGTCGTTGTTTCCTTCACATATATCCCAACACACTGGCCAAGTCAAACTGACGCGGCGGATCGAGCTCAAATATCGATTTATAACGAAACTAACGTCGTACACACTGACAGCAGTTGAGGAGACGTGCTGCCGCACCCGCGAAGCTTCACATTCGATGTTCCCGGTAGAATGGTGTGTTACGAAGGCCAAGCGATTCCTTTACAGGTTGCTCGATCAAGCATCAGCCACCAACTGATGTTCCCGTCTTGTCTGCATCTTGGCGAACCGGCACAGCAAACAATCAATAAAAACTTCAACATCAGGCGAGTGAGATAGCTGATGTTCTGAAGCTTTCCTGAGCTCAGCTTTTGTAGTTCCCGATTTGAACAACGGTGAACATCAATTTCTCGACATCCCATCAGCCTTTTATGCGAGGAATGGCTTCTGTCAGTTAGATATCAGGAGACTGATGATTCTTAAAATGGGAGCGGGTAAATTTGTTACCCTGGAATGAGGCAACGAAAGGATAGATCCATCCGTAAGACGGCATCTGTTGGAATGACAGAGAACGACAGACCGACTTGTTTTCATACATCGCCCACAATTGCTGTCTTAACAACATACTTATTATTTTCGGTTGGCCAATTTTGTTTGTGTCAAATTTCTCCACGAAGTAAGTGGGCACATCTCCCAGATGTCCTTCGAAGGTTCGCATCTAGCATAGAGACCTCAGCAGTACACTTTAGGTCAAACACTTCCGGGCATACGGATAATAAAGAGTGAACGAGACGGCCGATAATCATCATTCCTATCGTGGCTGGTTTTTTATATCAACCCATGCACGTACTGTGGGGTAATCTTGCTTTTTACTTCGATCCTTTCCCTAAGCAGCCCATTCCAACACATGTTCTCCACACCTCGTCTCTGCATTCATCCAACGTTCGACTGGTCGGTGAGATCTTACCAGAGATGGTATGTTTTTTCCCGCCCATTTAGAACCTTGCCTGACGCGGAGAAATGTCTCCCGACATGTACGTGGTGATGGCGTGGTCGTCGCGAGGCGTTCCTCCCGCTTTTACGATTGCTTGGCCACTGCGCTTATCGAAACTTCTTCTTTGAAGTATGCTACGAGCGTGTAGATGTGGATTCTATTGCATCTTTAAAAGCAAGATCTCATACTACAATCGAGGTATCCAAAGAGTAAAAAGTTTCCAAGTTGACTCTTTCGCGCAACAGCACACACTTTATCCTTCTGTCTACAGCTATGCGTGATGTTCATTTCTTCTATTGAAACAGACATTTCTTCTGTCGTATGTGCAAAAGAAGAAATAACCCGAGCAACATGAAACATAGACGGTGTCATGCCAGACCAAGTAAACTCGTAATTTCATCAAGCTGTTTGCTCTAGTTAGGCCCGCTGCTCCATATTGGACGTGTAACTATGCTGCAGAAACCGTTTGGCAATCTGCAACCCCTCAATTTCTCAATCAGAAGAGACGTAAATGAGCACTGCGTGAGGAGTAAGCGGCGGCAAGCATTGTATTGGATAGATGTGATCCGACAGCTTGGTTGACCAACTGCTTACAGCTGCCTTGACGAATGGCCGACGAAGTGTAATTTTGTTTATATTATTTCTGATACTCAGAATGTAGATAAGCGCTCCTCACTTCCAGATATATTGAAAAAGCTCTAGATACCATGCTACAATTCGCTTTTGTAGATGTTGCCTCGCGCCTGGGTAAGCTTTGAGTTTTACTCTAAAGTGTACCATGGGTGCATACTGATTCGTCTCCTATTTTTTCCATCATCGTGATAGATACGAGGACGAATTTTTGCTATCTGTATTACGACAAATCCTGTTGAATATTCTACTGGTCTATGCTGCAAGAGTTCACTTTTGCATCTAATTAGAATACAGCCCTCATCTCATTAATTTGCATGTGCGATGCAGATTCCTTTGTTGGAAACCTCGAAATATACATGAATCGCTCACCAATTGTGATGACCGCTGCCTCTTATTATTTTCTTTCTTCAACGTCTGATCAACATTTGAAATATTCAACTAGTTGTTTGCGCCTTCCTTCTATGAATTTTAGACTTTGTTTGAGTCGACCTTGGAAAGGTCGACAAGTGTTGCTGTTGCTATATTTGAAAGATGAACATTGAGCTGGACCGAGAAATATGACATGCTTACATCGATAGCTTAATCTCTCAGATCTTGGCCCTCTTAGTTGGTCTATGGTCCAAGTTACTCAAGACCTGGTTTCTGAATTTGGGAGATGAAACCAATTGTTCTCTGAGAGCGTGAATGATTTCGGCGGAGGGTGTGACGCTAAAGGATGCTGAGAAATTTGGAATTTTCGCCCATTCAAATAGTGGCTTCTTTCAGATGTGATGCACGAGAGTCCAGCTCTAAGGGTCATGAGCACTATTGTCTTCTGGATGATTTGCATCTTCCATCAACTTGTCCCGGTGGAACTGAGAAGAAATGAGTCGGCATGTGAGGATTGCTTTGCGGCCTTTTCTGACACCATGTCTCCCCGAGTTAGGGGCTGGGAGTTTACTCATCATCATTGTTTCAAATATTATAGGAAATTAGAGCTGGGCAGACTGAGTATTGACACTCTCTCTGAGTGTTTAATAAGTGATGATGTCCACCCCAAGATATCCATACTACCTCCCTAAGTAACCCAGATACTGTTCTTCGGTCTCAAAACATCCTCTTCATTAATCAACCGACCCGCTAAAAGTATTTCATCCAGCTTATGATCACCTTTATTTGATAACGGAAAGGCAGCCATGGAATTTTCCACAATACCAGCACATATCTCAGAATCCCACATCCCTTCTCTTCTGTGGGATCTCTTTAACAGCTTCCAAGCTCTTGTCTGGGTGACTGGATTATGTGATTTCAAGGCGACGAAAAAGACTGGTGCGATTGTACCAAGATCTGTTGAGAAATTGCACATAGGTCTTGGTGAGCCGTGGTAGGTCAGTTGGCCAGAGTCAACACTTTCACAATAAATGAGCATCTCTTCTAGATGAGTCTCGCTCCGTTCATAGAGTTCTCCCGTTATGCAGATCAAAATCTGGAAGATCTTGAGTGTGGCAGCACCGCGCAGAGTGCTATCGATAACAGGATCATGAGTATCCGCATTTGAAAGAAACTCTCTTAGGCTTTGCTCCCATATATTCAAATGTGCCCTGTGCTTTTCTCTGATTTCCAAAGTCGGTGCAACTTGGGTTTGTCCACGGTCACAGATCATTCCAGCACCAATGGAAGAAAGTGACCATAGCCCATCTTCTATTGTCTTGAATGATATCAAAGGATTTTCAGGCACCGCGATTTGAAGATCCTCCCAAAGAGCAGCACGTTGACCATCTTCTCTCGGATCAAGAAATAGACATGCTTGTATTCCAAGACGCATCAGAAGTGGAGAGAATTCCTTTTTCCAGCTTTCTGACAGCGTAGTGCCAGCTTCATGGATACACCTCAAGATATGGAGTCCAGCTCGGAGGTGAGTAAGGGAGGCTTGATGATTGCCCAGGAAGTTCTCAAAACACACAAATAAGATACAAGCCGTAAGAGCCAAATCCCACTGTTGAGACGCTGACAAGAGACGAGCCAGATCTCGGGTGGCCATTGCATGATGTCTGAGCGCGAATGTGCATGATTGAGAATCCTGATGACCTGTCGTCAGAAGTGATTGCTTGTTGAAATTCTCATGTAAAGCACCGATTGCCACGACTGCGTTCCTGACACAAGACTCTGAAAGACTAATCTGAAGCACTCGTCGTTCCCAAAACGGCGAGGAGAATTGTCCCGCTATAGACGAAACAGAGAAATTGGCAAAATTATGGAAGATGCGTTTCTCGTCCTGACTTGTGTTTGGGAAGTTGCTCAATTCGTATCTCGGCGAATCAAGTGACATTATTGGGATTTCTATCTTTGAGAATTCTGGCCTAGAATTCGACACCACATTCGAATTTGCGTAACCCTTACAAACGCGACCAGGTTTTCTTGCGTTGAGACATTTCAGGCAATGTGGTCGGGTCTCGTCGCATTTGACATGCCGTTGTCTGGTTCATGTGTTAACAAAACTTGTATCGCAACCATGGAGCTTAGATATCGCAAGGTGGCACTCAACTTGCAGGTAATGCAACCTGTTCGTGAAGGGGTCCCAGACACTCGGTATGTCTTTGGTCTCCTTTCCATATTTCGCAGGGAATATTATTACATACAACTTATTTGAATTGAAAACATGTTCGGGACATGTCCTTCTCAATTGTTCTAGATGGTTTAAACATTACCTCGACGACGTTGACGATATTTCTTGAGGTTGGATGGTGCCTTTCCGAGAAGAGGTTCAATCAATTCAAGAGGCGCAGCAAGTATCTTCAAACACCGCACGTGATTATCCTCCTGGTGCTCCAATTGACCATCATCCATTGCTACAACAGATTGAAATCTTATAATTTATGAAGTTAATGTATTTAGTTATTTGCTGGTAGATTTTGCGCTTCATCACTAGAACGCGACAGATGATGATCATAACCAAGATCCCACTCAACAAAATGTCCGCCATCATTACCTCTACGCGGACGGTCTAAACTTCCTTTTACGTCGTCGTGAACTTTGACAAATCCGCTTGTTTACAGAGCTTGTTTACAGACTTACATACTCACGAAGAACAAAGACATCATCTGGCTCGTCTCTTGATCAAATCAGCCGCCTATATTGAGTTAGTATTCACTATAAAGCTACGAATGAAAAGTCCGTAGACTCACCTTCTCGGCAACCGCATAGACAGTAGCATCCAAATGTGTAGCGGGTGCAAGCGGCATGATTGAAGCGTCTACAACGCTCAGTCTCTTGATCCCATGTACTAAGAGTTCTGAATCAACCACACCTCCCATTTCTAACGGCATCATAGCACACGTTCCCAATGCATGACCAATAGTTGGTGTTGAAAACTGCCGTATCGCAGCTTTGATATCTTCATCGCTAATCACGGAGCTGCCAGGCAGTATCTCAAAAGGCGTTAGAGTTGCGTGGCTTGGAGTTTGAAACCATTTGCGTGTGTATTTGTACATCGAGACGGCTATATCCATATCAACAGGATTGGAGAAAACCCTTGGATCTATCAGCGGGTCGCCAAATGGATCGGTGATATTGATGTAGACTGATCCACGGGACATTGGTTTCTGCAAAACGTTTACCACAGTGGGATCACCATTAAAAAATACCTCGAGCATTGCCGATGACTTCGAACTATACGATGCAAGAAGAAGTTTCTTTTGGGCCGCGTAGCCTTGCTTAAGTGAAATTTCATAGCCGGATGGAAGAAAAGCGAGAGAGTTCTGTGCTGACAGATTTGCAACTACTCCCTTATAGTTGGTGTCGAAAGTCTGCAGGGGAAGGAACACGACACTATTACCATATCCTACGGTCAGAGGACCTAAAGAAATGTATTAGGTCGAGACATAATTAAAGGTTCTGCGGGCTTACCTGTACGGTTCTGGTAATATAGAGCTTGAACTTGCGCAGCAAAAGTTGCGTTCGTTGCAGCCGTCTGAGAGTTTGGTACAGTATTGCTTGCATCTTTTGAGAATCAGCGACCGGTGCTCAACAATGGGGCTTCCTTTTTACATATATAAACCAACACCGAGGCGGCATGGTCCTGCAAATTCTGACCGACGCCAGGAAGATCCAATTTAACGTCGATACCAGCCTTCTTCAACAAACCTTTGGGGCCAATGCCACTTCGCTGCAACAGTGCAGGACTTCCGAAGGAACCTGCAGCTATGATGACTTCTTGGTTTGCTTTCACATTGGTAAAAGTCTTATCACTACCATCTCGTGCCTGAATTTTGACGCCTTCTGCCTGAGAGCGAGAAATTGAAATCTCGCGTGCTTTGTAGCCAGTCAGTAAATGATAGTTCTCTCTTCTTACGGCTCGATCATGGTGGCCACTCTTTGCGTAAGAGCGAGTCTCGTTCTTAGGATCTAGAGCACTTGGGATCCAGAAGAGTCCTAAAGCTTGACCCCCAGCCCCCTCCTTGGTAGCTTTGACCCCCAAATCGAGCCAGGAGTTCCATTGAGTCTCTAACCAGATTAGATTTTAACTTCCTTATAAGCAGAGGGTTTCTACGCACTCTGCTGAGGCCATTGGAATGGAGGATAGCTGGCATAGATGGGCCCATGGCCACCATAAGCAGACTCGTCGTATGTATAGCCAAATTCTTTTTGCTGAGCAAGAGTTGGTGGAATGAATGTTACGCTCTACTTCCAGTTAATTGGAGTGGAAAAAAGTTTTGAAAGAGCTACCTTTTGGAAGTACGGAAGAAGTCCCTTCCAGCCCCAGCCTACACTCATTAGCTTTATTGTCGAACCGAGAACATGAAGATTGAAATATTCTGCCACAATATCATTTAACTAACCAGGATTCTGCAGTTTCTCCCAATTATCATAGTCATCAGCAGACCCTCGGTCGAACATCATATGGTCAACTGCTGAACCCCCTCCTACTATCGCGGCTGCATACACAATTGTCGTTGCATTGTTCAATTCAGTTTGCGGCACAGAAGAATAGTTGTAGAATCTAGGCAAGTAGCGGTCATTGTTTGCCGGCGCGGGCATAAGGATGTCTGGACTTGGGTCGATATAGCCATATTCTACTACCAATACACTGTCTGGGACAAATATATGAGATGATGCAAGTTTGTCATCGAAGGGGAAATACTTCTTGAGTCCTCAGATAGCCGGTCTGCAACGGTGATTCCAGCTGTCCCACCACCAACGATAATGAAATCGTAAGAATCATCTAATTCGGAAACATGTCGCTTTATGTATGCTAGTTCCTCAACCGGACGAGCTTGACAAGTTAGAAAGAAAGAAAAGGATGCCAACGGAAATGCAACGGTGAAGATTTTGTGTATCAACATGATTGCTTGAACTCTTTACATCAAATAGTGAAAAGAGGCGAGGAACTCGAGGCAAAAGAACCCCCCAGGGACCTTTCTAGATCATTTCCACGATGTTACTCAACAGCCTAATCAGAATCTCCGGGTCTCAATAGATTGTACATGAGTTTCAACCTTGGCAGGTGGGCTACCCAACAGCGACCCCGATACGAATAGACCGCTGCCATTTCAATACCAATCTGCTCACCGAGTACGCACCAGACTGCGTCTAACTCTGGAAGTGTCCACAATCGTTTGCGAGAAATATTGCATTTAGAAAGACGACTAGCCATTGCCCAATGCCTGACCACAGTTAAGAAATAGGCGCGGCCTTGACAAGATGAATGAAGAATGATGTGTCGATTGCGCGACAAAACAACATGGCACAACAAGCTACGAGTTGATGCACAATCGCACAGGTTGATAGTAAAAGAGCTGTCGGCAGCTTGTAGTACATAACTAGAACACGACAGCTTAGTATTTGCACAGAAGCCTAGAATGATGTGTTGTTATGAGCAAGAGAGATGAAGTTCGAGGTCAGAAACAATCGGTTCGCGTTGACATGGATTCGGTGGGCTTTCGTCATGTGTTTGGAGGGGCATCGCATCCTTCGGACTTCCTACATCATTGACAAACAGTTGCCCTTCACTCCGCCCACCAGCATGGCTTGATTCAACGGTCGTGTGTGATAAATGCATCATCATGGGACAAGGGCAGTCCAGCGATGGCGAGAAAAAGGTCTCAACTGAACAATTAAGCCATGAACTGGTATGTTTTGATTGCAATGTTTAGGCCTCGACTAACCACGCAGATAACTACAGGCTCGCAAGTTTGCAAAACGTTGCTTTACACCCCTCGAACTCTACTCCTTTCAAGACGTGTTCAGAAGCCTTGCAGATAATCGAGATGGCATCTCATACCTCAAAGAAGACACGATTGCACGGTTTCTCGAAATACCAGATGTCTTGGGCGTCTCTTCCGTTGTCTTTCAGATGATATCATACCTGGGCGCATTCCCTTTCGGACAGGACGCGCCAGTTGTCTTGGGTTTTGAGCAGATGATTATGGTTGTGGTCATAATGTCCGAAAGATATCAACGAGTCCTGAAAAAGGGCAACCGTGATCGGACTAAGCTACTTTTCCGCAGTCTAGCTGTCTTTGATAGAAAGGAGTCGCATGCAAAAAACGAGGAGAATGAACCAGATAAGGGGGGATCGAAGAGTACGCCGCGGCCTGAAGCTTCGAGAAGCCATGTGGCCGGGTTTGCAGTTGACCAGGCCACCAACGATGAGGAAGAAGATGAAGAAGACGACGATGATCTGGCTCTCGCAGCACTGGAATCCCTTGATGCGATAGAAGTTTTCCGACATGGAGACGCCCCAATTGCTCAAGCTTCGATACCGTCCGATAACTTCAAAAAGCTGATTATGCTACTGATTCTGGTAGCCCCACTGAGCAATCAAGAAAGCCTAGCAAACCATGCCGAAAGGCTTACTGGTGATCAACTAGAAGGTCTTCGCAAAACCGCAGACAACATACTCGCAGCGTTTGTGAACGTGGAAAAGTTTCCCGGAGTCAAAATACATCAATTTAATACAGTGATACCCAACTCTTTACCTTTCTTATTTAACGGTTTCAATCCGTTATTCGAGCACTTTTTATTCTCCAAAGATATCGACTTCACCAAACGAAAAGATGGGGCGTTGCCACCTCCTCCATCTGCTGTCCCAGCGCTAGAGCAACCACTCCTTCCACCTCAGAGGGGCGAGATTCTAGATCTAAATGTTTTGTCGCAACTCTCTTTCTTCATACCAGGAAATACTTTGTTTCGACAACTTCGACTCCTTTACTCCGGAGGCGATGCCGGGTTCTCCCTTGGAAGCTTCGAGACGAGAGTGTTCAACTGGAGAGCTCCTACCATATTGCTTGTGTCTGGTAATCGAATTTCGGATCCTCCTGAAGGCGGCCAAGAACGCGCATTCTCTGATACTCTCCGCCCAAAGCGATTTCCAGATAGCGGGAAATCAGATCATGTAACATTTGGAGTATATGTCACTCAGCCGTGGCGGCAAACACACAAAGAGTGCTTTGGCGACTCTGAGACTAAGCTGTTTCAATTGGAGCCAGTACATGAAGTTTTCCATGCGTCAAATATGAATAGAGACTATGTCGCCTTCACCAAGCCACCTTCGGCTTCTTGCGGTATTTCCATTGGTAGCCCTCATCCTAAAGCGAAGCAAACGTCCGGGTTGTCAACACTTGTAAATCTTGGAGCAGTCTCGTTAATGCTTGATTCTTCATTTGAGTTTGGAGTATTCACACACAACTACACATCTGGTGGTGGAGCATTTCACAACTCAGAAACTCGGAGAACAGACTTCCAAGATCGATTCGAGATAGAAAGTCTGGAGGTTTGGGGATGTGGCGGAGACGCCGAAGCTGAGGAACAGAGGAAACGTTGGGCGTGGGAAGAGCGCGAAGCAGAGGCACGAAGAAAGATCAATCTTGGGAGTGGAGACATGGAAGCAGATAGGCAATTACTGGAAATGGCTGGGATCATTGGAGGCAACCGAAGTGGTGGCTCCATGAATTAGATGAACAGTTGGCATCCGAGGAGTCACACGGGCGCATATTGCTTACGATTTGGATCTCGGGCGTTCAACGGATACTTGGAAAGAGATTAACGTAAAAGAATGCATAGCTTCTTTTGTGTAAACTTTACAAAACACCATTTAAGGAAACAATGCTGTTAGGTCGACTACATCCCAAAACGCCCAGTGTTGCCCATAATTATACAAACCATTAATCATGCCTATTTCCTGCCATTAAGTAACAGCTCTCGGACCATCTCAGATACCTTCGGCGTCCTCCTTTCAGAATCGTCTATCATTGAGTTCGCATTCTTGGGATTGCTTTCCCTCATCCTCCTCTTCTCCCTGAGAGCTCTGATCTCTTTTTCTTCCTCGTCTCTAGCCTCCAGTTCTCGGATCCAAGCGGCATTCTTCTCTTTTGCCTTCCTCTCGCTAACTGCCCCTTCAAACTCCTTGCGCTTCTTGCGATCTGCTTCCCAGTACATACTACCAGCGACCATAGCAATAAGTGTAAATCCCTGTGCGAAGATACGAGCTCGGAACATTCGATTTGTTTTATTGTGGTCGCCTGCACGGATGGACCGACTGGCTCCAAAAAGAGCCCAGCACGTTAAGGCACATCCTAGATTTCAATCAGCAAAGCCCCTAATTAAGATCAAACAACGTACCAAAAGGGATTACAGGCTCTTCTTTAAGCCTTCTCGAGAACTTTTGCCATCGATTTTCTTCATAGAAGTCACTTCAGTATGGCATCAGCTTTAACACACTACTGAAATAATGAATAGCACCTACGAGTTCCCATCAAAGGACGACGGTAATGGCTGAGACATTTTGACTACACCCTCAACAATGGCCTAGTCGTGCAATTAAGTTTGACAGTCGTTGTCGCGGGGAAGCTCCAGACTACACGGAATAATATGGTGAGGTAATTCATGCCATTTACCGCTGAAACCTTTTTCCGGATTTCCTGGGGACCCCCTTGCAACTTTCAGCCACAGCAAGCCAGCGCCGATCTCGCCCAGAGAAAACCCCACCATTTCAATAATTCATTTCTCGCGATAGCTTTGCAGATGCGTCACAAACATACATACACAACACCGCGAAAATGGAAAACGGAGGTCTGCCTAACGGCGACTCCAAAGTCAACGGTACACCGAGTACCAATGGCTCGAGACCTCGAACTCCAAGCTTGAATACATTGAGCTTGACCGAATATGCGACGAACCCTTCACCGCCGAGCGCGGATCCAAGAAGCAAGATTCGAGGAGTAGTTCCTGAGGAATTCTTGTTGCCAAATGGGTACCCTGATGTAGGTTGACTATTGTGCAAATACTTAAAGCTTCGTCAAGGCTAATTGAGTCCTGAATTGCAGTATTTGCGGCTTATCCTTACGTCTCGAGTCTATGAAGTGGTAACAGAAACACCACTCACATCAGCTATCAACCTAAGCAACCGCCTAGAATGCAACGTATTATTAAAAAGAGAAGATCTGCAGCCGGTATTCAGCTTCAAACTAAGAGGGGCGTACAACAAAATGGCACATTTGGATCCCAAACTTAGCTGGAAGGGAGTGGTTGCTTGTTCCGCCGGGAATCATGCACAGGGAGTTGCGTACTCTGCTAGAAAGCTCAAGATACCTGCGACTATCGTCATGCCTAAAGGTACTCCAAGTATCAAGCACCTGAATGTTTCGAGGCTAGGAGGATCTGTGGTTCTGAATGGCGATGATTTTGACGCTGCGAAAGAAGAATGTGGTCGATTGGAAAAGCTCCACGGATTGACGAATATCCCGCCTTTCGACGATCCTTATGTTATCGCTGGACAAGGTACCATAGGAATGGAGCTCTTGCGGCAGACAAACATTCGAAAGCTGGAAGCTATTTTCTGTTGTGTTGGCGGTGGGGGGCTTATTGCTGGCATTGGAGTCTATGTTAAACGAATTGCGCCTCATGTCAAAATCATCGGAGTGGAGACATATGACGCTAATGCTATGGTGCAGTCGCTGCAGAAGGGGGAGAGAGTTGCACTCCAAGATGTTGGGCTATTCGCAGATGGTGCAGCAGTCAAAAATGTTGGGGAGGAGACCTTCAGAATATGCCAGGAGGTTGTGGATGAGATCATTCAAGTGACCACCGACGAGACTTGCGCGGCCATCAAAGACGTTTTCGAGGACACCAGGTCCATCGTCGAGCCAGCAGGGGCTTTGGCACTGGCAGGGCTCAAGAAATATGTAGCAGCGCACCCTTCAGCAGACACCTCTCGAAATTTAGTCGCCATTGCATCAGGAGCGAACATGAACTTTGATCGCCTTCGATTTGTTGCAGAACGTGCTGCTTTGGGAGAGAAAAAAGAAGCTCTGATCATGGTCAAGATACCCGAAAGACCAGGAGCGTTCTTGGAACTCATCAGAGCGATTATGCCACATATGGTCACCGAATTCTCCTACCGGTTTGCTACAGATGCAGTTGCGAATATACTTATTGGTATTTCCCTCACCTCTCCAGCCTCCCAAAGAGAAGCCGAGCTCTCTTCTTTACTCGCGCGTATTGAGTCAGGGGAAATGATAGCGAAAGATCTTTCCGGTGACGAACTTGCTAAGTCCCACGTCCGCTATCTGGTTGGTGGGCGATCAGCCGTACCGAATGAGCGATTATATATGTTCAACTTTCCTGAAAGACCTGGCGCTCTACAAAAATTCTTGACCACTCTTGGTCCAAAGTACAACATCTCACTCTTCCAATACCGAAACGCTGGTAGTGATATTGGTAAAATTCTCACCGGTATCATCTGTCCTGAAGTCGAACACAAGGAATTAGAAAGCTTTTTGCAGAAAATTGGGTATCCTTGGGAGGACTGTACAAATTCAGAGGTGTTTGGGACTTTCTTGCGATCTTGAGATTATCTGAGCCATGGATATGGATTTGGGCTTTAGCGAATTGGAGTTTGGGGTAGAACGGATGGGCTTGCTATGATATATAAATGGGGGAGGCAATCTTCGTTGACTAGAAATGTTAGAGAGTGTGATATCCCAACATGATGCGGATTTGAGATGAACTATAATTCAAGATAACCTGCAAATAACAAACTACCTCTAATACATAAGCTTAAAAATTCTTGATTATAGTCACTGGTCGTTTCAATTCAAATATTCTTGTGCTCTAACAGTTCTTCGAATTCACACCTCAAATTCAAGGCACAAACACCCATGCACCTCTAAATTTCACAACCCTCAACACCACCATCCATACCAGCTGCAAATAACCACCACAACCGCATTGCCTCCCCATAAACAAATCAAACATCCAAAATGCGTCCACCAACTACCACCCTCTTTCGCCACGTCCTCTTCCCCTCCACAACACCAATATTCAGATCCTCACCCGCAACAACTATGCGCACTTTCTCGATACTCACGAAACCGGAATTAAGATGGCAGGGCGCGGGCGGGTATGGAATTCAGAACGCGGGGGGTTATGGACGATTAGGTGGATATGGTGTTCAGAATGGGGTGTTGGGCGGATATGGACAGGTTCGGGGGATGAAGGTTAGGAGTTCTGTTAAGAAGTTGTGTGAGGGGTGTAAGGTAAGGACGCCTTCTGTTTTTGGATTTAAGGGGAGATTCGGACGAGAGAGAGCTGGTGTCCAACGTATGATTACTATGGGATGGAGTCGATGCTAATTCGTTGTGTACAGAGCGTCCGAAGAAAGGGTGGAAAGAAGGGACGAGGGCACGTTTATATCATTTGCAGCTTAAATCCTAAGCATAAGCAACGACAGGGGAAATAAAATGTGTGTGATGGCGTGGCGGGAATGCGATTGTGTCAGGAAGAGCGAGAGTGTGTGTTATGCGATAGAGAAGCCTGGGCGAATTGTATGAATGTACTTATAAATTTGCATGGGCATGGCGTTGAAGGATGGGCGTCTTACTACGATAGACGGGTCGACGTGTAATAGAACCCCAAGAAGACGACACTCTTTTTGGATTTCAGATTCTACATTTAAGATCTCTTCGAATTGCGAATTCATACGTCATATATTTAGAACCCGCCTTCTCCTCCCTTGAGTGCCCAGTGCATTGAATCCAAATAGTGTTTAGAGCTCTCTTAGGCTCTACCTGATATGGGAGCTCATACTGGCAGTTTCGCTTATATACCTACCAACTTGTGGTATACTATTTCATAATTCTACATATGGCATGTGTCTGGCGGCTCTCGTTTTTGAGCTTGGTGATGTATTTCGTTTAGAATTACGATGGACAGTTCATAAGCCATCAATGTATCTTTCCATACCTTCCCATTGTGTCTTTCCGGTGGAAATCAGATATCTGATTTGTGTCTACTCTTAATTAGCCGTCTGAATTGAAACCGAATAGCATCTTAATAAATCTTGTTCACATGGGTTTTAGAAATCGCAACCCACCAGATCCGTAACATCCTTATTCCTTCGGTATTCCACCCTAGCCATTTCTAACATCTCCTCCCTCGAGTTCCGATCTGGGATCTTGCGGCATCCGCGGACTATGGTACGGTAGAGAGAGATGGCGCGAGATCTTTGTAAAAACTGCACACAGCAATTAGAAAGGGTTTGAGAAGAAGCGCTAACCAAAGAATACGTACGTGATCAAGGCTAATCGTCTTCCCACCGAATCGCGATGGTCGAGGAGATTTCGTTTGAGAAGCGTATGAACGAATCGTACCGAGGCGCGAAGCTCTAGAAACCGAACAAAGCTCTACTAGAGACCGAACAATAGTCTCTTTCCGCATGTGGGCGACGAGGGAGCATAGTTACATATGCAAGTAGGAGTGAAGACGCAGATGTGGATGTATGTAGAGCTGCAGTGGAGTCTTTGGAGGGGAAGACGCGCCCGAAGCTAATTTGTGGGGACGCGACGAATAGCTACTCTCAAAGGAAACCTTGAACCTCACCAACTCACAAATTTCGCAAAGCTATTTGGGAACTTTTGAATATTCCCGAGACGTTTCCTAAATGCTTTATGATACTCATTGCATAGTTCAACCTTCTTCCAGTTGGGTAAGATGGATCCCATTGATCTTGCGAATTCAAAGACCTTGACCGCATTCATCGAGGACTACTTGCCATCAAGGTGGGTTAACATTTCAACATCGTATCCCAGATCTCTTTGATATTGTCGATTGTTCTCGAAGGTTTCGAGGTTCTATATTTCTCTTCCGGGGCAATGCAATGATACTGAAAAATAGGCAGCAAAGAGTGGAATACCTGGGTGCATCCGACTACCAAGGACCAATATGCTGTGACGCTTCAAACCTCGAAATCGCTTTCAGCTGCCGATTTCGATGCCTGCTTCCGTCTTATCGCGCTCACCAGCTCTGATACTTACAAAGCTTCGAAGGACGGCTGGAAGCCTCGATCCAAGAAAAAAGAAATGAAATTACTTGATATCAAGTACATCCTCGTCAAAACCGGTCAAGGTTTTTTAGAGGGCTTTCTCTCCTTCATGCCGACCTATGAAGACGGGTACCCAGTCATCTACTGCTACGAAGTTCACCTCTCTCCAGAATTGCAAGGGTGAGTACGCCAAAGTTTCTGAAGTTCCTCCGTGCTGATTTGATCCTTTAGGACTGGATTGGGGACGGTATTGATGCAGATCTTAGGAGACATTGCTACCAAAATCCCAAATACAGCAAAGCTCATGTTAACATGCTTTACCAGCAATCAGAAAGCGATCAAATTTTATGAAAGACTCGGCTACTCCAAGGATGATTTTTCACCAGCACCAAAGCTCTTACGGAATGGAACCAAAATCGAGCCGGATTATGTTATCTTAAGCAAGGTTCTTCTTGATCTTAGTTCATATATTTGATTCTTGTCGAAATCCATTACAACGACAAGATATCAATACGAGGTCAATCACGGTCCGTTGCGCTTGTCGCAGTATTCCAATATAGTATCTATCCACGACACGGACAGAATTGTCAAACGGCTGCGGTAGCCAATCTTAATTTAGATGCCGCGTGGACGGCTTGATGCAGTTACACGGAATTCAATTACTTCTTATCAAGGCTGAAAAATGACTGCAGCCCTAACAAGCCACCAAAATCAGCTTGGCGACAAACTACCATTGCTATTGACGCTTTTCCGCGTGAGGCTGATATTTCTCACACCTACCGAAATCATTTCCAGATTCAGACAATAATTTCGGCTGTGTTCAAGCAACTCTTCGGAATCGGAGGCGCTGCGTCGTGCCGGCTTCTTGCTGCATCCAACCCGGTATCATAATCGCTCTTGCCTTGTGGAGATGAGAGTTTGGTGTCGCCTTTGTTTGGTCATGCCACTAGCAACATAAGGTCTGGTCATTCCACTACACATAAGGTTTGGTCGCTCCACTAGCAACACATTCCTCTTGAGCAATTCTTTGTTCTCCACAACTACATCTTATCAGTAATTGTTAATTGTATCGCTTCTCAAACACACTTCTATCACATACTTTTTGTTTTTTGGACCTGAAACCAATTCGAAATGGCCGAACCAAAGCAACAACCAGCAGCGCCTGTGACCCAGCAGCCCAAGGCTCTTGCGGGTGTGCCTACGATGGAAGAGGCTAGAGCGACCACAGGGTCCGAGGAATGGCAATCTGGGATATTCGAATGCTTTGAGGGAGAAGATCTTCTTTGTAAGACTACAGAGATATGAATTGCACCAGACAAATCTAACTCACGGTTCTTCCAGGCCTCAAGACCACATTCTGCTCATGCTTCACCTACGGAAAGACAATGCATCGATCTAGAGAGCCATCAATGGCCACCTACGAACGAATCAACAATGATTGTCTTATGTTTGTTGCGTATGTCATGAAACGGCAGATCTTTCTAGTATACTCTAGCTGACGTTCACAAAGTGCAAATTGCTTCTCCCTCGGCTGGTTCCTAACCTTTCTCAAGCGCGGCGAGCTTCGTGAGAGCTATAATCTCAAGGGAGATCATGTCACAGATTGTCTCCTCAGTGCGTTCTGCGGCTGCTGTACTCTTATTCAACACGAGAAGGAAGTTATCGCCAAACAGAGAGCTGCTGGGTTGGTCAGCCAGGGATATCAGGCGCCTGCTGGAATGACTACTGGTCAATAATTGGCGCTTCGCGAGGGCAATTGCCATGCGTTCTTCTGTGTTGGTGTTGTTTGCTATTCTGTATTGCGGACGATACCGTGTTGTCGATAGCTATTGCCGCGAATTTGGGTATGGGATTACCCTTAAGTTAATGAAGCATTATTCGGGTTTTACTTGATGTTCTTTCTGATCTAGGTGATAATATCGTACGGGCAAGCTGAAACGATCAGAAAGATAAGTGGGGGGGTCTTAGTCTAACCTGGGAGACGCAACTTTGATATCGTGCTGTATATGGTATGATAATTGCAAGATTACGACTTGCTGGCAACCGAGACTTCTTTTACAAAGCCTCCGCCTTGCTGCAATTGCACTCTTCTTCTCCCAAGTACCTGTTAAGCTTACTGAAGATTACTAATTCCACATATATTTTCAGTTGCAACCGAACTCAGAACATTGTGGTTGTCTTTTTCTAACCATTCTGTAAGTGAAAATGCGCTATTCAAGATTCGACCTTCTCGCTTAAATTTCACGTATAAAAGCTGGAGTCTCGTTGCTTCATCCATTTAGGGGGTCTAATCTTGCTACGAGATTCTCTCGACCTCATTTCGCAAAGTCCAGAATGTACAGTGAAAGATGAAGATTGGTATTGCACAAGTCACACCCTGTGTGCTTACTGTATCGAATTTTTCGCGAACGCGAGAAACATATGGCGGCGGCGTAGGCAGCTATAAATGAGATATAGTTGAGAGAGGTACTGAACGAATAAGACTGCTCTTCCCTCAACTAAGTTTTTGGCTGTTGATTGCCAAGATGATCAACCCAATACAACACGTTCAAGTATACTTTGTAACCCAAACATACTGTCTGAGGAAGGGATTCCTTCACTAGGTAGTGACCCACTGTAATTGTAGAAACCATTTTCTCTTCGACAAAACCCAGAGATAGAACAAAGACTCCTAGCTGAAGGAACTTCAATACCGTTCAGTCGTACAACTAACGATCTACAGGTCATTTGAGATGGGGCACTTTTAATGCAAGGTAACATTATTCAAGAACAATACGACCATATCCCTATCACCAAAAATTACATCACCTTCTCTTCCACACAACCGCTAAGATGATGAACATCTTAACCCATAACCACGGCGTACGTCCTTTTCCCACTTCTCTTCTCGTTTCTAAGTTTTACTCATCGAGTGGCTCAACGCCTTCAAAACCCTCGGCCGAAACACCACACTGGCAGTGGTTCGGCGTATTCAGCCTAGCAAACACACTCCTCGCTCCTGAGGACGTATATATCTCCAAATTGCGAGGTGGTTATGAGTCGCTCAATGCGGGAGTGAGGACTATCGTGGAGTATGCCAGTGGGTTAACTTCTGAGGAGACTGCTGAGGCGGGATTGAATGATGCGCTGGATGCGAAGGGGACGATGTATTGCTTTTCATGAGTTGACAAAGGAACGGGGCGGCAGGGAGTAGATGAGAATGGGGGGATTTGAAGAGGGGGCCTGAGAGGAATGGGAGAGTGAAATTGGGTGTTGCTTGTGATGGGTTTAGAAGTGATCCGCATGAGATTGTGGAAGTGGTTGTGAAGCTTATCAGGTGTTTCCTTCCACGACCGGCAAGATTTGATATACATAATTGGTATACAGAGAAGAGAAAGCAGCAACTTCAAGAACATACTACATAAACGGCGTATTTGGATGTAAATACCCCATCAACCCCTAGCAAATCCTCAGTCACTGACTCCCCCACCCCTCCACAACCTCACCACAAACCCACAGCTCAAGCCATCCGCAAAGCGAAGTCCTCTCAGGCTCAACATCCCAGAGTATTTTCCACACTGGGGAGATTGTGAAGAGGGATTTTAGGTCGGTTGGTGAGAAGGTGGAGGAGAATTGTGATATTTCTTGAGGATTAGGGAGAGGGTGGGGAGGATTTGGAGGGATTCACAGTATCTTGTGTTGGAAGGGACGTTTTTCAGTGGTCTTCAGTAGATTGATGTCGTGAGAGGTGAGGGAAAGGGGTTTGGTGTTCCTCCTGATGATTGAGAGTTTGCAACAGGAGAACTTGATAAAGTTTGTGAACATTAGAGGTTGATAATTGAAAGGCAGATAGATACTCTCGGTATGCCAGATCATTTTGGGTATGATTTAAAAGGTTCCATAAGAATAAGAGAGTGAGTGTTGAAAAATGTTTCTAACAAATAATCAAGCTTTCATAAGCTTTGTCACCCACAACTACCTCCGTCTAGACACTTTGCTCAGAACTATCTAGCTTGATAAATTCCACTCCTCCTATTTTCGTATCACTTTAGAAGCGTTCTTTCATGATCTATGAATAAAAAAGCGAAGCGTGTTTCGTGCTCGATTTACCATGTTCGGCTAACCAAAAGACCAGAAACACTTTAAAGTTAAACAACAGTCACCGAACTCATCACCTATCCAATTATACTTATACAACTATGCACACCTCTTCAATAGGTATACGAATTTATAAATCATAATTCTCCAAGGGAAATGTACCACAACATTCCTCACCTCTCCTCCAACTCACCTAAACATTTTCACTTCACTAATTCTAACCCCACGTCGCCCTCACCCTCCGAACCTCTAAACCAAGACTCCAGCATGCTGTACTATCCGCCGCTAGACCTCTCTATTCCCTCAAACTCCTCACCAAAAACCCCATACCTAAATTCGCATCAACAGCCCATCCCCAAACCCCCTAAAATAAGCGAGATTACCGCATGCGTCCATGATTCAAGAACAACACATCAATTCTCCGACCTCCTTTGCGACAACGCTTAGGTCTACAAATGATTGGGAGGTGATGAGCGGCTGAAAATGAGTTAGTGAGTGTGTTTATGCATAAAGCTTGATAGCTTGTTGGTATTGGAAGGAGATGGGGGATGTGATTGGATATTGGAGATGGAAGTGGTAGGTGAAGCGTTTAGAAAGGGCAGGTTGTGAGGAAGTTTATATATATCTTTTATATGGTATAATAGTAAAGTACAATACTTGACTAATAAAGTAATGATTTCCATCTTCAAAAAGGAGAATCTCCTGCTCATCTCCTCCTATCGAGCACCTCGCACATGCAATTGTGGCGTCGTCGATCGTGGCTGAACACTTATCCGGCGAATGCGGCCCGGGTATTTGGATCTCTCCACCCGATGCAGGTGTGCAGATGCTATTTCAATATCCAACACGAGAAGACGCGCTTCAAAATTGAACAATTATTTTGAATTGAGTAAATTGTAAACATCTTCCATGTGTTGCAAAGCAAAAGGTATATGTCTTCCGTACTCCAAATTCAATTGAATACGGCGTACATCTGTGGACTGAGCATCTCGCCCAGCGCCGAGATCAACCTCAGCTCATCTCATTCTACCTTCCTCATGTAGAGAGATACGCGCCGCCAAAGAAATTCCACGCCTTTCGTTTCTTCGTCCACTGGACACCTGGAAATTTGTTTCCCGCCACCCAACATAATTCCCGTCATACCGGAAACGAGGGCGTGGAGGAGGCCGCAGTCGATCACGTCGTGATATTCAGGAGAGCGGTCTCAATTGATGGTCTTCCGCTGAGTACGGGGATTTTCAAGTGATGCATTTGATGTATAGCAAATCCAATGACGTGAAGAACATAATTCGAAATAAGCATAACAAATAGACGTAAACAACAATTCATTTTAGATCATTTTCGGCAATAAACAAAAAAGAAAATCCCATTATCCAAAAACGCGTTCTTGATCGCGTCCCGAGAAATCCAATTGGAACTCGAGTCTGCATCAACATACATCATCACACATCCCCTCCCATGCATCCCCGTCCCCAGCCCTGCGAAGGATTCTTTGTCCTGCAAGAGATGCACACCGAGTGGTATTGTATGCAGCTGAGATGATTTGGAGATCACGCTGGTGTACGTCCGGAGACGCGGAGGAGGCGAATGGTTCGTGAGAGATTGAAGATGAGAGGGTCGGGATATTTGGAGAGAAAGTCGGGATTTTGGGAGAGGAAGAGGGAGAAGAGTTCAATAGGTTCTCTTTACTACTGGCAAGAGAAACTTATTGTCCTTCACGTCCGTCTATGGGTTGAAATGTCCACAAACGCGTAAAGAATAAGCTACTCAAAGCCTCCCGCACAAACTTCTACCTGATTCAGACTCGGATAAACTCCCGTCTTGAATTAATGTAGTACAAACCCTCAAACTCAAACCACGGGTCAAGATCCTAGGTAGACTACTCAAGTCTCGGGTAAGATTTCAATGGTGTGACATCGGTGCTTCCTTGGTTGAATGTTTGTTTGCTGCGCGTGATTTGACGTACGAGTAGTCAGATATACGCGGTCGGTCGTTTGATCTTACGAAAGAGAGGGGTTGAGATAGGTGAGGTAAGATATGTAGGGGAGGATTTGAGGGGTTTCGGTGAAGAATTGATGTTGGTGAGTGGATATGGAGTGATGTGTGCTTCATTGATGTAATGTTGGTACGACGTTTTGATTCGATAAATTCAATGTACTTTTCGTAAGAAGTTCTCAAATTCCATGGGAATCTAGAAGAACCAGATCTCTAAACGGAACTCTTCTGATTGGTGCTTGAAAACGCGAAATTTAAAGTTCAGCCTCAACTCAAAAGCTCTGACGCGTTTAGGGGGCGGGAAGAAAGTGGGGAATGTCAAGGGTCAACTGTGGCTGATGAAAAGTGCGGGGCAAAAGCTATTTGAAGGATCCCGCAGGTGAAGGATTGAAAGGTGTCCAGGTGAGGTGGTACTCGAGTACGGTATGAGGTAATTGTGTTGAAGCCTGATATCTTATGTTGCGTCGAAAAGAAAAATGCATGCAGAAGAACGGAGTAGAGAAAATGTCAATTGAAGGTCTCCGCAATCCCATTGTCGATACAGCAACGAACGGAGGTATGAGGTAACACGGTGGAGCTCCACAGACATTTTTTTCATCGTCAGAAGGACATTTCCACGGCAACTTACGAATAGATGGTACGGACAATGCTAGACCGCTGGTGCACCTCGGTAGTGGAGTTCAAGAATGAGGCTCATATATGCAAGACCTAAGTATATGCATCTTCGCGTTCAGGATTTGGGAATACCTTCATCCACTCCCGCAAGTCGCGTGTCATATTTCGCGACCTGGCTCCATTTAACACGCAAATTTTCGGTGAGGGGAAGACGTTTTGTATCCATTCTTTAAGTCATGACGAGTGAAAAAGGTTTCGTATTTAGGTCGGAGGTTGGGTGTCGAGTTGCCTGGGCTCGCTCGGGGTCTGAGTAAGTGCTTGCAGGAGTTGAGGCGGCGGTGTTGAGGGGATTCGCGGTTGTGCGAATGGAGTCGTGTTGAAGAGACGCGACGGTTAATGGGGGATGCTTGATACGGATGGATGGGGGATTAATTCATGACGTGAAGAGTTTGGATTGTGGAGGTTGGTGCGTGGTGCGGTGCTTTGGTGCATTAGGTAGATTAGTATGATGTTTGCATAGGCGGGGGACGGGTACATAACTTTATATGAATGACTTATACGTGGAACTCAGAGCTAGAGATGAGAGAGAGGGTGTATTTCGATAGTCTATAATTGCTATGGTAATTTGAGATATCGATCTTCATTCTCCTATTCCATGCATTTACAAACTAACTAGTTATTTGTCCAAAAATACTCGCATCAACCATGCATTCCAAGAAACTAAACCTCACCTAAATCTTAATTCCAAACTCTCAACTCACCCACGCGCGTATCTTTCAACGCATAAACCCCCATCCAGACAAATTTCCACTCTCCCCAAATGCCTTCCAATTCCAACCCAATTCCATCACCTATCACCCAAAACCGTCTCAATATCCGCCTAAGCGCTTTCCCAACATCTGCATTCCCCTTTCACACCTGCCTGCCCATTTCCATATTCCACTTACCGAATACATAACTCGCGCACGGGATCTTTAAGATATGCATACACTACCGGAAAGCTGGGAAGGGTCCGAGTGTCGTGATGGAAAACGCGGTCGCGCTTGATTTTTGACGCGTCAAAGGTGGTAGGGTGGTGGAAGTCGGAATGGAGTGGGATGGATGGGTCAAACTTAGGGGTGGGTATGAGAGTTGGAACTTGGGCAGTGCGCGGAACGGAAGGGGGGTGTTTGGTTTAGTATGCAGCGGAGATGAATTAATTCAGAAGTAGTGGGATGCGTTTGAAAGGGGGATAGTTACGCTCACGTGATTTATTCGAAGTTTACAATTCCAGGCCATGAATTATGTATATGGAAATACTGTAAGGGTATCGGTGAGTTTACTGATGCATAGTTTGTCATCTCTAAATCCCCAGACTTCGTTGAGTCATTGATGTATCTATACGCCCATTCCAAGGCCATTATTATTTCATACATATAGCGGTCGGGATCAAGATACGGTGATAGGCCACCGAAGTCGCCAACACATCAGACCTCCAAAGTTCTTTTTTCGCAAGACCGCGAGGTTGCGCCTTGTAAGTGGATAGAGTCGCTGCACGCAATTTGTGGATGGGAAGGCTGGGTGGGCGAGTGACAGGGTGTTCAGCTGAAATGATGAAGATGTTCGATTGTTGGTCGAAAAGGAGGTTATTATTTGTGGCATATGGTTTAGGGGATAACCTGATAGGGGAATGGAATGGAATGGTAAGAGGATAAAATGGGATGAACTAGAGAGATGAAGATTATACAAATCATGCTATATAATTATCACGACCAAAGCAGAATGAAAAATCTCCAAGCGAGTAAAAAATCTCCATGCGAAGACTATTTTGGTAGAGTGCATGACGATATATCAAACGCAAGGCCTCGTGAAACATGGACATACACCTATTCAGATCGATCAACAATAAACATGCAAAGCCATGCAAAGCGATCGAAGGTTGCATCGTGGACAAATGAATTGTTCATGACCGGCCCACCAGCGTGGGATTCCACATTGTGGTGATGAGGTCCAAGAGCCGCAGCCTGCGTGGAAGAAAATGTCAATTCTTCGACGCGTTCGCGACGAGATTGATGCAAGCACTTATCATTGTAAATTGAATTCTTTGTTGATGATTCGGGTATGCAGAGAGGGTGATCGACTACTTGCCGCGTGAGGAGAATGTGGTGCTATTACTGTACCAAGTATAGTTTGGTCGGTTTCCTTGAATTCTGTACGCAAGTTCTACTTTTGGCTTGCATCGGAGCTGCATTGTTCGTCAGCTTGCCGTGCCTCTTGGAACCCTCCTCCCCAATTGATGGCCACGCCAGTCGGTGGTAGTGTCCCGGCCTGGCATATCCAAGATTGCCTGCTGGATTATTTGCTTTCTCCAGAGTTTTGGGCTGCTGCAGTAGTAAATTGACAAGTTGGATGTGTGAGAGACCGGCCGTTCGCTCGCGAGTTTTATTGGTGGTTTGCTTCGTTAGTTTGGCTGCGTCGTTTACTTGTAGTAACCCCTTTTTCGAATTGTCCAGTGAAAATGATCTGACGTGACTTGACGGTAATTATGTCGACTCCTTTTAACGATGAGCTTGCCTTCCAAGGTCGAATTGTCCATTATATCCGTACCGAACCGTCTTTGGAGAATGACAGCTGCAAATCACGAAACCAACACGACCAACGATGTTTCTTCATCGCGTACCCGGCATGTCTAAGTGTAATCACTAAAGCCAACGCCGTTTGCCTTCATAGCCTCAGAAGACCGACGGCTTACTGGCTGACCGGCTCGTGCTAATAATGCTGCTGTATGGTATGGACCATACTCGGTTGTGATAATTGTATGGGTTCCCTGCCACGGTCCCCAGACGGGCAGAAGAACCGGCACCATCAGCCAACAATGGAGGCGTAAAGACAAGCAGAGAATACATTACATGAAGACACGGAGACACGTAGAGACGCGCCAGAGACCGAGATCAAGGCAATGAATACTTGAGCAGAGTTCAGAGAGTTAAGCGAGGTGTTTGGTTGTTTGGCAATCAACGTCCAATACACAAAGCCCGGGAGTAATACAAAGTCCAAACACGCCTATTCTGTAATCGTCTTGTGTCGACCTTTTCGTGACCGTGATCGTACATGGCCTGTCTGAGCTGGAGCAACCTTGGAACCAACGGAGCTCCCAGGACAGGTCCAGTCCGTCCACCAACCCTTCCAAGGCCTGCAGAGCGCATGCAGTTTTGTATGGCGAAATGCATTCACGTCTCCACCGTCCAGCAGCCATCCCAGCTCGCCCATCATCCAGCGCCGGCGTCCCCTGGCCTGTCCCTCGCGGTGCATCGACGCTCTGCGTGTCTCTCTCGCTCCGCTTGCTGCTTGAAGTGTTTCCAAGTTCGCTCCCAGTGCCTCCACCCCCCCTCCACCCTCCCAGGTCACGGCTTCGAACCAGCGTGCCAAGCCAAGACCATCAAGCCCCACTTTCATACCCCAATGCGGCATGGCTCTCCTTCCCAGCCGACCGGGGCCAGTCGTTTCTACTTTCTCATGAGAGTCTGCTGCTTCAATCCAGCTTCACTTTCCTTATCCTCCTCACCCTCCCCTCTCCTCTCTTTCCTCTCTTTATACCCTCGAATCTGCCATCATCCGAGGGACAAAAGGAGGAACAAGAAGAAGGAATCCATCTCATCTCTCCATCGACAGTCTTTACGCAGGATTCGAGGAATTGTCCAGTTTGGAAGTGATGCTCGATTGCAGCTCCAACTCTCTTGTCTGTCCGTAACTGTCTGCTCCGAACCACCACCCACGAGGAGATTCATTATCCCCCACGACCACCAAATTATCAGCTCTATCTCTGGTCCCTCCCATCCTCATCCACATCGTCTCTACCGATTGATCAATTCCGTGAAATCTACCCGGTTCCGCAGTTGTCCAACCGACTTTCCGACCTCGTGTGCCCGCTAAACCTCCAATCTCGAAATTGGAAGCTCCCAGTTTTTCTCCGCCCACCACAACTCTCGTTGGATATTCAATCGAATTCCACTCCTACGCTCTTTCGTCCAGGAATCCGCGAGCTAGCTCTGATATAGATTTGATTAATTGTTAAGGTCCCCACGGAACTTAGCATCAACCTATCTGCATTTAAGATTAAGCTCCACCAAGGGGAAAAAAGGTTATTCGACATAGAAAAGGTGAGCACCCATTGCACTGCAAGATTCTTGACACTTGTCGTTCGAGGCAAGATCATCTACTGACGCTCCCTTTCCTCAGCATTCGCATGCCAATCGTCGCGTATCTGCATTCTCCGCAAGTCTCCCCTCGACGGCACGCACATCTCACACAATCCAAGCCAGAGCATAAGGTCGGAGACGTTTACTCGTTGATCCAACCTTTCTCTTGCCTATTCACTCCAGAAGTTATTCCCGAAGTTTACTCACGCCAAGTCATTCACAACTGGACATCCTCTGGTTAGATAGACTTTTCGTCCCGAACCCGGTATCTTAATTTTCTGCAATCTACCAAGGTACGTTGCAGCATTCCCCACATTCTCGTCAAGTCGAACGTTTTACCCTGCGGTGAATTCATGGCTGGGCGGCTTGCAAAGGCTTTTTTCTCCCTAGGCGGGTCTCACGCAAAGATCGCTAACATCATGATTTGTCTCAATTCTAGATTCTTTTGACGGCCATTCTTAAAAGATAATTCTCCTGCCCGACGAATCTTCACCCTGGATATCAAAGTGACAGTTCGACTAGCCACTGTCATTCTTTTTTTTTCTTTCGATATAATATCAGACGCTCTCTAATTTTATAATTTCTCGATTACCTGGAGTATTGTTCCTCCCCGAACGATACACTCACATTCCTTCACACAATCCAGTGTACCGAGCAACCTTCGGTCGAAGCTCCTGGCGAACTTGACGTCCATTCCTTGCCATTTACGATCTCGAGAGAAGTTACCTACTCGATAAACCTTTCACCTTCAATACCATACACCATGGCGTACCAACGAGAGCCGTGTGATACCTACTTTGTAGAATCAGACGACTCCACCTACCAACAACCATCAATGCGAGATAATCTTAAGATGAAGATTCTTCAAAGAAGGGAGCAGATGGCCAATGAGTTGTCAAGACTGGCCAGTGATTTGTACATTGAAGATATCACAAAACACATGCACCAGATGGAGGTCAATTACCACGATCTGCAAATTTATTTTCCTATTTGCTAACCTTCAATAGATGGATACTCTTCCAGACGTCGCTTCCATTGACATACAGCAAGAAATCCAATGGTTCATGCGTCCCTATCTCATTGACTTCCTCATCGAAGCCCACGCTGCTTTCCAATTGCTCCCAGAAACTCTTTTTCTCGCTGTCAACCTCCTCGATCGATATTGCTCAAAAAGAGTGGTGTACAAGAGACATTACCAATTGGTTGGATGTGCTGCTTTACTCATCGCTGCCAAGTATGGTGACAAGAAAGATCGTGTGCCAATGATTAGAGAGTTGAAGTCAATGTGCTGCTCCCTCTACGACGAGGAAATGTTTACCCAGATGGAATGGCACGTCCTGAACACTCTGGAGTGGGTTATTGGTCACCCAACCATTGATACATGGATGACGTTGAAGTTGAAAGATCAGAACGAGGACCTCCAGGTTGAACATATGGCATTGTACCTTTCCGAGATCTCATTGTACCACAAGGAATTTGTCTCACGGAAGCCTTCAGTCATGGCACATGCATCAATCACTCTTGCTCGTGCTATTCTTGGCCGCCCTTATGACGAACATTCAGAACAACTCGAGCACGAAGTACAATCGGCAATGATTGATCTTTCCCAGAAGCTTGATAGACCATCCCAGGTTCTCTTCCGCAAGCACGTATCTCCACATACGTCTCGCGTCTCTTCGATCGTTGATGCTTTCCTCCGCCAACAAGAGATGCTCAGTAGAGCCCGCAATCCACCAACACCACCAGTCGAAATTCCATCAATTCAGAAGCCGGTCTCTCATCAAGACTTGTATCCAGGAACTCCTCAGAAGCCGTACGGCAACACTACCATCAATGGATATCTGACTCCACCAATCACACCTGATGGTGAATATTTTGTCAATGGACAGCAATATGCTAAAGGGTTTCCACAGCCACCTCGATGTCCTGTAACCCCAACACCGCAAATGAATCATCATGCCTATCAAGGTCAACATTATCAGGCGTACCGACAAGACCTAGAAATGTATTGACCTAAGGTCTTAGCGTGCCATTCATGGCTGCTTTGATCTAAATTTTTTTACTCGGTTCAACTCTCATATGTACTACAATTTGTACTGATTGTGCGCGGCTCGACTACACTCGAATTCCACATCTCACCAAAAAGGAACTATTTCATTGTCGGCATAAGCGTGTTTTCCGATTTCGTCATCTCGGCATTAGCGATCGGATTATTCTGCGTTGAAGTTTTAGCGATTTCCAACCTTCTTTTTCATTCTCACTTTCGATTCCCTTTACAGGAGGTGCCTTGCCTACCAAAAGCATGGCTCGATACAATACCCTTCTTGCACACTACATTCGGATGGATGGTCGACAAACAAAAAGCACATCATTGAAGATGGCATGGTGAAACCCCGGCTGGGTTTTGACGAGGCATAGGATATAGATTGATACACTATTACGTTGACGTTCGGACACATAATTCGGACGGATACTTTGAGGGGAGAGGATGGCAGCACTATGCTCTGGGAAAGGAAGGGAGGTGGACATCAGGGTTGTCTCGCAATTCATTGTTGTTGCATATTAGTGCAACCGGTTGGATCGAGAATAATAACTACTCTGGATAATGGCGGTGGAGTGGGTTTGGTTGAGATACCCGAGGCTTGCCTTTTCTGTGTCAGAGTACATGGAATAGCCGTTTAGATAGTAACAAATGCAAAAAAAAAAACGCATTGCAAGCGGATATATTGTTCAAACATTTTATGATGTTCATACGTGACTTCACCGTGCTATCACCTCAGTCTCTCTGTGTTGAAAGCCAGAGTATGTGATGTTCTGGAATGGGCACGCCATTTTTCAAATGAGAATTCCTGTCTGACGCGGAAGGGATGAACAACATGAATTTCTACAAGACAATGGTGAAGCTTGGATTCAGTCTTGTCTATGTACGTGATTTCGATTCTATTATGTAATTCTCCAAAGGAAAGAGGGTGAAGTTCTTGGTGCCATCAATTTCAGGCTGCAACTATATACTTTTCAACGGAGTGAAGTCGTGATTTTCTATCCCGTCGATATCCTCGAAAATGGAATATCTACCGGGTAGATGAGTTCCCGAGATTCGTTTGTGGGTCCACGATGGAATTTACTGTATGATTGATTCACGGTGATGTTGGTACTGATTAGGTTGTTGTTGATTCGTTGGTAACGGATGAGAATTGATGGCGGATGATGTGCGTGATTGAGATAAGGGTTTGGGATGTTTTGTTGAGGGATGGAGGTGGATGGGATGAGAAGGATGGTGTGTGATTTGTGTGTTGAGTTGGGGCTTTGGGGGTGGTGTCTGGGAGTGGTGGTTGGTGTTGAGGTGAGTAAACTATCTAGATGGGGGAGTTGACTTGATTGTATATTTGGCTAGATGGTCAGTAGGTCAAAATTATTTGTCGTCAAGATAGATGAAAAGTTTCCTCGTCCTTAGAGCAATATATGTGCTACTTATAAAGTGTTCCTTGAAGTAGGAGCATCATTTTCGTGTCTTGGTGTTTTCTGGTGGTTATGTTTTTCATGTCACTTCAAATATTCTGTTTTATTTTTCCTGTGTTGATTATAAGGGCTCATTGTTCGGGTGTCTTGGATGCTTTCCATGTAGTCTAGCTTTGTTAGTGTTTTGCCAGCTTAGTGACGGAGCTGGCGGGAATAGTATTGCCAAATTAAGGGTCATGGTTGATTGCACTGGAACGAAGGCACACACAAGATCAGATAGTATTCAACCCGCATGTTTGATTATTTTCTACCCGTCATGAAATCTTTCTGTACTTCTGAAAATCTAAAGACTTCGCGTTGAATGAGTCATATTTAGAAGGGAATTATCCTCCGCAGGCTATTCAGCATCCCTCATTCCTCACACATCTCCACATCCATATTTCCAACCAACCCATCCCTTCTCCTCTCCGCCCTCTCCAAACACTCCCTCACCACCTCCCCCATCCCCGTCCCCTCCCCTTGCATCCCAAGCAACTCCCGCCAAATTTCGATCTCATTCTCCGCTCTCTTTAACTCCCTCGTCCCACTCTCACTAACCCTCATTTCTCTCGTCACAAACGTACTCTCATCAAACCGCACTTTCCTCCCGTTTCTCTTTTTATAAGAACGAATTTGAGCTGATGTAGGCGTCTTGGGAGATTTCCTGGGAGATTTGTGGATTGCGTGGTGAGCTGTGGTGCGGATTGGGCTTTTGGGTGTTGCTTTGATGGGGATTGGACGACGGGGCGCCGGGCGGGCCGGGTGGAAGAAGTGGCGAGATGAGGGACTGCGGGATGGTTTGCGTGGGGATGAAAGGGTTTTGCGTGACGGTGTTGAGGGAGATGGTGAGTCTTTTGCGAATGTGACGCGGGTTGGTGAGGTTATGGAGGTGCGGTTCAACTGAAGGATCAATTCGGAGTAGGAGTGTGGCGGGATGCTATTTGTTGCTGTGCGTGTGAGTACCATTGTGAGGTTGCTCGGTATTCGATTTCCGTGTTGGAGTTGATAGCTTGAAGTGGGAATTGTAGTCTTGCAGAGAAGTGGTGTCGTTGAGATTGATTTCCAAGATTCCAAGATGAGTTTGGGAAGGGTTTTTATTTTCCATGGGATTTCTCTTTGTTTGATTTTTTGATACCACCGCTTTCATATGAACTCAGTGGTTTCAGAGCACGTACCGACAATAATGGGTTTTGGGTAGAACGAACAAAGAGATTTCCGGACGCTAGTTGACCAATGCTGTTGAGTGTCCACCCAAATACATTGTTCGGACATACGGAGACATGACACGTTCTTTTCAAATTTCATGTTATTTTTGGTGTCAAACTGTGATAGACAGCCTCATTTTCAAAGTTGAACAGCTCACTGCTGAGTATACCCGCCAGCAGCTAGTAACTGACCAACGTTTTTTCTGCCTCCCTTTCTTCTTTCAATTTGTCCTTTTGAAACTACCACTGAACTCCAACAGAGACTTGTGTAAGTCATCGTTCAATTGCAGACCAAGTGAACATACCCCGATAAGTCATGGAATAAGATAGCATTATACTACGAGATCAAAAGTGGGTGATAATGACCAGCCTCTCAGCTTGTTGAAGACGAGTATTATAGTGAAGTGTATCATAGTGAAATATTTTATAGCATTCAACTACACGAGCAAATGACATGCTTGCAGTTCAGCCGGGCCGTTCCTGTCTCCAATTTAACACCAGTGAAGGTGTATCTTCATATTCTATGACTGTGACGACGAGTGAACACTGTTTGTATGTGCCGAACATGTCAATATCAGAGCGAAGCAAGTGAACTTATACTGTGTTGTATGATCATGTAAATTTACACATCATGAGGAAAGATTAAATGAAAGTGATGGCTGCCGGAAAAGGGGCAGCTGGCTGTTAAGCGAGAATTTGGGATGGATAAGTGAGGAAAGCTTGTAGTCATAACCGAATAGGAGATTGACTATGGTTCAAGATTTTTATTCGGGCTTGTAGACGATTTGAAGTTGGAAGAGATAGAAGATAATCTCGTTTGTAAACAGAGAGAAACAGGAACTGTCTGAAAGGTTGAGAACTGGTTTTAGATCATGATACATTACTCATAAATGAAAATCGACAACTACAAACAAGCATTAGTACCCCGCATAAACATCATAAGCCTACGTCTAACATTATTCGTCAACGAAAACCGAGAAAATTACAAAAGATCATTAGTACTCCACACATCCATCATAACCCAGCATCTCCCATCAACCCTTCCCAAACAACCTCCTCAACCTCGACCTCGGCTTCTCCTTCTCAGGAGCCAGAGACTGATCCAAAGGATAAAACACTGTAACAGGATAATCCCCGTTCAATCTCTGCTGATCCCTCCATTTATACTCTGGGATCTCGCCTAATTTCGTGCTGTCGGACGCGAATGACATGATGGATTTGCGGTGATAGGACACATCTTGGGTCCGTCTGGACGGTGGTGATGATTGTCTGACAAAAGATTGAACGGGAGATGAGTACATTGGAGGGGGCGATGGTGGTAGAGGTTTGCGCTGAGCAGGCGCTTCAATTGGGGGAGTTTGATGTTTTTTGCTGGAAGTCATGGAGCTCATTGATTTTGACGATGTTCGCCTTTTGGTGTGAGTTTTAGGTCGAACCCACTAGGTGATATTAGTCAATTTACAGTCCACGCTAATATGTCTTGCTTACAGCTGAATCAGTAGCCAACCCAAGTGGAGTTACGGAAAGGTTTGGAACGCTTTTCGCTCGGGTATGAGATTTGGACGTGGAAGAGTTCTTGGAGCCGTGGCTGTGCTTGCGGCTAGCCTCTGGTCTTTTATCACTTGGCTTTGGTTTAGCTAAAGTTATTGAGGAACTTGAGATTCGAGATGAAAGTTGGTCGAATGTTCGAATCGTCTCTCTTCTTGTGTCATCTGAAAGACCAACCAACGTCTGGTAGTCGGATGCTGTACTCTTTCCTTTAGACAATCGAGTTACAATAGACAGTACTCCAGCAGCTAATCGTGAAAGAATCAAAGCTATGGAAGATCTCGCTTCGGCTAGTTTGTCTTAGCAGGCGCTTCGGCTCTATGAAAAGGGGGGAGTACCATCTCCTCTAGCGAAGCTGTCTCCAAACTTTTCTAGATCACGGTCATAAACGCTTTTGACGTCTTGCCTGCTTTTCTTCAAGGAATGATTCAAACGAGCTTCAGACTTCAACCTGCGCCTTGACTTCTTTTCTTTCTGCGATTTGATACTCGATAACCCTTCTGTGAAGAAGCCGAGAAGCGTTGAGACGGCTTCGTGAAACTCTCCCATCCTGAAATACTGTGACTTGAAATTGTCATAGATCCGAACTATCCAGTTTCTTTATCAGCTCCTCGATTTCTCTGAAGCGTGACGTTGGTGCCTTCTCTGTTTCTGTGGTCTGGAGGGTTGCTTATCGACAAGAAACGTTAATTCGAAACGTAACATGAGGACGAAAGAGAGGAATACTGAGTACAAATAAGAAATAAATCAATATGAAGTCGCAAGGCCAAGTTGTGCGCTCGAGGAGAGTCACGATATTTCCGAAGACCAGGCAAGGTCTTCGCGGTTAGAAGCGCCTTGCCAGTGGTTGAAATTCTGACTCCGCACTTGACAGCCAATCAACACAACAAATTCGGAGCAAGCTTCCAAAGCTGCAGTCGGACTCGTTGAAGAAAGCCGAAAGGCGCATCAAGTGCCCTTGCTATTCCAGGGCAATGGGCGACTGTGAGTCAACGTGAGAAGAGCTTTGAATGCCAATAGATCCGAGAGCTTCACACCGTCTGCCGGCAATTATGCGCTTCACATCTCGAAGGAACAAATCAAAAAGGTGCTCTGCCATTGGATTCAGGAACCATTTTACAAACCGTTCTTGCATGTGCTTTGCTATGTGATGAAAGTCTTTCAGAGGTTTTTCTAGGGTTTTGATCGCGGTCAGAACTTCAAAAAACAATGCTTGCAACGAGATTCAGTAGTCTCGGGAGCTAGAAAGCGACCGAGATTGTAGGCACGTGATGAAAACCGTGATGAAAATCCAACAATCACGCAATCGGAGGCTCTGATCTTTGAAAATACATCCCGAAACTCCAACCCCTCGAAAGAATTGCTCGGCTGTCTATTGTCTCTGGCAAAAACCGTCATACTGTATTCAAGTAGACATCCTGATGGTAATTCTCCATCGATGTAGGTCTTTCAGCAATCATTCTTTACCGTCGACAATGCAAAAACGAGAATCATTCCTTCTATCCCCCACAAGCCGATGGTGACATTTTCTCACCCCTGCGCCGTGCCGATGATAAGACCGAAAAGAGAAAGACGGAGTCCCAATGCCGAATTACCTGACGTCCAATATTGACCAAGTGTTCACAGCTTCTGGTCCAATTCGCGTCCATCGCCAGGGCTGGGCATTCGACGTCAAGGATTAACCAAAGAAGCCCGTCCGCCCCCACGTCGCATCGTCAAACCTGCGAATCGAGTTGATTCCTTATTATCGTGATCGCCCCCGGATGATATCGCAGCCTTCCGCGTGCAACCTATCGAATAAGCGTCGTCGGCGACAATCTCTGATCCTTCCATGTGGATTCTTATCTGAGCAAGATGGCGCAGAGGGCTTGGGATGTCAAACGTTGAGCACAACTGCCACGAGATGCGCAAAATCAAGCGTCTGCAGAGATGCAGCGGTGGTGCAAAGACGCCGAGAAGAGAGTACTGTAGTATTGAGATATGATGCAGTACGATGCTCCACTGGGTCCTGTCAAATTGCTTCTCATGTTGAAGTCAGGACATGTCTACCGTGCTGGCCACTCAAGCTTCGCCTGCTAATCTCTATGTGCTACAATGATGAGACACTATCAAGGCACTTGGGCGAGCTGATGTCGAGTGCCGCGATGGTATCTTGGAGCGTATTCCGCTCTCCCACATCCAAGATCTGAGAGCTGGTCTGGCCAGTTTGTGAAGAAGCAATTACTTGACCACTTCAGTGAGGTGCGGGTGGCGTACCCATTGACATCTTGCAATTGGCAGAAGTGCTCTGAATGGCCTGTATACGTGTTGTTGCAGAGGGTGGTAGACAGCCCCTCAGCCTCCCGCGGGATATTTATTTGGTGGTGTGGATTTTAATATCACCAGATCTTCTTGCTCCCACCATCAGATTTGCTAAGTGACAGCGTTTCTCCGTGAAGAAGAGTACACCCCAAATTTGGGACATAGTTCGCTATTTCGACTTTGCTTTACTGTGTAAAATTGACAAGACATGCAACTTTGTCGTGTATCATCTCGGTGCCACCGAGGTATACATCGTACAACTTGGCTAAAGCGTTTCTTCCACTCGCGTTGAACATTTCTTATCTCTGTCTTACATCCCGACTTGTCGGCCCGTGAAACCTTCCCACCTGTCGTAACATAGCAGGCTGTGAGCAGTGGGGGTACTTTGGGGAGCGTCAAAGACGAATACAGTCAGGTCTGTACTACATACGGACCCGAGGATAAAGGGTTGTTTTTGCCAATTGCAATATGCGCTTGCAAAGGAGACGTCAGGGCGAAAACCCGTCTCCTTAATTAAGGTTGAGGCAAAATATCGTAACATGATGTGCCAAGGTGTCTAAATTAAATGAGGCCAATGACGTTTCGGGGTGAAGGTCTATAAGTCGTGAATTATACGTTATTTTCAGATTTCGTGGTCGACCTCGAGAGTTCGTGGAATGGCCGGGTACCATCCTCGCAGTGGATACTAAATGGCAGTAGGCTCGAACGGAATTTACCTAATTCAAGGGAAAAAGCTCTTGAAATTCTTTCTTTACTGTAAAAATAAGACAAAATATGCGATATCTTGCCAATAATTTGATTGACAAAATTTCCTACCTTCAACGTGATAGAGCAGACGGCAGGTTTTAACTGTCGACTATCATTTGTATTATCCACCGCGAGCCGGCCTATAGACGGTGGTATATATGGATGTCTTTGGACACGTATAACAAGTTCTGACCTAAAGAGTTAGGATTGTACTTTTGCTCACCTAAGAGAATCACATGCTAGTGTTGTATTATTACATCTTGTCCCTTCTTTGATCATGTCAGACGTGGTGTTCCCTTACAATCATATCGGCACAATGCATCTGTGCTTAACCCTAGCTCCTGCAGGAGTCTGCAACAATTTGTTTTTGCCATCGAGGCCACTCGTGGCGTCACATTAACGATCGTCGCCCAAAGGGCAAAAACTCTCTCGTGTACTTTACCAGTCATGGCTCAGTGAATACTATCCTGGTGTTGTCAAGCGGAGCGGCCTCCATTACCGCCGAATAGCCAGCTCGGTGATATGATGAAGTTCTCGAAGCTAAAGATGGTCACGTATTTTGTTCGATATGTGGTTGATTTCTAGACTCTTTAGCAGCCAAAAACAACGCCAGAATGCATATTAACCGCCAAACATGGAACATTCCAACTCAATCGGAAGGATGAGCTAGTTCTATACTCTCAAATAGGACTGATCGCCATCCTTCAGAGGCATGGCGCTTGCTTTTGTCCAAGAAACTCTTGCAACGGCAGGCTGGGAGTGCCCACATACAGCGGGAAGGCCCGTTCCATAGCAGGCAGGTGGTACAAGGCGAGCAGGCAGGTACGGCGCTACGTTGGGGTTCGGATATCATGGTTAGTTAGAGACAAGTAGACTGGCGAGCTGAGTGACATGTTTGTTCGACAAGTTAGTAGCCAAGTTACAGGTACTTTAGCAGTAGAGAGCTGCAGAAGGTACAAGACTGCGAATATCCAAGGAGACGTGGGGGGCTTCCGTTTGCCGGAGCTCTCGTTCAACACCCACTCTCACGCCACTCTGCGTCCCATCCTCCTTACCTAACTTTGAGGCAGAATGAGAGTTAGGTCACAGATGGAGGATTGAGTTTTCAAGTACGGGCGCACCGCAGCTGAGCGTCAAGACTTTCTGCACATTGCTGGTATTCCGGACGGAGCATAGGGTTGAATGCGCGAGTTCCTCGGGGTATTCTTAATATTTTTCTCGCCTGCGTTTGCTCTATTATCTTCGGTATTCTGACACCATATCGGAAGTGGCTATTTGGATGAGACGAAGGATTGCTGTTCCTGCGGCCTATCCGAATATAACGTGGCAGTTTGTTGGTAAGGAAGGCATGCGCAAGGAGTTCGTCGTCGTAAGCGAAATCCAGCAGCCCAGGCAAGTCTGTCTTTACGAGCGGCGCTGTCTCGAAAGCAGATAGTTAAGTGGTATTCTGGTCCTGCTCGCGCACTGAAGATATCAGATCACAGCCGTTGCAGTGCCGGAGTGACAACACGACTCGATCCTGTGCGTTGCGTCAGGTCGTCGTACATGTATCTTGCCTTGCCAATGCGATGCGCATCTGATGTGTTGCGCAAATGTCTGTCGACGTTGGCTCGCGTAGCACTTTCTTCGCTTGCTCGCGTCCCTTATCTTCCCCCCCAGAACAACCCCCTCGAACCCCCCACCAATGCACCAATGAACCCTCCCATTGCCGGCTCCCCAACCCACCTGAGCTCCGTGTGTTGCTTTTCTCGCGGGCGCAGAGCCTGAACTTCCTGAAGCCCCTTCCCCCAGCACAAATGCAAGATAACCTTGCAGGCACTCTTAAACACTCCATATCCCCCCCCCAAACCAAAGGGTCCGCACGCCATGGACCGTCCATTAACGTCTATAGAAAGCGTGTCGTATCGCACGTCTTCGTCCGAGACTCCATACAGTACTGGCACTGGCTCTGTACCCAGCAGCAGATAGCAGCAGCGCGATATCTTATCCCCCCCAACCTGGTCGACAATCCGTCCTCCAACCCTATATTTGTCTCGAATCCGGAAAATCTATGCGCGGCCGAATCTTCCCGACCTTTTTCTTGACGCCTCCCACCTCTCCGTCTGTCACTACTATTTGCATCTCTATGCGTGAGCTGGAGCTTTGGGGTCATCGTTTTGGACAGCCTGGATACCATGAACATGTTCTCTCCTCCTCGCCGTGAGAAGGCACGACTTGATACCTTAGATCTACCCAAAGGAAACTGCCGATACATCCTCCTTCACCCCGAGAACAGCGGCATCCGCTGTGCCTGCGTGGGCTTTACGCTGAATCGTTCCATACCGGGCAGCCTCTGCGATTGTGGCCATCAAGCTTGCTTCCATCTGACCGAGAATAAGGAGACTAGTGCCGGGGATAAAATGGAGGTGGAAGAACTGAAAGCAAGAGTCAGGATGTTGGAACACGAGCTGGACAAAGAGAGACGTGGTGGAGGCGGTGGTCTCGTCGATCGGCTTAGCCGTCTTGAGGAGTTGGTCGACAGGAATCGAGAAGAGGGTGCCTCGGAGACGAAAGCTTTGTATCGTGGCATGGAAGGGATATGGCATCACATCGGCTTGTGGAACAAGCGTGCACCTTATTACGACGACACTATTGAGGGCTTGGTGGATGATGTCCATCGAATGCGAAACCAGTTGATCGAAGTTGACCATGCATCAATTCGCGTGGAGGAGCGAGTCGAGTCTTTGGAAAATTCGGGTGCAGCGATACCGATCTTGAGCCGCCGTAGACGAGCTTCCACACCACCATCTGTCATCGACGATGTCGAACAAAGCATCGAGAGGCGTGGTCGTCCTTCGCCCAGGGATCGTGAAACATCCATCTATCGTGACATGAACGATGAAGATCCAAACGTGAGATCATTCCGTGAGAGAGTATCCTCTGTTGGATCAGACCCAGAGGCCTGGACTGTGCATGTATCCCTATTGCCAACATATTCGCAGCCGTTTCCATTCGAAAAGGACACCGCCGCTTACAAAAGATGCCTATCTCGTGGACTTCACCAAGTAATTGTCATTCCTGATGCCACGAGCTTTTCTTTTAGGACTGCCATCAGCGACGCCTTCCAACACATACTCCATGGTCGGCAGTGGCAACCTCTCGTTGCCCAACTATGCAACGCCAAAAACCTTCGAGGTCTCCCGATGCTACGTCAACTCGAGCGTCATCTAGTGGACATGGATTATAACATGGAATTTTTGGAAAGAAACTGTGCGGTTGTTGACGACTCTGGAAAGATTCTTGATCTTTACATCGCCATGTCCGAAGAGACATTGTCATGGGTTGAACTCAAAGACATTAGCCCATTCAAGCCTGGACTAGAAGCTGCGTGGGTCTACGATCCTTTGCTTGACGGACCATGCATGGACAGCGTCACCTCCTCTACCGCCCGGCAGACTCATGATTCAAACGACAGGCGGCCAGCAGCTGGTGACCTAGTCCCAAATTTCTTCGAGACCCAGTCTCTTAAGCGTAGTGCTTCAGAGATATCCAGAACACCTAGCTTTGGCTCCTCCGCAGACGCTGATGGAACCAGAGCAAAAATGCGAAGGCAGTGTACAGCATCGAACGTAGACATTGTCGGGAGACGAGCAGAAGCTGTCTGAATACCTTAGCGAACCCCACTTAGACTGTGTTATATGAAGGATTTATTTTTATTTTTCAGGGCTTGCCTTAGCTTGGCGCAAGGAGACTGGCGTATAGACGGCGGTTAGATACCTTTAAATGTTGTAAATGGCGTTTCAGGTGCGCGGAGATATTTCGAGAAGACTTCTCATTTCCTGCACAATAAAATCTTTTAGCTCTCAAATAGCATTTTCGTACCCAATGTCTCACAGAGACACGTGACTTACCTACTTCTTCACCCAACGCGTTTAGCTATGCTCAAAAAGGTCCAGTTTAGACCTTGAGATCAAGTGTAGATATTTTAAGATCCGATTCTATTTCTATTAGTTCTTAATAAATCGACCGACCTAACCGCTCACATAGGTGTTATCTTGCTCAAACTAAAGTGGTTTCCCTAATAGGTATGATTTCATAAATTTAAGACTAAATGCGAACTACTTTCAGACGATATAAATCAGGTGATTGTTAGCTGTAAGTTCATCACCGGTTCATCACCTACCTAGGTAGTTCTATTCACAAGCTCGTGACGTCACGTATTCACAGCGGCACTATAATATGATCATGAAGTAATTGCACAATAACTCGGCTTACAATCCTGTTACCCAGCTTCCTCTCCACTAGTTTTGGTGGATGCTCAGTAGACATCAATACCCCTGATCTAGGCTGATCACATGTGATCTGCACCCCAGCATTCTGACGAGGCTGAACACGCAGCCTCATCGTTCCCCGCGTTTAGCGAGCGAAGAAAAATCAACGACGTAAGGTACCACTAGTCCCCGCACTATCCAGCAGCTGGGACACTTTTCTGTAACCTCCCATCGGCTTCAATCTTTTCAATTCTTCTAGTTTCCTAGAGACCCACGATCTCCGAGCTTCACGTCTAAAACGCATGGCGGAGTGCTCATCACAACTACCTACAATCCCCGAGTCCTCCATAACATACTCCTGGGAGCTACCATATCACCACGCCTATAGCCAGGCAAACCACACGCATACAAAACAGAATATCTATCCGCGAAGATGTTCTTGAGCCAACCACCACCAAGGCGGAGAAGAGTCATGCCCAAGGCACCTGTATTTCACAAATCTACTAATATTAGTACGACTCCCGCATCCACGTTTAATGTCAATCGATGCCTACTCGCTGACACATCCAATCCAGTTACATGGCCTGCAGACAAAGTCCCCGTGGAAATATTTACCCTCATCGCTTCGTACCTCCCTCGGTCCACCATTCAAAATATGCGACTTGTCAACAGAGAGTTCGAAGCGAAAGTATCGGAATATCTGTTCAGGGTGGTGGTGGTACCATTCAAATCAGAAATATATGGCATTTCCAGCGCTCTTCACGGTGAAGTCAGTGATTCGGCAGGATCTGTGACTATACAAGACAAAGGCATGAAGGTTTTTGAAGGGTAAGAGAATATCGCGTCCTATTCGAAAGTGTGAGTGAGACTAAATCTGTGTTAGATTTGGCAGCAGAATTCGGAAATTCGCTTTAAGTTTTGAATACGATGAGTACCGATTAGCCTACCCACCTCTCAAGAGCGATCAAGAGGCTATCACAACATTCTGGGGGATCTATCGCTGGCCATTTCAGAATTACAATCGATATACTCAATTAGAAGGATTGGAACAAACGGCAGACGAAACTCGAACGATGGCGAAAGCTTTAGGGTATTTGAAAACGGCAAATGAGCTTGGACTATCAATTGACGGCGGTCTGGGGTGGCTCCCCGGACCAGATGTCAACGCATTAGTTGTTGAAAAGGGGGAGAAGCCTGTTGTATTTGGGTTGTCCAGATTCGTGCCAGACCCCAGACACAAACCCACTCGATGCCTCAAGACATACCGAGCATGTGACCCAGCTTCGGCATTTTCGCAAAGCAATACTCGTATGTATCATGCTTATGAGTCAATGCTAATAGAGGCCGGATATCATGAAGACAACGTTGATGCCGGAGTACGGTTAATGATGGAAACGGAAACTTCGTCAGAAGTGGAAGCGACTACCAACTCTGATGGGTCAGCAGCAGCTTTTACTAGTTACGCCTCTCAAGCTATGGAGTCGATTTTTCGTCATATGAATTCTCCTGATTTTGTCCCCTGTAGGAGCGTGAATGACTTGATTGACATCCAGAAACACAAAACATCAGAGCAGCCTCTCAAGCCAAATGATCTTACAAATGCTCAGAAGGAAATGCTACTAGAGATCGAATGGGCTCAACGGGCATTTTTACAATCCTACGCTGTCGCCGTTATAGATAACCCGTCAACCTTTGAGAATATCAGGACACTCACGATTGCTCGCCTTCCAAGCGGGCATCTGCCTACCCTGCGACGGGGAGATTTCTGGCAAAGTTTAAAACATGTTGAAAAGCTCTCCTTGGGCGTCATACCTGACTGGAGAGAAATATCGAAGCAGCCTGCAGGTTGGGTACAGGACCAAAAGACTCAGCCATCGTTAGCTGTCACCGTTGCTTATCAGATCTTTCATGAGCAGATTGCACGCCGAGCGAACATCAAAACTCTTCACTTTGAATGGATTTGTGGTGGCGAATACGCTACCGGTATGTATTCGCGCAATCAACTTATCCTGCCAGCTCCCTTGGTACGTAAACCTACGCATATGGTTTGCAGAACTCGGCAGTTTCCTGTGTTATATTTGCCCTTTGTCGAGCATCTCTCATTGAAAAACTGCTGGGTTAGTCCTCATGTTTTAAACGACTTCTTCGAGAACCAGAAATATTCTTTACAGAGCTTGAAGTTCGACTCCGTTTCTCTTTCGGCACCCATTCCGATGCTTGCAGATCCAGGACCTGGTACTCAGATCGGTAACGGGGCGGGAGGTGGAGTACCTACCCAGGGGGCTATTCAGCACGCTGCAGCTTTCGCTCAAGCAACGGCCGTACAGCAAGCTCTTCAAGCACCACAGCCCGCCGTAAATTTCCCGAACGGGCCTCCAAATATTCAGCAACTATTAGCCACGACTGACCCAGTTCCAAACGGATTGGAGTGGTTAGCAATTCGGTTTGGAAGCTGGTCACAACTCATTGACAACCACACGCCAGGCAGGCGCCTCGCAGACATCCGATACGATCGCAATATTGGGGAAGAGCCAATGTCAAGACCTTCTACAAAGCTCAAGAAAATGGAGTTCCACTCCTGTGGCTACGTTCGCGTGAATCTAGATTTCGAACAATCAATGCTTGATTCCCCTGATGCGCCTGGTCTACCGCTCGCTGGTAAGAAAGACAACAATTACGGATCTATAATGCTCAACCCAAATGACTATTATCTTGCGACTATTGTCAATCATATTTCACACATGGAAACCGCCACCCTGGAAAATGCTTGGAATATCGAGGTGGGCTGGCCTACTCGTTTGAAAAACTTGGTCGCTGAATCAAAATTTGACGGCATCCCAGATCCAGGCAAGGGACGATTCGCGGGAGTCATTGAAGCTACCAACCTCAACTAAAGTTCACATACACCATATCCATTCTGATACATATCATTTTTCGAATCGTACCTTCGTTGTAATTACGAACTTGATATTTGAAACTGCTCACGCATTGGAGCTACTCGATCAACTTCAAGCGCTTAAATACCTGTAAAATAATATAATGTACCATACGTCGAGCCGGTCTGGAGCGTGCTATTTCTGGAAGGGGGATTGATTTTAATAGGTGTTAGGATTTCAGGCTCTAAGCTTGTAGGGTTGCATTTGCTTTGGAGCTTTGGGAAAGGAATGGACTCATAGAGGAAACATAGAGAGGTCAAAAGGGTTCCAAGGCCGTTCACACGGAATGAGACAGGTTTATGATGGCTCAAATTCTATGGTTTACGTTTTTACTATAGATCAAAATACTATTATAATTTAATGTAGCGTCACAACCTTACACTCTTTTATTGGTGCTCGTGGTTGATGACACTATGGTGTTTCCTTTAACATCTATAGATTAGAACAGCATGTAGATTGTAAGATCACGGATTCGCGGTTGACAATTATGAATTTTACTTGTGTTGATTTTCGACTTGGAGATATCTGACAGAGCCCACAAAACGAACAACCACTGAGAGATATGAGGATTCATACCTAACTTTTAGATAAAACGTAAACCCATGCCATTAGTATTCTGGACATCTAATATCATATATATTAATCAGCACTAAGGAAAATACATGAGAAATGACATACAAGCCTCAGCGAACGCAACTTAAGTCACTGGCAACGTATATCGGTTGGTTCAAACCAGGCCCTTCGATCTAGGATATTACTCAACCATTTATCGAATTCAGAAGTGTGTGATAAATAGATACTGAGTTAGATCACATTGAAATTCCACCTAAAAAATGCTTAGAAATTTACTTCCTGTGATCGAAGGCAAGTAACTTGAAGTGAGTCGATGGACAGATAACATGAGATGCATAATCCAAGGTCAAAGCATACCTAGGCAGACGATATTGACTACCATAATCGTGCGGCAACCTCAGGTAATGTCGAAGGGATATAGCATACATATAGCTTAATGGTAGAATCGAGATTTCCTTAACTCACCATCAGCACATAAAGCTGTCAATTTTTCAATGTTCACTTTAATCACTGCTCATTTCACAGCCTGCCTACTCTGACCATTTCTCTCCACAGCCCTCGCTCACTTGACTCATTCCACACTTAAAGAAAAATACACAATGCTGTTTTTTCGAAAACTATCACGATCTATCAATTTCTCGCACAATACTGATCATAGGTCCTTTGCTCTTTCTATCCCCAACGGCATTACCCTTCAAAGATTCCTCTACAACACCTCTTTCATCCGGAGTCGTCGTACCCGTCCTTGATTTCCCTTCACTACTCCGCTGATTGCTAGCAACATAGGCACGAGCAGCAGCGGTGACTGCCTCACTTGTACTCTGATTACGATCCAAATGCGGACGGCCATTGCGGCTCTCAGCTCTCGAGCCACAAGCACTGCTTCGACCAGAATTGTCACGGATAGCTGTAACCACGCTAGCGGTCGAGCCTCCACGGGATACTTGATCGGAGGATTGTAAGTTCGGAGAGGCACTGCCTGAATATGCTACGGACTTTCTGGAGTCGGGACGAAGCTTGTTGGCTGAAGGTGAATCAGTCGATCTGTCCGGTGATCGCCTGGCGGGAGTGGTAGATGGGGGTGTTTCTGGTCTCTCTCCCGGTGCTGTGAATCTTCTTTGCAGATCCTTGAATACAATTCTGTGGGCGTTGGTAACATCGTCGCCGTGCGTAAGTACGTTGTTGTCGTCGCCCGGTTGGAAAGAGAAACTCATTTCTTCGGTGGCAGGGGGGCCTAATTGTATCGGCTTCGAGGAGCTTTTGGTTTTCGTACGGCGTAGTGCTGATCTTTCCGTGGGAATCTCGGGTAGTGGCTTTTCTTCTGTGATGATTCCCAGACCCAGACCGTCTTCTTGAGAGGTCAGATCCTGGCTCATAGAATCCGTACTTGTCCCCACACCAGAAGAAGATTCATAGGATGCTAGTCCACGCTTGAATCCAATCTGCTGCCTTTCTAGTGCTTCCAGTTGTGTGCGTGAAATGCCTGAGCTGTGTATATTTGCTGCGTTCGAAAGTTGAGCCATTGGACCCAAAGTTTCTGTTTCGGCACGCTGATCTACTTCGCTTTGGAAGCTCCTCTGGCGGTGTCTGTCTTTGATGGTACTGAAGTGACGTCCAATTTCATCCGAAGCTCTTGTAGATCCGTGGATCCTGCTATTTGACCGTGCCATGACTACTGATTCCATTCCACCTTCGGTTTTAGACAACAACACCTCCAGCTTTTTCAGCTCCGCTTTGTAGTCTCGTTCCTACTATGGAATTAGCAGATTGTTTCTGGAGGGGTGACGCTAAGATGAATACCTTGAGATCCCATTTCGTAGCCAGCTCCTCAAATGTTCTGATGTCCCTGGCGTGGTCCTTCGTAACCTGCTCAATAAGCTTACTCTTGGTATCCACTTGCTCCCTCAAATCTTGATATGCTTCTAATACATGCAATATGCAAGCGTTGTATTCAATCGGAACAGGATCCATCAAACATTTAGTCATCATCACAACTTTCAGTGTTTCTGCCATCTGGTCGCCTGATGGCTTTTGGTACAAAAATTCAGGATTTCGTGCATTTTGGAACGCCTCTGGGACATTGGGTACGGGAGGTGTGCTTGGCCGATTTGAGAATCCGATATAGGATGATACTCGAGATCCAGGTCGAAGTCTGGGCGTGAGAACTTCTTCGATGTCAGGAAGAGATTCATCAATCGATGCTGAGGTTTGCCTTTCAAAAGTGGCAGTCGCGCCTTGTACGGGTGTTTTTGCGCGGGAGAAAACTGGACGTAGCCATTCCGTCATGGTAGACACTGGATTGGGGGTAGATCTGATAATTGTTGCTGGGAATGAGGTTGGGGAGGATAATACTATCGTCCCAACTATTCGTCTGTTAAAAGTGAAAATGGGTACGAGGTATTGATTCACCTGTGGACAGAACGTGAAAGGGATTAACGAACTATTCTGATTATGTACATTTGTTAAGCGAGAAGCATGATATTCATCATATACCTAAGTACTATCTCATTATAAAAGCTGCAATTACGATATTAGGAGTTTTCAAAATATAGCCCGACGTCTTCTTGAATCATATTGCTGACTATGAGACGTACTCACGCCCAAAGAGTTTCACCCAGCGCTATGTCTTTGGAGTGTTGTCGTCTAGAATTTACCACTCTTCCTGTCGCGTCTTCCATGACCTTCGCATCCGATGCCATCTAAAGTGATCATGATCACCACGGGGCAACCGTTGTGACGATAAAGGCTTGCGAGACTATCGATTCAAACATGATCCAATAAAGAGTATCAGTTGTTATTGTACCGTTTGCTTCGGGAAATGGTTTTGGTAATGCTAGCGTCGTCCCATTGTACTTTCGGAGAAGCTTTTCCTGATCGTTGACTGATCTGTATTGAGAGATCCTTTACAGATCAATAGAACAAGTCCTCGGCCTTCTGTCTTCGACGACCTCTACCCTCTAACCCGAAGAGCTCTTTCCCCGCATTATCTCCAAAGTGTGCTGGAAACAACTCCTTCACTTGGCCACCAGAAGCAGCACCCTTTATGCTAAAGCCCTGCGCTGTAGGAGCTTTTGATACTCCCCGAATACTGTATCCTGTGATAATATCCCACTTCCCGTTTGGTTGCGTGCTGGTCTGTCGGTCTGCACTACCATCCACGAATGGAACAGGCATTGTGTTTGCAAAAAGGTCTGCTGTCTCATCTGCAGCATCAAATACACCGGAGCGTTGATCCTTTTGAGGAAACAGTTCTTTGGGTGCAGTTGCTCTCATGTCGGCTTTGATACGCTGTGCCCTCAATCTATTATCCGAAGCCGCCGCAGCACTTGGTTTCCGTTGACCGCTTCGCCGTCCCTGATTGTAACTGTCCCTGCTACCGGATCTATCGTCATCTCTCAGGGGTGATGCACTTCGATCTCTTAACCGGCCACTTCCCCTTTCGCCGGTAGAACTTGGGAACAGTTCCTTACCAGCCGTTCCGCGGAATCTTACTCGTCGTCCTCCGGAATCGCTATCAGATATAGAGCCTGGGTGATTTCTCGCTGATCTTCGAGCTAATGCATCGGCATCATCGTCATATAAACTGGCATCAAATCCAGCGGCCTCGTCGCCCTTCAAACGACTTTCTTGTTCTCTATCATCGTAACGTTGACTTCGATACCCGCCATCATCGCGATCCCTATATCTTCTCCCACCGCCACCTCCGCCTCTTTTGCGTCGTTCCGCTGGATCATGCTGTGGGTTTAGTAGGTAAAATCTGCTCCTGTCACGAGCTCGAGGTGCTTTGCGATCGCCCACAACTGCCCGGCGTACTTCAAGACTCGTATTTGGATGGTCAGCGAAAGGTCGCGCTGCAAACGTTTGTAATGACGAAGCTGAGGCGATGTCGGTAATTTCAGACTGCACCAGTGCCTGAAGAGCTTGAAGTGCAACCTCTTCGCTCTCGTAAACCAGGTTCGCTGAAGTGTCATCAATCCATTCGATATGCTCAGGGGAGTTTTCGACGTAGTGCTCTGTAGCGAAAGTCCGGATGTCTTTGGTAGTTAGGTTGTCCAGCCCTCGAATGTGAACTTTGTTAGGCGCGAGCTCGAGTGACGCGGAATCGTGTTGCTCTCCGGGCGCATTGAGGATGGGAGTCTCACCATTGAGTTGAGGCTGCGAAGTCTGATTAGCTGAGAAGCTTTCAATGCGTAGATGGGGGCTGCTTGCAGTGACTCCTGCATCAGGAAGAATGTCGATTTCTGGTATTCCATGGTCCTCGACCGTAAACCCAACATCAATGTCCATCTCGATATCCATATCTGTGGCCATGGCGACGCGATATTCGGGAGACAGAGCTCTGTATTCGATGAATGGGAATGGATCTGAAGGAGGGCCGGTGGTTCGGCGTAGATAATGCCAGTTGATGTTGTGGTAGAGGTGACTGGATCCTTGGAAGTTTTCCTGATAGCTAAGAACAGCAACAATCACAACCTGCTGAACGCAAGAGCTTTGCTAGGTCCCTCCCAACAGTGAAACTGAACGGACTGCCAAAGGAAGTTGACTACAAGGTTGCGTGAACTTGAGCCAAATCCATTCCAAGATGGCAGAGGCTGTGAATCAGTGTAGTTTGTTGAATGAAGCTGGTGATGTTCAGGAGGACAAAGTATGTAAAGGATTCTGCAAGGTGATAAGTTGATGGTGTCTGCCAGAAGGTAGTGTTAAGATAGCAGATTGAAATAGACAAAGATGTGAAATGTAATGTTGAAATAATGAAGTTGTTGGCCAAATCTGGGGCGCCCAACTAACAAGTGGTCCTTGAAGCTATGTACCATAAGCACCCTAGGGCCTAGGCAAGCTTGGGGTGATGTGGATAAGAACCAAACAGAATTCCAGGAGCAGCTTTTGAGTGAAGTTCTAATAGCAACCAAAACCAAAATGTACAAAAGTGTAATTTAACAGTCAAAAACAAGATTGTTTCTGATTAAATTTTCAGCAACATTCCATCAAGATCTGATCTTATGTCATGAAATTCCCAGCCAGACGTTTCCAATCATTCTTGGTGTCTGTTGACGCCGCACGCTACTGGTGGGGTATGACCAAGCGATCTACTTCGGCAACTGATCGCACTACTGCAGGTTTTCCTCCATGTTTTCCTTCATCAAGGGACGACTTATTTAATTCTGCTCGGCCGCAAGTCGGGAATCTTTGGCTTTTCAACTCAGGAGAAAGGAGAAGTGTCCATCAAGAAAGACAACGACAGGAAAAAAACCCAGGAGAAGGGAGAAGCATCCATCGAGACGTCGACAAGAGGAAAAAATGAAGGCCGCCTTGCAACCTGGCGCAATGCTCCCCAGACAATCGTTGCACGCAGACATCGAACCAGAACGAGGCACAGACTTCCAAAACTTCTTGTATTATCCTGTCATTTCGTAGTACAGTCGTTTCCAATCATTCCCTACTTACATGTACTCGAGGTACTCTCTTATCATACGTAAACTTCCTTCACATATCGCTTTCTTCACTTTGTTTTCTTCACATCGCTAACAGATTCCTACAAGCATCCACCACAACATCCTTTCAGGAATGCAAGCATCATGACAAACAAATATCCTGTCATCTACTGCCTTGTATGGAAACAAATCACTTTCGCTTATTTTGGACAGAAGTCGTCAAGCTTTTGTTGATAATGTTGCCAACCCGCTCCTCAAATTTGGACCACTCCCGTCCATATCGATTCCAGAAGTTTTTGCATGCACCCTTGCTTCGAATGATGCCTTCATCTGCAAGTTGTTTAGACATGTGGTCCATAAGTCTCTCATCTTTAAGGACATCCATGCTTTCGTCACTCGCCTCAAGTGCCCTCCGAGCCGCAAGAAGACGCCAGAGAGCCTGGAACTCTTCCTGAGTCCACGCACTGTTCTTTTTGCTTGAAGCTCCGTGGGAAGTAGCCTTCTTGGCGGTCGAGGTTGATGTAGGTAGCTTGGTGCCAGATCTCTTCCTCTTGCTACTTGTGTCCTTCCAATCATCATCACTGTCGTCCTCTTCATCCTCTTCGTACGATTCATGGTCTTCGTCGGCTGCATATGAAGAAGTTGGGGATGAGGACATGCCACTTTGTTGATTGAAGGGCGCGTCGCTCATCTCTGGGGAAGTCATCGAAAGAGTTCGGGAGTTGACACTGGACTTTCTTGCCGGTGGATGGGATGATGAAGGTAGAGCAGTCCACTCATTGTCCATTGAAGATGGGCCATCCAAATGACCTACTTCCTCTGGCGAAGGTGAAGCAGAAGCTTGGCCTTTGTTTCCGTGTTTCTTCTTCATGAGAAGGTACATGGGAATGCCAGGTTGGCTACTGCCAGAAACGGCCTGCCCTGTTGCTGTGGCTGCAGCTTTCTTCTTCTTCGCTGCGGGAACATATTGGTTGACATCGTGATCACTTGATCGTTTTGTCTTTTGTGGTCCGGATGCTTGTGGCTTCTTCAAGTCATTGGAAATTGATTTGTCGTAATTGCCTTCTCTTTCCTTTTGCAGCTCCAAGCGCTCTTCTCTACCCTCCGGACCGCGTGGAGTTCCGTCTATCAAAGCTCGATAGAGGTTCATACACTGATCCATCGTCATGCCAAAGCCCCGGTTGTCACCATTGTTAACTGGTTCTTGACGTTGGGCGTGTAGTGCTGTCGGCTCGTCGAATTCACTGTCATGATTGATATCTTCGGTGCTGCTCGAATCCTCAACCTCGCTCGAATGATGGGCTGCGTTGTTTTGAGTGGTCTTGATGTGGTTACCTACTCAGCCTGTTAGTATACGCAAGCCATCGAAGATGGTGACTGGAATGCTTACTCTCATGGTCCGATAAATTTTCTTGCTCGACACTCTCCTCACTGTCTTGAACATCGACACGGGCTTCTTGTGCGGGCTTATTGTGACCCCATCCCGACGACGGTGCCAACTCAATGAACCGCTTCCAATCGTTTTCGGACAGCTCGTACCCGGAGTTGACGCTGGAGATATCAAGGAGACTGGAGTGATCAAGGAGACTGGAGTGATCAAGGAGACTGGAGTCGTCAAAAAGGTTGGAGTCATCGAAAAGGTTGGAGTGCTCAGGAAGGCTGTAGCTCGTAACAAGGTTGGAGTCTGGAGATGTTGCTGGTGACTCCAGACTTCGTCGATCGCATGTTCCTTCCATTGCGTCGATGTCAACTCGGTATAGCTATCGATCGCGGTTGCGACAGACGAGCTCGAGCTCTGCGTGTTGGTGGTATGTTGAATCAAGACTGGTTTTGATAACGACTTGGCGAATTGCAGTTGTGAAGATTTTGGGAGAACTGAAGATAATCTTCACGACGACAGAATTTTGTCGACAGGTATTTGATGTGGATGTAGATATAGTTCTACAACCTGTCAAGAAACAATGGCACTATCCTTGAGGTGACAATGGTACCATTGCAGAGATCATTGGGTCGGTGGAAAGAATAACAAGAATAAGTTTCCAATTTTTGGCGCACATGGTAGGGTACAATAGGCACGCTTAGACAATATCAAGATTAACACTTTTGGGAAATACACCAGACACTTCTTACCAACAACAATGATATGTTAGATATACTGAGATAACTATAGTCTATGTCCATTTCTCCTTTCTCTTTGCATTCTAATTACAGGACCTTTTAATTGTGGTTGGTTTCCTCCATTGTGATACCCTCACGTGATAATTTTAGTTGAAGAAGAATTTCATGAGCTAGCTTTGTCGGTTTATTAACAACATTATAACGCTAAAACGGCGTGTTGTATTACTTATTGAGACTTGCTTTCTATATCATTTGCAGTAAAACATACAATTATTACAATGTGTATCTGTCCAGAATAGGAAGCTTTGTGGGAGTGGCATCACGTGATACTGAGCGCTAGCAGGAACTCTTGTATTGTTTTTGTCCAATGGTGAATGAGACGGAGTGAATGGGTCCTAACAGCTTCATACATTCGTCGATTTTCCTACCAACAACATTGTTTCTGCCGAACCTCGAATCAAATATGGCAGTTAAGATCAATTTGCCTCAACGCAGTAGTATTGTTGGTGTTGAAGATATCTGCCAAAATCTCTTCTCACCTTTTGGAACTGTTGTCGAAAATCCTTCCCCATCTTTAGTGCCCTCCGCTCAGATAAAGAAGCTGCCACCGAACTCAGTGCAAGCAAACCAAGGATCAGCTTTAAAGTATTTAGATGTTACTTTGATGAGAGACTATTATGGCTCCGCCCCATCGAAGCAAAAGGCAAACGCGGTGATGAACATGTTCGTTTGTGCACCAAGGAAACTATTGCCTGCTGAGCACGGGACAATTGAGGGGTTCTTTCCTGTTGAAATTTTAGAGCGACATCCCTATACCACTCAGACATTTATTCCGTTGGGTCTTTCGAAGCTGGAAGCAAAGCAGGCAAGATATCTAGTCATAGTTGCTCCGAGTTTGGGTCCCTCTTCATTAGACAAGAATCTTCCAGTGCCAACTGAGGCGGCTTTCGGTGATCGATTACCAGGTCGCGGTCTCCCTGACTTGACTAAGTTGAAAGCATTCCTAGCTACGGGTGCTCAAGCTGTCACATACGGAGCCGGAACGTGGTAGGCATTGTCTCTCGTTGTATCCTCATGTCATCACCTTTGACGCTCGACGATGAATTCCTCCCCCAAGATGCTATAAATCAATTGTATTCTGACATTTTCATAGGCATGCACCCATGGTGGTTATTGGGGACAACGCAATCGATTTTGTGGTTGTCCAGTTTGCCAATGGTGTAGGAGTTGAAGACTGCCAAGAAGCAGAATTAAAAACTGAGGGTGCAAGTCTTCTTATTGCAGTTCCTAATATGACTGGGAAGGCTTCTTCGAAGCTATGAAGATGTGCATAAGCTCCCTTGAGCCGTTTCTCCAATTTTGAGCGGATACCTAATAACGTAAAGTTACCTAAATTTATATTCATACGCTCAATACCGCATGAGAAAGAGGTACGGACACAGCACAATAGTCGAACGAGTATATGTGAGTATGTGAATACACTCTGCTGTTGGTTGAGTGTTGGCTGATCAGGTTTCTAGTTGCAATGTCCCGCTATAATTTGGCCATCACATCTCCTACTTGGGTTGTAGCAGGACAAACGTTACCAATTCTTCCATATGCTCCGGCATCATCTGTTGAGGCATAGCTGAAATTTGCCCGTACTTTACCTCCCTGATATGTCTACGGGAAAGCTTCATACATGGGTTTAGTATCTTTGTTGGATGGAGCACTTAGTAACACATGACTGGATATTATGTTTGGGTGTACAGTATGTGTAGAGCGTGATACACACAACCGAAGGCAAGGATACCATAGTAATCGTAGCTCTAGAACATCAACGTACATAACACTGCTTCACATTGCACAAAGGCTGCATCTCCCTAGTGCTCCCGTCAAATCAGTCCTCAGTAGTAGAGCTTAAGCGGCAAATCTAGCAATACTTCGGTCTGGTACGTCCACTAACCGGTCTGGTTGAATTTGAACTCTACACCTATTGAGACGAAAGATCCTACAGTCTAAACTTTTTCTTTACTCGAAAAGTATTCATAAAGTCCTTAACACTAAAGCAACACTTAGAAATCCACAGCTAACAAAGATGGGCATTTGGATAGTTCGTGAGGTTGGAACGAATGATGTATTTCATGTTACTACTACTTTTTCTGGAATGTATAGTCGATCCATAAAAAAAAGGTGGCAAAAGTCTCCTTTTGGTGTTTAGGTTGTTGAATTTCTAGCCTCTTAACACCGAGTGAATTAGAGTGATCTTGTACTGCTGGTTAGAATGAACTTGAATGCACTGCAACGAGCTGTTTCTTTTGCTGCTTCTTTTGCTGCTTCTCCTTCATATGCGTAGTAACCAGAAGTTCTCAGGCGCTCAGTCACCTAACAATCACACAAAAAAGACTTCGCGGCATGAGATGGCAATTGCCACGTTGCCTTGGATGAATTTGATTTTTGCGGGTGAAGCAAGGCTTACAAGGCTATGATTTATTACGTCGCTCGCTCCTGCCTGGCGGAGAACCTTATCGAATGTGCTGGTCGGCGCTAATTACGCTAGCCGAACATCAAGCTCTCTGAGCTCCGTTGTATCGATCATTACTATTTCATCCTCCATCCAAACCTACGACATATCCATCAAACTTCATTTCCACACACCCTTTCGTCTCTCGCTATTCCGCAGAGATACTCCGTGTACCATCACCATATATTTCGAAAATACCCAGATCGCGATAATATCCAATCTCACTTTATAACCTGACTTCGAGTCCACATCTCAAGATGTCCGCCGAACCGGATCATGTCGAGCACAAGAAGAAGGTGAACTTGAAGTAAGCGGTTCCAGCTATATAGCTCATCTACAGAAATCAAGTACTGACCATTTTTGTAGCGATGCCTCTGGATCTGAGGCCAAGGCGGTATGTTTACAGCGCCACTTGGACAAGTGGCAGCATCGATTCTAACGTTCATAGGCCGATGACACCGCAACGGCTATTCTCAAGAAGAAGAAGAAGCCCAACTCTTTAATGTACGTCAGGATGCTATGAATACCGGTGTTTGTACTAATACGGCTTCTGAAGGGTTACCGATGCCGTGAATGACGATAACTCGGTCATTGCCTTGTCCAACAACACCATGGAGACATTACAGCTTTTCCGTGGCGACACTGTTTTGGTAAAGGGAAAGAAGCGCAAGGATACAGTTCTTATTGTTCTCGCGGATGATGATTTGGATGACGGAAGTGCACGCATGAACCGTGTTGTTAGACATAACCTACGCGTCAAGCACGGTGATATTATAACCGTCCATCCATGTCCGGATATCAAATATGTGAGGCTTATCATTTTCTCATCTCTGCAGCATCTGCTAACACAATAACTTAGGCCAAGCGTATTGCAGTTCTGCCCATCGCCGATACCGTCGAAGGTCTTACTGGTTCCTTATTCGATGTTTTCCTCGCCCCATACTTCCGCGAAGCCTACCGACCGGTCCGTCAGGGAGATCTTTTCACAGTTCGTGGTGGTATGAGACAGGTGGAGTTTAAAGTCGTGGAGGTTGACCCTCCAGAATACGGTATCGTAGCACAAGACACAGTCATCCACTGCGAAGGCGAACCGATCCAGCGCGAAGACGAGGAAGGAAACTTAAACGAAGTTGGTTATGATGACATTGGAGGATGCAGAAAACAGATGGCACAGATTCGAGAGATGGTTGAGCTGCCATTAAGACATCCTCAGCTATTCAAGTCCATTGGTATTAAGCCTCCTCGTGGTGTTCTGATGTTCGGTCCTCCAGGTACTGGTAAGACACTCATGGCTCGAGCTGTGGCAAATGAGACAGGTGCCTTTTTCTTCTTGATCAACGGTCCGGAAATCATGTCGAAGATGGCTGGTGAGTCCGAATCGAATCTGCGAAAGGCATTTGAAGAGGCCGAGAAGAACTCCCCTGCAATTATCTTTATTGACGAGATTGATTCCATTGCCCCAAAGCGAGACAAGACAAACGGAGAAGTCGAGCGCCGTGTCGTTTCTCAACTTCTTACCCTTATGGACGGAATGAAGGCACGATCGAATGTTGTTGTCATGGCTGCCACCAACAGACCCAATTCCATCGATCCTGCTCTTCGTCGTTTCGGTCGTTTTGACCGAGAAGTTGATATTGGTATTCCTGATCCAACTGGTCGTCTCGAGATTCTCCAAATTCACACCAAGAACATGAAGTTGGGCGATGATGTTGATCTAGAGCAGATTGCATCGGAGACTCACGGTTATGTCGGTTCTGATATTGCATCCCTCTGCTCGGAGGCTGCTATGCAACAGATCCGTGAAAAGATGGATCTCATTGATCTCGATGAGGACACCATCGATGCCGAGGTTCTCGACTCTCTCGGTGTCACTATGGACAATTTCCGCTTCGCTCTTGGTGTCTCCAACCCATCTGCCCTTCGCGAGGTTGCAGTTGTGGAGGTACCAAACGTCCGCTGGGACGACATTGGAGGATTGGAGGAAGTCAAGCGCGAGCTTATCGAGAGTGTCCAGTACCCAGTCGACCACCCCGAGAAGTTCCTCAAGTTTGGTCTGTCTCCATCTCGCGGTGTCTTGTTTTATGGCCCTCCTGGTACTGGTAAAACACTGCTTGCGAAGGCTGTCGCCAATGAATGTTCTGCCAACTTCATCTCCGTCAAAGGCCCTGAGTTGTTGAGCATGTGGTTTGGTGAATCTGAAAGCAATATCAGAGATATTTTCGACAAGGCTCGCGCTGCCGCACCTTGCGTTGTCTTTTTGGATGAGTTGGATTCCATTGCTAAATCACGTGGTGGGTCCGTTGGTGATGCTGGAGGAGCATCTGATCGTGTTGTCAATCAATTGTTGACTGGTAAGTTTGAAACCTCCCTGTGGTGAGACTATGACTGACTGTAAAATAGAAATGGACGGTATGACTTCAAAGAAGAATGTCTTTGTTATTGGAGCAACCAACAGACCTGAACAGCTCGACAATGCCCTTTGCCGACCTGGACGTCTCGATACTCTCGTCTACGTTCCTTTACCGAACGAGTCATCTCGTGCAGGTATTTTGAAGGCACAGCTCCGAAAGACACCTGTCGCTGATGATGTTGACCTCAACTACATCGCATCTAAGACTCACGGATTCTCCGGAGCCGATTTGGGTTTCATCACTCAACGTGCGGTCAAATTGGCCATCAAGGAGGCAATCTCACTGGACATCGATCGCCGCAAGGCACGTGAGGCTGCTGGGGAGGATGTTGATATGGAGGACGAAGACGCTGAGGATCCAGTCCCACAATTGACAAAGGCTCATTTCGCAGAGGCCATGTCACAAGCACGACGATCTGTAACTGATGTCGAGATCCGCCGCTACGAGGCGTTTGCTCAGAGTATGAAGAGTTCCGGCCCTGGTGCGTTCTTTAAGTTCCCAGAGGCCGGGGAGGCGGCGCCTGCTGCGAACGGTGGTGCCGACTTTGGAGACGCTGCCCAGGATGACAGTCTCTATGACTAAAATTGTACTTTAGTTTTCTTTTCCTGCGCGCATTTGCATTGAACCATAGATCAGGTCGGGGACACGAATATCGGTGGACTTGACTAGGGAGTCGGGGTCTACAAGGGTGGTCAAAGATCTTCCATTGCCTGTTCGCGCAATGAATAGCGGCGTCCAGCAGGTGAACCTCCTTTACAAAAGGATGAAATCTATTTTAGGTGTTACAATAGTAGATTAGCCAATAAATTTCGTTATCAACAATTTGGACACTGTTGTGATAAAAGACTGCTGAATAGGGATGCATAAGTAAGCAGGTGAAGATTATTTCTCACACGGTTATGTGTACCATTAAGGTTCTTTACGGTTTTATCCAGTGGTTTCTTTGGCAGCTCTATACCGACAAAGTCGTAGAACTGCAACCCTGACACCTCGGCTCAGGAGCGGACCGCCTCAAGCTCCCGCTGCCAAGGCCAATTCTTCCGCCTACTGTCAAGTAAATCTCAACAACTTCAAAGTTACATAATCTCTTCATCACAGTCAAGACATCTCTTCGTTCGATTTGCTCGCTCTTACTGTTGCTAAAATGGAAACCCGAGGGCGTTCAGAGTCAAGCACTCCTATAAACCCACCACACCCAAAAGTTCTCACCTCATCCTCGCCCAAAACACAATACTTAATTCTCTACAACTTCTGCTCAGCCATTGCCTGGCTTGTTGTTCTTGGTCGCGTCTTGCTATTGGTACCATTGGTAGGATTTGGTCGAACCTATAAAGGCGTTGGTACCTTTGCAAAATGGACGCAGACAATGGCTTTGCTTGAGGTGGTGCATGCTGCTACTGGTACGAATCTTACTTCTCCAACAACGAAGAATCCCAACAAGCTAACAATCCAACAGGTATTGTCAGAGCCCCAATCTCGACAACACTCATGCAAGTCGCTTCTCGAATCCTGCTCGTGTGGCCGGTAACCAACACCTTCCCCCACCTCGCCAAATCCGCCGCCTACTCCAGCATGCTCATCGCATGGTCTGTCACTGAGGTTATCCGGTACTCGTACTTCACGCTTTCGCTTTCTGGATTCACACCAAAATTCATGACATGGTTGCGCTACAATGCCTTCTATGTGCTATACCCGCTCGGTATCAGCAGTGAGTGCTGGCTGATATACAAGGCAATCGAGCCGGCGAAGAGTATCAGACAGGAATATGCATGGCTTTTGCAGGCTATCTTGGGTATCTATGTGCCGGGAAGTTATATCCTTTTTACGCATATGATGAGGCAGAGGCGGAAGGTTATGAGGGGGAAACAGGTTAAGAAGGCGTAAGAGTTGCGCTTGAGATGGCGAATGGAGGGATGTGTACAAAAGCTTTTTTCAAGTAGGATGTACATATGGTGCAACAGACGTTAACCGAACATAGATGGAGGTCTAGCTCAGAAATAAACGTCTTGCTTTAAACACCTTCTGCAATGTGGCTGTCTTTCTGGGTTTTCCTTGTGCCTTCGTCTCATACACCTGAACGCACCGAACGTGAACACAGTCGAAAATGGTCGTTTCGGGCATCCACGATTCCAAGAACATGGTACCTTAGGTAGTTCTCACAATTTCATCCATTCCAATCCACCTCTCTTCTCTCCTTTCCAAAAACATCTCTCTCGATCTTCAATCACCACCCCAACCCAGCTTCTCTCACCTCGTCCCCCGTCTCGTATACAACACATCATCATAATCCCTCCCATCACCCCTTCCATACCCATACCCCCCATCTCCCCTCCCATACGTCTCATAATAATCGTCCTCCTCAAACTCCCTCCTACTTCTCCTCCCACTCTCTCCTCTCCGTCGATGTCCCATGCCCCTACTCTTCCTCTTCTGTTCTCGCTCCCATTCCTCTTTCTCGCCGTATGTGATACCCTTGGGGTAGAAATGATGGACACAGGCGAAGACGCCGAAGATTTGGAGGGCGTGGAGGAGGGCGTGGGAGGTGCCCATTTTGAGTTTTGTTTAGGGCGATTATTTGGCGGGAGGTAGTGGGAGGTTGGGTTAGATTGTTTTATTTAGTGGAAGGCGAGGGGATGGGAGGGGACATGTTTGGAAGGAAAGAAAGAAGTTGAAAAGGTTGAGAATTTGGATTTGAGACTGAGAAAAGATGATTGTAGGTTTTGATTTACGAGAGGGTGGTGTCAAATCAGGAATTACAACTCGCGAAGGATGAGGCTGGTATATGCCTCGCCATTTTACATGAAAATCTTGAATGACCGAACCGTAAGTTTCAGAGCACTTGAATTCGCAAACTCCTCAAGATCAACAAAAAGCGAGTTGAATTTTAATGATATCATACGCATCCATTTCAATATACCTTAATGTCATATCTAAATGCGCTGAAAGATAGTAAGAAGTGACGGTTAATACCAAATAAATGCTTAGCGAAAGGAATCATCCTCGCATCCCGTACAGCAGAACATCCTGCATAAAGACATAAGCCCATCTCCAATCAATCCTCAGCATAAAAATAGAAGTTTATTCGTAAAACACATGACTGCTTTCGCTGGGCGTGTCGGGCGTAGGGAGAGGACGAGGCAATGAGGAAGCGAACTCGCTTAATTGGGTTTTAAGACATTTGAGGTGAGATGCTGCTTCGTGGTAGCACAGTAGATATATGCATAATATTATCCTAGTAGGATAAACGTTAGATGTTAAAATATTAATATAATGAAAACGGCATCACCGGTTTCTTCAATATTTAGTAGCGAATGTACAGTCAAAGTTTCACAGGAACACGTTCCGTGAATCTAGATAAATGAACGCATCAAATACATTCAATGTTTGTAATCAAGATCTACATGGGACCATTGAAGTAAAACAATATGCGTCCTTTTTCACGACGGGCTAACGTCACATTGAAGATGTAAACTCCCGTCAAATAACCGCCGTCTGGCACCAAAAGTACAATCAAACCAACTCGATAAAATATTTCTTCAACAGTATGTAACGTAACTTCCTCGTGGGCTTAGCGCCAGTCTCCATTCACCTCCTACATCTGTTTACCGAACTCACATCAACTTAGGGTGATCTTCCAGCTTAACGAGTAGTCCTCACCTTACTCTTTCTAAATCCCATATGAAACTAGAATTCTTTGATTGACCGTCGTCACAACTTTTCCTCCTTATGATCACGATCTTAAAAAAGTGATTTAGTGACGCCTTTCCGCGGTCAACGAAGCTAGATAATATCGCCCCATCACCCCAAAAAACCCCAAAAAATACTTTACCTCAACCATTATCCATCCCTACCACGTCTAGTCCTGTCCCGTAGGCTAGGTTCAACGCGGATCTCTGGGTGGTGGTTGGTCGAAGCAAATGTGCTGGTTTGAATATATATAGTAATATGATGGTGAATAGGTATGTGGGGAATGTGTGGTGGTGAAGGTGAGACGTCACGTAGATGGATTGTAGAGACGCAGGTTTGCTTGGTCTTGCTTTCTCTTGGCTCTTTGTAGATATCTCGAGACGAAGAGACAGTTATGAGAGGCAAGCTGTTTTAGATAGGCTTCAGCGATGTTGGATTTCCTTGTCTGGCTGTTAGCGATTTCTACTTACTTAGGTGGGTAGTAACGGCAAGGGAAGCGAGATAGTATTACCACTTTGGTAGAAGCCCGCCGGACATGTCAAGACCTATGCTGGCGAGTTTTGCTTAACTCCATCTGATCCTCGTTTTAAGATCAAAAGTCATTCACGCAGCAAGAATACACAAATTGTTCAGTTTCGTAATATGGCTTAATTTGTCATAATTCTCCCCACCCCTAATTGCCAATTGGTATCTTCCTTGTGGACATGTAAACACATGCCCCCATTACCGTTACGCCATAGCCAAATATACAAATATACATGTGAAATATCCGTCGAGTGATCGAACAACGCTCCGTCAAGGAACATTGGTCCCTACGGGCTGCCAGCACGCCATCATAGTGACTGCTTTCATACCAAATCCAGCTTGTCAATAAAAACATTATCGTATCCGTATAAAACGCTCTTTTGTGTGCCGATGCTGGCAACTAGTCATTCTCATTGAATGCTCTCCTTTTCTCCGAATGGTACTCTTGAGGCTACCACCTCAAGATAACGCCGGTCCAAACCGTAGCTACGAGTACGTACAGAGCTGAACGACGACTTAGCTGTGGTGCCGCACTTTGAATATCGAACGGGCTGCCTCCTCCTGAACCATTACTAGCCGACTTGCTGGTAGTTTCAGCATCCGCTGGATTAGTGCTTGTGGCGATTATCTGAGTCCCTCTGCTGTTGCTTTCGGTGAGCACGGTAGTACTCTCTGCTCCTCCATCGTCATCCGTACTGGTGGAAGATACAGGTGGTGTAACCGTCGACAGGGTTGATGTTATTGTAGCGCTTGTTGATGTCACAGAGGTCGTGGTCTGAGAGCTCAACACCTGTGTTTGACTTGTAGCGCTTGTCGTGGGAGTCGAAGTGGTCGTTTTCGCTTCTGTGGTAGAGGCCACAACCGTGCTACTGGTCGTGACAGGCACAGACACTGGTGGTTTTGTCGCTGAAGAGACAGATGTTACAAACGAGGGACGTATAGTTGTTAATCCATTGCCCCTCGTGCTAGAGGAAGTCGTGGTCGAACTCTGATCCGCCGTTGGACACAGGGCTGCTATTATGCCTCCTCTCATAACTATTCCGAGCAAGGTGTTGGCACTTGCGCCGACCGTAATACAAGATGTTGTAACCTGTACTGCCAATACGCTGAGCGCCGTCTGACATTTTATCGAGCAACCGTCTTGGAAATCCGCAACCGTACACACAGGAATTTGACTATAATTTCGTTAGCCATTGGCGACAGGACAGACCACCCATAGACTGCGAACTTACCCATCATATGTGCTTTGGCAAAGTGTTGGCACCAATCCAGTTGAGATCTGCTGGAAGTTCGCCAGAGACAGCGCATTTGTTGACGGAAGCGCAAACCCCAACATAACCAAATTTCTTCGCTTCATTTTGTTGCGATCTTGCCTTGCGAATCTGGGGAAGAGAGTGAGGTTGAGGTGAGACCCGATAAGAAGTCCTCGGGAGCAAGTAACCAGGACGTAGGTGCTATACCACGAACGGATTCGTCAGACGAGCTCAAGCCCCACGATGCGAATATGAGGAGTAAAAGTCTTAAAGAGCGTAAGCTCATAAAAGCCAAACGACCCAAGTTTTAGATATGTCGATTTAGATATTTAGTTGTCCATTCCCTGGGTCGACCATGCGATATGCGACAGGAAGTGCCTGACGTTGACGACCGAGCGCGGATGGGACGAAGCGATGGCGGTGTTGATTGCGGTCGCAACGAGTAAGTGGCCGTTTGAATATAGCCGTTTGTAGAAATGACGCAAAGAAAATGTGAAGATGTCGATGTCAACGAAAGTAGAGGCTGCAATCCTGTGTTTGTGTATGTTCCTGCTCCTGTTCCACAATGCTTCCTCCTCGCGATCCCGATGTCAATGGCCTCGCTCTACGAAGGCTGAGGAGATATGAGAAGAGAAGAAAGAGCTAAGAGTCGAGGGCCAGCTCTTGTAGAAGGTAGCAAAGGGGGAGATGGAGAATGTAGCGACGATCGAGAAGCTGATCAAAGCTGGATGAAGCTTGAGAAATTGTGATCTCTCTGCGGTTGTTCTTACCTGCTGTCTCGCCAGCCCCTCCGCGCCCGCGTCGCTCCCAATGAGACTTGCGCCGAGGATCTTGACTTCGTCTTGCGAAGATCAGGGGTTGCTGGCAGACGCATGACGATTGGACCAGATGAAAGGCGACTGCTGCTGAATTCAGCTGGCGGTCATACGGCCGCCAATCATCGACACGTTTCGTGCGATTTTGTGCGCATCAGTGTTCACACTGCTGGATTCAGCGATTGAAACGAAGAAAGCGGAGGTGGACTCGGCGCAAGTGTTTCACGACCAAGATGGGCCATGATCGCTAGGCCAGTCATTGGCACCGTCTCGGTCTATCACACGCAGTGACCGGTGGGATAGACTCACACCCTTAACTAGGCGGATATGGGGGTCTGAGTTGGGTTCTGGGTGCTTTTATCATTCCTTCCTATCAGCACGATTGGGTTCATCTCTGTTTCGTCTTCTCCTGACACAAGCGAGTGACTTCAGGAATAGCTTCACTTCCAAGGCTGTTCACCGTTCACGAGAGCTCTAAGTACTAAGTACACTTGAACATGACCATGTCTTCACTATAATGCTGAGTCCTTTGTCATTGAAATATAAATGAATTTTCTCATTCTGTAAACTTTCTACTGTTGCGGTTGTTGGATTGGGTCTAGAATTCAGCACGAAGCTCCGCCCTCATTGGCTGTTAAATAGCCATCGTATATTGTTCACGCTATGCGACCTACACAAGCATTCGGTCTCTACTCAGTTCAAAAATCTTGTGTATTAAGTAAAGACATCAAATTGCTATTATCTGATATTACCATTTTAATCCGCTTGCCACATGCGCGCTAGACTATTAAGGCACCTTTTGCATGTGAAAGACGCCGATTATGATTGGTCGGCTGGTTTAATTTTGAGAAGTGTAGCCTTGACGCCAGCCTTGTCACCCCAACACGTCAATTGAGGAATAAAGAACCAGCTGCATTACGCACCCAAAAGCTGAGCAACAAGGGACCTTTCAGGCTGCATATTGCCAATCGCATATCGTGACCTCCAACTTTTGAATAAAAACCGCCGTCAGGAGTATACGGCCTCGAACCCTCAACCCGGGTCACTTTCCCCAGACCGAGGACCACCTCAGTCACTTCGACGACGATTCTCGGACTCGAATACAAGAAATCATACGCAAAATGCCTCCGTCCGAGCCTACGACGCCGGTTCGAGTACCAAAAGCGGTCGCCGCATATACAGCAAGCACACAAGACCCGGATCTGCGGTCACAAATCAACTCGGTGCTTTGGCAAGGAGGGCACATCACCAAGTACGCTCAATTCCTTCAACCTCTCAGCTCCTAATTGCATACTACCAAATTCCAGTAACTAACTTCACAAGAATACAAGAGTCACTCCTCCACGCGCTCAATGCCTCCCCTACGAACTGGCCCACCCTCATTCAAAACCACGCTCTCTCGCTCCTTCGCTCCGGCGAAGTAACCACATTTCCAGACCTCATGTCAAGGGTGTTAGAAGACATAAAGACGGATTCCGGTGCGGCGAGGAAAGCTGAAGCTAGTAGTAATGGGGTGAATGGAAAGGACAAGGAGCCTAAGGTGGAGGGGAAGGGTGAGAAGGGTGCCAGTCTGGCGTTGCCCAGGACGGTGGTGGATGAGGGTGTCAGGGTTACCAGAGAATGCTTGGAGCTGGTTTGTGAGGTCCATGAGTAGGCGGTGGAGATATTGGATCTTGAAAGAGGGGCAAACAGAATATAGGAACGAAGGAGTTGGATCGACTGATGATTAAGGGACATTGGGAAATTGGGCCATTGAAAAGCATCCAAGGAGCATCGGCGGCGTTGGTTACGGCTATAATCATATCATTCTAATTTCGAATTTTTATCCAGCTCTGTGACATTTCGTTTCACTCGATCAGCATCAAATATCGGGTTTTGAGGTTTTCAGTCTTCGCCTTGACGACGCAAGTTTGGGTGTTGTTGAAGTAAATGAATTCTCTGCTTCTATCACATGGAAAAAGTCGAATTGTTTCGAAGAGATTTTACGATTGGCAACTGTGCAGGACGACTTGTAATCTCTTGCTAAACATAGGCTAGTAAGTGTTTGAAACAACACAGCGGAAACTTGGATCATAATCTTGCCCTGCGATCAGCGGCTAGATAGTCTGAACGATTTGGTACGTACTTTCGCTCCACGATAAGGCATTTTAAGACTTGTTATTTCCCAAAATACGGAGCAACTTTGCGGTCCATCGCCTGTCCTAGACGCTCCACTTCCCTTGTTTCAGCCTCGACTTCTAGAACAGTAGAACTCATACTTCGACATAAATTCGCTCTGTCTTAGTTCTCACAGGTGAAAGACAGTCTCCATAATACACGTGGGTAAATGAGCAGACTCACTTGGCTTCTTTGAATGTTAAGTGGCTGTGTTTGAAGGATGAACGCTCATGGTGAGCAAAGTAAGTGTAACTCTTGGATGTGGAGAGATTCCGAAATAGAACTCCAAATAATGGCCTTACTGACGAGATAGTGGACCAAATTTATGATATCGCATAAACAAAATTTAACAAACATCTTGTTTGACTGCCACTTATGTTTCCAGTCCAGCTGGAAGTGCTGTGTTATGCCTACCTAGTAAGAACCATTCAAGGGTATCCTCGCTTAGTTGAAAAGGTAGTTATGACACCTAGAATCTTGAAAATCTCATGTCACACAAAGTTTTAGTATGATCTTTAAAGGCGACAGGGCAAAGTTATTAATTAAAAGGATGGTTACATCAAGATCTTCGTATAGAGATTCCATGGACCCTCCATCCACCCCCTCTCGGCCAGTTTCTCGGGACTTTGTCCCCACTTCCCCATGCTCCACCAGCAATCCTCCACTTCATCTCGTCGATTTTGGCCGTTTGGAGCATAGCTTCTTTTTAAGCCTACACAGGGCTGTCACACGGCATGTCGATCGTTCCTTCGCGGAAGGCAGTGAGCTTTAGAGCCTTGGACTCGGGACTGATACGGATGTTAGGCTCTAGACTCTAGTACAGTCGTTCTCTCATCATCGTCATGATTTACAACAGGATAGCAGAATGAAGAGACAAAGGTTTGTCAACAATGGTATTTGAGTCTTTCATAAGCGTGTATTGTCGACATAACAATTAGAGCAGGTTCTACGACCAGTTTTGAAAGAGAGAAAGCCCGGCTTCAATTGCGGATTTAAAAACAAACATCAATCGCTTCCCGGCATCCTAAGACCCTCATCTCCCTAATACAAGACCCCGCGTTTGGATGAACAATTCCGCAAGGCTCCTTCCAATTTCAGCATGTACTTCAGGTCCATAAAACCGTAGCAATACCCTCATCAGATAATGTATCTCACCACTCGTCTTCATTCGGGTTGTGACTTTCATCCTCGTCTCTGCTCACAGTCTTCTTCAATATGTTGCCATCACTTTTTACCTCATCGCTCGTGGCTCTGCTAGCTATGGCTGGCAGAGCTCACAGTAAGGCAGTTTTTGCTCATTATATGGTAAGTTTTTGCAGTCATAAACTATCCTGGGGCATGTTACTGACTGTTCGTAGATGGCCGGAGCAACACAGGCGCACCTACAACAAGATATCGACGATGCGATGGGTGCAGGGTAGGCTTACACCATTCTTCTGTTATAATTATCAGCTAAAGCCTATAAAGATTTGATGGTTTCGCCCTCAACATCGGTGATCCCACAGGAAGCTGGATGACAACACCATTAGCTCAGCTTTTCAAATATGCCGAGACGAAAGGGTTCAAACTATTTTTCAGTATGGATCTTTACGCCGCTGCGAATGCGTGTTCCGGGGGTAGCTCTGGCTCCTGTGGAGGAGTGAGTGGAATGCAACCCTTCTTATTACTTTCCGATACTGACGATAACCGTTAAAAAGCCCAACAGTTACTTTCCATTGCTACAAAAGTATCTGGGTAGCTCTGCATGGGCTAGAGGAAAGAATGGACTACCGATGATATCAACATTCTCGTCAGCAGGTTGGGAAAAACCAGAATGGACAGGTAAGACAGCAGACACATACTACTCTCCGTTCTTTTTTAGCTAAGAATATACACAGCCTGGAGGGCGACTCTAGCGGGCCAGATGTATTTTATACCCGATTTTGATGAGACAGAAGGCTATTACCAAGCCGCAACAGGGTGGTGGGATTACTGGGGTAGCAACGTCGAAGGAGTATTCAGCTGGGATTCAGCTTGGCCTTCTGGAATCGCTGGAAGTCTTTCTGAAGGTGATATTTCAGTGGATAAAACGGTTATGGCAGGTGCTTCTGCTCGTGGAAAAGGTTATATGATGCGTAGGTCCTCAGTTCAACCGCTTACTTTCACAACTACTAACTTTTCGTCAGCCGTCAGTAGTTTACAATACAAGAATGCTGTAAGTGACTTCTGCCTCATGCAATTGACCTTCGCTTACCACAAATTTTTAGTATGGAGGTAACTGGTATCGGGCAGGCAATCTCAACTTGCCCACCAGAATGAAGAATATTCTAGACATGGCAACTCCACCTGAATATGTCGAATTTATAACATGGGTTAGTCCCTCATACATACCCGCTCAGCACTCTTCTCCATCATAGCATATTAAACTGACATTCCAACAGAACGATGGACCCGAATCACACTACATAGGCAACATTTGGCCTGAAGCGAACGGCGACGAAGCGGCGGGGAAATACGCATCACAAGCCTCAGCTCCCCACAAAGCCTGGCTTCCCGTAATATCCTCCTTCATCACAGCCTACAAATCTTCTTTGCCTTCCACCTCTGCAGTTCCACCTTCGTCTGCAGCTGCAGTAGGCGCGATGTGGTACTCCACCATTCTCAAAACAGCCTCTTGTCCCTCGGACACCAAGCCTGGTGGCTTTTCGCTTGCAAAAGATCAGATTAACTGGAGTATCGTCTTGCCCAAAAATGCGAACGGATACACCGTCTCTTTCACGAGCGGCTCTACGCAATTAGCCTCAGCGAATTTAGTACCTGGGTTTAACTATGGTGCCACGAGCACCATCAAGGCGGGAGCGCAGAAGATGGTTCTCAAGGACGGATCAGGAAAGACGCTTCTTACGGCGGCTAGCACGAGAGATGTGAGTTCTGGGTGTCCTGATGGGATTTACAACTTGAACCCGCAGGTTGTGGGTTTGAAGTAGGTGTTTGGAGGGGGTTTCGGGTGGGATGTTGATACCAGAGATAGAACTTGCAAAACAGATAATAAACAAAGCATTATCCAGTTTATTGCTCGTACGTTCACGATTTGCATCTCGTGTGTTGAGTGGTTCTATCAGAAGGGCTACATGTAATTTGAGATTCGAAGGTGAAAATAATCTTGTTGAAACCAAATTCGTAAACAGATAACTGTCGGTCTTTCCGGAATCAGCCAAAATAGCCATCTTCTTCCTACTGCTTTAACAAAGAATGGCCCGGCTTTGTGCATACTACGCAATCAACATTGACAATTATCCTCCATCGGTGCTGACACTCCAAGGTTGTCCGTCATGTAAGTGGAAAAGATGAGGTTAGCGACTCTTGAATAAGCAAACCTCGACTTCTAACTTGTGACTTCAGTTTAGAGTTGTCATAACATACTATATGATATTAGTGGCATAGAAGAAGTCACACCAGTTTCAACTAACCTCTTATTTTCCATCGCAAGCTGACGTAATGATGCTAGTCCATATCCTCGATTTTGATCGCACAACCAGGGTCTTCCAATGAGGTCGGAGTTTCAGAAGATGCTGCCTGGTACCTCTCCTGAGCACGCTCAAGCAAGTAGAAAACCTTCTCCCTAATTTCCTTTGACGTCATATCCGACAACAACTTTTTCTCAGGTATGTTAACACCATCCTCCTCCTCCATCTTCACAACCACCTCCCCTCCAGCACCCCCATCTACCCCTCCATCCACACCCTCTTCTTGTCCACCTAAACCAGTCCCGCCATTCTTCCGTGGCCGTCCAGGTCGCTGCTTAACCTTGGGCTTAACAACTGGTCTACTCATCGCCGTATCAACCGGATTCTTCTTCAACCGGCCATACTGATTTGTCAACGTAACCGCCGTAAAGGTGCGACGATCCGGGAACTGTTCTTGCATCAGCGCCGCGGCTTCTTTCCAGCTCAAAAACTCCTTTTCCTTCTTAGGCACGACGGTTTCGATCAGATAGCGGAGTTCCTCGGCGGTCCAGTAGGGTTGACGACCTTTGCCTGCTGCGAGGACTTTTCGGGGGCCGGAGCGTGCGTCGTGTTGCCATTTTCCTGCTGGGGTTTTTGCGGGGGAGGGGGCGGGTTCCGGCTCGAATTCTGGGAGGGGAGATAGGGATAAAGATCGTGGTGGGTTGGACATTTTGAGGTTCGGGAGTTGAGAAGGCGATCTATGGCTGAGATCCGGCAGGGTTGAGCTCGTACATCCTTTTAGAGCAGCGTGGGTATTTTTAGCGGTTGCAAAACTGTTGGTGATGTTATCTTCTTTGATATGTTGATGGATGAGGTGATTTTTGTGTTTGTTGTCAAACACTATCACAAAATCATTTTTGGGTGAATGATCGAGCAAGCGACAAACTGTCAAGCTCAAGCCTAATTTAGAGTCAACAATGCAAAAGTGAAGATTACTTACCTGTGATTCCAAGACAATCAGTTCTAGATTACACGTGGCATCTATCCTTCCAGTTTGTATGATCCAAAAAGCACACTAGTTGCCTTCAAGAAGAGAATTTGACTGAAGAACCTTCTGGTAATACTGTTGCATGTAACGCTGAAATTTGAGAACATGAGGTTTTATATTCATCTACGACATAGATCTTGAGGTTTACATGGTTTTCATGATCTCGGATACTGTTTTTGCAGCAAGCCGTTTCCTTTCTGCTTCGGGTAAGCTTTCGCCCATGTCTGTTCAAGGTCAGCAAATATGTGGTTGAAAATGCTGTGGATCCAACTATACCTCTTACAGCTTGCATCTTCGCCATCATAGCCTGCAGCTTCTCGACTTCCGCATCATGATCTCCTTCCTCTTCCTCTCCCATACTCAGCCCAGCCCCATAGATAGCCTCTTTCATTCCCTTCATATCCTCCTCCATCTCTTTCGGATCGATGCCAAAGCCTAAGCTTCCTTCGTCATCTTCGCCGAAATCATCAACAATCGCATCGAAATCATCGAGATCCATATCATCAGTATTCCAATCGTTGGCTTCTAAGGCTTCCCGCAGTCGACCTACACCTTGAGATTCTTTGTACTCGTTCTTGCCCGCCAACTCAAAATCTATGAATTCGAAGCCATGATCTTGACATGTGTCTTCCCAGTCTTCATGGCTTATGTCTAGAAATGGTGTAATGCTTTGTCTGTTTTCGGTGCGTTCAGTTAGCACTCCTCATATCTCGTCATTATACTAAGATTCTTATTTTCGAACCTGTACAAGCTTTTCGCTCCACAAAATTGCTTGAGGATTGAGAATATGTCAAACTCACTTCATACCCACAGCTAAGCAAACTCCATCCCATGAATACCCACAACCTTCCTTCACCACTTCCTGAACATGCTTTAACAGCTCTTTGATTTCTTCTAACTCCTTTTCCGTAGTCGGTTTTCGAAAACAAACAACGAATCCACCAAGAACGCTCAAAACCTCCCTCGCTTCAGGCGCCAAGAATTCCTTCGCCCATACTTCAGGCTCAGAAATCTCATCAAGCCAGATGGGGACTTTGGCTTCGTAATAAGATGTTTTGATGTGATAATCGTGCGTTGAGCCGGCGATTGAGCCCGCATTTATGGATGATGTTGTACTTATGGAGGTTGGCGTCAGTTCTAGATCTCATGAGTGATATGGTTCTGTTGGATTGGTGATGGACTACCTTTTATGAGATCTAAAAGACTTGTATCTGGACGCGAGACCGCGAGAATACGACGGGGGTTAGAAATTTCCATTCTCAATATTGTGTCCGGAGTTGAGGATGGATCAAGATGACGAAGACGGCTTTGCAGTACAGACGGCTGACACGTGACAATGTCTATGATCAACCAAAACCTTCAACAGTCGTGATGACTTTACTTTATGGCGATGATGGGACGAAATTCTCTCTAAGAACTCACTTTGCTATAGAGAAGTATTTCAATAAGACAACTTTATGTAAATCAGAAAATGGAACGGGAATTGCAGGACGATGGCGAAGGATTTGTAATGTTAATTCTAAGGTTTGAAAGATCTCGTGATATCTACCTGTACTTCTAAAACTGGCTGCAGTGTCCTAGTACTTTACCTAGCCAAAGGAATATGCAAGGCAACAGAATTTCATGGTCTCTTCTCCTTAATTTTGGTATTGTTTGCACAGAGGACTGTGATAAAAGTTTCTAGCCTTTTCTCGATTCCCCACAAACGCCTGTATATCAATAGACCTTACGCCTTTATGTTCCCACAGCTTTCTATCCTCTTAGCCGTCTTTTACTGACCACGAGGAGCACCTCTCTGTCCACTAGCTCTCGCTCTGCTAACCGTAGCTCTTCCTCTTGCCAACCCAACACCTCTGCCCTTCACGCCTCGAGATCTGAACATAGGTGCGTTTCTACATCCTTATTAGCATACAGTAGTTCGATGCGCAGAAACAATGGGTGCGATATCGGATCGTAAGAGCATTCCTACCTTAACATATCAGGCACAATGAAAAATCGGACGTGGCTTCCTCGAATATAGACTTGATCCAAATGACTGACTCTTCCATCGCGGGCGGTAACAGTAATATCTTTGAGCTGGACGTTCATGTTATCCTCGGCTATGTATCAATCATCAGCATATGTTCATACTCGACTTCCGATCATGGGTTCGTGCGACTCGGTGTAGGGCTCGCGAGAGGAGGAATTGCGCGCACCTTCGAGTAGCTTTCCGCGGTAGACCTGCCCACTGGTAATCTCGAGAGTTACGACATGTCCCTAAAGTACAAACATATTAGCTAACGGATCTCACAATACAATGAGGGTGCGACTCGAGGGTGCGAAAGCAAAAGGCGGGGTGTTAAGAAAAGACGAATACGGACCTGCGCCTCGTTCAACAGCTTGATTGGTATGCCGATTGTGCTCGTCATATTTCTGTAATGCGATCTCTCGTGTATCCTAAAAAGAATGGATGCTGTTGAAGGGAGAGAGATATATGATGAATGTTGCTTGGTGGGGATGGGAGCTTGGTACGGTAGATGCACGAGCTCTGGAAATGTTTTACGCTAGTGATTTTGAAGGTATCGCTAGCTTGCTTCTCGACCTCTAATCTACAAACCATACACCATACCTATGCAACTTTGTAAAGACTTGAAGACTTTGTTTCAACCACGCTCATTTTAGATTACTGTTGTATAATTAAATGGATATGTCATCTTTTAATATAAGCGCCACACTTTCACTTTTCCGCCTTGTCACCAAACCATCGTTATGTCTACCGCAAGCAACAGTCTCGACCTTCAATGACCTTCCCATACCTCTAAACAAAGCTTTTGAGAAAGAGTACAAGAGCGTAGATATTAGAGCTGTAGTCTTAGATAAAGATAATTGCTTTGCGTGGCCAAAGGAGAATGTCGTTGCAAAAGAGAATGAGGTACGTCCGGCTTCTAAAGATGTGCAGTGATGCGATGAGATTTGAGACCTGTTTTGAGAACCGTCAAGTCTCATATTCAGTTTGTTCAATTAATTCATGGAACAGTATCATCTAACATCTATTAGGAAAAATTTGCTTTACTGAAAGAAGCATATCCTGCCAATAGGATTCTTGTTGCGTCAAATACTGCGGGATCATCCTCTGGTAGGCAACCAAGCTTCTCCTTTTTATGTCTTCGCGGGCGAGTCTGAGTTATCAGGAACTCATTAAATACCTCCTGGATTCTCTTTCCACATTAAACTATCTAAATATTGTTTTCCTTGTGGTTCCCTAAATGGTGCCTGACATTTCAACAACTCAACTTCACGGTTATCCTCTACTCGCACGTTGGGTTCCATGAAATTGCCATTCCCTTTCTTCCCTACTTACTTTCCCAACCCCACAACTAACACCTCCACCAGACCCGACCCTGAGTCTCGCCGAAACTCTTACAAAGAACACCAACCTACCAGTCCTAACCCACCGTCTCAAAAAGCCCAGCTGCGGTCCCGAGATAATGTCCTACTTTAAAAACCACCCCGAGACGGGGGTCACGCATCCTAGTCATATAGTAGTGATAGGTGATCGTCTTACCACCGATGTGATGCTAGCGAATACGATGGGAGCCTACTCGATCTTCATATCTGATGGAGTGATGGGGAGGGAAAAGCTGACTTTGGTAAGTTTTGATCATTCTCTTAAAGCGTCAGGATTAACAGTTTATCAATCTAGTTGGCGAGAATGGAGCAAGGTTTTGCAAGATTTCTGATGAGAAGGGGAGTTCAGGCATCTGATCCTGGGAGTCCGTTTGAGAAGTGAACTCTGTCTCAACAGAGAATGCAGAGAATGTGGTTCAGTTTCTGCCCAGAGACGCTTGATGAGCCGATTCGCAAGCGTAGAAGGGTGACCCACTACCGCCAGTTTATACCTATATCTGAAGAGAATACCCACGATGTTACGACAATACAATTTTAGACACAGTCCCGAAAAGTGACAAGGTTCTTTAAAATATAATTGTATCGTAGTACAACATCGTGTGCACACGCAGATGAAGACTAAATTGCCTCTCTTAAGTTATGAACGCTGTGTTCAATTTCAAACATATGCTTCAACAGCTCCTGCCATTTTCGTCACCAATGCTTCCACAAAAACCTGAAATTGGATCTTCAATCTACAATATCCACCTAATTCAAATACGAAAAATCGGGAATACTGGCTATTGGATATGTCACAATGCGCAGCTAGAGCTTACAATCATTCAAGCACACTCAGTATCTATTGATGTATGATTGAAACTAACAGCACACGAGGACCAAAGGCACAAAAATCTTTGCGTGACCCTTGTGTAATTTCCCCCACTTGATGTCACCATCTAGATAAAACTTCTGGTTGTCGGAGTACTAGTTCCTAGCAGGAACACTCTAATTAGCGTGTTTGTAAGCACTCCCTCTATATTTGTTATTAACGAAAGTGGAATGGCTCTTAGAAATGTCGCCATTCATGATAACTTGGAGGAATTGCACGTACATAGCACCATGGTTCACTTTCGACAATAAGCAAGGTCACATCTCAATGGAGGATTGGAGCGGTTTGAAGATTCTGAATTCTAAAAGATTTGCACTATTAAGCCCGCCCATGATATCATCACGCACGCACAACAATGCAGCAAATCCAAGAAACAAACTGCTAATCACGCTTCCTCTGCAACTACCTCTCGCTACTTCCCATCAAAAATGTCAAACTATCGGCATAGCTACGATACATTTGCTTTTGCCTCAACATCCCAACAACCGGATCCCAACACATCAACGCAAGGTTACCCCCATTTGTACTATTGCTCATCTTAGTCCAAATTGTCTCCTCGAGAGGACAATGAAAATAGACACAACAGAAAAGACCTGAAACAGATTTTGAGGTCAAGAAAAAAAGGGAAAATTTGCAACGCGCCAGAGAACAAAATCCAAAAGGAAATAACAAAAACCGCTGTGCCAGACACGCATGTATCGAATGGGGTAAATCGTCATGCAAGTTCGTGGCATAGATAGACAAGATAAGGAAAACCAAAACCAAAATAAAAATAAAGAGTCCACGACAAGAGTCGACAGATAGTGACCCAAGAGAATTAGAGTTTATCCAAATTCACACAAGAAGTAAAAAGAAACGCATGCCGTCATGTGTGTATATAACCATCCAAAATCAAACACCCACAAACGCCTCCCATATTTCCTCACCAAACTTGGTTTTCCGGATATGATACCGGCAGATATGTCTTCCTCTATATGTGCAGCCATATCCGGGGCGCGAAAGAGTCGTGGAAGCCACTAGACCCTGGTTCATGGTTCGACGAACCATTTACTGAGAGATATTTTCAGGGGAGAGACTTGCTGGGTTGTCATCAAATGAGACCAACTGGCTCATGTCCATATCTGCTGCCGATTGCTCCGCGAACGCTGGAGAGTGAGGATGCATGGGCAGGTTCAGACTGTGCTTAGAGTACATCTCGTTCAAACCGGTGCCATCATCAGAGATGTTCGAATGTTGCTCATGTGACATGTTGTAGACGTCAGCCGATGCGCTTCTGTGAAGCATTGAGAGTGGCGGTGACTGATCAACGATAGCTGGATCCCCATGACTCATGAATGACAAAGGCGATACAGATGGTGGAATCAATCCTCCTGCATTATCGACCATAGGATTTGGCGAGAGATATGGCATTCCTGCAGAGTAAGGTGCATTGCCGTAGGCAGAGGCTGGAAGCGCTCCCGTGTCTGGTGCCTGTGAGAAGAATGCAGGACTGTTGAACTCGGATGGAGAAGCAGTTGTTGCAGCAGACATCGGGTATTGTCGGAACTCCATTCCATATCCAGTTGATGTATCAATCCGCAAGTTTGGACCTAGTGGCCCTAGGCCGTTAGGCTGTTGAGGGATAGGGGCAAATATGTTTGGGTTGTGGGCTTGTGCTTGAGTCTCGTTGGGATGTTGAATGAGGAATGACGGCATTGGAGCATTGAACATAGCGAAGTCGACAGCCATTGGGACGGATCGACTTCTCTGTCTCTTGTGGCCGGGTCCCCGAGGACCTGGCACCGTGTTTACACCCCAACCTTCTTGGAACATACCAATATGTGCTTGTGCGTTGTAATTTGGTTGGGATGCTGGGCGATGTCCAGTTGGAGATACAGGCGCAGATACTGAGAGTTGCTGCTCGAAAGGGTTGTGTCGGGTGATGAAAGAGTCAAGTAAGACGAGTTTGGCCAACTGTTCACTCAGTACCTTTGGATGCCCACCAAGATGATGGACCATGATCTGCGAGGCTTGCTGATCTTCTGTGAAGTCACCGCACTGGAAGAAGCCACCAGATCCCGAAGAGTCCATGAAGAAATTCGGTGGTCGGTTAAGCTCTATCACCAGTCCACCTGGCTTTCCGGACTCCATATCCCCATTTTCCAGGAAGATATTCTTGATCGATGCAAAGGAGTACTCAATCTTGTAACCGGCTTGGTCGTTGTTGATGTAGTATGTCATGGTGGCCTTTTCAGGGGAGTAAAAGATGATCAGGTCCATGGCAGTTTGCCCAACCCGCCGCCATGAACCAACACTAAGTGATCGACATGAAAGGTGATGGATGACTGTACACAGTAAGTACGCAAATATCAATATTCAGACAAAAAACATACCAACTTTGCCTTGCGCTCCACCGTCACCTCCCATCAACATGGTACCACTTCCGTAAGGAATCATGCCCGAGCGGCCAAGGAAGTTACCACCCAAGGCTTTTCCAGCATCCATTGGCTGCAAAGAAAGATACTGTCGCATAGATTCGGGTATAGCATCACAATCTTCTCCAGTCTCGATGCTCTTCTTAGCAAGCAACTTGATCTTAGCTCGTCTATTGTTTCGTTAGTCTTTACGCACGATCCACACAGATGCATAAAAACATACCTGTTCTGAAACCAGATCTGTACAGAACGTTCGGTCATGTTAATATCCTCAGCAATTCTTTCCCGAACCGTGGCTGTTGGAGTAGGATTCTTGTTGAATTCCATTTCCAAAGTCACTAATTGATCTTGAGTAGCCCGTTGACGTTTTTGGTTTTTTTGCTGTTGTGTCAAAGTGCTTTTGCGTGGTGGCCTGCGAGACGCGGATGTGCTGCTAGCGGAGTTTGACGCGGTCGGACTAGGGGTCGAGGACATCTTGATCATCGCCGCATCGTCTTGAGATATTTCGGACATATTGTCGTTGATGATGGACGCCATGGGTCTTGTCACCAGAGTGCTGGTTGTACAATTCTAAAATGCCGAAGATGTTCGGTGGTCGTGGTCGTATCGAAGGACCAAAAGGAGTGTGTGGATTCGCAAGAGCTTGTATAAGCGGTGGTGGATAAATCGAGTAGAATCAAATGTGAATTTTGCTAAGAGCGTATAAACAAGTTGGCTTCGCTGTATCTAGCAGGAATATTGAAGTATATTTGCCGTGGGTAGAATAATGTTGGATAGTAAGGTGCTGTTTTTTTCCGAATGGCTCGATCGAAGGAGTGAGTCGAGGCCTAGACGTTTTGAATGCAAATGGGCAAGCCGAAGGAGTGTAATGGAATCCGAAATGAGTGGCGGATATCCGTGAAATGGCTACGAAAGAAAAAAAAGCGACGATGGGGAAAAAGATATCTTCACACGATGGTCGACGACGATGGAATCGATATGGTGGTGTAGGAAAGGAAGGACGACGCACAGAGGTCAGGAGAAAAGACAAGAGCGGACGGGGCGGACAGGGTGGGTCGCGGCGAGTAGTGTGGTGGGCGAGCGGCGCTAAACCCCTTCTTGTCGCCAAGACCCACGAGTCCAGCTTCGACAGCGCCGGAGCAGGAGAACAGGAGACAGGAGGACAGGCGAACCCTTCCAGGTCTGACTTCTACTCCGTAACTTCTAACTTCTCACTTGTAAGCACGACAACCCCACCCTTCAGGCTCTGCGATGGCACGAATATACGACTGTAAACGCTTCGTCGCGGGATTGCTGGCCTGAAAGTTTCAACTCAGCGACGGCTACTTGCGATTGAGCTCAGAATGTCAGACATCTGCAGTTCTGCTCGTCTAGCAATTCACTTCCACATATTCACTTCCTAGCCATATGTAAGTCTGCAATAATCCCCTAGGTGCTGTTATGGCTGCGTTATCACTTCTCGTCTGCTCTTTTCCTGCTACTCTTTGGTCTAGTCTCTTAGCATTTTCCGTGTTTTCTGCTATCACCATACCAATCCACACACCAGCCCCAGTCCAGGTGACCTTCAGTAAGCCTGCCTCTAAAACACCTGGACGCTCTAACATATGCACCTGATTAGAGCATTCTCTATCTCTCGAGAGACCCCTAATTCTTTTGTACTACTGCCATTGTTTGGAATCAGTATTATGAGCATGAGGACTCGGATTTCAGGACGTGAGAGGCACACACACTCTCGCCCTCCCATTCTTGCGTCGTCCCATCTTGTTTGTTCATGATTCACATCCGTCCCATCTGTCGCTCATCGCCTCCGCTGTTCTTTCTGGCCTAGGCGATGCTGACGGTGGGTTCAGTGCCCACTGAGCAGCTGAGGCGACACCATGAACCCTGAGCAACTGCTGTACAAACCAGATGGGAATTCCTTGACTTGGACTGGTTGGCGCCCTGCTGGTGCATGGCTTCACCAGTCTGAAAATCAAGCCAGTGCGCTCCCTCACCAATGGATTCAGGATCCTTGTGCTGCGGGTCGAGGTTGCCCCTGAAGGGTGGTGGGAAAGTCGATCTCGACCTCTCGCATCGTCACTCGAGAACCACCCCACTCTATAGCAGAGGCATGGTAAAGCTTACATCTGAATGTCGTCTCTTTTTGTCGAAGTTCTTTTTGAAATCCAGAAATCATTGTACTAATTTTTGCACAATCACAATCATCCAGCTGAAGAGACAGATACGTACATTGTTCACTTGACCAGCGAGTTTGTAGGGGCAAAGAAAAGTAGCTATAGCCGACAAGTGCAGCTGCATGTAGTCTATCCGAGTCGTTCCTGGTCTTGTGTTGCGTAGCCGTTGCAGATGCACCTGCCCGGCCCATTCATGCTACTTTCTGCGCCTAACAAAGCACCTAACCTGCGAAGTTGCTCCTAGGAGTGGTCTGTAGCCCCTTTCCCCGAGAGCGTACTCCGTACTATCTAACCTTGTTCTCGAGGCCTGTGTTTGTGAATCACCAGTCATCATGATCGTACATAGTACGCTTCTGCGGTAACGACCATTCCACAAAAGGACAGCATTTTGTCTCTTTCCTGGCCATCATATTGGCGAGTCGGGAGGCGAAGAGGGGGCCTGATGACCTCGCCTAACTGGCGAAAAGGTACGCGTGCCGCCGTTCAATCGATAAGGAGGAAACCCCTGGAAGATCCTCCAACACTACCGCCAGAGCATGAATCTTGCCACCTCTCAGAGTACGCGCTAAGCAAAGGATTCCTGCCGTCATTGACCAAAATAGCTGATGCAGCTAGAAATGTTTGGTAGACGTGACAACTCTAAATCCCTTGAATGACAGAATGAGAGGAGAATGCCTGGTATACAGTAGTAGGCACAAACGGTGAGTACAAGTTGCACTGGGCCTCGAGCTTGTGCCTAGTGAGTACGAGTAGCTCGACATAGTCTCAGTGCCCGGTTCATTCCGTGGCCTCGGTGGTGTACCTGCGCAAGCGTGTAATCATGGTGTGGTTTTGGACTGCCCTGAGATCCATGTGCGCCACAGGTCTTTAGCCAGGCACCGCCGCACTACCCACATTACATGAAAAGATAGGGGCACAACAACGAACGGAACGAACTTGACATGACCCAAGTTCCAACGCAAAAATCAAGACGTACTGTACCAACGGAGAGGCATCGCTGTGACTAGCCAATCATGGATTCAGAGAAGCCTCTTTCCCCTTTCGTCCCCGAAGCTGGGACGAAAAGAAGACACACAGACGGTTGGATGATCTTGGGACCGAAACCGTGTCCCGGTGCAAACCACGACAAGAAACTCCAAAACTCGCACTCGTACATGTACAATTATTCCACAACGTCTTACACCCTTCGAGCGTTTCCAATCTCCCTCACGTCTTGAGCCGTCGAAACAAATTCGAAGAGAAGCTCGAAGGTGTCCATCAAAGCCTGACTTACACAGCTTCGATCAATAGCTCCATGTTGAAAGATGGACGCATCCCTTCACCGCCAGTGTTTGTTTCCGTCGGTTTCAAGCCGTGGTGCACTCGCAAAAAGAGCATCAGGAGAATTTCAAGATTTGTTCCGTGATCCGTGGGAGGGTTCGAGCAGCAGCCTTGCTGACAAGAGCGGATACACCCACTTTCGTCCATGATTTCATGCATGGCCATGGCGACATCTCAGATTCTCAACCTCGAAGCCGAACCGCCTCTCGCCCGATGTAGAACTGCAGTGTTACTGTCGTATTAACCGCGTCCCCAACCGCGATTCCTGCACCGCTTGCGACCAACACATCGAAGAACTACTCTGAAGGTGAGCCCGAAATTCAAAGTCTTAAGCCTATGGCACTCCACAATGTTTGCCTTTTAGATCCTCACATATTCGTACATGGGAGTTCGAAGGAAAGGAAACACTATTCCCCAGACGCGTTTCCGCGCACCGTCATCTCAAACATGATTCTATGGAGATTATGGAAACTCGAGAGCGCTGTCTTCCCCATTGTTTAATGCCAAGCTTATGATCCAGGGAAGAACGCAATGCATTTTCAGAAGCGTTTGATCTTACGATCCTCAAACCTGGTCCCCAAGCGCCCCCACGACACGTCCACAAACACCTCGGTCGAGGTGGTACAAGCGTCTAGCTACCGAATACTCGCGGATGGTGACAGTCTTCTGGAATAACTCAGGCATTGACTAGGCATTTCCGGACCATAACCGACGACGACGACGACCTCATCGTCCAATGAGAGACAAGGCCCAGCTCTGCAAGTAGTGTCGCTTCTCTTTCTTGACGGGAGCGCGCATTCTCTCAACGCCCACGCGTATTTGCCGAGTCAGTGGTCCCCTGCATATCAGATTTCATGCTTCAATATAGATGGGCGATCTTATCGGCACTTTTAATCGAGTATTCCGACGCGGTGTTACCCCTCTGCTGGTAGACGATCTCGATGTGATATATTTCCCCTGTGAGATCAGCTAAATCAGACGGAAAACGACACATTTAGCAATTCGAGGATAGCGCTATCTGCTAGAGCGTAAGGTGGCTCTTTCTTTCACTGGATCTCGCCTCAAGACGCCTTATCATGCTGCAAGAGCTCTGGGAATATTTGACTTAAATATCATCTCTGTGATGTGACTAAAGCTAAACTTGGCCGTCACAAGTCCCCCTTGGGCTGTTTTTACTGGAATTTATCATGGTCATACAAGGTACGCTCTGCTTTATGTAGATGTTGCCGAACCTGATCTCATATCATATTCTGTGTCGCTAGTGCCTCTGCTGGTTTTTTAAAATGAGTTCCTACTCTTACCCACGAATTGGAAGTTGCAAGCAGAGGTGATTTTTGCGTTCAAAGGACATACTTGGAGAGCAATATCTCGATTCTGGTATGTTACCAAACTCGCGATATGTAAGTCCTGGTCATTCCAATGAAGTCGTACCCTAAAGGTTAATAGTCACCGAGCACGATCTCTGCAGCAAGTGCTGCTCAATCAGCACTTCAATGCATCACGCTTTGTCATTGTTATATGTTTATTGCAAGGCCTTTCCTGTTAGGCCTCAGCGTGTAATATGCTAAATGGTATCAGAACACTTGCTTGTCGTCAGTTGAATTTTCACTAAGCATTTTGGACTTTGGGGGGCTTCCGCCCTACAACAAAGCCTCAAGTTTTTGAGAGAGGACTTATGACACCAGTATTCTGGTTGATGAGACAAACATTTCAAGTAAGATTTCCCTTACCTGAACGTTTAGACGTGATTATCAAGTCAATCCGCCACGAGGTCAGATCAGTACTGCTTCGATCGACTCGATTGTCAAATGGAAATGAAAATCTTTGTTTCATACAGGGCTTGATCATGGTTGGGTCACCCGTCATGGTAATCTCGTGTCTCTTGAGATACGGAGAGGCGACGCACGTGTTGACTTGGCCTTCAGAGAGGTAGGGGAGAGTCGTTTTTTGCCTTGATTTGAGTTTATGAGAGAGACCTGCTTCCGTAGTGGGGGTGTATTTGCTCAAGAGTCCTGCGTCTTCAAAGCTCCCGTCTAGGTTCCTCGTCACTGCCATGTGAAGCAACAGAAGATTGAATAAATGGCAGACTGAAGAAGTGGGAACTGAAGAAGTGGGAGACTGAAGAAGACGAAGGAATCCGAGAAGCAACAATCTTATGTATAAAATTGAGAGCGGGCCATCGCGTTCAACAGGCTTCTAAGTCCAGACTTCTATAGCCAAAGGAATTTTCTCGTGGCCAGGGGCACAATATATACTATTCCACCCCACGGCATTAAGTGAGTCCAAGTTCAAACTCGAGGAATACCATTCATCCAAAGCGAAAAAGGCGAAGTATGCAATTGTCACTAAATTCTGAGGAAGCTACTTCAGTTCTAAAGCTCGGTTCTGAAGCTGCTTCGTTTCCTATTAAATATGACAGAACCTCAAATACAATAATTTATTGTACGCAAGAAATTTTGTAACACTTACTGAGTATCTAAAACAGTATGATCGGGCTTCCTTTGTTCTTATCTTGGAATGTGGTACTTCGACCCCGCGTTTTGTATCTTTATCCAACAGGAACAAAGGCGGGGATGTTCTAGAAGGATGTATGTCGACAACTCGCTGGGAGGTTGCGCGCCATGCTGCAGCAAGACTAGACAGAGAGGCACATATCATGTAATCAAATCTGACGGAAAACTGCACTGAATCAATATCAGCTACAAAATTGATTGAATTGCTTATTTTCTACATGCATGACAATATTTGCCCCTGTCGTCAATGACGCCGATTTTCGCCAAGGACATTGTTCGGACAAGGGAGAATAAATATAGGCCACGGACCACGGGCACGGGATTTGGAGATCATTAGACAACGTCTCTGCGAGTTCGATTTGCAGTCAAAACATTGTCGCAATTGAAAGTCGCGCTTCATGACTTCGTAAATTTTGTGCGACACCCTTTGATGAGCGAATTTGCATATACTGACGCGTGGCTTAGCCCCCAGCCGGATACAGACCCGACTGTCAACCACGTCGAGCCTCGTATTTCCTTCAACCATTCTCATGACGACCAGCACGACAAAGCCATAATGGCAGATACCCCAAGAAACCGCGCTCCTTCGACACGGAGGGCGTCAACAGATCCAGTGGGAGGCCATGCCGATATGAACAATCGAGAATCGACTGAAGGGGAGCAACCTAGGGTACGATTCTCCCATGATGTGGATAGAGCTGTCCTTTCGTCTGGACAGCTACGCAACCACGGATTGTCAATTGATACGGGAGTTGAGGACGCAAACAATGGGGGAACTATATCAACTGGACTGCACGCCCCTCGGGGACAACCTGCGACATCAGTCAAATCGCCGGCATCACCACGGACAAGAGACAGAGGCTACTCCCTGCGGCGAGCATTATTCAACCGAAGTATGACTACGCAGTCAGAATCGAGTCCCGTCGAGCTTGTTGAAGGCAGTTCATCTCGACAACCTCAGGAAAGCGGGCAAGTCCATGAAGCAAGCAAAACAAAACAAGTCCCAACCGCCTCTGTCTCCCCAGTTTTCGACAGTCTCCACGATGTGACAGCGATTTCGTCAACGGACACAAGCACTACGCCCAAATATACGAAAGGAAGAGGCCAGAAAACTTTCGGAGCAATCAGCTTGCCAAATTATAGCTCCTGGGCCAGGAAGAGAAGACCTCAAGACCATGTTCTTGTTCGAAGGGCTAAGGAACTGTATACAGAAAACATCAAGCCACTGTTCGAGCCCAAACCGCTGCCACCTTCCAAAGATGGCAGACACATCGAACTAGATGCTAGCAGGAAAGTACCACTTATTGATGAGCGGACTGGGCATGAGTACATTGGAAACTCGATTAGAAGTAGTCGCTACACTCTGTGGAATTTCTTTCCGAGACAATTCTTTTTCCAGTTTTCCAAATTGGCAAACGCATATTTCTTGCTTATTTCGATCTTGCAAATGATACCGGGATTGAGCACCACGGGTAATTATACGACAATCGCTCCATTGTTGGTTTTTGTGTTTATTAGTATGGCCAAGGAGGGCTACGATGATGTTCGAAGATACAAGTTGGATAAGATTGAAAACAATAAGAAAGCCCTGGTGCTTCACGCTCATCGTCCGTCATTAGGGAGCGACTCGAAGTCGCCGAGCACGCCTAGGAATTGGACATTGTTTGGAAAGTCCCTCAAAATTGGTGGTGATTCTTCGGCCATCTCCTACGAGCCCAATTCACAGGGCTTGAAGCACTGGGCAACTTTGAAGTGGAAAGACGTTAAAGTCGGAGACATTGTCAAATTGGAGCGAAATGATGAGATACCTGCGGATATGGTTCTCCTCCATTCTAGTGGGCCGAACGGCATTGCTTACATTGAGACCATGGCTTTAGATGGAGAAACGAATTTGAAGAGCAAGCAAGGGCCACCTTCTCTTGTTAAGCGCTGCAAGACCGTAGAAGACATAGGATCGATTCGTGCGACCATTGTGGTTGAGGATCCGAATATTGATCTTTACAACTTTGACGGCCGTGTTTCGGTAAATGGCGAGACGACGCCGTTGACCACAAACGAAATTGTCCTTCGTGGAAGTACACTGAGGAATACGTCGGAAGCCATTGGGATGGTTATCAACTCTGGAGAAGACTGCAAAATCCGTATGAATGCCAACAAGAACCCTCGAATCAAAACACCAGCGATGCAAGTCATTACAAACAAAATCGTTATCATGCTCGTCTTCTTTGTCGTGCTACTTGCGTTGTTCTGTTCTATTGCATATGAGATATGGTCGCAGAACGTCGAAGACGACTCTTGGTATCTGGAGCACGCAAAGGTCCCGTTCAGTCAAATTATTATTGGCTTCATCATTCTTTACAACACCTTGATACCTTTGTCCTTGTACGTAAGTCTGGAGATCATCAAGGTCGGCCAGCTTCTTCTGATGGCCGACGTTGAGATGTACGACCCGGATTCAAACACGCCCATGATGTGCAACACGACTACTATTTTAGAGAATTTAGGCCAAGTCGATTACATATTTTCGGATAAAACGGGAACTTTGACAGATAATATTATGAGATTCCGAAAGCTCAGTGTTGCCGGGTACGCTTGGCTTCACGATTTTGACCTCCAGAAAGAAGCAGCCGAGAAGGCAGAGAAAGAAGGAAACCCACCAGACAAGCAGTCTAAGGGCAAGGGTGTGGACAAGCGATTCTCGAAGAAGAGGCCACACAGGCCGCAGTTGGATGCACGGAAAAACTCCGAAATAAGTCATGCATCGAATCCTATGTCTCCATCTGGGTCTATTCGTCGCTCAGGTTCGATATGGAAATCGACAGCTCGTCCTTCAAAGACTCAGCATGAGTTCAGAACCGAAGAGCTTTTGAGATATATGCAGACCAAACCTCACAGCATATTTTCAAAGAAAGCGAGGTTCTTCCTTCTATCTTTGGCTCTTTGTCACACCTGCTTGCCCGAGGTGCAAGAGAATGGTGATGTTGAATTCCAAGCGGCCTCGCCCGATGAACTCGCTTTAGTGAAAGCTGCGCAGGAGCTTGGCTTTCTTGTGATCGATCGTCCGTCCATGTCGATTACACTTAGCTACGCAAGTACTTCTGATTCTGCGGAAAATGTCGTTGAAAGCTATCAAGTCCTCGACGTCATCGAGTTTACCAGCAAAAGGAAGAGGATGTCTATCATTGTTCGATTTCCAAATGGAAAGATCTGCATCTTTTGTAAAGGAGCAGACTCTGCTATCCTACCCAGACTGAAACTAGCATCACTGGCTATGGAGAAAGCTTCAGAAGTTGGCCGCCGATCCAGTGTAAGAAAGAGCCTAGAAGCGGAGGAAGCCCTACGAAGAATGAGCGAGCATAGCCCAAGGTCGAGCATGGGCAGAGCCAGCATGAGCCTCAACAGGACAAGTTTGAGCCGTAATCGAAAGAGTTTAGGACATGGGCGCCCAAGCATGGCGAGTACAAGGCTTCAACCTATTCGAGACGAGCTTGATACGTGGCTCAAGGAACGCGAGAATAGCGATGTTGAGCGGACTGCCGATGATGCTAGCGCGTATTATACACCAAGAGCGTCAACGGGCAGATTCTCATTTGCTTCAGAGCGCAGAGGGTCAAACCAGGATATCGTGTTTGATAATCTCATTGACGAAGCTTTGGTTTTGGATGACGCAGCCGTCTTCGAGCGGTGCTTTCAGCATATGAACGATTTTGCGTCAGAAGGTCTACGTACTTTATTATTTGGCTACAGGTTTTTGGATGAGGAGGAATACACTGGTTGGAAGAAAATATATCTTGACGCAACAACAAGTCTTGTGGACCGCCAGAATTTAATCGAAGCAGCAGGAGAAATGATTGAGCAGAATTTTGATCTTTCAGGAGCAACTGCCATTGAAGATAAACTACAGAAGGGAGTTCCGGAGACCATTGATAAACTGCGTAGAGCGAACATCAAGATTTGGATGCTGACGGGCGACAAGAGAGAAACTGCCATCAACATTGCTCACTCAGCGAGACTAGCCAAAAACTTCTCTGAGGTTATCATTTTGGACCATGCCACTGGAGAAGTCGAACAACGGATGGCTACTGCTACTCTTGATATCAGCAAAGGCCGAATTGCACACTCAGTTGTTGTAGTTGATGGACAGACATTAGCCGAAATAGATGCCAACGAAACGCTCAAGCTTTTGTTCTTTGAACTAGCTGTTCTTGCAGATTCAGTCATTTGCTGTCGAGCGAGTCCTAGTCAGAAGGCATCACTTGTCAAGAAAATTCGTACAAAGGTCAATAAGTCTATTACGTTGGCTATTGGTGATGGTGCCAACGATATTGCCATGATCCAGGAAGCTCATGTTGGTGTCGGTATCAGTGGAAAAGAAGGTCTTCAAGCCGCCAGAATCTCCGATTTCTCCATTGCACAATTCAGATTCTTACAACGACTACTCTTTGTTCACGGTCGGTGGAACTATGTCCGGACCGCGAAGTATATTTTGTCTACCTTCTGGAAAGAACTGGTATTTTATCTGCTCCAAGCTTTGTATCAAAAGTGGACTGGATACACTGGTACCTCACTCTTTGAATCAACGTCACTCACAGTATTCAACACGTTGTTTACATCCCTCGCGGTCATCTTACCAGGAATTTTTGAACAAGATCTTAATGCATCAACACTCCTTGCTGTGCCGGAATTGTATACACATGGTCAACGCAACGAGTCTTTCAATATCAAAAAGTACCTTGGTTGGATGTTTATGGCTTCTTCGGAGTCGATGATCATTTGGTTTACAATGTTTGGCTTATTCGGCGAATCAATTTTTACATCCGATAACAACCTATTTTCGATGGGTCAACTTTGTTTTACTTCTGCAGTGGTATTCATCAATACCAAGACATTGTAAGAACACCACCCATATTTAATACTAGAGTATATCAGCTAACAAGGAATAGAATCCTCGAAATGCACAACAAAACATGGGTCACAGGATTTGGCTACTTCATCTCCGTCGGCGGCTGGTTCATGTGGAACGTAATGCTTTCCTTCGCCTGGTCTCCTCACACGGGGAAAACATTCCCTCTCTACCCGGTCGCCGATGGTTTCCTCACTCGTTTCGGCCGCAACCTACTTTGGTGGCTTGTAGTTTTCCTCTCTCTCGCCGGCGTAATTTGTCTCGAGCTAGGCGTTGCATCAGTCCGCAAAGCGTTCTGGCCAACCGACACCGATCTCTTCCAAGAACTCCAAAAAGACCCAGTTATCAGACGACGCTTCGAGGAAACCGTTGCTGCAGAAGCAAGAGGCGAGACGGAAACCGTGGAAATGGGACAAGAGAAGACGAGTCTGGAACGAGAAGGCGAAATCCAGGATCTGCTTGATGAACGACGCAGAACTGCGGATGAGCATGGTGAGACTGTGAAGAGTCCTACAGAACCGAGAAGCTCTACACATCTTACGAGGAGGAAATTTTCGGTGGATGCGTCGATGCATGATGATGATATTGAGTTGGATCACAGAGCGCCACCCAAGACGAGACATTCCGTCGATATAGCTGAAGTGCTAGGTCGGCGACCTGGAGCTGGCTCGTCTTGATCAGAGCCGAGTTCTTGATTATATATTTAACGACTTTTTGATTGATGAAAATGTGGAGGAGGATAAGGGGACATTGTATATAAGAGATACGGGAGGCCCTTTCACAACTATCCGATTGATACCCCTAGATGTGGTTACAGAATCCTTTTCTTATTATTACTCTTGTGTAGTTTTGTCAAGTCTTTTCGATCGCTCTGTTTGGAGGCTCGAAAGTAGCTGGTGGGAAAGCAGTTAATGCGGAAAATGGAATCGGATGGGCGTCATTGTTGATGGTTTAGCTAGTACTTATACATGTAGGAAATGGATAATGATGTTGATGTTCGAAGGCTTATTATTTTGCGGGAAGATGCGTCGATACATGGTGAGCACGAATTCAAAAATAACATGATTACAATTCAGCAGCCGATCAGAAGACCAAAGCATTCCAGCGGAGATTTCAGGGCCACGAAATTGTTTTATTGCTGTTCTTCATCTATGACTAGCGCCAGAAACATGTAGACCTATCGACACCAGTTTGGTACTAAATCAATTATCATTTCTCATATCTTCATCAATTATGTCTATTGACGATGCATAGATAGGTGGTCCCAACTTATAGAATGGTGCCGAAGCTGCGAGTAGTTAGCTAGGGATTCAAGACCGAAAAAATGTATAGGCACCTACCCAAATGTTTGCTTGATACTTCGCACATAATATTCTCGCCAATTCCTCTTTGTGACTTCCTCTTGGCCAATGGGAACTCCACTCCAGGTAACTCTCATGACAGTAACATTGTCGACATCGTTTTGATCAAAGCTAATCTCGAGTCTGGAGAAGTGTCCCTTTGGCCATTGATCAAGTCGCCAGCTTTGAATGATCTTTGTTGGCTCGACAAGTTCTAGATATTCACCAGAGACATTGCCACCAAAGAGTTCGTACTTTCCGCCTTTCTTAGCACCCTCGAACAGCTTTGGTGCTGCACGGGTGAAAGCTGTGATGCGCTGAGGGTCAGTGAAGGTTTGATATAGCTCGCTAGCTGGGGCACGGAATTCCTCAGTGTCCGTAACGGTGGTTGTATTGACCGACGAAACCTTGTTGCTCTGTGTGCTGGCCGAAGCCGAGGCCGATGGACCTGAGCTTGGTGTATGGATCTTTGGCGTAGTCGTACCACTTACTGGCCCAGAGCCAGGAGCGTGTTGGATATCTTTGCCATGTTCTGCGATCAACGCCGGGCCAAGCTTAGCAAATTGTTTTCGCAATTGGGGAACAATTTTTGCACGGACAAGGTCTTTGACAGGTGCTTTAGAATTTGCATCCGAGTAAATGTCTATGTCAAACTACGATAGTGTCAGTCGAGCCGGACCTGGCGCCCATAGGGGACGACGAGACGTACAACATACTCGTTTTCTTCAGTATCGTGGGCAACTTCTGGAACGGTGATGGTGCCACTAACGTCCTCGTCATCCTTGGTTTTGCCTACGTCGGTCAGCAGGAATATACTAAGCGGATGGCCAGCCAGCATTACCTGAATACTCCAGAACAAGCTTGACATCAAAGATGGTTATCACTTTCCCCTTTCGCTGATTGACATCGACGTCTCCGTCCATGCTGACCACCTTGTCTAGTTGGGCCGTAACACCCCCCTCCTCAGCCTTGACATCTTTGATGCTGTCCTCAAGCCATGACTTTGTCCAACCGGAAGCGTCCTTGTTCACCCAATGCCAATTGTTGGGGTTGTGTAAGACCATGATGAACGGAAGAAAATATCGAATAAAACGAGAACTCGAGGCAGAAGAGGTGGGACTCAATCTATGAAGTGGTCTGTCAGCAATGGTTGGAGCCAAATTTGGAAAACGCGAGTGGGGTAATTTTCATTGATCAGAAGGAACCCGAAGGTATAGCATTTTCCGCAGGGACTTGAGTACAAAATCTGTCCATAGGCCTGGTGCCAGCTTTATCTATCATCATTTCAAAAAGATTGCGAGGTTTTCCATTGCGGACGTGCTTGGTAATTCCCACTTGAGAATCGCACGGTGAAAACCTCGAAGGTGGAATCACGATTTGTCAAGTAATGGACATACCGTCTTCTTATAGAGATCTACCGTGTGGTCATCCAGGCGTTCAAGAACTCAGAACATAGAAGGTTGAAAAGTGAGATGGTTTTAGGTGGACGAGGAGTTTGTGAGGCTCCTGGAGAAATATCCAGAAGCTCGTGGAAAACAACTGTAGCCGACTTGGAGGTTGGAGCTCACGAAAATGGAAGCCTAAGGCCGCAGCATCGGCAACGGTTAATCCGGTGCCGGTGGTCTACCAAATTCTTCCCGCTGTCAAGACGGGGCCTTCCCGCCCATATATATAGAGGTATATACCTTATATATGTTCATATTCGACTCATAATGAAATACTATACTTAGTAGCTGGACCTTTTCTGCTTCTGCTTTGACCTCCTCATTCTGCATTATTCGCTTCGGTCTCATTAACCTTATTAAGTCCATCTGATAACGACCAATAGTGCAGAAGCTGGACGCTGGACGATGCATAGCTACCTAGGTATGTATGCATCTCAGACCATATGCAACGGCATTGCATCCTTATGATATCTCCAGCTTCTCAGCACAAGCTGTGAGCGTCCGTGGGCTGTTCAGGCCTGAAGTTGAGGCTCCGGTGGTAGCTCCCTTCCAAGATACCGCATATCCTGGGCAAAGCTTGGTCAAAAGTTTGCATCCTGTATATAAGCAGTTAGGAGTATACTTCTTCTACCTGTGAGATCACTGAGATGTCTTTGATGAGCACTAGGTCAGATATGTACAAGAACCCATCGGCAGCCAGTCCTTTTTAACTCCTGGTCTGCCTGTAGCAAACTGCGATATCTCGGGATTGGACGTGGTAAGTGACTGTATCTTGGTTAATCAGCTCTCCGCTCGTTCCGAGTAGATCGTTGTGGTGCTACTTGAACGTCATCTCAAGTGATACCAAAATAGGAAAACACAATGTACGAACCAAGCTGGAACGCTTGGTTGGATGCGCTTCGGGACCAGAATTTTGCGTCCTGTAGTAATCGAGGTACCTTTCATCTGCTGCATCCGCAAATCCGACTTTACTCCAAACTCTTGTCTCACCGAACATGGCGAGGAAGCCACCGATGGCTGCACTTTTCGGCGTCCTGACTCCTATGACGTTACTACTATACAGCACCTGTAGCTGTCGCCCCACCTGACTAAAGAACAAACACGAATCAGATGTCATAGTTGAGCGAAATTAAAAGGATGCCCAGCATCTTTCCCGTGCAGAGGGCTGGGGAACCGGCGTCAGTCTCAGGTTTGCTTTACTAAGTCGGCGCAAGTGTGCCATATAACTTTAGAGCCCGCTCTTAGTACTCCAAGACCCGGCTACCCAGCGTCGAATATCTACACATTACTGTCTGAGTCTTCGCCCTTCTTTGTCTTTGCTCCTCACATTCATACACTGCTTCTATTTTTTCGGGCTATATATCTACCTCCATCTTTAAATCAGCAAGCAGTTGCAGTTCATCGAAATAAAATGGCTGTAATCTGGGGTCTAGACCTTAAAGAAATCCAATGGGGGAAATTCAAGAGCGCAAACATGTTCGACAAGCAATATCATTTGCGAACAACCAAGATGATCGTATACCAAATCGCTATGATTCTGATGGTCATTTCGGAATCAGTAGGGACCGCTGCTCTCTCTGGTAATTCCGTGCTCAACTATCTCAAACAACACTAACACTTCAATAGATTATGTTGATCAACAAGATGGAATCTCAACTCGCAATGGTGGAATAGTAGTTCAAAACAACAACATCATCGGCACCTTCTCATTCAACATCTTCGTCGGTATTGCGGTAGCCACAATCTTCGGATCCGGATTCTTCTTCGATTTATTCTGGCCTGAGAGAGTCGAGTCACCAGGTGTTCGATTGGCATGGAAAATCAGCGCGGTCGTTGTCTCGTTCATGGCACTTGCAGATCAAATTGCAAGCACTGTGCGTCCACCCAAGTACACTCTGCTTCAAGTGGAAGACTAACTAACAATCACCAGGTAATTGTAGCCAGATACCGCGCCCACATCCGCGGTCTCACAGACGCCCAAGCTGAGCCCTTCTTCCGCCAAAACGGCCCCCCAAATCCCATCTACAGACATAACGCCGAGTGCGTAGCATCCGTGGTGGTCGGGTGGCCCGGTGTTATCGCCTCCTTTGCATCCGCTTACATCATGTGGAAATCCATCAACCACGACGAGAAATTCGGGCCTAAATCTTCCAAATACGTGACTAACGGTGGCGAAGCTGGTATGGTAGAAAACGGAACCGCGATGACTGGAGATGTGGGTGAACGAGTCGTCGCACCGGACGTTACGGCTTGAAGACGGCAGTTTGAAATTGCCGTTGATATGAGAGGACAGAAATGCGAACTCAAAATTATTTTGTTCATGGATGCGATCAACACCTTGTTGCACGATACGATACCCCCAAGATTGTCATGGTTATATGATTTGAGACATCCGTGGCTTCGGTCTGGCGTTTGGTACTATGGTAATGGAACGACTGCATAATTTAGCGACGGCTTAAATGGCATACTGGTATTAATTGATGAAACGTTTCCTTCTTTACTATTCTCTGACGGGGATCTTTGACTTTAAAGAATAATTAAAACCAAAGCGGCCTCACTAGAGAGCCATCCATGCTTCTGTCCTCAGTTGTAAATTACTAGCTGTAATCTGCTCTGGCAGGCTGGCAATCCAAGAAGTGACTGTGCACTGCGCAGTGAAAGACTTAAGGTAGAGCATGGGATAAGGAATCGGCAATCTAGGTCGGTTCGTAGGACCCAAGAGTTATTCGTTCACGGCAAAATGTTTGCACAATTGTGGAGCTGAGATCACAGCACATGCGAAGAAACATATCAAGGCGACATAGGATGCAAGAAAATTAATATAAACATTGTGCTTAGTATTGTTACTAAAAGCTAACAGTGTCCCCAAGATGTCGACTCAGTCTTGGTATGAGCCAAGCAAGCTATCTTCCATAATATGCTCCTTTTGTAGTCCAGCCAACTCAGGCCCAAGAGAACCCAGTCTCCGTCCGCCCGCCCTTTCACCACCGTCACAATCTTTCCATTTCCATATGTAGTCATCCTTCGCTTCGATACAACCTCATTATCATGAGCGAAACTCACAAACAATACGCCCAACCACTCCTCCGTTGACAAAAGAATAGTATAAATAAAAGGAAAGGGGCTGTCCTCTCCGTATGCGATGCAAGGGTAATCGTGGTAATTACTATCCGTGGCTAGAATTACTCCATTGGGTGCCAAATGTCGACCTGAAAATTAAAAGATGAACCAACTCCACTCCATGCAAGGGTTTTGATGAGTGCAAAAAGAATAATGTCATTGGGGTGTTCATATATCATGCGTCGTCGAGTTCTTCGACGGCCGAGCGACCTTCATCAAATCTGAGAACATTCCGGAAACCTCGCTGAGAAGCAGGTACACCGTCTCTTGAAGCCCCGAAATCGAGAACCTGTAAACGATCAGGACAAGAAAACTGGAGGAATTGGAGGAGCTTACCTCTAAGAATGTTAAATTATCCCGCTGCACGGCAGCAACACATCTCCTTTCATCGAACTTGACCTGCCATACTCCACTGAGGTCTGTCAAAAGGTCTTTCATACATTCCCCAGTCTTGATGTTCCACATCTTCAAGGTTCTATCTGAACCAGAAATAACCTTTTGCCCATCATGCTGAAAGCATGTGATGGCACCCGTATGGGCGGTTAGAGTGCTCTTACATTGGCCATTCTCAGGATCCCAGATCCTGAGTGTTGAATCAGCAGCAGCTGATACAAGACGTTCGTCTGCCAAATCAAGCAGTCCAACGAGGGAAGAATGTCCTTCTAAAGTATATAAACAGGCGCCGGTCTCAAGGGACCATATTTTGACGAAATTGTCCATTGACCCGCTGATACACCGGTTGCGTTTGTGATCAAGAACGACACTATAAACCTTCATAGCATGCCCGGCCAGACGATGTACTGTTTCTCCCGTTGAAATTTTCCAAACTCTAACAGTATTGTCGTAGCTTCCACTAACAAGAGTGTCTTGATGAGCTGCGATGGCACGTACTGAATGAGTATGGCCAGCTAGAACGCGAACGAAATAGGGGCAGTCTGCGTCATTCAGCGGAGCTGATGTTTGAATGTAACGCTTCGAACCCTGTTCAGGCAACCTCCATACCCTTAATTGAGAGTCACGAGATCCGGTAATGATAAGGGGCTTCTCTGGGACCATTATTGGTCTGCCCTTCTCATTTCTTCCAATAAGCTCCGGCATCAATATTTGAAGGCATCGAACCGTTGAGGTATGACCGTGGAAAACCTGTGTACAGAGGCCCTTTTCGATGTCCCAAACTCGCACCGAGCGGTCTGTGGAACCCGAAACCAGAACATTACCCTCATATTGCAAGGCCCATACGCCACCCTCGTGCCCTCGAAGCTGTTTCCGTAGTACGCCAGTCTTAGTGTCATATACGTGAATGAGGGCATCGTCGCTCCCAGTAAGGATTTTGTCGTCGTCAAACTGCAAACATGTGATTACATGTGCTGGGTGGGCTGGAAATGCGAAGTGATGAGGCGCGACATCAGGGTTCATCCAGCTATTCTTCAACAGGTAATGGCGTCGATACAATGACTTGAAGAGATGGAGCTTTCTTAGACTTGGTAAGCCTAGTTGAGGGTCAGGAACTGCGAGTGCTGCGGCTGTGGCAGCACTGAGAGGGCCTTCCGATTTGTGAAATCCAGCGTTAGAGTTCTTTAGTCTGTCCGTAGAACTTAAAGCCCTCCGCTTTGCACGATCAGTGCCCAGGCCGCCAGTAACACGCTTCCTTTTCGTCGTTGATCGATGTTTTCTTACAGGTTCTTCGACTTTGACACTGCCGTAGAAAGAGAGTTCTCCATCAGAACCTAAACCATGTTGGACGCTCATATCCTCCTCGCCGCTATTCTGTCCATAAGGATCTTGCCAACCCCAGCCTTGTGCGATTGCCCGCTCAAGTTCGCCAATAGGAATAACAAATCCAGCCTTATCAAACAGCTCTTTCCACCCAGTTTCATTCGTGTCGATAACGTTTCGCCAGTGTTTCGAAACTTGGGCAGCACGACATAAATCTTTGTGATCTAGAAACCCTAGAATATGTAGGCTTAGCTCAACTGGTAATTGTTCCAAAAAGTCGCATTTCAGTGCTGGCCCAATCACATCTGCTAAAACGTGCAGTGTCTTTCTTGTGCATCGTCGCAGAAGCTGATACATCATCAATGTCTTTACATCATTGGGCATCGAGTCAAAGCTTTCGAGAATGGATTGGGTGTCTAGAAGAGAGGGTGTGCGTAGATGACCACTATCCCCCAGATAGCTAAGCTCCCGATTTTCTATATAATCGCCATCCAGCGTATGTTGACTATCTCCAGATTGTGTATCGGGGCTAGCTGCAGCAGTGTCGGTATCATCGTTAGAGCTACCGGCGGGAAATAGGCCTTGGTGTAACTCGGCCAGCGCAAAGGTTGGAGAAAGGCCAGGACTTGGGAGGCTTGCATTTTGAGCCACGGCTGTATTTACCACTGGTCGTTGCCCAGTCGTATTTGGAACTACGGCACCATCGAGCGGTTCGAGGTCTGATTCAGCTATTGGGGGTGTAGCAACAGCGTTCGCAAAAGATTCCTGGGTATCTGAAGGGTCTGCAAGACTATGGAATGAATTACTTTGACTTAACCCAGACGTCGGGGTGTATGTTTCGGCTTGAGAGGAGAGCGGTAATGACCGACCAACCATAGATGTTTCGATATCTGACAGTTCGGGTGTTTCTGGGAATGAAGTGTGATCTGAAGTGTGCATGCCTAACCCTAGATGCCGGGGTTTGCCTTCTTCGGGGGTTGCAGAATTAGTATTACGATCTGTAAGTCGACAGGACTTTCGTGATCTTCCGCTTAAGCTTGGTGACTTTGGTCCAAAGTGTGAGCTCCTTCGACGGCCCTGGATAGTAGAATCGTGGGCTAGTAATTGCCTATTTGGTCTTTCTGCCGTCTGTGAACTACAGGGCTCCGAAGATCCCATTCTTTGACCACGTTCGTGTGAGCGTCGGATATGGCCATGCTGGTGTGGTGAAGGTTCCTAGAATACGTATCAGTCTCGGCATTGGCAAATACAGTCATAGAGGAAGCAAACCGGTCGGGGGTCGGAAGCTAGACTAGTAGCAAATCCGTACTCATTTGGTATATCGACATTGTATGAGATCTTTGTCAGTTCCACTGGGGTAGGTTTGATAGCTAGAGGGTAATCTTTTGCGTCTAGCAATTGGAGAGGTTTCTGTTGAATGAGCAGTGGTGGATAAGATCTCTTGGTTGTAGTCGTGGTCGTGACAGTCTTCGTCTCCACACATTCTGCTAGTTCAATCTGCAATCTAGATGTTCTTGAGATTGCAGATTCAGTGTCTTCCTCCCAGCCTAATGATACTGTCTGACTTCTTGAGCGAGGTCGTCGGGTCTCAGTACTCGTGTGCATCGACTTCGGCTTTGAAATGAAGGGGCTTGGTGATCCATCAGAACCGTACTTTTGTGGCAATACAGGCTTGGTGTTCAGACTAGCAGCTGTTCGTTTCTGCGAGGTAGGTCGATTCGGAGGCTCCATGATATAGAGTGTGTGTTATTGTCTCGAGTGGTGTCGTTCTGTCGGCTGATCGAGGAACGAACGCGTTGTTCGTCGCGTGCAAAGCGCGAGGCTTCCTGCGTCCTCCTTTTCCTTATTTTGCAATAAATACCATTGCCAGATTTCAAACTATCGAGAGCCTTTTGAACCGGTCGTGTCCTACGAGCGTGGTGGGGGCGAGGGGTGGTCGACTTGGTCGGAAGAACAATGAGAGAAGATGCGGAGAGGGGCAACTGCAGTTCCGTTGCTCAGAGAGCCAGAAACGCACCACGCCAGCTGGAAATGTGCAGATGATGAAGAAATTCACTGCGGCCGGTCTCTCGTTGGATGTCGAACTATTTGTTGGTGCTGGGTGACAGGTTCAAGCCCTCGAGAAACGATTTGGCTGGACTGGGCTGGGAGATCTGACGAGAGACTTCAGTTGCGTTTCCCAACCATGCGTGGTCAAAGGCGCGGGTCTCGCTTACATACGTCGCTTCTCTCGGCGGCGAATTTGCAGGCAGAAATTGTGGCCTGCAGCAGCGCCGGCCCGAAGCTAGCGATTTCCCATCTAAAAGCAAGCATTCTCTATTAATTCTATTAATACAACGGTGGATATGTCCTTGAAATTGTATACAGGAACCAAAAGTCCATGTATGTAAACTCTAATCCTGCTAGAGTCAGAACGAACACCGATATTGTCGAGCGGTGGGGAGGTGCTAACACTTGTCGTCGACAACTTGTCGACAACGTAGCAAACTTTAACCCGAGCAATCCGTTGCTCTCTTCGACTTGTTCCAGCTAACAAAAGATACAGGGTTTATAGAGATCATCGAGAGTGCAAAGAAACTATAGTCAACAGCAATGGTCCCTCTTCAGATCTCATCACGGTCCTCAGAGGCGGAATTGCTTTGTCTGAAAAGTCCACAAAGTAGATTGGTATCTGTCTCTCCTAGATCAAATCAACTTAAATGCGGCCTATTATGAAACAGTGTGAAAAGTGTATGTGTGCACTTTCATCTTCTGGGATGATAACAGGTTGTTTTCACTTGCATGTTCGTAGTTGAGCTGTAAGTGTGACCATGTACCTTCTGAAATGCTATGGTGATTGGTTTCAATAATTGGATATGCCTGGGAATTCTATTTTGGAATAGTTCGTCTTTGAACTTCTAGGTATTCACGCTGTATTGATATTAAAATTATTGGAGTCATGGATATAAGCCATCCCACCAACCGATGTTTTTGTCGTTACACCTAGCCCTTCCGCTCTACAGTTGCGACTCTGTGTCTTTATTAAGACGCTGGACATAATCAAGTCAGTCATTCTTGCATCTCCGCAGGACGTCAGGTCTATTGTAAGTAGGCATTCTATGTGGACAATCGTTCAAACCTCACAAACCAAGATGCTTTGCTTTTGCCCGGCATTGAAACTGATGTATGTTTGTATCTACCCATTCAAATAGGTAGGTACCTAGGTACACTCCTGTTCGTCGTCCCCCCTTAACGAAGGGCTAAGTTAGTACTTTCTATTATTGACATATAAACTTGCTAACATCAGCAGAATAGGACGACAACTATGTGTGGAGCAGGGATATTATGCCCCTCAAAATCAAAGAGGACACTTCAGCTTTCGCCTCATATAAATATTTCATATGAGTTCGGTGGGTTCTGGTTTTGTCGGTTCATTCGTTCAAGTAGGTATTACCTCGATGAACAATATCCTAAGTGGAAGAGCTTCAGAGCGCTGCAACAATTGCATGGTGCCACATGTAGGTGCCCATGGTCAGTAAGCAGCTAGGTATGTAGGTATTTCCGTAAAATACTCCAGCTGCTTCTAAAATCAAGCTTAGGACGTAGTCTGAAAAGATCCTACTTTTACTGTAGCAATCAAGTTTTCTCCGTTGCCGACGCAGTCCTTGTTTTGGTTATTTTCTCTCGTGGTCGTTCCTTCCTGTTTCGTGGAAACACGCGACTACGCGCTAGTGCGCAACTCTTACTCCAGTCTTTTCCGTTCCATAACAACATCTCCATTTATCATTCTAGAAGACGAGCCTCGCGCTCTTTCATTATTTGAAGTCTATCTCTTGACCTACTTATTCCATTTTCCCCTTCAAAGCTAATGTCAACACCTGGATGCATCGGTTGGACCCTCAACACGGCTTCCAAATCACTGCGCAAATACATATGAAGTACACTACTGTGTAGATTTTTGTCATTGTACGTGGCAGCGCGCAGATATGGGACGGGTGCTTCGAAGCGGCAAGAGTCTAGATGACTCCAATGCGACGAGCGAAGCCAAAAAACATGCAGAGACCTCATTCGCAGTATCGCAGTCAATCTCCACACTACAAGACGCGGATACGGCCATCACTTTGCCCAACTTTGGGAACAGGCAAAGGACCGTGAAAGCCTCCGTTGACACCAGCTTCCCCTCGGCGCTCTCATCCAAACCGAGTATATTTATAGGCAAGGATTATCCCGCGCCATTCTCTGTTAAACAGAGAGAAATGGAAACGCTTGAGCCCAGCAGTCTTGCAAATACAGCTTCGAAGTTTGTCCTCCCAGTTGCTTCCCATGTTCGCCGGCCACGACCCCGTCCACAACCCCAACCCATTTTTAAACCTACTACGATAACAACGCTTACTTATGAGCGGAGTGTGGAGATTACACGGATATCGATCACCGCTTTGGTATGTCTTCTGTCCACAAAATTTTTGCCAACATTAACTCGGATTATAGGTCTCGATGATCACCTTTTTCAAGTACGTTTCGACGCCAATCCAAGCTACAGTAGAGGTGCACTTACTGATTTCTACAAGGAAGGCTTTCGGGAATAATCATGTGTTCGAACACCGTTACTTTGACCCCAATGATCCAAATTTGACATACGAGGCATTCAAGAAGGGCGTCCATAAAATCCAGCAGCAACCCGGGGATCCAGAGATACTCAATCATTGGTTAATTGCCGCTGGGAAGTCTGAGGCTGCGGATAAACTTCTGTCATGGCTTGTAAGCGGTTGTCACACCCAATTGAACAATTTTTAACCATGTATAGGAACACGATACTGTACATGCTGCTATAGAGGGGAAATACTTGTCTAATATTGAACTTCGTCTTCACTATCGTCATAATGTCGAATCCTATTTCATAAGTTTGACATACTGTGAAGGCTCGGAACGTCCTCGAATCGAGGCAAGACTCGGCGGGACTGGAGAAGACGTACCATCAATGGTGGTCTATGATGCTCAAGCACAACTATACGCGTTAATGGAGGATGTAAACCGACAACTCCAACTCAGTGTCAGGTCTCATGACGGTCACCTCAAAAAAGGTAAGATCATTGAGCCAATAGCTAAATCTGCTAAATTTTAATTCAAGGACCTAATTACATTACTATGGGTGTGATTTTGAACGACAAGGCACCCAAAGAGCTTCATATTCCTGGCTTCAAGAGAAGTCTAACCCGGCCGCTTAACTTGAATAATATATCACCAGTCGAATGCTCGACAATGAAAACGCCCTTCCATAGGTATAGGAAATTCTGCCTGCCTCATCTGGTTTTGTTGCTAATGTCGGTGGTAGTGTATCCGTTAACCCACCCGATTATAATTCGTTAGTTACTAGAAGCGCAGAGCAGGCAACTCGAAGAACAATTATTGATCACGGACCGACGGCCGCCAGGAAGAATGACACCGATGACACCGAAGACACCGAAGAGGCAGTTGCCTCACCGTGTACATTACGCATGCAAGGATCAGATACCGCATCAGTGGCAAGCGAAGATTATCCTCACACTCAGTTTGAAAATGTTTCCCTGATTAAAAATTTAGTGAGTTTTGCAAAACCTATTTTCTAAGGAGCAAACTTACACTTAACAGGGACCATCAAGAAAAATCGATCCAGCCACACAGGATACTCTTATCCTTCCACGTTCACTCCAATCTCCGACGAGCCACTCTTTTTCGAACACAAATACACTTCGACAAAGCAGTGATATACCAAATATCAGAGGAATAATACCTGCCAGAATTAATGAGAACATATCTGACGATGATGGAAATATGGATGGAAATTTGCAGGATGAGGATCTAGACATTCCATTATCGCCTGTATCTGAAATACTTTGCGAATGCAGGGCGTCCGATTACGTCCCAGGGTGCATGGTTAGCAAAAGTTCCTTATCCGGGCTAGGTCTTCTATTCTAACCAAATCCTTCAGATAAAATGCTTGTCCTGTGACAAGTACCACCACTCTTTCTGCTATGCTTATTTGAATCCCCCGTCGTCACACATTATGGAAGAATTGTGTTACGAATGTGATGATGAAGTAACGGAGCCGCCAGATATGCGTCTTAAACTATGTTTGCTCAGGAGGACTATTTACGTACTCAGAAACGGACAAATTCTGAATGTCACAGAGGTTTTTGACTTCATGAGTAAGTTGCAATTTCTATCTCATAGGAAGGTCTAAGACCTGACGTGTTTTTAGTGATTGAAGATAGCCAGGCATCCACGATCCAAGAGTTTTGCACGTGTCTTTTGAACTTTCTGAGAATTCTGGGTCTTGTGCAACTAGCTCAACCGCAAGCAGACGGAAGAGACGCCTTGTTCTATCTTTCATCGAGCAATGATCAACTTCCCAAATGGCTCTTCAACCCTCGTCTATTTCTTACAGCAATTGTAAGTTCATTCCCAAAAAACCCAAAAAACCCATTGCGCCAGGAAGCACATGTATAACAATATCGCTTGCAGCTGAACGATAATCCCCGCCTAAAAGATCATTTCCAAAGCGGAGAATTTGGGTTATCACTCGCTGCCGCAGTTTGGCCCGCAGAATTCGCAGACAACCCCAATTCTAAAGCAACTGATACTTTGAATTCTAAAGCTAAGCTTGAGAGGTCCCATTCGCTGACCATGTCACCAAAATCCGCTTCATTCAATCCATCATCAGCCGATTGTGATGGGACGAAGTGCGGAAAGCGAAAATTGCGTGAGGACGGCTCACCAGTCCGCGCGAAAAAGGCGTATGAAAGTCACTCAAAAGGGTGGAAATCGATTCATCAGCGGGGTCTATCATGAATGATCCGGATCGCATGGCAGTAACAACGTCTGCTTTGTCTGCTATTTACAAAAAGAAGAACACCTCCTGTACAGGCTCGGTTCACGGTATCATAACTTCACAAAGAAGGCGCCACGTCAACTAGCAGACAGACATTCAATGATTACTCCTCCTGTTTTTGGAAGTTCGGCCTTCCAAAGGTGTAGGTCCAATAGTTTGGGCCTATCTTTATGCACGGTCGATGACTCGACAAAGTGTTACCACGAGAACTTGCTTCGAGCTGAGGCGAATTGCTTTGTAGTGGAGATGGCACTGTGAAATAAGCACGTCAGGGGCTCTGGGAAAGAGTGGTAGATCGGGGGTTTGGACAATCTGCCATTCTATAAAGAATTGTTTGCTTAGTTTGTATGTGGCTTGATGGCTTCGAAACAAAGAATTCATTATATCGATATTAATGGAAGATGAGAGTGCTGAAACAAGTAAGAGTTGCAATAAATGAGACCCCATGAAGCTACTGCAAGTACTGCGGCTCCAGCTAGCAAATGATCATATTACAAGCCAAGGTCATCCAGTGGCAGCACGGCGAATTGCAAATGATGAAGCATTTCAAGGTTCACTTTCCAATGATTGCATGGGGTCAGGCTAAATGCTGTACGGAGTAGACGAGGAGGATGCACACGCTCGTTTTGCTGCGCAGGACATCCATTTCGTGCTCGTAGTTATTTCAAATAAGAATAGTAGTCGGCTGAAGGTGCAACACTTGAAAGTCTTACTCTATCCGTGGAAGAGAACCCGAGAACAAGAGTGCAGCGGTGAGGTTCACGGCAAGGGTCTTGCGGTTTGTAAACATCCCGGTTGAAGGCGTTCTTCATATCGATTCGAACCCACAAGTGCCTCAATCCCGTGGAGTGAGACGGGATGGCAAGTCGTCGTGACGTCGTAGTGTGAATGTGCAGGTGGGCCACATGTTCTTGTTTTCCTCAGTATTCTTACTTCGGAGTCCATCAAGTCGACTGAGATCATTCAATTAAAGGTCCCTACTAGGCATTCGACCGCGACAATATGTCGGTTGGTTCAACCGAGAATATATCACATTGTCACAAGAGCTGTGCCCAGCTCCCCACTCCAATCTGTTCTTGACTTCTTCCAGAAGGCACGAGCATCAGTCAATTTAAAATGTTCCTCTTCCTGACGTTCTTATTCGTATGGCGTCTGGTTACGTGCAGACAGACCGGGGGATCCTTCAGATGCTTCACCAAACGAGCATCCTGGACCCGATCATTTCTAGATTCCCTGGCGTTCCCCCTTTACGTTGGCGTTCGTGCCCGGCTCGAGAGCTGACTTGTTGGCTCTGCCGGAGCTCTTCTGCAGCACTCTGTCGCTGCTAGGATCCCCAGGCCACCGGTGGTTTGACTGCCACTAAATCGCAAACGGCCCTGGAACTGCCCCACGCCTACTTGCAGCCAGCACGGCAGAGCCAGGGGAACCTCGACCAAAGCCTAGAATGCCACTGGCTGCGATTGTCCAATCGAGATTGCTCTTGACCACGCTCAACCCTTTTTTCTTGACATGTCGTATGCCACATGAACACGAAGAGATAATGTCCGAGAGTCGAAGTGCAGTTGCGGTTGTTCGCTCTCCTATTACTTCCTCTACTCTCTACGACTTCAACTTTTCACGTCCGCAACCATCAATCTCGTTTTTTCGTTTCTCTTCGTCTCTTTTCTGCATTTTGGAGTTGGTCGCCTTAGCTCCTGTCAACTGTCAACTAACCCTTGACAGGGAATTTAGCTGCGTCTTCTGGGCCTTTTCGCGGCCTAGGATTGCTTTTGAAACAGCGACCCGGTGGAGGGTTTGAGTCAGGACACTGGATTTGACGACTTCTTCCCGGAAAACATGTCTTATTGATAAGCTCGAATACTTTCTTGTCCGTATAGTCAAACTATTCAACGTTGGAGGCATCTAACATTGTTGTTGTAGTCACTCGCTTCGTCTGATGTTGAACCGGCTTGAAGCCACCGACGCCGGCTTGAACTTTGTCAGAAACGATGGGTCGAACTTCGAAATTCTCCTTTCCTTTGCCGGGAAGGAGGCACGCGGCAGTCAAAGAAATCATCCCCACCCCTTTCGCGCCATCGAGCAATGCTGGACCGAGTCTGTCGAAAGCGCAGCGTGTGCTTGGAACAGGTGATCTCAATATCGGATCACCGATTAAGGAGGAGGAAGTTTCTTGGAAATGCCCGCCATCTCGATCAAGCCGTATCAGTATTTCCATTTCCGAATCCACAAACGACAATGAAAGCGTACACGAATCGTTCGCTGAGCGGTGGGAGAACGAATCGGGCATCTATCCAAAGGGGAAAAGGTTGCACGGAAAGGCTTCGTCAACTTTGCTTGGGCAGACCTACCATGCTGAGAGCAATGCAACTGCGTCAAGTGTGGGGAGACGACTACAGCACGAAGACTCATCCTCAACCATGAAATCCCATTATGATCGCCAAAAATCTCCACTTTCCATTTCTCAGCAAACGTCTGCGTCGTCTACACGAGATGCCGCGTTGCGGAAGGGTTTTCCTCCAGTGATACAACGAAGCCCGCTCTTACAAGTTGAAGCTTCGATCGATCCCTACGAGGTTCAGTTCACACAAGTTGTTAGACCTGCGACGAAGGGTAGCGACCGGGGTATGGACAAGGCCACAGGGAAAAGGAATCGACGAAAGAAACCTGTAAAGCTCCAGCTGGATTTATCGCTTCTATTTCCAAGGCCTAGACGGCACGGTGGTAAGTCTCCAGACAGTGCGTCCTCGATGCTGTCGACATCTTCGATGTCTACGAACGCTTCACACACGCCAAGTGAACCGGCTCGCTCGAAAAAGCTCTCGAAATCAAAGACGAAATCAAAAGAGTCCTTTCAGTCGCAAGGTATGAGTATCCGGACGAATGATACTCGTGGTTCCGAGTCACAGCGTCAAGCGACATCGAATCTGTATAATCTTCATGATCATTACGAGCAGGGAATTGCCAGCCCAAGAATGTCACAGATTCCCGAATCGAGAGTCCCAAGCAATCGTGCAGCGTCTCAGCGTAATAAAGAAGATATTATGCTCTTCAGACACGACTCGTCCGCGACCAGACTGACGATACACAGCAAGAAACCTAGCATTGGGACGAACCCGGGGACGCCTGGAAGAGAGCCTTTCTCATGGAAGAACGTCCGGTCCAGTCTGGCACCCCAGGGGCGGGACGTTCCCGCCATGCCATTCCCACAAAGGACGGCTGCCAAACCTGCCAGCATCACTAGCCGGGCATCGAAGACGTCAAAAACATCTCGCCACACGAGCGCTAGTGGCATTTCGAACTCTGACCTACAATTGAAGAGTGTGTTATCTTTATCATCCGATTCCGAGGAGGATAATTGGGAGCAAGATGATGCAATGAGAAATGCAGGTATGTCAAATGGAGGCTCTGGCTGGGGACAATCTAAGGGGCTTTCTCATGGGATGAGGGAAAGGACAAGGGAGGATCGGTCATATCAACTACCACCCACTGGAGGATTGTCACCTAGGAGTCAAGCCTCTGAGAGGCCTTCGGGTTCTTTCACCGTTCAAGGGGCCGCCCATCTTGCAGTTCCAGGGAACTACTCGGCGCCATTATCACCTCCTTGGACGGAGCCGAGGGAAGACTCGTCCGGATCATCTCTGAATTACCAAACCCATCGGAAGAAGCCGTCTCAGCCTAAAGAGAAGAAGAGTTCAAAGAAGTCTTCCTCACTGGCATCAGTACGATCTTCTCATCCCCAGCAACCGACGCCTCCCCTGTCACCGACATCTATGGATCTAGGAGAAATCTCGGAGCGAGCTAGTAGATTCATGGCGGTGACGAGGCAAGAAGAGGCTCTTCTAGAAGCATTACGAATGAAAAGAGCACGGATGAAGGAGAAAATTATCGAGGAGCACGAGATTCGCAAATCTCCGCCTAGATCACATGGAAGGGCAAATGATGGGTATTTAGAGCCATCTTCTCTAAATACTCCTCATAGCCTACCTGATGAGCGGCAAAGAATTTTGCGGTATCTCGACTCGCCTCAACCGAAACCTCGGAGACCCGCTGAGCCATTACCCGAACTCAATGATTTCCTCAACTTTGGGTCTAACGATAGCACGCCGAGGGCAAGCTTTGCCGCGCCCATGGCAAAAGTGAGAGCGGAAACAACGCCCCGTATCAGGAATCATAATGCTCCTCGCACTCCGCCATCATCGGTACGATTGAGCGCTGTTGGTGTGGAAGACTTCAATACACGTCAACCAGAAAACAGACGCAAGAAGCGTAGCAACGAGGGTGTACGATTTGCGGAAGATACGAAACCCCAGTCTCACCAAGGTTACTTGGTTGATGAAGAGACGGAGTTCATGTACAGTTACTAACAAACTATGATGTTGTAATATTTATTCAAAATTTCATTTGTTTCGAGACGGATTAGTCGGGGTGCGTTTTCATTTGTTCGAATTATTGGTTTTGAATTTTCTGTTGCGTTTATTTTGTAGGGACAGCGTTGCATATTGTACAGCATATCATTATACCCTTTAACTTCTGCATTTTCAGGTTAGATGGGGTTTGGAGAACTTGGTGTCCAGATAGAGCTGGACCGGGGCGGGGATGCGTTGCAGCAGCGGACATGCAGCAGAGGATATGGAGGAGATGATACATATTAATTATTTGGATGTGAATGATAATGATCAGACTTCGCTGAACACAATGGAAACACCAGTGGCTTGCGTGACAGAATAGGAAGTATTATAGTTGGATTTGGTTGGTTATGGTTCGCTTTCTCTGCCAAAAGTCCCGAGGTCGTCAGGGCGGGAATACCATTCGTCCATTCATCCAAGCAAGACAAACGCCAATAGAATATGGCTTCCCCGGATTTTCCAGACCAAAAGGATGGCGTAAAAGCCCTCCCACACCGATAGCTTACCACATGACCATCGTTCAATCTCATGACGATCAGAATTCATACGCCAGATGGGTACCTCGAAGCACTTAAGTAAACGTCCAACGGATGGATTGATGATTGTGCCAGCCATACAGATTTCAACTCTGAATCATGATCAGGGTTAGGGCATCATGGGTTTGCGGGGATGATGAGTGAGGTGATTTGTTGACGCTGATACGTGGCACGCAAGATGTTGAATCATGTATTTTGCGCATTGATCGAGCCCGCGCTGCTGCTTGGAGTTTGTTTCATTGTTGGCTAGTGTCATCGCTCGACTTTTGGACAGTGGAAATGTCAATAATGAAGCAAACCCGTCTTAAATTCTGTCCATCTGATACCATCCCGCTGAATCTGGAACAAGGTTGTACGGTTGTGCATATATGAAAGAGCGCGTGTGAGGAAACTTCAGCTGCACAAGGCTCGGCATGATGCAGTTCTGGTGGTTTCGTTGCATCACCTGGACCCCGGATCTGCTCAAGCTTCACGCACCCCGGTTCCATGCTGGCTGTGACTGCTGGAGAATGGGAAATGTTTGAACAGCGTGGGCAGCAGCATGAGCAAAGAAACAACTATCCAAAGTTTATCTTTCTCGTATGGTCATCAGCCTCTAAAGCTAGCTGTTTTTATGAGCGGGAACAAGAATAAATAATTGCTTTTTGGAGCGGTCAATGTTCTAGGCTTGTCTCTGGATATCTCACTCACTCCCACAAAATCAACCCCAGCACGCCGCTTCGCCAGCCAGCCAGTGACGTTCTGAGCCCCAAAAGCGGGTTTGCGCCAAACGACGATCCAAAATTTGGATACTCACCACTCACCTCCTCTTGCTTGTTGCTCCTGAGCCGCCCAATTCTTTTCTACTCTTCTACTCTTCTCCCCTTTTCTTTCTTCTCTATTATTTACGACTGACAGACTTCACACGAAGAAGTGGCACGCTCCTTTGCCTTTGCTGCGACCTGCACAAACATTCCACGAGAGAGGGCCGTCGGGACTGAGGTTTTGAGCGAAAGGGGTACGTGACGGAGCATCACGATGGGGGACCCGCAGAAGACTCCCAGCGTTATGGGAGTCAACATGAAGCTGGTGTCTCTGGTGACAGTACGTTCTTTTGCAGGCACAGGAATCAGAAGAAAATACTAATTAGGCGTACGCAGCTTACATTCCAAAATTCGGCACTTATACTCGTACGTCTTCCAAGCGCCGCGGTAGTATTGAAAGCTAACAATGCGATTAGATCATGCATTACTCGAGGATCATGCCAATATCTGGTCAACATCGGTACTTTACCTCGACTGCGGTCTTGCTCAACGAGGTTATTAAGTTGGCCGTCTCGTTAACGATTGCGATGTACGATATTTCGAGAACCTTACCTCCTTCTACCCCTGCGACGGTACTATTCGAACAGTTATACGGCTCAGTCTTCTCGGGAGATAGTTGGAAGCTGGCTATTCCAGCTACATTATATACTCTGCAAAATTCATTGCAATATGTTGCGGTCAGCAATTTGGATGCTGTACATTTTCAGATTCTATATCAGCTAAAGGCAAGACATATTTTCCCCGAGACTCAACAGCACCGGAAGGTTGGTTTGCATGCTAACGAGCTCGCAGATTCTCACGACGGCAGTCTTTAGTGTCACAATGCTCGGCAGGTCACTGTCGAACAAACGCTGGGTTGCTCTTGTGATTTTGACGCTAGGCGTTGCGGTGGTGCAATTACCTTCTGGCGCTCAAGACACGTCTGTCTATGACTCCATCAATGACGCACAGTCTCGATTCTACTTCCCCCGATCGTTTCACGAGATTGGACAATTGGGAAATGGCGCTGCGGAGGTAGCGAGGGAGCTGACCAAACGAGGAATTGAGACATTGTCAGGGGGGCTTACCAAACGATCCGCTACATATGAGGGAATTCAAGAGGATATGGGCTTAGTAAAACCACTCATGAACTACTCAATTGGCCTGTCTGCCGTCCTTTCAGCCGCCGCTATATCAGGGCTTGCTGGGGTTTACTTCGAAAAGGTTCTGAAGGAGTCGAATACCTACGTTACTGTCTGGACTCGCAACGTTCAACTTTCGTTCTACTCCCTCTTCCCAGCGCTCATTTTTGGTGTCTTGATGAAAGACGGAGAGGAGATCGCCAAGGAGGGGTTCTTTGTTGGATACAATGGGGTAGTCTGGACTGCCATCGTTTTTCAGTCTCTAGGAGGGGTGCTGGTTGCCATGTGCATCAACTATGCCGACAATATCGCCAAGAATTTTGCTACGTCGATTTCCATCATTTTGAGCTTTCTCTTCAGCGTCTGGTTTTTTGACTTCAAGGTTACATTAAACGTAGGTCATCTCCAATTGATATGGAAAACCGCTGCTGACTTTATTTTTTCAAAGTTCCTTGTTGGCACAGCACTGGTGATATTTAGTACGTACTTGTACAGCGGTCAAGAAGGGAAACGCAATCGCCCGCCTCCCATCAATATTGTAGATTATGAGAAAACCACAATCGATAATGGCTATACCCCTCGATTTGAGGAAGACAAACAGCTTGGAGCAACACCAGATATCCGCCCACTTGAGTCCTTGAAGAGTGCTGGGCTGTCGACTTCGAGGCCAAGCTCCCCTATGAGACATCACTCGCGGGTTGGCTCTTCAAGAAAAGGGATTAAAAGAGACGATTGAATGCATTAGATATGGGACTGTTTATAAAAAGAATGGTGGACCAAGGTGTTACGATTTGCATATGGCGGGGGTGGGAAAATAACATGGAAATCTAAAAGAGGAGTCATGTGTCATGTTCATAAACGTGAAAGCACAGGCGTTACGGTTTTCGAGCGCTCGGGGATCTTGCATGGCATTTATTGCATATTCTGCATTACCTTGGTAAATATATGGTAGCGTTGATTTAGGGCAAGAGATGATATCCAAGATAGAGTTGGAGTCAAGTGTAGAAGAGGCTTACATTGTGGTTGCCCGTTCAGTACATATGTCGCCTAGTTCGACTTATTCCACCGGGGAAGCCTGCCTATGTTGAGGCTGGATTGGGAGACTCAATCAAATCACTCGTTTGCAAAACTGAGTGCAGAGTAAATAGAAAGGTTTTTTTTTTCCAGGGATTTGTACACAATTTCATTCTCCCTTGTTATTTTCTCTCATTTTAAGAAATCGAAGACAGTGTTGCTAATACGATTCAAGTCTGAAAAATCCACCAGTATGAAGCCATATCCTGCCATCATTTTACTCCCGCACCGAAACAGTTATTGCTTCCTTTGTTTATAGCACACTGGACCATATCGTAAGTGATGAAAGCGGCGATTCCTACTCTCACTTGCACTCATTCCATAATTGGGGAAAGTCACGTGGCGACTGTTGTGGTTTATCGAGTGGTAGGGAAACAACTTTTCAACTACCAAATAATCTAAACCTCGACTACCATTTATCTTCATCGGGAATAAAGCTCTCTACTCTCTGCGGCGTTCGAAATATTCGGGACGCTAGTTACACCTGGGATTTTCTTCTCGTTTCTGTACCAACTTCTCTGACGCTGCTTATTTTGTTATTCTATCTTTCTTTCTCCATACTTATCTCAGAATCCTCCAACCGACCTGTTCAATGGCCTAAACTGCTTGCTATGTAACAAATATGGATCCTCATCTGCAAAAGATTGTCAACGATGTCAGAGCAGAGCACCACGAAGATCCTACCGCCAACGAGTTCAGTTTTCACCCAGCTCAATCCCATCCTCCCAGACACGGATACCTACCCGCTCCTTTAGGTGACTCTCTAGGTACTAAGAGACTGGGTGACTCTAGTAAGTTTGATTCCACTGAGTCGATTTCATAGGACTTGTGCTAAATGATAAAATTACAGATCAATCTCCATACACAACTTCACACACCTACCGCTCTCTGGAGGATCCTTCCGGGTCGCTATTTGGAGATCAATTAACTGGGTTCGATGATGGAAGTGAGATACACGATTCTACACCAACGAGCAATGACAAGCGCTGACAACGTTAATAGCAGATGGCACCTATTTATCTCAGACATGCCGTCCTCTGCCTACGCAGCATGCCAGCTCGGTGCCTGGTAGGCTGTCCTTGATGCCGCGAACCTCCCACGGACAACTCCAAGCAGATCGAGAACCACGACCAATGAGCAATGCCGACAATCACTTCAGGTTCACGCAGAACTTGCGAGCAGGCATGCCCGTAAATGGAGATATGCTGCGACGGCCACTCCAGAGGACTCAATTGCAGAGCACTGATTCTGTGGATCAGCTTCTAAATGCTATGGGATCAAACAGGCAAATGCCACTTGCTAGCTTCCGACCGGTACAGCATAACGACTTCCAACAGCAAGCCCAACAGAGGATGAATAATCTCTTTCATCAACAGGGCCAGCAGCACACTCCGCCGATGATGTCAAGTAAGTTTTGATCTGACGATGTATATAAACCAAACCATCCTAATACCCACAGACTATGCCGCGAGCCCGCACACGTTTATGCCATCCACAGACTCTTCGCCATTCCACCCGCAGGAAAGCCCGTCTGAGAGAATAAGCATGCGCAGAGCTTCTGCCACACGTAGCAACCCAGGACATCTCCAGCCCTCAGTCAAGAATGACCTTGAAGCAAAGGTTTTTCTGCCGCGCACACCACAGACACGAACCTTTTCTCCAGTTAAGAGAACGCCTGGGTCGCAAATTGTAGCACCAGCCGAAACCACCCCACGTACTTTAGGTCTGGGACACGCACCGCCAATAGTCCATGGTATTCAATTAGTCTCTCCCCATGATTTGCCAGATCGATTTCGACAAGTTTTCCCATATCAGCTTTTTAATGCTGTCCAATCGAAATGTTTTGCACCAATATATAAGTCATCTAGCAATGTGGTAGTAGCAGCTCCCACAGGAAGCGGGAAGACAGCACTACTCGAGCTAGCAATTTGCAAGACTGTCGAGGAGAATGGATCCGGTCAGTTCAAAATTGTTTATCAAGCCCCCACGAAATCCCTGTGTTCCGAGCGCGTGCGTGACTGGAGCAAGAAGTTCACTCACCTTAATTTGACTTGTGCCGAATTGACGGGAGACACCGGTCAGATGGAAATGAACAGAGTCCGCAACGCTTCAATCATTGTCACTACCCCAGAAAAATGGGACAGCATAACTCGCAAGTGGGCAGACCACCATAAGCTGGTACAAATGGTGAAACTTTTCTTAATCGACGAAGTTCACATTCTGAAAGAGGTCAGAGGTGCTACACTGGAGGTTGTTGTCTCTCGTATGAAGTCAAGGGGTGCTGACGTACGCTTTGTTGCACTGAGTGCTACAATCCCGAATTCAGAAGATGTTGCTGTTTGGCTTGGGAGAGACCACTGTACTCAACAGCTCCCTGCCAGCCGCGAGACGTTTGATGAAACATTCAGACCTGTTAAACTTCAGAAGCACGTATATGGGTACGATGGTAAAATGAATGATTTCGCTTTCGAGAAGTTGTTGGATGGCAAGTTACCAGGTCTCATTCGCAAGCATACACGGAAAAAGCCCATCATGATATTCTGCTTTACCAGGAAATCCTGCGAAAGTACCGCTTTAAAACTGGCTGAGTGGTGGACAGGACAAGTCGCAGCTGAACGTGCTTGGCCTTCGCCTTCTCAACGTGTCGTTGTCGGTTCAAAGGAACTACAAGATATCGTTACCTGTGGCGTAGCTTTTCATCATGCTGGTCTTGACGCTCAGGATCGTCAAGTTATTGAGACCTCATTCCTGAAGGGAAACATTAGCGTTATATGCTGTACTTCGACCCTTGCTGTTGGGGTTAACCTGCCTTGTCATTTGGTCATACTAAAGGGAACGGTCACCTTCGGGAACAATTTACTTACTGAGTACTCAGACTTAGAGGTAATGCAGATGCTTGGGCGAGCTGGTCGACCACAATTCGAAGACACTGCGGTTGCGATCATAATGACCAAGAATGAGAAGAAGGATCACTACGACAAGATGATTTCTGGCACAGACATCCTTGAGAGTAGTCTCCACCTTAATCTAATAGAGCACCTGAATTCTGAAATAGGTTTACAAACAGTCAATAGCCTCGATTCAGCAAGGTCATGGCTCGAAGGAACATTTCTCTCTGTCCGCATGCGACTCAACCCCGGGTACTACCGGATCGACAATATTGTACAGGGAGGCGATACGGACCATCGTTTGAAACTTGTCTGTGAGCGAGATATTAAGCTTCTGCAGGAACATGATCTTGTCACACGTGGGGACACGATCAAATGTACTGAATATGGTCAAGCTATGTCTCGATACATGGTAAATTTCGAGACAATGAAAGCGCTCTTGAGTATACCTGAGCACTCAAAGACTGAAGATATTGTAAGTGACAAAATCACACCTATAGATGAATACTAATCATGTTAGCTCAACATTATATGCCAAGCGTCAGAATTCAAAGATCTCCGGATGAAGCCAAACCAGCGACCATGCCTGAGAGAAATCAACAAATCTCCATTCATGAAGTATCCTGTCAAGGAGACAATCTCAACAACGACACACAAGATTTATTTGTTGGTTCAAATGCAACTCGGAGGTATTGAGCACCCAACCGATAAAGAATATGTGGGCATGAAAAGACAATTTCTAACAGAAAGAGCTGTCATATCAGAGCGCATCTCACGCTTGCTTAGATGTGTTATTGACTGTAAAGCGGTAGATTGCGATGCTATTTCTACAAGACATGCGCTTGATCTTGCTCGTAGCATATCTGCTGGGTACTGGGAAAATTCCAATCTGCAACTTCGACAGATCCCAAATATCGGTCCTGTCTTAGCTAGAAAGTTGATTAACAATAATGTCAACAGTATCGAGAAACTCTATAACTTAGACTCGGCCACAATTGAGCGCTATTCGGGGAAGAATCCGCCTTTCGGAAAGAAAGTTTTGCAAGATCTTATGGGATTCCCCCGGTTGACTTGTGTAGCGGAACTTGTTGGAAGTCATACAAAGAAAAACGAGAAAAGACCGAAGGTATCCGTGAAGGTTCGACTTGGTTACTCTAACACCAAAACTCCGGTCTGGGATGGAAAGAAACCTTCGTTGACCTTTCTTGCAGAGACGTCTGACGGAGTCCTCGTCCACTTCTGGCGTGGAGGAATGCATCAACTCGAAAAGGGTTATGAGATCAAGTTTTCGGCGGAGCTCTCAAGTGCTGAAGACCACATCGTCTGCCGCATTGGCTGTGATGCAGTCATTGGGACACAGCATATGAGAGTTCTCAAGCACAACATCCCGGCATGCGATTTTCCGCCTATTCCTAAGAAGATCGTCAGTCAAAATGAGCCAACAAGAAAGTCATCGTCGGATGAGTTTGGCTTGGATGACATTGAGGACGAGGTTTTACTAAATGCTGCATCGAGAGCAGAAATGGTCGCAGAAGACGATGTCTTTCAAAACATGGATAACGAAATTGATGCGCAGTCCACTACAGTCGTCGTTAAAAAGTCTTTGCCCGTGGCGACACCACCTGTAGTGCAAATGGCTAACGGTAAGTATGCTTGCAATCACGTTTGTCGCGACGGCCATCCGCTCAAAAACGGACTGCCTTGTAAACACAGATGTTGTAAAGAAGGAATGGATAAACCACGAAAGCCGAGGACCAGAGTAAGCACAACTAGCTTGTTTCTCAGTGCAGACGATTGACTTAGTACAGACCTCCTTGAGTAATATTTCTTTGCAAGAGGGCCCAGAGAAGAACGTTAAATCAGGTGCTTCTAAGATCCCCCAAAATGCTAAACTAGGGGCTTCTGAGAAAGCAGCGAGCTCCAAGGTATGTATTGAGGGTTCCGGATTCTGATGAGAGTGCTTATTGGCTGCAGAAGCAAAGCCTGAAACTGAAGCATGAGTTCGAATTTTCCGACAATGATGATATGGAGGTTATAGATTTGGCACAAGACTATCCAACAGCGTATTCTGACCTCGCTCCTCGCAATTATCGAAAGTTACATAACCTGCATAAGAATGTTCAGGAAGATAAAGCGCTCAGATTAGTCACGCAGAAACCACAATATCAATATGGAAGCGGCAATCCTCCTCAAATTCCATTCGCACATACTGGTACGGATAGGCAGGACATGTTCGACGACACGGATTACCTAGATGTGGATTTTCCATCGCCCTCAGCTATCACTCAAGGATCTAAGAATAGAAGCTTGACTCTGTCTTCTTCTCGTGCAATGGCAGAGAACAGGACTTCCGCTGGTATAAGTGATATCTCGCAGTCAGGAGCTTATTACGAAGATGATGTTGAGCTACCAGAGAAGCCGGTGGTCTCTTTCCTTGACCAACATCCAGATTCATCCTTCGGTAATGACTCGTTGGGCAGCCTTGAAGCTGGAATGCTTGAACTTTATGACCCGATGACAAGACTGGCGGCGGTAGCAGCGAGTCCCAAACTCAACTCCAGCTTTGTTGACGGCGTATTTGACTTCGAGGCCTTCAATAACGGAACAGGCAGCCAAGAATCGCGTCTAAGCTTATCGGCATACCAACCAGCTGGTCTTTATCCACCCGCGGAGAAATACACGAAGGAGGCAACAAAGCGAGCACGGTCACCAACTCCTGATGGAGAAGCTGTGAAATGTCGGCGGGTTACAAAGGATGTTGATACTACGCGGATAACAGAGGCAGCTCAAGAAGAGTTCAAGCCTGTTTATCCTGAATGGTTGAATGAGTTTGATGCGGATCTTATTAACGGATTTAAGGATTTTGTTGATTTCGTTGACTGAGAAAAAGGCTTCTCTGTCTCTCTACTTGCTTGGGGTATGGCGTCTAAAATGGTAGAATGTGTGAAGTGATATGTGCTCCGCTTAGTCGCTGGAAGATGCAAGTTTCGTTTCGATCCTCAGCATATGACACTATTTTGCGTTGCTCATACTTGCGCAACTTTGTTCTAGACGATTGTATCTTTAGCTTCAATCATAGTTTCGCTGCTCTGTGATTTTGACATTCAGATTTCATGTTTCTATCATGTTTTTCTTGTTCTCCTGAATGGGGTCTCATTAGCGAGAAATGGCTACCTAGAAAAGGGGGTTCTCTGACTCGTGATATATACACTCGATGATCTTGGCATATCGAGAAAATATGAGCAATCCGTCACAACTCCATACTTGCTGGCATGCTTCTAGTGTTATTCTTGCTAAATCTTACTAAGCCCTATCCTTGGCAGTAACTCTGGAATCACGTGTTAGAGTTACATTTGGTCTAAGTCCACGTACACCCTCTGTAGGCAACCATTAAGGGGCATACGTTCGTGTTGTTGGTTGAATCTTGGCTGTCCCAAAGTGGCACTTTTCAAGTTTATGTCAATATTATTGGCCGTGTGAAAGCTAGTTTGTTAGCATCACGACACGCTTATTCCCAGTGCCCACTTTATTGACAATCTGACGCGCTCTTTGTTTCGAGACCAGAGTGGGCTGTCTTCGAATTGAGCCTCAGGTCGTCTGTGCCGTAAGGTTACGCATCGCTATGCTTCTGCATCTCCGCAGTCAACAAGTGAGGGTGTATCTCACCCTATGGTGCACATCCATGTTGCTCTGCCCCATCAGTATCGAGGGGCAACCCGACAACGTGTGGGTTGCTTGACATAAGGCAGACACATAACTAGTACATCGGACCCAGTTATGGAGTTCAAAACACAGACATCGAGTACGAGTTAAAAGCAAGTTTCTACTTCATTTTCAGGTACTTTCACCATAAATACAATCAAATATAGACCTTCAGTCTCATCACTCAGTCCATCTCTCAAAGTACATCGAAGATGTCTAGCACTTACCATATCGTCCCACGGGAGTCTGAAGACTCAAATTCGGCTCCTTTGTTAGCTACGCCAGAAGTAGAGCCCCAAGCAAAACTTCCATCGACCTATTCGATTAAGGGTTCCACTGCCGGCGCTTGTCTACGAGCTTTTTCTACCAGTCTCGCCATCATATCTTTTGCGTTCTGGGTGAAAGATGGCCATAGGAGCTTCATTGCTGCCTGTGTATTTGATATGTTTTTGTAAGACACTCTATTCATTTGCCTCTTGTGGTTCGATCATAAGAAGAATTCGATATGTGAAGTGCTCGAAACGTGAAAAGCAGGCAACTAACATGGCTTTGTTCTAGGATTTTATTTAATATCTTCCAATTTTTCAACTTCATCTTCTCGGATGTTCTCAGTGTCACGGTCAATCTCCGTAGCCGACCACAACCTGTCACTCTCGGCACTTCGAACATGAAATATAGAATCTCAATGTACTTTGACATTGGGTTGGCACTTATCTTAATGATGTGTACGATCATCGGACACGAAACAAGGGACGATGGATACCGCGGCGCAAAATTATGGGTTGCAGGCGCTATACTTGGATACATCGTAGTGTAAGTGTACAACGCAGCGCCATCATTTTGTCCTCCTCTAATACCACAACAGTTTTATTCAGTTAGCTCTTGCTCTTCCACAAGTGTTTAATAGGAAGTTAACTTTCTCCGTCGAAGTCGCTCGCGGTGCTACTTCCGAGCCTACTTCCAAAGCGAACTTCCCCGGCGAGATCAAGCTTGGAAAAGAAGCGAGTTACCGCTTTTCTGAGGATGAGCTGCCCAGACAATCGACGGACACGGTGGTTTAGGGCGCTGCTTTGAGTTGTTTCTCAGTATTCCTCCGTTGAATAGAGGAATAATATAAAACCATGGCGATCGAATGAATGACTTATATGGCACGATACGGATGATGAAAGCAACGAAATTTCTCAACAGGCCAAAGCCTAACTTCTCTGACTCGGTAACGAATTTTTTTCCTGAAGACGATTAGTGGGACAAGACATGCCAGAAATATCAGGACTAGGAAACGGGTTGTGGAAATTGTTTTTGCAGGATTTTATTTGTGAGGACGAAACTCAAGATTGAGAATATTATGATATGGTATGGAAGTTGGGAGTTGGATTTGAGGCGTTACCATTGTCCCTAAGGTCGGTATCTTTTCCAGAACCATTTGACATATTAAAGACTTTATGCACAAAATTTCTGAGCTCTACCTCTTGTGTTGTATGATTGAAAACTTTACACAAATCTCCAGGCCTCTCTCAGGGGTTAACTTAAAAGGCACTTCGTAAATTTGCTCATTCAATCCAATACTTAAACAGCATACATACTCCACCTGACTTCAACCCAGCTTTCCCCAAATCTCCCACAACCCTAAGAAAGAGCTCATCGCTCCCGCGTAACCAGTTACTAAAAGACTAGTCTCAATCCATCCCACAACAAGTCCAGGAACAAGGAGATCGCAACTATCAGCAACCAGCCTCCTCACGACCAGGGTTCTCTCATAATTCCTCTTCCTCTGACCAACCTGACTCTCTCTGACCTTCTCTACCGTCGATCGTTTTGGTGAAGTGGTTCTAGTCTTAGGCGGAACCGGCGGCGGAACGTCAGGGGTGAAAAGGAATCGAAGATGTAAGATAATCGAACACAGTAATGAATAAAACCAAAACTTATTCCCCTCCACCTGACAAGTCCTCGCAAACTCAGGCGTCGGATAAACATCCATAACATGTAACTAAGTAGTCAGCATCTACTCACTCTCTTCCCTTCTCTTCGCCAAATAATAAAAACCAGACTCACAATACTCAAACTCTCCATCCCCAAATAAATCCCCATAAAACTATGCTTCCCTACCTCCAATACATTCCTCATCACCTCCGACCCGTCGACCCCCGAAAGCACGCTCAGCGCCTGCGCGAAACAGCTTATGAACCTGAAGATGCGGAAATAGCGTCGTCCAAGCGCGAGCTGGCTGCGGAGGAGGAGGAAAGTTTTGATGGTCTGCGGAGAAGTGGTTGTGAGTGCGATGATGGTTGAGATGAATTGAAATAAGCGGAGGAGTTTTTCGAGCGCTGCTTGAGGGGTGTTAGTAATTTGAATTGAGGAGAGACATGGCAGGACGGGTTGGGAAGGAGGTGAGTCACGTGGAAGGACCTGAACCGCGAGTTCACGGTTTGAGAATAATGAGGTAGTGAGGGGATTGGAAATGGATAGTATCTTACCAGAATCGCTAGTAAATCGTATGACGCGGTTCATGCCGCCCATCATCTACCAGCTAGGGTAAAGCACCAGTTGCCAACCTGTTAGGTGCGAGGTTGGTAAGTTTCGAGGTTGCAAAGTTTTTTGATAAAATTTGAACTCCAGATTTGGCTGTGCCCTTTCAACGCATCATCAACGCTGGCGAAGACAGTTAAGCATTGCCATTGTGAGTGAGTATGCGCCCAATGAGTCGGCGTGTTTGAAGGAAATCAGTCGTGGATCTTGAATTGCCAATCTGTTTGTTGTCTTTGCTTCTCGCTTGTGATAGTCCCGCCCCCATGAGAAAAGATCGAGATCAGCTCAACATAAAATATAATTTTTTGAACCAATTAAACACGTCATCCGTGAGAAAATAAACTGCATTGTCTGAATCTAACACAACAGACACTTTAAGAGCGTTGCTGATACAACCTTCTCATGGTGGAGCAACGAAAGCTAATATCAATATTTACAAAAGGGCCGTTGCTAGACCCTTGATCAATGATCTACTGTCCTGGCGCAATTAATTTGCCCTGCCTTAAAGCATTATGATCCCATCCTCCAGCTAACGCAGTTCCTCCCTCCTTCTCCTTGAAATCCTTCATTCTTGCTTCTAGTTCAGGTCTAAAGTGTCTAATCAATCCCTGAATCGGCCACGCGAACGCTTCGCCCAACGCTGTCACAATAGTTAGTTTTCAGGTAGATTTATATGTATTTCAAAACTTACCACAAATGGTGTGACCCTCAACCTGTTTTGTCAACTCCTGCAACATGTCAATTTCTCTCTCACGTCCCTGTCCTTTCTCAAATCTCTTCATGATTTGCTCAGTCCATTTGCTGCCTTCTCTGCAAGGTGTGCATTGCCCGCAAGACTCGTGTCTGTAGAAATGGCTCAACCTCGATATAGCGCGAACAACATCTGTGCTTTTGTCCATGACAATGACAGCAGCTGTCCCTAGACCAGACTGACTATCCTTTAATGCATCAAAATCCATGAGTTGGTCATCACAGATTTCTTTTGGCAAAATTGGAGTCGAAGAACCTCCAGGTATGATAGCCTTCAAGTTATCCCAGCCACCACGGACACCGCCACAGTGTTTGTCGATGAGCTCGCGAAGTGGGATGCTCATCTCCTCCTCAACGGTAACCGGGTTATTTACGTGACCAGAGATGCAGAAGAGCTTTGTTCCAGCGTTCCTTTCTCGTCCAAAGCCAGCGAACCAGCTACCTCCTCTCCGACAAATTGTTGGGGCAACAGCGATTGTCTCCACATTTGCTACAGTTGATGGGCATCCAAAAAGTCCCACGGCGGCAGGGAACGGGGGCTTTAGACGTGGCTTTCCTGGCTTTCCCTCAATTGACTCTATCAAAGATGTCTCCTCACCACAGACGTAGGCTCCCATTCCTCGGTGAATATAGACATCGAAATCGTAGCCAGACCCACAAGCATTCTTTCCGATCAGACCATCCTTGTATGCCTCCTGGATTGCTCGCTGCAAGACGGTTGCTTCGTGGTAGAATTCGCCTCGGATGTAGATATACGCCGCGGTACAGTTCATGGCTCTACCAGCAACCAAACATCCTTCAATCAACTTGTGGGGGTCCTTTCGCATGATTTCTCGGTCCTTGCAAGTCCCAGGCTCTCCCTCGTCGGCGTTGACAACCAAGTACCTTGGTTTGTTGTCTTTATCCCAATCTTTGAAGTTCATAAACGACTGGCAGCTATCAGCATATATCGGACATGCGGAACGCTGTTCGACTCACCCATTTCATCCCAGACGGAAATCCAGCACCACCACGTCCCCGTAGACCGGAAGCCTTGATCTCTGAAATAATCTACCTGACCATCAGTCTTGAAAACTCATATCGCCTAATTTGCAACGTACCCAGTCATGGCCTTTCAGCAAAATCTCCTTTGTCTTGTACCAGTCTCCATACTTCTTCGCACTCGCCAGATCCGCACCATGGTGGCCATATAGATTCTGGAATATACGATCTTGATCCCTTAGTCCTCCATATGTACGCTTTGGTGGAGGTGGCGCATCTTGGACTGTGGCAAGGCCGCGGGCCTGGTGCGAGGGGCAAAAGGAAGCAACTCGAGCGCACGAAGCTGTTGGAAGAACGCGCGTGGAGATGGATGAGACCGCTTTGGGTGAGGGCGCGTGTCGCGATAACATTGTGATGTGGTGTTGTGCTCAATTGAGCAGAAGTCTGGGAGAGACACAAGGTTGTCGTCGATTTGTAGTCTGAGAATCATCGACTTTCTAGGGGCTTTGATTGGTTGCTGTTGAATAGCTACTTTTCTAGGGGTGGCGATGGAGACAACTAGTGCAAGACAACGGAACGGCAATCAAAAGGCTATCGCGAACTTGCGGAACGTTGAACATTGGTACAATGAGAATGTCGTGGCAATGAAAGGGAAGACAAAAATTGCCAACTTCCGCTGGTCTTGCAATGTTCATGGTTTTAAGGCGTTTTTGTAAGTGGCATCAACTTGAAAAGGACGAGCATGCATTCCGATTCATTTAGTTCTCTAAAATTATAGCTTGCACGCATCTCATCTTGTTTCATAACGGCAAAAACATAGCAACATCCGTTGACCCAACTTCTAGCAAGAACAGTCAACCCAAAGCAGCCGGATGAGATCCACTAAAGCAACAAGCATCGTACGACAATAATGTCCTCCAAACGCGCTTCAACTGCTCCAGCAGCACCGAAACCGCCAACATCGCTCTCCCCAACCCTCACAATAGCTGAGCATGCCTCCCTAGTCGGTTCCTACCTCATAACTCTTGGTGCGAATACTGTAGTCCACCCAAGGGCGAAGCTCAACTCGACGTACGGACCCATCACTGTAGGAAGCAACTGTATAATCAGTGAGCGGAGTATGATAGGTCTACAAGGTCGAGGAGCAGATGGAGAAGGGGTCGTTATCGAGGACGGAGTCATTGTAGAAGTCGGGGCAACTGTAGAGTCGAAAGTTATCGGCGAGGGATGCGTGATTGAGGTCAACGCTAAAGTTGGACGAGGTTCTCTATTGGGAACGGTAAGATGAACCGCTGCTTATATGAGGGCGTCGACTGATCTGCTGCAGCATTGTAAAATTGGTCCCCTCTGCGAGGTAGCGGAAGACGAAGTATTGCCGGACTACACGGTCTTGTTTGCAAATGGAATGCGCCGTATAGACAACAGTGGAGTAGAAGATCTGAAGCTCAAGATGGTGGCACGACAAATAGATGTTCTAAGGAGATTAATACCCAGCAACTTGACTAAATTTCAATAAACCACCCGTCTAAAACGAAGAAGCAATAGAATGTAGTAGCTCATCTGAAATTTCCTTTTATCTAATGTTTCATCGACTTTTCCGCCCTGAGCAATCATTTGAAAACAGTGCTGTACATTTGTCGTCCCACCTGAATCCCAATTACGCCATATTGTTTACTCGATAAAAGAAAGCCGAACCAGGCTATGGAACAGTAATGAACTATCATACAATATGACAAATAATACACCACCCTAGATATTTTGCCCTCCAGCTGGCCCGCCGCCTCTCGGTCTCTTTCCAGAATTTCCTTGAGGTCCTCCTATTGACCCATCCTCTCGTGGTCTCTTCTGCCCGACCTGGCCTTGTGGACTATAGGGCTGAGCGCCAGCGTTGAGGCTACCAGATCTCTGCACAGGGTTATTGCCCCTGCCTCTCCCCGGCCCCCCGGCTCCTCGTCCAGCTTGATACATTGGAGTACCACCACGTGCCCTGTTGGCGGGGCCACCTCGCATAGTTGGGATTCCAGATCCACGTTGAGGCGCATTTGATGTTGTGGGAGCCTGGTATATAGAGTCAGTTATCATCCTCACGTCGTCTTTTTCATAACTCACCATTGGAATTTGGCTAGGTGGCAGGCCAGGTGGACTATTTTGTCCAGGAGTAATACTCGCTGCTTGTGAAGAGGTCTCGACAGCTCCAGAAGCAGCGGGCGTGCTTTCAGGCTTTGCGTCTGCTGTCTTTGGCAAGGATGAGGCAGTGCCATTTTGTTGAGCAGGAGCTTTAAGATGTTAGTTTCTATAGGCGCCCTTCTCATTTTGGTACATACCTGGAGTTGGAGGCGGAGGTTTGTATGCTTTAGTCAGTTCCCATACTTCTACGACAGGTCTCTGTGGGGTATCACGGGCTGCTGTCTCCACAATCTCCAGCTTCCCATTGGCCGTTTTGATTCTGTTTTCGGCCATGTTGAGCTTGAGTGAGTTCTTTTTCTCGGTCATAAATACAGCAGATGCTTGTGTGCTCTCCGCTTTTTGTTGTTGCTCTAGAAGCTGCTTTTTGTACTCCTCGTCGAGTTTCTGCTTTTCTTGGATCATCTTGTTCCTCACATTGCTTACAATGATCGATTTTGCCGTCGGGTTCGTTGATAGCAGCTCCCGAATTTTTTCATCACTAAGTTCTGGAATCCTCTGAGTCGGGGTTGGGGGTTCGACTGGAGTTGCTGGTACAGTGGTGGTGTCCTCAGTCTTAGGCTGGCTGGGCGTTGCTGGGACCTGCAATGGTTCTGGAGCTGTGACAGGCGTCGTTGCGAAAGGATTTACTGGAGTAACAGCAAATGGATTGATTGGTGGTGCAGCAGTGGCAGCAGGCTTATTCTCGGCGAACCAAATCTTCTTGTCTTGCTCCAGCTTCAATTGATATTCAGCCTCCAGCTCGGCCTTTTGGGCTTCCCGTGACTCGGCCAACTTCTTATTCAGGGCAGCTTTCATTTTGTCGGATCTTGTTTTAAGAGTGTTTTCAACCTGCTCCTCAAGCTTGACTGCCTTTTCTTCTTGCTCCTTAGCTCTGGTTTCGGCGGCAGCAATGCGCTCCTCTAAAGCCTTTCTCTCTTCATCAGAAATACCCACCTTTGGTGACTCTTCAACCTGACCTTCCTCACTTTCATCCTGATTTGCTTGATTGGATGTGGCCGAGCGTTGAGAAGAACGTGCCTCAGCAGCATCTGCAATGGCTCTGTCCCGGTCGACATTCGCCTGTCTAAGTTGTTCCTTAAGACTGCTGAGCTCAGTTTCTATGGCACGCTTTTCTTGCGTTACCTCGTCAACCTGTTGTCGAAGATTGGCGATCTCCTGTTCCAAATGTTCGTTGCTCGTTTGTTGGGTTGCATCGGCGGCAGGGGATACTGTGGAACGGGCCGCAGCAGATTGCGAGGCGTCGACCAAAGCGCGGTCACGCTCTGATTTGATCGTTTCGAGTTCTTGACTGATTGCCTTAAGTTGTTGTTCTGAGGATTCCTTTTCTCGAACGGCAGTCTCAAGTTGTGCTTGCAAACTATTGAGTTGTTGTTGGAGGGTATCCTTTTCTTGTAGTGCGGTGTCTCTTTCTGCCGTACGATCTTTAATATCTCTGGTTTGGATGCGTGATCTTTCTTTCGCTTGGTCAATGAGCTTGGCTCGGCTCTGTTGCCAGACAGTCTTTTCACCTTCTAATGCTTGGATCTTCTCCTCGAGAGGCTGCTTTTCCTCAAGCCAGGTACCACGCTCTTTTTCCAGATTCTCAACGGTCTCCTTGAGCTGCTCCATTTCTGCTGGATCAATACGGTCGTGTTTGGAAATGATGTCTTGGGTCCGCTTTTGCCATCTATCGCGATCTTCTTGCAACAATCGCATTTCGCCTTCGGAAGTCTCTTTCCCATGTTCAAGTTCTCGAATCTTGGTCTCGAGGGGTTGGATCTGAGCCATAAGCTCTTCCACACGCTTATTCCTCTCGGTCAATTGGGTCTGGGCTTGTCGAGCTTCGTTTCGCAAGGTGATGCTACTTTCGCGGAAGAGGTTTAATTCATTCAGCTTTTCCATCAGATCTTTATGGGCAATGGCGCTTCGGCCTCCATCGGCCTGTGAACGTCTTTCTTGATCGAGTTTGAGACGACTCTCATCAAGTTGGGATTGAGCGTATTCCAACTGCTGTTGAAGGCGCTTAGCTTCTTGTACTTTCAGTTCATATTGAACTTCAACGATTTCTTTCTCGCGCCTCAAGAAAGCGTTGAGCTCACGGAGTCCTTCGGCTGTGCGATCATAGGTGGAATCGACTGGCGGAGAAGCAGATTCTCCAGATTCTGCCAAGGCATTTCGACTTTGTTGTAAGGCAGAGAGCTGGGTTCCGAAATTTTCCAGTTGTTGATGGAGCAACTTGTTTTGCGCGTTAACGTCGTCACGGCGTGTTCGTAGCTCACTGAGCTCTTGCTCTAGTTGCTGTCTACGCTCGTCCCAAGACGCTTCGCTCTGGCTCAATGCCACACGAGCCGACTCGGCATCAGCTTTGAGTCCTGCGGATTCTGCCTTCATCTGGTTGTAATCACCACGAAGGGCCTGAAGTAGCTTTGCCGCCTCGGCATGTTTGACCAATTCGTTCTCATAGTCCTGTTGAGCTTTCGTAGCAATTGCCGCCTGCGCACGAAGATCTTGTTGGTGGAACTGGGCAGCTGCAGCATGTCTTTCATCTTCGTCCTTAAGTCGAGCAATTTCCTGTTCGAGGATTGCTTTATCGCTATCGACTTGTCTAGCAACTTCATTCTGCTGGCTGCGTAGAAGTGTCAGGTCGTTATTAGTCGTCGTGAGCTCGGCGGATATATCATCAACACGCTGCTGCAAATCGTGGATTTTGGACTCCTTCTCCTCAACAAGACGGTCCATTTCTTCTCTGTACTGATCGTGTGTAGTATTTAGGCTTTGTAGCTCTTCCTCAGAAGCTTGGCTAATAGACTTGTATTGTTCTGTTTGTTGCTTTGCGCTCTCAAGCTCAGACTTGGCAAGATCGAGATCTCTCTTTACTTCCGAAAGCTCTATCGCGAGTTCTTGTTCTCTATTCGTTTCTTCTCCATCTGTATTTGACGAGCCATCCCCGTTCTGGACAGGTCGTGGGGTAGGGCGTGGCTGTAGAAGCTCAACTCGCTCTTCAGCGCTCTTCAACTCGATGGACAATTCGTCCACGCGTGCTTGTAGGTGATCTCTCGTGGTTTTAGCCGCGACCAGCTCTTCACGGGCGTTACTCAGACTGCTGGCAAGTTCATCGATACGTTTTTGGGTTTGCTGAGAATCATACTCCTTTCTGAGCTGCGCTTTCTTGTTGTCCTCAATCTCGTCATTCAGTTTACGCTTTGTCGTGGACAGTTCCGCCTCGAGTGTCTCGACCTGAGTCTGAAGTCGCCGCCTCGTCTCCGATTCGTTTAATTCTCGCTCATTTTGCATCGTTTGCTGACTTGCGACCAGGTTGTTTAACCTGCTCCGCTCGTTCATCAATGCTTCGTTGTCCTGGCTCAATCGATCCTGGATATCCTTCCAAAGCTTTTTCTCAGCTTTCAGGTTGGCGTTTTCATTCCGCATGCTTTCCACCATCCCTTTGGCCTCAATGAGATCTTCTGCAACTTGCTGAGTACGTAGATCTTGTTTAGCAGCAGCTTCCGAAAGACCTTGAGATCGTTTCTGCAATTCGCTGTTCTCATTCTGCAGCATTGTATAGTTAGCATGCAGCATCTCATACCTCTCATTTGCAAGTGTGAGCTGGCTACTTGTCTTTGCGATCTCAGCCTGCAAAGCACCCTTCTCCAACGAAAGTTTCTCGGTCTGCTCTTTCATAGTCCGGCGATCGGTCGACTGCTCTTCTCTGTACTGATCAAAATGAGCTTGCAACTCTCTCAACAACGTGGGATAACTGGTGCTATTGCCAGAGCCCTGTTCTATAGTTGACACCACACCGTTTTGATTTCCGTCAGTGGATTGGCCAAACATGGAAGCAAGATCAGAGCCGGCAGGAATCTGTCCTCGGTTTTGGAGCATGCGGCGGAACATGTCCCGTTCTTTGATGTAGCTTTCCGATCGGGTAAGCGTCGATTTAAGTTCATCCTTGTAGTGTTCAATTTTCCCCCTTAAGCTTTCCACTTCCTCATGATCCTGTGCAGCTTTGTGCTTAGCGGATAATGCTTCCTCGCTCTCCATCTGCTGACCTAACTCTCTTGTGACCTTGAGCAGTTCCTGGTTCTTCTCTTGCAATTCGGAGACATTTCTGAATACTCTTAATCTCTCGGTTATGAAACGATCGGTGTCAGTCGAGCCCTCAAGTTCTTCTTCACTGACTTCGCCACGGGCTAGGCGCTCGAGTTGTTCCTTTTCTGAGGCGGTCATAGCCTCGAGTCCTCTATCTCTGGCATCTAATTCACATACTAGCAATTTTATCTGTGCACTTAGATCTCGAAGCTGTGTTTTGAGAATGTTCGACTCGGCGTGGGCGGTTGAAGCCTCGCTTTCGGCCTTTCTCAAATCTTTCTTGGCGCGATCCCGTTCCTTGCCAATGTTGTCAACGAATTTTGACATCTGCACAACCTCCTGTTGCAAACGATCGTGCTCATTCTGCATTTCTTCCAATTCTGGCTGCTTAGCTTCAAGACCAGCGAGCATTTCCTCCATCTCAGTAGCAAGTCGTTGACTTCGAAGCTTCTCAGCAGATAATTGCCCCTTGACCTTGTAGAGTTCATCAATCGCTTGAGTCGCCGTGATGGCAGATTTACCTCTCGTAGACCCTGGCGTGCCGAAAATTGCTGGAGAACCAGACCTCCCAAACACAGAGCCATTAAGGCCTTGGCGAGGGGTCCCTGGGACAGATCCTGGCCGAGCATTTGCTGCTTCCAATCGAACAGTTGCGACCTCCGCCTCAAGCTCAGAAATACGGTTCTCGGCTACTTCTCGCTCCTGTCGTTCAGTTTCTGCTTCCTGTCGGCATCTTCCGACCTCCTCAGCAGCCTCGTCTTTAATTCTCTCCAGGGTGGCTTCCACTTCTTTCAAGCGGTTGCGATGGGTTTCAGATTGTTGCGACTGTAATTTAGTAAGACGTTCAGCCCGCTCCAGATCCTGACGGAATGCCTCCTCGGCCTTAGCAGCTGCTTCCTGGTGCCGTTGCACGTTTGAAAGGGCATCTTCCGCTTTCTTCTCTACTTCACTGAGTCGCGCTCTCAAAGCCTGTTCTGTCTTTTTCAAGGCCCCAAGGTTCGAGTTAAGGTCCTCGTTGTGACGTTGAAGCTCTGCAAGTCTCGCGCCCTTCTCCTTGCGGTATTTTTGCGCCTCTGCATTCTTAGTTTTCAATTCGTTTTCAAACCACTCGCCATTGCTCTTGGCAAGTTCTACCTCCTGTTTGAGCGATTGCTCTCTGAATCTGGCACTTGAGACGGCGGAATTGGTGTTTTGAACAGACTGCTGAAGCGTGGTTATCTGCTGGCTAAGTTCTAGACCTTTCTGGTGCTGCTTCTGTAGTTCTTGCGCCAGGTTATCATTGGCAGTAGTCTTGGATTCGAGCACAGCTATGGTGTCACGGTTGGCAGATTCGAGGGATGCGATTCGGGTTCTGAGAGTTTCGACCTCGGATGTCGAAGTGGAAGAGGAAGATTTTAACGTTTGCAGTTCACCTTCGAGGCCAGAACGCTTGGTTTCTGTCATGTTCATGTTAGCATATATCCGCCATGGATTGGATGATGAACGAGTAATAACCTTCTTCTTTCAATTTTGTGCGCACTTCTTCAACGGTTTTTTGGCCCTGCTCAACACTACTTCTCAACCCCTCTATACGCGTCTCTGAGCTTCTGACGGCATTCTCCAGTTCAATGTCCAACCGGTATTTATCTGCAACCAGAACATCATGTTCGCGCGCTTTAACAGTCACAGCTTCTAGTACTGATCGGACAAGCTCTGCAGTTGGTGCATCGAGTACGGCTGCAAGCGTATCTTGCGCAAGGTGTAGATAACCTGATAGATAATCCACATCTACTACTGCCGTAGCCATATTCTGAATCAGGTAGTCATCAAGACTAGCGGGCGTCGCAATGTCTGTTTGTAAATTACGTTGCCGCGAAAAGGGAACCGCGTTGTGCTGAAGAATGCGACTTGTCGCCTAGCTGGTTCCAGATATACCGAGAACAATCAATCCGTGTGAAAACCCTTCAGCGCATATCGTGAAGCTCGACTGAACGGGTGCGCTTTTTCGGCCTGGGTGGTCGAGGGACTGGTGATATGATTGCTATCGACTCAAAGAGCTTTGCGTTGGTGAACATGGAATATCTACGCTTAGGGACTAGCGCCAAAGTAGCTGTACGCGCTAGTGGAGCCTTGTACGAAACCGCAACCTTGCCTTGCATCATGAACATCACCTGAAAGACAACTTCCTCACAACCTTCGATTCCCTTTGTCTTGAGCCCATTCACGTTCGAGGTCCATTAACAGCCTGCAAATGACAGGTTCTCTTCTTTCTGTTATTATTCGGCCTTCATTCATCGCAACCACCTCCGTTGGATCCGCTCCGTTCTCACATCTTGATCAAAACCAACCGCGTACCACCTATTGCAGCGACTTCTAAATCCCATCGCCCTATCCCTACCTTCGTCCGGTTCACCATGTCTTCCTATCTCGAGAAACAGCAAAGGGCCTTCAAGGGCAATGTTGCATCTGCTGCCTCGAAGGTTAATAACACGAAGCGTCCCAATGGCCTTACATCTAAGCCAGAGGCTGCACCTTCTCCAGCTCCATCCAATGCCTCGAACGCTTCAAAGACTGAAAAGGAGAACAACAAGCGCAAACGGGATGCTGCTCTGGCAGCTTCCAATGCTAGTACGGTTTACTCCCAGCCTGCTCAGACTGGCTACGGCACAACAGCTTTCACTCAAGTCACCTATGTAATCGACTTTTTGAAAGCCAAAGATGAGCCCAAGACATTTGAGCAGATTTTAGCATATCTGAACCAGATGAAAGCGACGGAGGATAGCAAAAGACTGATTGCACAAATTCTAAGGCGTCATGAACGAGTAACGTGGAGCCCAGACCCGGCACTCAAAGCTCAGTCTTGGGACTCTGGTACATTCGTGCACCGGCCACTTATCAACGTGCGAAGCAAGAATCAGCTTATAAGCTACATACAGGCCAAGACTGACGCCCGGGGCATTCCAGTGAAGGAACTCAAAGATGGCTGGCCGGATTGTGAAGACGCGATTAACGAACTCGAAGCGGAACACAAGATCCTGGTGACTAGGACGAAGAAGGATAATCATGCTCGGATGGTTTGGGGCAATGATCCGAGCTTGGTCCACAAAGTTGATACGGAGTTCCAAGTGATGTGGAACAAAATCGAGCTGCCAAGTGTCGACGATATCGTACGGAAACTGATGGACGCGGGCCAAAAGCCAGCGAGTGAAGATCCAAGCAAACGTATCAAGGCCGCAGCTAAACCAAAAGAGAAGAAGAAGAAGGCCCCCCGCAAAGGTGGCAAGGTAACCAACTCACACATGGCGCACCTCCTTGTGGACTACAACGGCAAGTTCAGCAGATGATGTGCTGGGCTTGACACACAAAACATAAAAGCATTATCCGGCGTTCTGGAAAATTTGATGGAGCATGGTGTCTTAGCGCTGGCGTTTGGTATCGGGATTGGGAACTGGCAGGTAAAGGGTTAGGCATTTTCTGCCTGATGTGTACTTTATCGAGACATATGCCGCAGCTAGGGATGTTACAGTAGGTCTTCAGAGCTCAAGAATAGTTCGTTGGCCTACAAAACAACATTCTTTTCGTGACGCCAAATCATGTGACATTTTCCAGGTTGCTCACGTCAAATTCTCCGAGCTACGGCGGAAGCCGGCCACAGACTTTCAAGCTCGGTATTCTTCCAATGCCGGTGGAATATTTGAAATGATTTCTAATCATTTCGAAAAGTCTCCGCAGTACCAAATTAACGATAAGTAATCTATATATCTCTTTCTTGTATGTAGTCAGTACTACTTACTGATTGTAAAACAATACTATAAACATATACAGTACGCTAGTGCCGCTTCTTGTTCTGGTTTCTTCGCGATCTTTCTCAAATTTATGTTCCGGCCAACCTTGCGCAAAATGACGAATTTCAATATTGAGATCGTTAGTGATACCGTTTGTCCATGGTGCTATGTTGGCAAACAGAAGATGGATAAAGCCATCAATGCGTATAAAGAACTGCATCCGGAATCAAATGATACCTTTGCAACCACATGGAAACCGTACTACTTAGCACCCGACTCACCTAAAAAAGGTAAACATGGCTTACTTTACGCCGTTTATTATCTTCAACTAATTTGGGTCCAGGTATCGACAAGAATGCATGGTACAAAGAAAAGTTTGGAGAAGAGCGTGTTGCGATGATGCAAGAACGACTCCTTCAGATAGGGAAAGATGCTGGCATCAACTTCAAGTTTGGTGGCAAAACAGGTATGCATTTCACTGTCTTTGTCCATATGATATTTTTGGAAACATCCTCGTGTCTATTTTTCGACATTTCTCCTGATGGACTCGACGTCTCTCTGGCATAACCACTAACGATATAGGAAATACACGAGACTCCCACCGACTAATTCAACTCGGCAAATCTAAATCACCTGCTTCGCAAACCGCCGTTATCTCCGCCCTCTTCAATGCCTACTTTGAGAGCGAAGGCGATATCACTGATCACTCCGTTCTCCGAGCTGCGGGTATCAAGGCTGGTCTCCCAGAGAAGGAAGTCAATGAGTGGTTGAAGAGCGACAAGGGTGGCGAGGAAGTCGATATCGAGGTTGAGGAAGCGAGACGGCTGGGTATCAGTGGTGTGCCAAATTTCACCATCAATGGCAAATATGAAATTGGTGGTGCGCAGGACCCTTCGGTGTTTTTAAGGCTCTTTGAAAAGATTAAAGCTGGTGAAGGAGCGGGGAGGGTTGCGAACGGGGATGGGTGTTAGATGTGTGATGATCAATACGTTTGGTATCTCGAATCATCCGTGACTTGGGGATTGCATTGTACTGCGTTGGGTATTTGATATTGGCTTCGTATCTTTCTTATTTCTTTGTGTCCCTGCAGCATCGCACCATGTCAAGGCTCTGTATCTCGGGCTTGTGGATAGATAGTGACATTGTGCTTTGCCGTTTTTCATGAAGTTCACTCATGCTTGAGTATTAACTTACTGCAAAGCAGAAGTCGACTCGACCTATGTTTGTGTTTCCCAAATGTATATCTATCGCCTGAAGCCGATTGGATTGCTGTGGGTAGACAGTCGAGATAGCGGTGCTCGGCTCTAAAGTATCATCAAGTACGATCATATGTTCGCCAAAATGATCCAGAATTCCCGTTTAGAAGCGTTGGTCCTTTTCAATCTTGTTTATCATGAAGACTTGAAACCCGGCGTTGAATGAAAGTAATCTAGCATATTTCACCTTCTTCGATCGAATATAAGCAGAAGTTTAAGAGTTCAGTAACGGTCAATTATTGCTTTCGATATTTTCAACACAATGGCAACATTCTTTTCATTAACTTCCAAATTGAAATCAATGTCAGAGTTACTTTAAGCCTTGGAGAGAAACTTTTCTATGTGTCTTTGATGAATATTCTGTTGAAAGTTAAAACACAAAACAGTAACAATTTAAATACTACAATAATGTGGGTTCGTTTGGTCTGCACAAAGCCTGACATTTTGATCACAAATGTGATGATAGAAGCTTATTCACTGCACTTGGTGAAAAGTGGTGCCTGGACTTGAAAGTGTCTTGATTTCATATGTCTTGTATACTCGTTTTACAAGTTCAGTCTTTCCAGGCCAGACAAAGCTTAGGTTTCTGACAATGGTATGCATAAACACATCTTTTACATCTGACTGGGTCCCTGGGTCATTTCATTCCGTTGACCGATAAGTAGTAAAATAAGACGAAGTCAATTCGAGCGATTATCACAGGTTGTTTCTGAAATTTTTTGTCTTATAATTTCACTAAGTCAAGCAAGTACTGAGAATGAGGCATTTCCACTTAAGACTCACTTGAGGCTCACTGGCAAACCTCACTGGATACTGTAAGTAGACGGACTTCCACATGTTCATCAAATAGCTTGCCTTTACACTTCAAACAAACACTTACACGAAAGTGCGTCTTCATAATATTGCGCCTTTCCTTCTTTCTAACCCCCTCAAGATCTGAACATCAAGCATTACTTATGCATACTTGATGGACTCGAATAATCGGCCTATATATGTGGGTTTTCATACCGCTGTCACTGGCTAATTGTTGTCATCTTCCATGCTCGACATTTATTATCGTCCACAATAAATTCAAAACTCAAAACAATATCTGGAGCTTTTTTTCTCCAGTTTTAGTAATGTAGGTATAGTGAGTTATAATTGACGAAAGCGTAGTTTATAATTCGGATGAAGAATATGGTTTAAAGGCCACTTTTTATGGAGAAGATTGGGAACTCGCGAAGATGAATAGCGGTGTATAGGTAATAAATAACCGAGCAGAATAAGGGATTGAGTGAGAAAGTCGGATAGAATATAGCACCAATCGTGGAAGAGATGGGCGTACATTTTGTATACTGATGTGTTTGTGACCCAACCAGTGTGTTGCAAGTCTGCTGGGCGTTCAAAACGCCATAATCATTTAATTTAGTTGAGTAAACATATAACATCGTGTCTAGGAAAATGGCTAGATATGCGTCTCAGGGAAGGAGCTTGAAATCGGGGTGGTAATATTTTTATATTTGAAGGTGCCCCTTATGTCTTGCAATGGGCTGGTGTAGCAACGAAGAAGCAAATTATCAGGTTAGAGGGGCCATAGATACCCCGGAAAGCGTCTGCAAACACCACCATGCACTGATTGGAAACTGCTAACCCTATATTGAAAGTTGACGAGGGGTGATGAAAAATGCCAATCACTACATCTCATAACATAACCAGCAAGTCTCACCACAATCACCACAATCATCTCACCAAAAATAAATAACCATAGTTTCATCCGATCATCAGACAAGCTTTTCGGATCCCACGCTTAAAGCGCCAAATCAAAAATATCCAATATCATCACCCGCGCGGTGAAGTTCTCAGTCTTCAAAGCGCCAACGGCGCGAGGGCCTCCCGAGCGCGTAGATGTGATAGCAGATGCCCATGCACGGAGAGACTTTCGGAATTTACCACTCGATGACAGAATGTGCGAGATGTCCATATCTCAGTTCTCATGCAAGAGAAGGTGTGTCTAATCACAGGAAGGGAAATTTCTGGGGGACCGAAATGAGCGCTGGTGCCCAACTCAAACCTTAACCTTAAATGGGGAGACTGATCAGCGAAAGTTGGGAAACAACTAATTAGAGCTATAGATCATCTGTCTCTTGAACGGATAAGATGGTTCCCGGCTGTCTTATAAGTCTAGCTGGAACTTATTGTGATGCTGATCAAGAAGTGGGAATGATGGTGTCCCAACGAGGACGTTGATAAACTCTCACACACATGTTGAGATTGCATTTGAAGAAAAACAGCAGGAGTCCAAAGACGAATGATAGCTGGCAAGCCAAGGTCAAAGACAAGGCCCAACGAGTGTAAGGATCCTTACTAAGCTTGGAGATGTGAAAGCTCGTTCACTGCCCAATCTTTTGAAGGATCGCTGCTTGAGACACTTGACTTGCACGAAGGTCTGGGCACTTGTCAACCCCAGAAACCGATACACAACGATATCAGTATCTGGTTGCAACCATCTTGATGAAAGTAAGATTCGGCAGATATCCCGCCGTTCCATGATGCTTCTAGAAGGATCCTTAGACCAGCTACACCGACTCATGGTCCTTTAAGTGATCGGAGCAGGACGCCTCAAGAACAACCCTCTGAGACTCACGACCAGCCGTTGTAACGAGGCTGAAATCTCTCGCAGGATGAGCTTCTTCCAGAAGAATCATGGAGTAGATCCAGGGATTACTATTACCTTTTGATCTTAGGATGGCGGTTTTAGCGAGAGGTTTAGTAAGGATGCTACTATTTCGAGAGGCGGTAAACATAAGTAGGTGAGGCGTATCCAGAGCAGTGTCATACTTGCCCGCAGGTGCTCACACGGTGTAGATCGATCGAAATATGCCGAGAGATGTATCTTCAGCTAACCATGACCTGCTGAAACAAGGTCGCCGAAGATGGTCTACGCTGAAGATTGTTGTTACTTCAATTTATTGACTGTTGTGGCTTGCATATGAGTAGGGACGAGATGTGGGACGCCAGGTACCGTTAGCATCCTCATGGCAAGTCCTGGAATGATGGAGGGTAACCTTACTTGGTGAAATTGAGAGGTAACTTTACACTATTCTTTCACTAACGTATAACAACTGTTAAGCAATATAAACGTGTTACTAAACAAGAATCTAGTGCACATCAACTAGACGATGTACAAGTACAGCACCAGCAGAGCGATTGACAACACCCAGGACATGACGTACCTCTCACCTCGTCACCGCAAAACGTAGACAACCTTAGCTGCGAAGATGCGCGCTTCTTTGCCGAGCGGATGGGCATCCGGAATTCGACCCTCGAACCTGGCCTAGTCCACTTCTAATGGTGGGGACGGCAGATCCTACAATTTGCAGTTGCGCGAATCTGCATTTATATTATTAGCTAGCGTGCCTTATATTATGATTTCGAGACGCAAAAAAGAATATCAGCCGGCTGCTATTGTGTGTGGGGATTTCCATATCTGAATAATAAAGGAACTGCTGCGAAAGACCCACAATCATGTAAGATTATATTTGTTGCGAGAAAACACTCTGAGAGGACTGGTTCTGCGATGTTCAATACCTCAACGGTGAAGTGATCATTATTTTGAGTACTGTACTATCTTGATACTTTTCAAGTTTGCATCAGCATCCAGGATTGAGTTTTGATGCTGCCGTTGAGAGATGTCATACTGAATGAATAGATGGTGAGACACCGGCTTGTTCTAATTTGGGTATGATTCCAGAAGCGCTCAATGCTTCTAGCGTGGAATAAATGGCCCCGAGCCACGAGAAGCACGGGACCTGGGACAGATTAGGAAGTGCTTTATGGGCCCAAATTTCCTGTCAAGATGCTGTTGTCGAATCGCAGCCGTAGAAATGCTCAAACATAACCCGTATGCAGCAGAAATGCTAGGATCAGCTTGGCGGGGACGTAACTGATTGTTTCTCTTTCGGCGCCGACGAGCATTGACATGAGACTAACGTAAAGGATTGTTCACAGCTGTGGGCTCTGGCGACCCTTCAACAACAACATTCCAGGGCTATCCTCGGAACGTCCCTCTTGGGATCGATTGCCGTTCCGAGCGGAGATATTCGCGGAACGTGCCTGGATGAAGAGGGGAGTATCCACAGCAAGATTCAAGTGAAATGAACAGTGAAGGACTGGACATGCCATTCGCACTGGTTGGGCGGCCAGAAGATGACCACGACTGTGAGTGTTGTGACTTAGGATAGACAGACTGGATAGGCGAAGCTACATCAATGTTTGTCGACAAGGTATGCGAGAAGGTAGCAGTGGTTGTTAGGCAATCGGCACTCGCTTGTCACCTAGGATCAGTTCGAGACATACGAAAATCATATGCGCTGCTTCTACCTTAGGTACAGATACTTTGGCAGTTAGTGCAGGCGAGACTTCGCCCTACGGGTACCTAGTCTAAGCATGTATTTATTAGCAACAGAAAATGCAGATACAGAGTGTTGATTCCCCTGGTTTAGTCCATTTAAAGCGATAGGGGAAGTTTCTCAACAACCCAGAGCAAGCCCGATTTGGGTTGTGACGAATTATTGCAAGGGTTCCACGTTGCATACTAAGGAGCGTGAGGTACGGAGGTACATTTGCTTGGAGTACCGGCAACGACGAGGCGGGTTCAAGCTGTGATGCCTCCTGGGCCTGAGCACTGGCATTTCAAGGCCAAGAGGTTCGAGGTTGTGACATGCAAAAGGAAAAGCATATTGGTGAAGTTTCCGAGTTGATAATCGAGCAATATTCTCTTACCAGCATGGCAATATTGACTTTGGCATGCTTCTTTTGGTCAAGATATCTCATTGTTGCCCCAATCATCTTGCGAGGAGGCCATGGGGCATTGCCATGTGCTGCGAAATAGTTGCACAGACCTCTCGCACTGCAGTCGCGTGGCAGCCCATCTGCGACCCCTAAAACAAATCTCCATGAGAATCTTCAGCCCGGGTCGGATTTGAGCTTGGATCAAAATTGTTGCGGTGAGATGACTGCAGCAGATCAGGTATTGCTTGACAGAGATTTGCTTCTTCTTTGCGTTCAACCTGGTGAGACCCCCCATCTTTCGGTAACGACCTGATGTCGTACTGATGTCGGGTCCTGAGACATGATGGAAGTAGTTGTGTATTAATCAAGTTGATGTGCTCTAGAGTGTTGAGGATTGTTGATATTCTAATCATGGAACATACCCCTGACACTCGTCAACCGCCGTTACTAAAATCATGTTCTTCTTGGAGCTGCCAATACCATAATAGAGGTTGACGGATCTGCACCATCGCTATTTGGTAGGGCATCTTGAAATGAAACAGAGCTTTGCGGGCTCAAATATGCAGCTCCAAGTGCCCGTTTCGCTGCAGCAATCATCAGCGTCGCCTGTAGTATTCTGCAGTCGACGAGTTTATTTCGTCATCAGCCTCTTGAGTCCAAGTGGTCCATGGCGATGTGAAGGAGCACGATGCGGTCTATGCTATGATTTTCCGGGAGCTGTCCTAGCGTCCGCTTAGCCAAACGCAACGCAAAGATTGGACATTGGGATATCATTGGGGCGGTTGCAATTAAAGAGGGCGATACAGAGTACTCGAGTATATATTTTCCTTGATCATGTTTTGTTTTTGTTGTTTCGTTAAGATGTCCTGTTGCGGTATACCTACTGTAGGTAGTTCGCAGTTCTGGCTTGCTTTCTGATTGTACGATATTCTTGGACGCCCATTTGCATAGGAATGGTTACTGCGTCTAACGCCTCGTCGTCTGCATTCGAGAGTCAACTTTGATAGGATTCTAGGAGGTTGACGGATACCATAGAAACCACAAACACCCATCACGAGATGTGATGTGATGTCGTCTTTGCTTTAGCGCATGCCAGTACGAATAGCAGGAGAGACTGGCTGAGAAGACTCGAGGCAGCTTCTTGGCTACTTGATTACAAACGATTCAACAATAGAAACTATGGAGAAGACTTGCTGCTGGCCAAGAGACAACCGCGACTGGTACTGTGAGGGCGATTGATGTTTCATGGTTGAAACAAGTGAAGGTTGCTTTCTTGAATTCGGAGATGATTACAGAAGAGGCTAAGGATAATTTAAAGCTCGCCTGGCCGACGAGTCGACGACTGGAAGTCGCTGGGCAGCAACGTGACCGTCTTCCGCAAAGGGCGAACCAAGGTCGGCCATTTGAATGCTTGGATCTTGTGGGACATTGGCTGTCCGTCCAAGTTGAGGCTACCAACCGGGAAGCAGGACGACGTGTGCCACAGTTTTGCAGCTCGCGGGAGGAGGTACGACGCTGGTGCTGGCTCCCAGACTCTGTCTGGTCGATCTGGGAGTCGTCCATCACGCCGCGGGCAGTCAACAATGGAGCTTCTGTGACCTGACCGAGATATATTCTTTTTATGCAGACGAGGACTTTGGGTCTAGCTCCTTTTCCAGAAAGCGGTTTTTGGCATTGCGAGCAATGTTTCACACCGATGGAGAGCGGCCACACCAACAACTATAACAGAAATAGAAAGCAGACGCAGACTAGAGTATGAGATCGAGGAACGAGTCGACAACGGGGGTCGAAGGGTGTCACGGCCAACACGGGGGGAGGGAGGGGGTGCAACACTCGGGCCAAGGTTGGAAGGGTGAGACCTTCTAGCGCGGAGCTAGTGTGCTTCCAGAAGGCACCTCCCCTGTGGATAGCGGAGCTGCTCTAAGATCAGGCATGAATCAATGCCTCGAGCAGAACCCACAGGAGGAAAGCATGCCAGGCGTGGTTAAGGGCGATGACATGGTAATTTCGAGGGGGGACAGAATTTCATAAGAAAGTGTCTGCGCCCGGATCTTAGAGATGTCTATTGACTTTATTATTTGACTCTCCAAAACTTCTATTGACGTTCTGATCGACGTCTTGTTTGCTGTGCTTCTCCCTGTCTGTCTACGTACTCCGTTCGTTCCCCGTTACCGAGTCATCATCTCGCCCATGACCCATCGAGCCACCTCCCACCTCATATGATACCTAGGTACTGTCGACCCGCTCAGGCTACGTTCCTCCTCTCCTCGCAGCACCAGTCACTGGACTGGCCAGAGAACGCTTCACCTATCGCATCCGGTGGACGGCGCTCCAATATCCTCTGCACGAGATAGCCCAGTCCTGATACAAACATTACCGCGACATCCCACGCCACCGCCGCCCGCCCACGAGTCGATAGTCGCAGAACAAACTTCGCAAACGTGGAAAACAAATTGCGGTCGAGGATTGCTGGAACCCCCCGTCGCAACGTTCGGGCGCCCACACTCGTGCGTTAGCGAAGGCTCAGGCACAGTGTATATCCCCACGCTCGCCCAGCTGCCCCCAGCACAACTGCGTAGCAGACCGGCAACCAAAGGGAAACTTTTCGCTTTGGGACCAGGTACCTTGACTCGAACCCAAACCCAGAAAACCCGCGTCTGCACATCAGAAACTTTTGGAATTTCCTCATTCCTCATTCCACACTCCACACAAAAACACCTCACTCTCCCACGCCGCCCCCGACCAGCCCACGTCCGCAACCCTCGAACAATCGCCTTGTGCCTCTGCTAGGGTCGCGTACCGGTCCACGCTCATCCACCGAGGTCTCTCGACCAGAAGTCTGGTACCCGAAAACCTTCAGGACTTTGCCATTCGACATCGTCAACAACACGCCTTCAGTCCCGCATCCCTTGAGGCAGTAATTCACGTCGCTGTTGGAATTTCACCTCCCAGCAACGGTCGAACGTCCGCTCGATTCACTCGAAAATTTGGTATGTAGTGGCCCATCTGTTTGGGCTGGTGTCCTTGATTAGAGCTAACCTCCTATTGCCCTGCAGAATTTCTAGCAATAATATCAACCCGACTCCTCGACGCCGTACCCATCGACGGTAACACCTGAAAACTCAGACGGGATCCCATGCTCTCTTTAACCGCGATCTGCCATTAAACCGCCGCCTCTTTATCCTACCACGCAGCGTCCTCAAAACCTGCCTCCAGCCTGCAAAGTCGGATTTCGCAGCAGTGGTCTATCCACCCTCCTGCTTCACCGCTTCATTCAGTCCACGCGTTGAAAAACTGTGCAAGAGGAGTCTATCTAGCTGGTCGTCATAACCTTCGCCCGACACCGCACAAGAACGCCGTTCTCCAACGATACAGCAGCAGAGTTTTTGTCGCCGAAACCTCGAACCACATTTTGAACCCAGCCTAGATAATCGACAAGTCATTCTATCAGACGAACCTTTGGCTTGTGCCGAGAAAGCTGCATCAAGCCGCGACTCTCAAAGGAAAGCAAGACACCAGACGGGTTGTTGTGATACATCTATCGAGAACCAAAATTTTATTCCAAAAAGCTATCGCCACGACATCCGCTGTCTGACGCGCTTTCCGTTCTACACCCTCGCCTTTGTCGACCTGGAATTCTCCAAAAGTAACTGTTGCGCCTCAATAAACTTGAACGAGTCTACGTTTCAGCAAAAGACCACTCAGATTTAACCGGAGGCTCGGTCGCCCGTGCGTTTCTGATACTCTTGCCTATCAGCCATTCCACGACCCGTATTGGCGGATACCATTTAGCAGGGGATACAAAACTGAGGTTAGTCTAAATCCCATTTGATCTCGTCCCCGCCATTTACTACATGGGAGAGGGCACTCGGGTCGATGCAGCTTTACATACCTGCTATCCACTTTTACTCTTGTCCCAGTGTTGTTCGTCCACGACACGAGGATTGGCGGTGAACGTGAGCGGCTGCATTAACTGCCGCCATTTCGTGCACCCATATTTTGTATAATGTTCTGACCCCTTCTTAGGAGACACGAATCAAGGAAGATTATCACCTTCTTCAGCTTTAGCTACTCTTTTTTTTTAGACACGGCCGCATCTGAAGTCTCGCATTCTCTTCACCTTCATACTTTCGTCACATTTTGACAACCCATCGCGCCGAGGATACATATTCTGCCAGTGCTTTGTATCTTGAGCGACGGCTCCTTGCCGAGACATACCAGCAACTCGAGACATATCATCAGGTTCCCGACTTTCACCTGAACAGCTGGACGAACACTTGACCCGAGCGCCTAAAGTCCCTATATCCGTTCACCCCCTTCGTTGCTCCCTTCGGCTTTTGCCAGCCGACCAAATTCTACGTTGCTCTCGCTAGCATGGACATTAAGCAAATCGTGAATTCGAAAGGAGGAAAAGTAGCAGCGGCAGCAGCGGCGGCAGCCAGCGGAGCAGCACAAGACTTACAACTACTTCATTCAATTCAACAAGCCAACAATATGGCCCCAATGTCGGACACTGGCTCAGAGAGAGGCACTTCGCCTCATGATTCCGAGCGCTCACACTATTCCGGTCCTCGTTACGGTCCATCAATGACCAACATGAATGGTGGACCGAACTTGATGCGCTATCCTTCCCCGACTGCAATGCAAAACCCGATGCCAATGATGCAGCAGCCATATCAGCCCAACCCAAACTTCGAAAATCCTATGATGCAGCCGGAGCCTCCTCGACCTGCTCGCCAGACCACAGGCGAAGGAGCTCCAAAAGCATTCCCTTGTAGTTCATGTGGAAAGGGATTCGCTCGTCGAAGCGATCTCGCAAGACATGGTACGTCGCAAATTGAGATTCAAAACACATATCGATACTAATTTCTTCCCCAGAACGCATCCACACCGGTGTACGACCTCACGTCTGTGAACATCCCGGCTGTGGAAAGCAATTCATTCAGCGCTCAGCTCTTACGGTTCACATGAGAGTGCATACTGGAGAAAAACCACATATGTGTGAACGTTGTGGAAAGGTAAATTTACTTGCTTAGCTCATTTCTGTGGTTTACTAACAAGTCCTCAGCCCTTCAGTGATTCGAGCTCCCTTGCGCGACACCGACGTATACACTCAGGCAAGAGGCCTTACAAGTGCCCCTACGCAGATTGCCAGAAGACCTTTACTCGCCGAACCACTCTCACTCGTCACCAAAACCACCACACTGGAACAGTCGAGGAGGCAGCTGCAGCAACAGCGGCAGCCTTAGCCACCCGAAGTACTCATCCAGGAAGACAACGTTCAGATGGTGAGCCCTACTCAAACACCGGTTCTCCCATGTCTACACCCTCTCCTCTTCAACGTACACAGTCAGCGTCGCCGAACTCCGAACTCGCACCCATGAATCACATGCCGCGCCACCCACAAGAGTTTCAATACATGAACACCAGTTCGTTACCTGGACATCTACGTGGTGACTATCCTATTCAAAACCAGCCGCCGCAAACAACGGCGCCGTTTGCAACCAACATGAGGCCAACTTCACATCCAACTGGTTACGGCCCTCCGCAAGTTCTCGAGCCTCCCGCTAACTCAGAACAACGTCAAGGCGGCAGTGCTGGTAACAGTCCCCACATGAGTAATGCGGGATGGGCATCACCATCACAAAATATGCCATCCCCATCGCAAGGCAACTACGTGTATCCAGATCCAGATCCATATAACCAAGGCCAGATGGGTCAGATGTACTATGGCACATCCAATGTTCGAAGACCTCAAAGCACTGAACCAGACGGATATGATGTCAAGCCACGGATGAACGAAATGTGGGCAACTGCGCAGTAGTAGTTGCACATGTCAATGCCCATCTTGGTTGCAGTTAGGGTGTTTTGAGAGATCTTTCGAGTTCCGGCGGACTTTTTTACTTGACCATTCCAAAATTGTATTCCTGATACCCTGTACACCTCTTCAAAAATAATAATCGACGGGCTCGCATTCGTTTTTTCATTTGTTATTCTGGCGTTGAGATATTTGTGGGAAGCGTTGCATCATATAGAGGTTACCCAGCACTCCACAACTCAAAAATTGGCTGTCGTGCCATTCCTATGCTCTCCTTTTCCTTTAGCCGCGCTAGACAAAGTTTGCTCTCGTTTTTTCTTTTGTTCGGGTAGCCTGAAGAATGGCTGGAGGGGATTTCTTGCTATAGACTACTTGTTCCTCACTCTAGCTTTGGCTTTTTCTCTGGATTAGAAAGGGATGCGATTTCCTGCTCTGGCTTTTACGGTATGGGAAGGCGAGTGGCTGAGAGTGGCCTGGAGTGGGTATGCAAAGGATTTTAGGCCGTAGTTAATGAGATCTGTACAAAATAGGAGAATTCTAAAAAGCTGGGAGTTTATGACATGACGCGTCCCATTTGTGATTTACTTACCTTCCATCTGACGCTTTCTTTCTTTGTGTCAAGGTAACTTACCTTGCCTCCGTCCACCAACCTAATATTGTTTCACGTCTCCGCTGTCTCGCTCCGCCTTTTTCCTTTTCTCAACCGCTGGAAAAAGGAATGACTGAGATAACAGGCCGCGGGAAGAAAGCGATCTATGCGATTTGCCGCCATATTAAGCCATGCTTTTGGCAACGGCTTTCAAATCCGGGCCAGTTTGGTTTGGAACTTTGCAATGTTGGTAAGGAAGTGGAGATGAGCTTTTGTCGAACAAGTTAGACTGCTAAATAGAGTCGGAAGGGAACTTCTACACTTTACAATACCTTAGCTTGAGCGACACATGCGGGAAGGATTCTGACAACAAGTTATGCAGTTTGATGATGTAATATTTTAAGCTTTTGCTGCAGCCCGTCTAACATGATTTACGGATCCCAATGATGTACTGTACCCAAAACGCAGCCATCCACCCCACGACGAGAAACCAACTCCCTACCTCACGATTTACCATTAACCCCTTTTCTTTCCAACTTCCCCTCCGTCCGCTCAACATAATCCACGAGAGCTTCAATCGTGCATACCTTCAACCCCCACCTCTTGCCAAAAGCTACACAGTCATCCCTCCTCATCATTCCCGCTTCCTTCCTCTCTGCCTTCCCCTCAATCTCCTCCCCATCAATCACCATCTCAGAGATAACACTGACCAGCGGTTTACCCGCTAATCTGCAAAACTCAACCGCCGCCTCAGTATGTCCCGTTCGTTCCCTTACACCACCCGCCTTCGCCCGCAATGGAAATACATGTCCGGGTCTCCTGAAGCTCTCGCGCGTCACCGATGAACTAGCCAGAGTGCGACACGTCAGTGCCCTATCATGCGCGCTGATGCCAGTGGTCGTGAGAGGAGAATTCGCGTCAATTGATATGGTATACGCCGTTCGCATCGGGTCTTCACTCGATGTGACCATCTGTGGGAGATCGAGCTTGTCGCAAAGAGATGGGGGAATGGGCGTGCAGATTAATCCGGATGTGTGACGAATCATGAAGGCCATCTTCTCGGTCGTTACGTCGCTGCCGGCTATTATGAGGTCGCCTTCGTTCTCGCGGGAGAGGTCGTCGAGGACGACTATGAATTCGCCATTTTCTGGCCATTTGTTAGACGGTGGGGTAGAAAGAGGGGTGTGGGAAGGAGGAATTACTGAACGCTGCGATTGTATCTTCTATACTATCAAACTCGTGTGCTATATCTGGGAGTGGCATTCTGGCGCAAATATCGTATACTTCGTTTGTTCAATCGAGAAAGGAAATAGCTGCCCCGCTTGATGCCGGATGTTCTTTCAATGGGTTGAAGGTGGGGTAGAGTTTGCGTGATTATGCCTCGGAGGACGCTTTCTCAATTCAAGCAACGAAATAGTAGCAACAACAAATTTTGGGATAAGTTCAAGGTTATGTACAGATCGTCGGAATATATGCCGAAAAGCGACCCAAATATATGGAATATGGATGAGCCGATCTTGCATGAGTGTGACGGTCAAAAATGTAGTCAAGGGTCCTTCCGACGCCGGGGTCTCGGCTCCCATCGACCGCCTCGAGCTTACTCATATGCATTCCAAAGCAACGACAAACCATTGGCAATTCAAGTTAATTTGCTAAGGATACACAGTAATCAATCTATCTCCTTCGTTTGGATATTGCAAGGAAACTGTTCAGATTTGACAACTCCTTGGTTCGTTAGTACTCCTTCCTCCTACATTACCTCACGATATCATTGTCATTCTCCCAAGAGATCATCAAAATAGAGAGTCTTTATGGCGCTGTAGAAGTGTCTCTTCTCTCAGGAATTCATAGAATCAAGGAAACTATAAGTACAATCAGGTGACATAGAGGACTAGATCTTTCTTCTCTCGTTGCTGCATACAGCTTTCCAGTTTGACAAAATAATTAGTAAGTGCCAGCCAGTTATAACACAACATCTATTCCAGTAACCCGACAAAATAGCTTGTAATAGTAAGAGGCATCTCGACTACTTGAACCTGCGCAGAACCTTAACTTCCTATGAGATAACTGGGTTCGAACCTCGATCTCTGGCATTTTTCATTGATTTATTGTTCAAGTTGATAGCTTTTGTCACTTCATCCTCGCATTATAAAAATAGGTCTAACTTTACAAAACAAAGATAAACGTGCGAAACTCCCATATAAATTTAATCAGTATTCTTCTGTATAGTCAATCCTGAAGCATTGAGAGGACAAATAGGTACCTCTATGCAACGACTGACGTTCAAACAAGCATGGTACGACAGCATATTCTCGAAACTGTGCTACGTAGATCTCGGCTCGGCTCGCATAGAGCACCTCCGATAACGATGGTCTTCCTAAGCAACATCAACCAATATAGCATTGGGAATCCGACACCCATGCAACTCAACTCTTCGCTGAGGTGATAAACGCATACGAATATGGCAACTATCCCACGGACAACGCCATCGATCCGAAGCCTCAACCTCCTCCTCCGCACAGCGCCACGATTCGCGCAAACACAATACCGCAGACATACAACCGCTTCTGCCAGTGGCGCGAAATCGTCAGTCAACCCGGAGGAGGTATCACACTTCAATGCCTTAGCATCAACATGGTGGGATCCTCACGGGTCTTCGAGGTTACTACATCTCATGAACCCTTTACGCCATGATTTCATACGAACTTGCCACGCCTCGCAACCCACACCCGTCGCAAAGGAGGGACTGAGATATCTGGATATTGGCTGTGGAGGAGGTATATTTGCAGAGAGCGCAGCGAGGTTAGGGAGTGTAAAAAGTGTTACGGCCGTGGATCCGAGTCCAGAAGTTTTGGCGGTTGCGAAAGCACATGCCAGACAGGATCCTGGGTTAGCTGCAAAGTTGACATATCTGAATGTTTCTGTTGAAGGGTTGCCAGCGCCCAAAGGCCTCCAGGATCAGTACGATGTGCTTTCACTGTTTGAGGTTATAGAACATATCACCCACCCTGCGCAATTTCTGGATGCGTGTACGCCATTTGTCAAACCTGGAGGGTGGATTATTATGAGTACGATTGCGAGGACGTGGACGAGCTGGGTTACTACAAAACTTGTCGCCGAGGATATCGCCGGGATCGTACCCAGGGGAACGCATGATTGGGAGAAGTACATTAATGAGGATGAGCTGAGGGGCCATTTTTTGAAGGAGAGGGGATGGAATAGTCCGAGGGTTATGGGGGTCGTTTACGTGCCTGGCCTTGGGTGGAAGGAGATTAGTGGGAGTGAGAAACTGGGCAATTACTTCTTCGGAATTCGCAAAGACGAATGAAGGAGGATGTGTTGAATTGTGTGATAGGAACTGTACAAATGATGGGGTAGATAAGGCTCCAATGGTTGTACATATGTATATATAGCATGTAAGAAAACCCCCGAGACATGTATACAAGAAAGAGAGAATTACCTTTGGCTCTTTTTAACTGTTGTACATGAAATGATGGGAGTCGCTACAACCAAGTTGTAAGCTTATATCAAACCTCAAAGATTTAGTAAATTAAAAGTCTGATATTTAAGATATCATAAGAGATCGAAGATTTCATAGTCTCTACAAATGCAAATAGAGTCTAAATCGGTTTAATTGGCTCGTGTTGTCATACAAATAGCCAGTCTGCCAACTATTGTGCCAGGGTGAGCAAACACTTGTCTTTCTGTCTGCAGGCTAAGCTCAGAACAAATTAAATTGCCACACTTAAAAACAGTTTACAGCACATCATCCCAGTCTCACTTTCTTCCATACCCTCACACACTCCTGTAAGTCCACTGCGAGACTTCCACTAGCTGCCGTTACCGAGTTCGCAATAACAGCAACCATCAAACTCGCAAAAGCAAAAGGAACAAGATCTCCCTTCAAAGCCAAATAATCAGCTTTCCGCATCCCTCCGTCGTCAACAAGTCTCTTCCAACTGTCCAACATACTGCCTATCTCGGCAGCATAGCTAGCATCACAAACCATCCTCCATAGAGTAACTTCTACAGCTCTCCTGAGATCATGACTCTCTTGGACATGACCCTTTTCCTTCAGCCAACCCAGAAAGTGATTAGCCACAAGACTAGCATTCCATTTCGGACTTTGAAGCGCTTCGACGATTCTTGTTTCAGCTCGTTGAGCATCTCTTCTTCTTTTAGCATTCATCTTATCGACATATTGATCGTGGGTTCTCATTTGACGTTCCGCAGCAGCTTTTGCTCGATCGGCTGGTGAAAGAGATGTCTCATTCATCAACGCTCGAGAATTCTCTCGCATCTGTCGAAACGACGCTTCACGTTCCTCTTCGGCGTCGTTATATTGTGTGCTCCATTCGGGTGTTAGGTCTTCGGCTACCACAGAAAGAAGGACCATGATGCCGCAGGGTATTGTGTCTTTCTAGGGAGTTGTTAGATGTGTTATTGATCCACTATGGAAAGACTGACTTTGGCAAAGGAAAGAATCTCTGGAGAGATTTTGTAGCTCCACAGGACTGTTTGCGAGGTTGTTCCTAATGCTGTGATGGTACTTGCAAACCAAGTTCCAGTTGTGTTTGGAAATACCTCACTGACCTCCAAATGCTGTATGTCGAATTCGTCGAACAGATCCGAATCAGAGCTATCTGGAATGGCAGTCGTGATGCCGAGAGAACCAATTTGACATCTGAGATCTATTGTAACATCTTCCGCGTCGGGAATGTACTTGTCAGTCTTGCTTGTTTTACAAACTTCATCATCTTCTTTCGGTTGATTTTCAACTGGATCCGCAACACCTGCGGTCATTTCCCCTTTCTCAGTGACATCGTCGCTGTTCTGTGTTTCATTTTTAGTGGTCGAATCGACACTTTCGACTGTCACTCCTGCGCCTTTTATGAGAACCCAGTATGGAGGTAGAGAGGCAGGGTCTCTCATTCCCCAGTCGGAAGACCATCGGACAGACAAGGAGAGATTCCCGTCCGAATCATCTAACGGTGCCACAAATAAGACAGCTTCTTCCTCGTTTGGTGAACGAAGGAGTACTGTTCCTACCGGCACCCATAAACCGCTCGCTCGCAGCATACGGAATCCCACAGGGTCCGGAACTCCTCCAAGATCTAGAAGAAAAGAAACGAGCTCCTCGAAGCCAATTTCGGCTTGAGGCTGCCTAAGTTGATCTGCGTAATCAATCCTCTGGGTCTTCAGCCCAATAGCATGGCATTTCCAGTTGAAGGTTGTCCATGTCCCACCTGGTATCTCACTTGGGTGACGGCTCAAGCTCCAGTACTCGGCGCTATGTTCTTCTCGATGTAAAGGGGCTATAGTATAGCGAGGAAGCTCGACTTCTATAACATGATTGACTATATCACCTCTTGTGATTCCAGCAAGGCGACCATGGCGAAGCGCACGCCTGACTTTAGCTAGAGTGACAAGAGTGGAACATGTATTGTAGATGATCGGCGCAACACCAAGCACTGCGATGGGCACACCAAAATACGTGATCACATCAGGACCCGACACCATTGCAAGTCGAGATTGCAAGTCGCAAGCGCAGAAAGAGGCGAAATATTAGCAGCGCGAGGACCGCAGTACGCAAAAAGACTCAACGCAACAGCCGTCGCAAGTGTAATACTACGGAGAGTCGCATCTCGAAATATACTTGATGGCCTCTGCCCAAGTTCAGCTGGCGCTGGAAGGGTTCAACATAGCTGCAGGTACCACCCGTTCTGGGGCGGGGACAGGCGCACGGCTTCCGCCTCCAGCCTCGCTCCCAAGTGCCGCAGAAAACCTAGGTAGGGATGAATTCCAATATGGGGGTGGAGGGAGGGACAAATGATGTATGAAACCCGACGTTAAGCATGTGAATGACGCAGGTCGTCCCATAAAGCATTTGTCTGTCATGGACGTCGTATCGACATGCAATGATAATATCAAAGAGCAGGTTATTCGAACTCTTTATCATGTCAAGAGAAACTAAAAGTCATTACGAGTCTTGGTGGCACTTGTCAGGCATCTTAGCGTGCTGCACCGCGCTGGTGCGGTGCACTACAGCAGCAAGGCGAAGGCTTTCTCAGACTCCGCCTGCCATCGACTTCAACACGTCAGCTTCACCCACACTCTTTTCTTCGTCGTTCTTTACGGTGTCAACCGATTGAGAACCATGATTGAACGGCCATGTATCAAATCCTCCTCATTGCCTTCTTCTTGATCTCAATCGCGACCGCTCAATACCCTCCCATCTCGAACCTCACAACAATCCTCTCGCCGGTCGATGGAAACATAACAATCTCCTACAAATCACCGCCAGCAGGCACCTGCAAGACCGCTTTTCCAAATCAGCAGCAGTATACAGGCTGGGTGAATATACCGGGAAGTTATTCGACCAACACGTTCTTTTGGTTCATTGAAGCCCGCGATCCGACAGACAAGCTTACAATATGGCTCAATGGAGGACCTGGTTCGAGCTCGATGATCGGGCTGTTTACGGGAAATGGACCTTGTGAGGTTGTTGAGAATGGCCGAGGGAAGTTCATCACCAGGGCCAGAGAGTTTGGTTGGGACAGAGGGTCGAACATGCTGTACATCGATCAGGTACGTCGATTTTGTTTGCGTTGCACAAGCCCAAGCGTGATCGAAAAATATTGTCTTTGGACATCGACCGGATTTGTAGACTGGGCATAAAGGAGACAGAATCCGGGCTCAAGATGCCATGCCATAGTCTATTGTACTGTTCCCCCTTCTGAAGCTATAGCTGACCTTGTTGAAGCCAAACCAAGTTGGATTCTCCTATGATACTCCCACCAATTGCTCGCTCGATCTTATGACTTCGAACATATACACTCCGTCGCAGGCACTTCCAAAGTCACAGCCTGCATATACTTTCCTAAATGGCACGTTCAGTTCGTTGAACCAAAACAACACCGCAAACACTACAGCCATTGCTGGAATGGCAATTTGGCATATGCTCCAGGGATTCTTAGGAGCATTTCCACAATACCGGCCAAACGATACGGCCGTTGGTGTCCACTTGTTTGCGGAGAGCTATGGAGGAAAATATGGCCCTGCGTTTGCAACACTATGGACGCACCAAAACAGACTACGATCCAATGGTACTCTGTCCCAAAATGGAACCATCGATATCAAGCTCGCCTCTCTCGGTATTGTGAATGGATGCGTGGACGATCTTATACAAGCTCCTTACTATCCAGCTTTTGCAATGAACAACTCATACAATTTCGAGGCCCTCAACCCTACTAGAGCTAGCCTCGCAGCTGCAAGCTTTTCCGCTCCTGGAGGCTGCGCACAACTGATCGCTACTTGTCGCACAGCTGTCGCTAGTCAAGACCCCGAAAATGACGGAGATGTGGCCGCCGTCAATAAAGCATGTCAAACTGCATACTTGAGCTGCACTCAAAATGTAATGCAGCCCTACGCAGACTCCGGTCGAAGTTATTACGATATAACGCACTTTCTCCCCGACTCGTTCCCACCAAGCACGTATTTAGAATACTTAAATACTGCGGAGTTCCAGGCTGCTATTGGATCTCCTGTCAATTACACAGAAACCAATACTCAGGTTGTCAATGCCTTCACGTCCACAGGAGACTATGAGCGTCAAGCCCTGGTTCCTGATCTTGCCGCCCTTCTTAGATCTGGAGTTCGGATTGGGTTCATGTACGGGGACCAAGATTATATATGTAATTGGCTCGGTGGTGAAGCTATCTCCTTAGCCGTTGCTGCCCAAACATCCGCGTCGTATGCATCGCGCTTCCCGGCTGCTGGATATGCTCCTATCATCACAAATAGTTCTTATGTTGGAGGTGCAGTGAGGCAATACGGAAATCTGTCATTTAGCCGTGTCTACGATGCCGGACATGCAGTTCCAGCTTACCAACCCGAGACGGCCTTTGAGATCTTCGCTAGAATCATGTCAGGGACCTCGGTTTCCACTGGCGAGATCATCAACCCTTCCGTGTACAACACAAGTGGTACCCCGAATTCCACCTACACGCAAACCCTCCCTGATGCTCCATCGAATACCTGCTACCTTCGTAATGTCGGATTGACGTGTAACGAAAATCAAAAGAACATGATACTTGCTCAAAAGGGAACTGTTATCAATGGCGTCCTCTACTCCAATTTGGAAGAATACAGCTCAATTGCCTCCTCGGCGGCTGTAGCTGTGCCAACCAATGCGGTTGGCACTTCAACAGTTTCTTTCACTACGACGCAAGTCCTAACAGGTCTTTTCACGGCTACTGCAACACCAAGTCCAACTAGGAAGTCTCTAGGCCTCTCCAGTTCTCCTAACCTTGCGACACTTGGGAGCTTTATACTTGGTGCTTTTATATTACTGCTCACTTGAGCACAACATGCATATACACGCAATGCAAACTAAAATCATCATGGGGCGCGTTTCATGATAATTTCTTTGAATACAAACAGGCGGCGTGCTCTTAACAATCATTTGAACTTTGAGCTAGCAGAGATAGAAACATATAGGGTGAAGCAGCTGAGGGACGACTGTAAAACCCAGAAAGCACACTACAAGAGGGGTATCGACCGACGTTAAACAGAAGGTATGTGACGTCAATCGGAGTATAGAAGTGGTCGATGAACATAATTTTGGTACCTTATTCGCATTATACCCAGCATTGCTCAATAGAGCATTGGCAGACTGCAATTGTGGATTTGGTAGGAGTAGAAGTGAGAGTAAAAAGGATATCTTATATTAATGAATAATAAATCATACATTATCCAAATCATAAGAATGTTGACCAATCTCCATTGTAGTCCTTGTATATTTAGGAAATGAGAAAAAGCTAGGGATAACAGAAGGGCGAAGACTATAGACTCGACAAAGAAAGACTACTTCTCACCTGCTTACTACAAGATAGCAACTAATCTGTCAAATCATATCTCACTTGACAAGCGCTTCGTTTCCAGCAATTTCATAAATAAACCTCATAGCATTTCGAGAATTCGAAATAGATAAATAAAACTTCTCCTGATTCAGATCCAAAATCTCTTTTATTATTTATTGACTCATCCTAGATGATGGTGTTTTCCGCAGTCCAGCGTCGGTGGGAACCAAACCCGGATACCAATGTCACTCTCAAGAGATCAATGATAGTGCCTCTCCTCCGCAACACCCTCGCCCTCAAAACCATAACCACCCCCACCACCACCACCAATATCCAGATCCCCAATCATATCAACACTAATCCCCATATGATACGCAAGCGCCACCTTGCCTGACTCCGCAATATCGTCCGCCATCGCCAGTGCATCCGGATCACCATGCTGAGCAAGAGATTCGATTGCAACGAGGAAATCATTGGGGTTAGTAAGATCCAAACCTGCCGGGAGTAGTCCTCTGGCTTCTAGCATCGCTTGGTTGCGGAGTCGTCTTCTCATGTCCATGTCCTCCATCATCTGCGCGTCTCGTACGGCTTGTTCATGTTGCATGTGTTCAATGTGGTGGCATGGTCTTTGATGAGCTGGATGCATGGGCATGTTCATCGGTGACATGCCAGGATGTCTTTCCATGAAGGAAGGGGGGTGACGTCGTTGGAATGGTGGTCCACGAGGATACATGATGGTTGCTTTTGTTGCTGTTTTCGAAGATTAAGCGTGTAAGAAGTTGAATTCATACAAGGGATTATGTGCAGACTTCGAAGTCAAATATTTCTTAAGGAGTTGGAAGAACGATGAGAAGCTCGGAATTGATGGATGAGGGATGCTGGAAGAGGCAGAGACGTGGTATATTTATGAACAGTGAAGGGGTAGATGCTCGAATCATAGGTTCTTGATAGACGTGAGTAAACAGAGAAAACATTGTAATCAGAACACCAGAACAGTCCGGATCTTATTGGAAACGATCCTCGGAAACTTCCGATAAGTAAAATGATGGACATCAACGACCAGATCCTTGAACCATTCGACAAGTTCGTGTGAATGGATTACATAGCCGTAGAATATATATCGTACAGCAAGCGTTACGGGAGTGGGAAACCAGCTCAACAAATACCTAGGTACCAGTCGCAACTCAACTAACTCGTACGGATCATTTCAGGCTCATTGATAGACACGTGCAATATCTTTCCTTCTGGAAATGCCATACCTTATAATGCTGGTTGTCGGCAATAGATCTCACACAATTCACAAGTATCCAAAACAGGAACTGTGAAATGCAATGAATAACATATAATTTATAATTTGTATTCAAAGATGGAAATGACCATCCAATTAACAGATCTATATATTAAGGCGACTTGGGAGTGGTAAAGGAGACCAATGAAAGCTACAGACACGCAGATTACTACGTCAAGCAGACCTACCTGCCCTCCGGAAGCCCTGTGCCAAGTTTGACATGTTTCAAGCTGCGCAACCGCATTACAGAGGTTACAACTTTCGTCAGGTAATGCTTGTAGGTCACAATAATCTGGTGCCGAGGGCAAAATCTCGACGAACAATACTAGGAAGACTGTTTGAAAAACTCTGAGTATGAGTTAGCTTACTTCCATTTTCGGTGTCATGCTATGAAATACAAGAAGACTCAAAATTTATCAGATCTAAGCCCTGTCACAGGCATTCTCATCAATACCAACGTGTGGCTATGTTGACCGTCGTGATAAAATTGATCATCATTTAATTGAGTCGGCAAATATGGAATCAGGTGGGGTGAAGCAAGAATTGACATACCACAAGTAGGATTGTTTTGCGTCTGATTATGAAACTTTCCAGATTTCAAATGTGCAAGCTTTGTAACCCTGTGTCACCCAAGTCAGCATTGTTTTCAGTCATCAAGGCGATGAAATTTTGGAACAAGTGATAAGCATTTTCAGCAAGAACATCCTCGCCATATATACCCGAAGGCTGGTACGACATATGCTTGTCGTTGTAAGTTAGATCATCATAATGCTGTAGAGCTGTGATGAGTGGAAAAAGTTAAATCTCTTACATGAAAGTGCTGGTAACAAGCCCAATACAGAAGACGCTGAAGTATCCAATGCTAAGTGTGGCCTGCTTACAAAATTAGAATTCGTTCAAAAATAATAAAAAAGAGTTTCATGGTGTGACCACAGATATCAGTTGGCATGAATGGTTTAATTTGATTTGTGTCAGCATCGGTTTCCCGAATCAGACTCGTCATCTAAAATGCTCATCATAGAAGTGGTGTGTACATGAAATACAGGAAGTATGCTGGACCTACCATATATACAAGATCACCCCGGCATGAACGCCTGGGCTACCTCCGACAGAGGTTCAGCATAGCTGAGAACCAGTCAGTATCCGTCCTCGGAAGAAACAACCATGGAAATGTGAATGTGTTTGAGACTGTGATCAGTGGGCGAGGTTTTCTAGGCCTGCCGCAAAGAGGCATCTCCTTCATAAGCCAGCCCCGAATTCGAGTACTGTCGGAGCCCAGTGCCAATTCATCCTTTAACAGTACGATCTATGCCAACTAGACTATGTGAAAATTGTGCCTCCTACCTGATGGTTTGTATACCTGTTGTTCGAATGGGTCAGCATCGAAATTCGTGTCTTGATACCAGATAATGTGGAGATAGGGTAAAGGTAGCTCAGAAATAGCCATTTGTTGACTTCAAAGACTTGTGATCTCAGTCGGTAATTTCCAGCGTGCAAAGCACGAGTTGTTCATCACAGCCATAAAGGTGTCGGAGGAGAAAAAAATGCGTACATACAATTCACGGCCAGCGCAGGCCGACAGCAATTTTACTCATAAAAGTACCTTCCACATGAGTTCAGATCTGATATACTGTTAGCACGAGTTGTGGGAATGGGCGCGTCCAATGTGCAGAGATAGATCTGTGATTCAGACTGACGTATACAATAGTTTCATTCCCCTTGGGGTCAAAGACTCTAGTTTGCGGTTGTATGTGTGTCATCATAATATGGTGGAGTGTATTTGGAAGCTTGTATTACTTACAATTGACGGGTTTGCATCGCTGTCAGAAGCAGCCATGGTGAGTATTCACATTGTTGTTGGAAAACAGTGTTGTTTATTGGAGATGGAGCAAGAGCTTGAGGTTCAAAAAAAATTCTGGAAGTGGGCGGCTTAGCGCGACAAGAGTAGGCTAGCCAGTATAGGTTAGTCGCACCCTCATCCACATCCCTGCTCTGTCAAGTGTGGCTGAACACAACAACCCGTCATGAGTGGCGACGACTTGATTTCCCCCGGGCCATCTTCAACTGCAACTCTGCAAAACAACAATTTAAATTGTATTCATCATGGCGCCTGCCGGGGGAATATGGGCTCCTATAGCCCTTAGAGTCCTCAAGTAAGTTATGTCAAGCAAGTGGCAGGCTCTCTGCTGTTTGCCATTCATTCCCCACTGCCAGAGACGCAAGTACTAATACATCACCAGGCATGCGTTCAAGAAGACTCAAAATCTTGTGAAGGCAAGGCTTTCCAAGATATCTCAACCATTACAACAAGAACTACAACCTATCCTCCTACGAAATGCACCACGTCAACCCATAAACCGTGCAGCACTCCTGCGTCAAAGCAAAGGAAGATGGTACACGACTCACAGTACCATCAATGCTTCGGTTCGTCGATTCATGAGCACTGGGGGACAAAAGGCTGCCTCATACAACCGCGCCTCGTTTCCTTCATCAGCCACTGCCACTGCTGTGGGTAGATTGACCACTCGAGCTCCATTCTCCTCGACGTTACGCCCAAATCTCACTGGAGGTGCCTTTCCTCGGTCCGCGGGCGGCTATAGTCTAGGAGGTGCTGGTGGGCGAACTGGAGCCCGAAATTTCTCACACACACCAGCGGCACAAGCTCAGGTCGTAAACAATGTGTCTTTAGCCGTCAGAGCCTTTTTTCTTTCTGGTCAGAAAGTCCAGTACGATGGACAAAACAGGTTTGGCGAGAAGAGATACCGAGCTGTGACGAAGCTGCAAAAAGAGGCGGGCCGCAAAATGGATTCGATTCCACGACACACCCCAGGTTCTTACATTGACTTCCAAGTGAGCCCAACCATTACCGCTCTGACCACGCTCAGCGGAACGTTTGCGAATAACACATCCGTCGTTGCACCTCACCTGAACACAGAAGGGTTCCTAGATGTCCTGTCGGTTGACTTCGCTAGGGCACTGAAAGATTTTGCTGCCACCATGAACGACTTGAAACGTCTTGCTACCCTCGGTGATCTGGCAGTTACTCTTGAGCCCAACAACATCCTGCGTGTCAGATTCCCAGGCTGTGATGCGGAAACCATCGAGGACTTGTGTGACGAGGCAGGTGTTCAGCGAGGCATTATCCATGAAGACAAAGATTTCGATGATAGTGTAGGAGGAAATGTCGCGCTGATGTTCCCGTTCGCGTCTACATCAGAACACACCCTGTCTTCGCCAGGCGGTTCGTTACGTTCCCAGACGGGCCTTGACTTCGAGGATGTTGACGAAATCATCGAGGAAAATCCTTGGCTCGAAGGCTACGAAAGCATGGATGGATCCAGTGATGGCGAGTCGGTCTACTTCAGTAAACCTAGTGAAATCCAAACAAGCTCATCTAATTATGAAGGTCTGGAAGGCATCTACCGGTTTATCGAGCAGTGCGACAATGCACGCCAAATACAATAAATTTTCTTTTGTCTTCAGTTATGTTGTGATGTTATTTAGGGATCTGGAATACTGGGAATTTTGATATAGCGTCTGGAGTGGGAAATACTTGGCGCTCATTAGCGCACGTGAGATACACTCGTTGGATTGTACACTCGTATTAGGCAGTCAATTGAGTTTTTGTACAAATCTATATTCTCTGGAGATAGTGATTGTTCCCTTATTTTGAGGTGCTACAAATCACGGGCTCATCTGAATTGGGCGTAGATTGTATCTCGAGTTACCTGAGCATAGCATACCTACTATTTAGCGACGCGACACAAGCAAAATGTATGAAGTTCTTTGGAAGATTAAATTATGCGTTTGATTGTAATTTATGCTCAGACGCTAAATCGCTTGAAGGAATGACAGACAGAACTCATATACCAAACGATCCGCACATTCCCAACGCCCAGGGTATAACCAAATTTCGCCGAACCCACAGCCAAGCTCATTAAATTCTCGAATAGAAATGCTTGACCGGTATACCTTCGCTGTCCATATCTTGAAGGACCCACATAGTCAAATCAACGACAAACCGACATATGTACAGTTATTATCCAAATACTAGTGCGTTTACCACGTGCTCTGGATCCCAGCCTTGAGCTGTCAAAGATTGGTTCTCTTTCAGAATCTTGCCCATATAGGCGATGCGAATAGTTTTCGGTGATGAGAGCTGAGCACGCATTGTTAGCTTCGGCAAAGCACATGTGATTTGTGTCACTTACTCCTGATTCCTCAAGTAGCCTTCGAGCCAGTAACCTTACACTATCATCCTTCCCAATGCTTACCGTTAGATCTGGGCCACCACCATCGCTTAGCCGAGCTTTGACGCTTATTAAGTCTTCGGTGTTGAGCACACCTTTCCCTTTCTCTTCCCGGCGCTTCAGAATTTCGTCTTCATCAGGTTCCTCGCTTTCTGCGCCTTTGTCGCTGTCATCGATTCCGAGGGAGGACGAAGCATATGCCATATTCGTCGGATCGGCAACGATGTGTTCTGGTAGGGCGTAAAAAGCTCCAAATCCATCATAAGCGCCATTTGCGAGATCTCCGGTAGGTAAAGTGATACCAGCAGCATCGAGTATCTGTTGCGCAGTTGCCAATCCTCCTTCCTCGTCCTCAGGATTCCCATCCGACCTCATGACTTCTAAAGCTGCTCTGATAGTCTGCCATATCTCCATTCGCCCCGTGACCCTCGTGTCGAAAAAGTCGGTTCGTTCACGATCCAGATCGGCTCGAGTCCATAGTCGGTTTTTGCATGTCCAGACGTGGACTTTGAGAGGTCTGTTTATATGTGCAGCAAGGGGCTGAGAACTCCGATGCTGAGAGTGCCTATTGCTATGATTTGAAGCATGCGTCGACGGACGGGGGAGAGCCGAATGCGACTGAGATTGAGAGGAGGTTATCCCACGAGAGGAGGAATTTGGTTCAGGTGGATATGGCGATGACGGTCCTCGTGAGGTTGATGCGCAGCACCCCTACGCAGCGATTAGTGTCTATATTAAAGCATAGATTTATATGCCAGTCTTGATGGAGATCTTGTATTTACCATGGCGAACCATGTGCTGGCCTAGACGCAAGTGTTGTGATATGTGATTCTCCAGGTCAATTCAACAAGACTTCGACCTCTCGATGTGGAAAGAGGGGGGAGGGGCTGTGCACAACTTGAAATAAGTATTGCTCGCAATGATAAACGAATGCTCTCAACCAGGATAAAGGTTAAAATGGCAGTCTAAAAAGACTTAACAATGCTCAGAACCTGCACATGGCATGATTGACTTGATGATGCGACGAGGAGACCGAAAGCCCAGAGAGAGGTTGCAGATTGCCACAACGAGGCTAGACCCTTCCCTTCGTGTCATCGACTGGGGAGTGTGGTTGCAGGGCTGGTATTAACGGGGCCAAACTGGGTCCGTGCTATTTCAAGTATGCGAATCTTTGAATCTCGTTCTGAGGTGCATCAATTCATGATTTTGGTTCACCAAATCATGTGTAAATCTTTCTTTTCCCTACACGATTGATTACTTTTTTGGGAGCAACAATCATAGCTGCAGACGATCACGTATACACCGATATTGCATTACGGGACAAGCTAACTGGTTTCTGCCTGCCTCCTCACGCCTCCGTATGCGGTGGCATCTATCACAGCTTGAAGCATTACATGCGGTCATTATTCCAATTGACGGTCAAATTAGATGGCTCAGGACATCAAACACGCGCGTTGCTGTTACACAACTTATATGGTCATGATACTGGATTGCAATAACAATCTGCGAGAAGACCAAGAAAGCAGGTCACCTACAGAGGCTATGGGATGAACGGGCCTAGATAACCACATCTTCCATACAGTAATAGGCATGTCCCTAAAATTCTAGAGATATTTATTATATTGCTGGGTATCAAGGGGTAGGGAAATTCCGTTTGCATTCATTCCTCCTTTCCGAAAAACTGGGATTAAACAGATAAGTGTATTAAACACAAGTCGAATGCAAATTCAAGTCCTCGAGTAATGAACAGGGAGGGATTGGTCATAGCTAGGTACCTACCTACGTAAAGCATGTTAGCTATTGTCAAGGCAACATATGTTCCTAACATGTCTGCATATGATCTGGTTCGGATTCGGACTCAAACTCGGAGTGCCAAGCCCAATGCCCCTTAATCCAACGACTCTGGAAGGTGAAGGACAACCTCGGCTCGCGCTTCTCGTCAATGCCAAAGGACGAGCGAGCTTCAATACCTACCTACCTTGGGTATGCCAGAACCACGAAACGATGTCCAACACAGAGCTCAAGAATCGTCGGCGTGGTGATTATCCCTATTTGCTAGACTACCGGACAAGATGGTGTGCATCAGATTTACCTTAGGTTTCTTGGGCCAATGACTGATGTGGGTTCACAGGTCTGACAATGATATGTACGACCATATGAACAATTCCATCTACAATTTCCTGTAAGTAGAGATATCCAACTGGCCATCTAGCATCCAGCAGCTTATAACGATGAAGTTATGACTCCGTTGTCAATACGTACCTCATTGAGCATTGCGATTTACGGCCACCCACAAGTCAGCAATATGGGCTTGTCGTCCATTCCCATGGGGACTTCTTTGGCAGCATAGCGTTTCCTGCCATTGCTGAACTGGGACTTCGGGTCAACAAGCTCGGTAAGAGCAGTTGTACTTATGAAATTGCTCTGTTTGAGAAGGGAGTTGAAACTGTGAAATCTGTCGGCCAACTTATACACGTCTTCGTTGACAGAGGCACAGGTCGCCCATCAACCAGCGGAATGAATGGCAAACTGCGAGAAGGCCTTCAGAGGTTGCTTATAGAACCGCCACAGTCAAAGCTCTAATATATGATCAGCCATCGCAAGTATTCATCATTACTCTTCTCAACCACCTGACTTCATTGTGAGTTCGGCTACAGTCTTCCAAGCCGCCTCCAAGCCGCAAGCAATGTTCCCGCACCAATGATTGCAATTGTACCATCTGCCGCATTGTATGTCCAATTCCGTCGTGGCGTTCGAGTGTTGGCTACATTGAATTACATTTTCGATTTGCTCTGCAGAGCAGAGGCCACTTCTATCAAAGACAGCGACATACACAAATACACTTCATGGTCGGCGGTGGTGACAACTCCCTCGTCACAACAGCTCAACAAAACGACCCATGAAGCAATCCGCTAGATTCGGGCCGCTGTGTACGTCGTATTGTCACTGTCTTCCCAAAGCTGGTAATGATCTTGCGGCCAAGATGTCACCCCGCGAAGCTTTACCCCGCCCCACATTGGTGAAGCTTGTTGGGGTTGCAGACTGCTTGCCGCATTTCATCACACGAGATGCCGGCCAATCGATTCGAGGAGACCGGCTAATTCCTCAAGCTCCTTCGGGCAATTTGTGTCTGGTCTTTACCCATAAAGTATGGGGTTCGACTCAGGCGGAACCAATTCATTCTGTCCGAATATTATTGTTGCTGCCGCCTGCAAGGAGACAGGAATTCTTTGCTTCTGCTCATCTACCAGACCGTATATCACTACCGATCTTTGAACTCAGTTTGCTATTTCCCTTCTGTATTTACAGCTAGCTGGGTGGCCATGGCTTCTGTTATACGCGACGATGATAAAGGCCATGTCGTCGGTGACGTGGATTCTGCATCTGAGGAGAAGGGCAGGATTCAGCACATTGACGGCGATGCAAGTCCTCCTGACACTGTCGCCAAAGAAACTACTCCGACTAGGGTCTTTGAAGCTCCCGAATTTATTCGCAATATGACAGCAGAGCAAAGACTTGATGTTGAAAATCGATTGAGAAGAAAAATCGACATCAGACTGATGCCGATGATTGTTATCATGTATATTATGAATTATTTAGATCGAGTATGTGTTCAAAAGTTTTTATCGATATGCCTTCATATCAACTAACCATGCAATAGAACAACATTGCGGCTGCCAAACTAGCGGGGATAGTTACGGACTTGCATTTGAAAGGCGATGAATTTCAAACAAGTGTGTCGATTCTGTTTGTTGGTACGTAACTAACGTTGCTCTTTCGTTTACATGCGAGTGTTTTCTAAATTTCAGACAGGTTATCTTCTCATGCAAGTCCCTTCAAACTTATTTCTCAACAAAATCGGAAAACCTGCCATATATCTTCCAACCTGTATGGTAATTTGGGGGATAATCTCTGCAGCCACCGCTGCGTGTCAGAATTATGGTGGTCTTATTGCGTGCAGATTCATGTTAGGTTTCGTTGAGGCAGCCTATTTCGTAAGTCAAATGTTTCATTTAAATTCCATATTCTGCACAATACTAATCGACAAATGTTATTAGCCTGGCTGTCTTTACTACCTCTCTTGTTGGTATACTAGGAAAGAACTTGGCTTTCGGACAGCCATCTTCTATTCTGGAGCTTTGATCAGTGGTGCATTTTCCGGTTTGATTGCTGCTGGTATTAAATCTGGCATGGATGGCGCTCATGGTCTTCGAGCTTGGCGCTGGCTGTTCATCATAGAAGGAGCTATCACTGTCGTCATTGCAGCCATTGCGTTTTTCATCTTACCGAACTTTCCAAAAACGACCACCTGGCTAACCGAAGAGGAACGTGGTTTGGCCGTGTGGCGACTTGAAGAAGATATTGGGGCTGAAGATTGGCTAGATTCGCAGCATCAGAGTTTCAAGCAAGGTCTCAAACTGGCATTTACCGACGTCAAAACATACATACTAATGGTTATGCTTTTCGGCATTGTGGCTAGTGGCACTGTTACCAATTTCTTCCCGTGAGTTCACTTATAACAGTGTGTGCCTCTATTAACGCCAAGCTAGGACCGTTGTCAAAACTCTCAATTACAACGATGTAAACACTCTGCTTTTGACTGCTCCGCCATATGTCTTGGCTGTCATTACAACATTCGCCAACTCATGGCACGCTGGTGAGTTTCTTTTCCCAACCTTTCTCGATTCATTAGCAGAAATGAAAGGGTGATTTGGAACTTTCCAAGCCTTCGAAAGAACCACCCCGCTTTTATAATCGCTAACATCGTCTTAGACAGAACTGGTGAAAGATTCTTTCACATCACGATTCCTCTTTGCTTCGCTGTCTTTGCCTACATCCTCGCCGCAGCAACGACCAAGACTGGACCAAGATACGTTGCAATGATGTTTATGGTGCCAGGTGTTTATACCGGTTATGTCGTAGCCCTCGCATGGATTAGTAATTCGTTACCACGACCACCTGCCAAGCGTGCGGCGGCATTGGCATTTATCAACGCAATATCTAATACCAGTTCCATATACGCCAGCTACATGTACAGCGCTAGCGCCGGTAAGTAAATCACATGCGGTGCTTCAATAAGTGCTAATATCTGCCTAGGACCAAGATATGTGGTAGCTATGGGCGTGAACTGTGCCATGGCCTTGACTGCAATGCTTGCTGCCCTCACTCTACGAATCATTCTGGTGCGTCTAAACAAGAAGCTGGAACGAGGAATATTTGTTGAGGGCGCTATCAACTCAGGAACCACGGAAGCGGGAAAGAACGGGTTTCGATTCAGACTTTGAGGTTAAGGTGCGCAAAGCTTATCTAAGATACTTTCGGATATATCACGTTCACATTCAAAGTTTACGGGAATGCTCAATAACAATCGTGATAAACCGATAAATCAATTCGGGAATGGGAAGTGCGCGGATGTGCTGATAAGTATTCTCCACTGATAAAGTACTAATCGTCTCCAAATGTTGTATCCAAAACAAAACCTAATCCCGCACATAGCTCCATCTACAGAGCATGAGTTTTCTTTCCAACTTTACAGGAGCCACCTGGTCCAACCCTTCACGGAGCGACAGGGACCGTACTCTTGACAGACACAGGAAAGGAACCTTCAACCGTGCTTGTTCCAACGGTATAGTATAGTCCATAGACGCCACTAGTATTGGTGGCAACCCCAGCGAAAGAGAGGCCATAATTGGATTCGTCCGCAGCATATGCGACAGCAGTTCCGAACCAAGTAAGTCCAGTATCGACAAAGCCGGCCGTCATGTTGGCTGCAGGAGTAAACTCAAGCTGTGACGTGGTGGTAGGATTGAGAGCCATGTACAAAGTTTCATTGAAGCTCATTGTGCTAGAATTTGCAGCGACACTCCATGGAGTTGTAATATCGTCGGCAGGTGCGACAGTAACATTGGTTTGTGTTACAGTGGTCTCGTTAATTGCTCTATGTCCGAAGTATGCTTTCCCTATGAAGCGGTTAATATGTGACTGCTTCGAAGATGTTCACGCGGGGCGTTATGTCTTACCATCAGCGTAAAATAATGGAGCACCGTTGACATCAGAGCCATACACAAAGAGTGTGATGCTTTCCTTTGCTTGTCGACTATCGATCGCAATGGCAGTTGATGAGCTTGTTATGGCCAAGAGGAGCCAGATAGACCATGTCTTGAAGAACATATCTGGAAACATGAAGAATTGGTTGAAAATAGGGTGCCAGATGAGTGTTTTTTCAAAAGCAAACTTGATTCAGTCTGGATTGAACTGATCAAGCGTATCACTTGGGATGACCTATACTTCATTAGAGGGTTGCCGCACATTATATTTCTTTGAGCTGACTTACTTCACAGGTAGTAATTTCTCGACAACCCAACAGTCGTACGCGTCCACTATCCTGTGTCAATATCGTAGCACGGAGCGGCCTGCAAGCGTACGTATCTCTCATGGGAGTAACGATGTCAACCTTGCTTGCGAAATAAAAGCAACTCAGTGCGTACCTTTTATGATACCATTGTCATCAATCCCAGCCTCACTGATCCGAGTCATGGATTGAACAGTAAAATAACCAATCACTGCTTGGCTACTCGTACGACTTATCTTTCGAAAAGGCATTATGGAATGATGACGACTGCTATTCCGAAATAGTATCTATTTTGGTAGCTATGCCAATTGTGATGGTATTTGTTTTTGCGCCCATGTTTCGTTTCATGCCCTCGCAAGAGACGAATACATTTGTTTCCTTCGGACCAACATCCTTATTCGCTCACCTCCGAAAACACAGAAAGTTTATTCTCCTTCCGCAAAGTACGTCTACCGGGTCTGATATCGCGATTAAATTAGTTTGGTGGGGTTAGGCATTTCATGAAATAGAAGAATGATGAGTGCTAATTCGGAACCCTAGTCTAGTTGCCATTGTCCCTGCGGGTGACAACTGGTGTCGTTCAATTCGAACAATGCTTGACGTCCAAGTTTTGCAGAACCAACAAATCTCGCAACGATACAGGAGACCAAAACCCCTATGTCCACGCAACCATTGAGGCTTCGTGCGTTGCACTCGCTCTCGCACCACGCGAGATGCTTTCTCATATCCACTGCAACTTTGTCATGCGGTCCATGACTGACCTAGACACTACCGACGCAAAGGCCATTTTTAAATTCGCTAAGCGAGCCATGGCAACGGGTTTTCCCCTAAAGGTCGAGTCTAGCAAGACGATCTTGTGGACGGTAGTTCCACTCACTAGCTGAGCAGGCTGAAAAGACGCGTCCTGAGAAATACCAAAGACAATCCTCCTCAACGCATGCACCTGCCTCTGTCGCTCACTAGGAGAACTCCTTTCGCTAGTTGGGATCTCCTTACGGAGTAGAAGTGTATCTCATCCCCGCCCAAATCCTAGCTCGAAGTGGGTCAAAGCTGAGAAGTCTCCGATGTGCACCACTGGTGTGCTGATATTCGTACTTACCCAGGCAGGGACTGCGTGTGCTAAATGCACAGTCGATATCTTATCGTTATGCTGACGACAAGATTATCGTTTCCGAAATGAAGATTCGTAATTGATTCTATCTTGACTGTGCGAACTTCGCATGGACATCGCATTCTGGCGTGTAGATGGCTTTGATCTGTGGCTCAGCTCGAGTCAGCCGGAAGCACAGAAGAAACAACAGTTCGAAAACATCCCATGCTATCAATAGTTCGAAGATCGCCTGAGTATGGTGTTGGATTGGGATGTATATAACGCTCTCAGTTGCTTACTTTGAAGACAACCATCGAAGAGTTCACAGCCTTCATTTCTTTGACTTCCTTCATATTCTAGCTACATCTTGGCCTCTCCAGCGAATTTCCTGTCATTTGTTCATCATGCAAATATCCTCAGTTTTAACTTCGTTGTCAAGCCTAGCTATTTTAGTTTCTGGAGCAATTGCCAACTCCGACGTGCAACACCTCACCAAGAGATGCGAAAACTCAGCAACAGATAGAAGTTGTTGGGGCGACTATGACTTAAGCACCAACTACTATGATGAGGTGCCCGATACTGGAGTTACAGTTGAAGTATGTAATCGAAACAATCATTTGTCCTTATATTAAACTAAATTACTTACATAACTCATCTAGGTATACCTTGAGCTTGTCAACACAACGGCATCCTTAGATGGTTTGGAGCGTAATGTTCTCCTGGTCAATGGGACATTCCCAGGCCCTACAATCATGGCAAACTGGGGTGATACAGTTGTTGTTCATGTTCTGAATAGTCTCGAAAACAACGGTACAGGGATACACTTCCATGGCATTCGTCAAAACTACACCAATTCTATGGATGGTGTACCTTCTATTACGCAATGTGCTATTGCTCCTGGAGACTCCATGACCTATACCTGGAGAGCGACGCAATACGGTTCCTCTTGGTATCATTCTCACTTCGCACTTCAAGCTTGGGAAGGTGTGCTTGGTGGTATCATCATTAACGGACCGGCTTCAGCAAACTATGACCATGATGCTGGCAATGTCTTCTTGAACGACTGGACTCACCAGACCGCCGATGCTATGTATAATGCAGCACAAACGACCGGACCGCCAGCTCTGGACAACGGTATTATTAACGGTACGAACACCTTTCCAGGTGATACCTCTCTTGGTGCTCGCTTCGAGATGAGTGTCACTGAGGGCGACTCTTATAGACTTCGTCTCGTCAATGGCGCCATTGACACCCACTTCAAGTTTTCTGTTGACAACCATACAATGACTGTCATGGCGATGGATTTCGTTCCAATCATTCCCTATACCGCCGATGTAATCAGCATTGGAATGGGCCAACGATACGATGTAGTCATCAACATGAATCAAACTGCGGACAACTACTGGATTCGAGCCATCCCTCAAACATTCTGCTCTGACAACGACAACGCCGATGATATCAAAGGCATTCTTCGTTACGATGCTACTTCTACCGCTGACCCGACCAGCGCTGCGTATTCATACGTTGATGACTGCGATGGGGAAGCCATGAGTGACCTCGTCCCCTCCGTTGCGCTTAATGCCGGCACTGTCACGACTAATGACGAGGAAGCAGTTACCGTTGGGAGAAGTGGCGGCGTCTTTAAGTGGTTCATGGCAGCAACGACCTTTGCCGTTGAATGGGCGGATCCAACACTGCTCCAAATATACAACGGAGACTCTAACTGGACGACTTCTTCGCACGTTATTCAAGTGGACAATGCCAACGAATGGGTATACTTCATCATTGAAACCGCGCAGGCGGTTCCTCACCCCATTCACCTCCACGGCCATGATTTCTTTATCTTGGCACAAGCTGAAGGCACTTATTCCTCTGATGTAACGCTTCAAACCACCAACCCACCACGCCGGGATGTTGCCATGCTTCCAGCTTCGGGATATCTGGTTATTGGATTTGAAACCGATAACCCCGGTGCGTGGTTAATGCATTGTCATATCGGATGGCATACTTCTGAGGGGTTTGCTCTTCAGATTGTTGAAAGGATGGATGAGATTCCGGCGCTTATGGATTATGATTCTTTCAATGCTACCTGCGCTAACTGGAACACTTATGCTGAAGCGTTTGGTATCGAGGAGGAAGATTCTGGAGTCTGAGTGTTACCTGAATACTTAGGCTATATGTCTGTTTACTTTGTACTTATGATTATTCAAATCTGAAATGTTCCTTTTGTCGAGAAACGGCTCATCACCTGACTAAAAGGGGGTCGCTTAGCTTTCCGCCTATAAACATTCTTTATCCTTATCCGAATACCACTGGTGATGTTTGTTTGACATTCTTATTTCTTTTATTTTGTATGTATTGATCTTCGGTACTGTTTGACGGCATTAGGCACGGAGTAAGTAGACATTTTGAATATCGGAACATCCAGGTCATAACTCTCCTAGCATTGGCTCAATTATGAATTCGACAGGCGAGAAACTTAGTCCTTTATGTTGATCAACCTTGAAGAGTTATGCTATGACAAATGGGTCATCAAACATTGAAAAGCTCTCTACAGCAAAATGGAACTGCGCAATTGGACAAGTGTAATCATAAGTAAGACTACAGATATACGGCTCTTTCAAGCAGTGTATGCAATAGTGTATGGTTTCATAAAGCAGTCTTATTTTCCTACGGGTTATGCTTTCTTATTGCTTCTCAAGAAAATAATCCTCGCTTAATTCCAGCATAGAAGGTGAGATCTGTTTTAATTTATGTTTCCTCTCGTTCATCTAATTTGTTACCTATGATCTATGACTCTCAACACTCTAAAGGGTATTCCTGTTCTACAATACAGACTAAAGCCGTGGTCAATATCTGCTCATGTCTCAGAGATGAATGACACTTATCACGTGACAATAGAAACGTGACCACAACCTGCCAATTCCGGGCCGATGTCTCCATGATCATGCTCTTCTCAACAACACCACAACTTCTCATCCCATATACTTACCACATTCGCCATGGACACAACCCCAGAAACACCGGAAGCTACTCCGTCCATCTTCAATTTCATCCTCGGATTCCTCATCGTAGGCCTAGCCTGGGGCTTCACGACGCCCTTCATCCGTCGCGCCGCCGTCCACCACAACCCACCCGCACACCCAATTCTCCAGCGACCATCGATCAAATCCAGCTGGCTCCGCACCAAAATCTACAGCACCTTCTTCGGGGTCACGGACTTGTTGAGGAACTGGAGGTATGCGCTGCCGCTCGTGATAAACCTCACGGGAAGTATATGGTTTTTCCTGTTGATCGGGAAAGCTGGTGAGTCCCCCCACGGTACCCTTGCGTCGTTGTTTCTTTGCGCGGTGATTGGGAGCGAGGAGGTGAGAGAGCCTTGCGGTTTGCGCTTGGCGGTGCGAAGGAGCCTAAGCGGCTTAAAAGACGCGATGCAGAGTCTGGGGTGAGGCAGGGGTAGGGCTGAGGTGTTGGGGGCGGAGTTTTTGGCATGGTGAGCTGGGACTCGGGTTTCGCTAATGCACGTTGGATCACAGAATTGAGCTTGATGGTTCCAATTGTCAATACTTTGGCTTTTTTGTTTACGGTATTGGGAGAGTGGTGGGTGGAGAGGAAGGTTATTGGTCGAGGTTGGTTTCTATCTTTACTTTTTTCTCATTGGCGATGGCTAATTCGGTGAACAGACACTTGGATAGGCATGACTCTTTCACTTATTGGAATAGCCCTTTGCGTCCAGAGCAAAAATGCAGCTGCCAAGAATCCATAGAGAATTGGTGTGGAACAGTGATTGGAAATGAATGAATTGCTATCCGAAATCTGGGTATCTGTCTTTCGTGTGCCTTATGAAATTCGAACAGAATGTATCCGCTCACCGATGTATCAAACAATCGCTCAGCCTCGCGGTTTGAGGACACCAATCCAAGCTTCCCCTAATAGAATGAAGAGAATGTAGTAAAACAAGGACAGACCCAGTATCCCCGTACAATGAGCAATGAAAAATGTAGCAAAATGACAAAACTCCGGTCCAATGCTTCCGGATATCCTTTTCCCATGCTACGCCATCAATTTGCTCCGTGAAATGCTGCCCAAAATTATAAGAAAAAAGATCCGCACCAGCCCATGTGGACTGCCGGAGAAGAAATAAACACCTGAAAAAACACCAACTTTTGAAATGGGCGTGAGCCCTTACTGTCTTGCGCGCACCCATCGTTGAACATCCCTCAATCGGGGATCTTCTTGGGTCCATCTGCCCATCTGATAGTCGCTGGATCGCATATCAGCGTAAATCGAATCATCCGTGATTGCCGCGAGTTCCTGATCGTCCAGTCAGTTCACGTCATAAGCCAAGTGAAGAATGGCCGAGTGCTTACAACTCTCAATTGGACATCACAAGCATCCAATTGATTGGCATTTCCACCATGAGGTCTCTCGCCTGCGAGTACCGAGTCCCGCCATTCCACCCAGCGAAGCGCAGCTCCCTGACGAAGATAAATCTTCTGAGCTTCGTGGCGACGAGCAAAAGCGTCAAGCATGACCCTGGAAGACTGGTTAGTGACAATTCTCGTTGTAGATACAATTACTGGGCACTCACTGCTGCAATTCTGCTTTTGCTTGCTCTTCGGGACCACCTCTGACACGAGGAACCCGAGTCTCTGCCGCACTGTTCAAGACATGTTGCCCATCAATGGAACACTGTCGAAGTGCTGCCCAACCCTCGCAGTAGTAATCATCTTGGTGAAGTGGCTCAGTTGATACGCCTGCAATATAATATTGTAGAGTTCTGAAATCTGAGAGGAGATCTGCTACACGCTCAGCGCGTTGATCGTTCACTGTAACTCAGTTAGTGCGTAACTCCCAGACAGCCAACTCTCAAGTAGTGGAGTTCTCTATTGTGAAGAGACGACTGGAGCAAACATATAACAGAATGAGATATACTTACAACCGTCAGACATCTTGAGCGAATGAGGACTTTTGAAGCGAGCAGAGAAAGAGTGGAAGAGCTATAGAGTAGAAGCTATAGGTAAATGCAGAAAGCGAATAGGAAAGAAGTGAAGGCTGATTATCTGAGGCGTTGTGGATGTCTCAGAAGTTCAGCAAGAAGCTATCGTCTTCATATATACCATCACCAACAAGAGACACGGAAGACGGGAAACGTTGCAGTTTCGAGCTCTTAGTCCATATCGAGTTGACAGAAATCTCCGATACTGGGGAACAGACCATAGATTTCTGTGGCTGGCTCATAGGAACTATCCACACCAGTTCTCAGCGCCCACATGGCACACATTTGTGCATTGCTCAAGCGAGGTCAAGGAGAATAGAGCCGCGAGAATGTAGTCGTGCATAGAGGGCTAGACTGCGAAAGAGACCGTTATTCGACCGGCGAGATGATGAAATGAGATGAAGCACAAAGCTACTTGGGTCTGGCAAGCTGCAGTATTGCCCAACCCCTACCGAGCTGTGGGAAATAGCTTTATTTTGGAACGTGCATGACGTTATGTGAAGCCAGAGAGCCTCCTCGCGATGTGACAGGGAGAGAGCGGTGATGGGAAGAAGCTAGAGTAAGCCATTGACCGTCTGCTCGTGGTGATACGGGGCTCGTCAGGACATGCAACGGAGAGGAGCCAGCCCTCTTGAAGCGCGCTGTCTGGAGTTGTCATTGGTGAGGTTGAGGAAGGGGAGTCTGTTCGGCTGGGTCGTGAGTTGCGGTGTTCGCTTCTCGCTTCAGCGCGCCACAAACGTGGACGAGAGCGCAGAATCGCCAATGACAGCCATCAGCAGAAGCAGCCGGACAGACGCAGAGAGACGCTGCAAACCCGCATACTGCTTGCTGGAGCCAGTAGTCGGGTCCAATTCCCTCGCCGAATGACGATATCCACAGCATATCCTCTTCGAGCTGAGGCAGCTGCAGCCTCTCGTGCGCTTAGGGCCAGCGCTGCGCCACATCAGACGGGATGAACGCACATGGGCGACACGGTTGTTTGGGCGCTCTCTTGAGTCGCTTCCTCCCCCCTTCACCCCCTTCACATCTCTGACCCAACTTGCCAATTTGCGTAAGGCTGGCTCGACTGCACAAGTCAGATATGTCATGTTGTCGCTGGCTGCACGCCTTCAGGTCAAGCCACACTATGGCTGTGCTCTCTCGTCCAAACTCTATGTTGCGACAAACACTTCCTCGATCTCACCAGAGTCGAGAACGTCGATGCCCCTCGACCGATGATTCTGTGGCTCGATTTCACACAACTCGCAACTCAACACCACCCACGTCACTTCCGTCGCAAGAAACACCACAATACTCCAAGAGGTGGGCAACAGCCTTCTGCAAAACCAGTACATTATCATGACGCCGGACGCTAAATGCGCTTTTGATATCACTAATACTTCTATGGCACTCCTGCATCGTCGCCACCCCCAGATCTTAATCTTTGTCTGCAATCGCCTGTAGTCGCTCATCGATTTCCTCCTCGGTGAGCGCTCTGAACCCCGGATCTGTCCCCTCCTTCCCGTCCGTCCGTGGTCCCCCCACGATTCCAATCTCCAACTCGCCTTTCTTAAAATCTACGCTCAATACGGTGCTTAACGTGGTAATTCCAAGTTCCACAACCTCTTCCCACGTGCCTTCTGCACAATCCTTGTTCTTGAGCTTCTTCTCGAGGTGATTGAATGCCTCCTGCTGCTTGGGACCCGACGCAGTGCCCTTGTATCCTGTGTAGTACCCAGCCGGATCACATTTATACAATTGGGGTCCATATTCGGAGTCCAATGAAATGAGCGTAGTGGCAACTCCGTATGGACGCATATATGCCTATGTAACAGTAAGTAGGTAGTCAACAGCAAGCCCGTAGCGGTCCGATTATATCAGCTTACCCGTTGTGTGTAGACCTGACTGATATTGGCAATTCTTTTGGCCAAGGCATCGCAGGGCATTTCATATCCAAACTTATATCTAAATTCGGCGGCTTCACCAATGGCTCTCTGAACAAACGCTCTGGCGTCTGCGATCGACCCGGTCATAACGCAACCCACAGAAGGTGATAACTGGAAGATATGGGAGACCGAGGAAGGATCGATGAGCTTGTCCTATAGTTTCATCAAGTTAGCCTCGTACATGTATTTGATCGACTGCAGGTGCTTTCTTACAGGGACTTTCTTCTGAGACAGTACTACAGCGCAATCTCTACCCCTTACGCCAACCGACATGATATTTGCCGCCGTGATAGCTTTGAATGCATACTCTATTGTTAAACGTCAGCTGTGTTGTTCGCGGCCGACTGAATCCCACGGTGTGTTTCTCTCCGACGCCAGCCAAGAGATATTAGGCAGTGGATGGCAGGATTGCGGTGCATTGCATACCAACTTGGTATAATCGTCCCTGATCGGAGAAGATGGTGATTTGTCTATCGTATCCAGCGCTTCCTGTGCAATGAGCTCCGTTAGCTAGGAACACTAACAAAGTTGAAGCTTCATGGATTCAATTTACCAGACATAGTTGCGGATTAAGCAGTAGAGTAGGTGCTTTAATTACTAGAGTATCAAGAATTCAATGGTTGCGACCTGGAAATCGTATGGGGGGATGGAGTTGATGTGAGGTTGATGTTTGTAGAGCTTCATGGATAGCTTCAATGTCGAACGCGAGGCACGACAGCCTGGCGCGTGCCTTACGAGCCTGATTGATTTTCGATCACGTGAAAAAAGGCGGGATGCGATTTGTTCCTTATCTGGAATTTTTTCTCGCAAATGATAGGAAATTCCCTGCCAGCCAGAGCAGCTTTTAATGCGCCCATGATTTCGCTATAGTGCTGCCCAATCCGCCCAACCTATATTCGTCATGCCTTCCGCTACCCAATCCAGTGCGCCGTTGAGGATACCGGCTTGGAAACGATTAGGTCTCAAATTGAAATCAGCTCAAGAAACACCTCTTACGCCGGCGCAAGTGGTTGACCACGATACTCCCAAGAGAAAGCGATTGGATGCACCCGAAGACAGCTCTCATCCAAAGAGACAGAAAAACTCGAAAATTCCTAGCGATTTACCCGCTGCAGAACAAGTCACTCCCAATCTTAGCAGAAAGAAATCTGTCACATTTACACCCGAGACGAAAGTAGAAGACGGAGACAGCATAAAGCAATTATTCAATGCTTGGGCTGCAGAACAAAACACACAAGATATATCCGCACCTGTATTCCAGACAGTAGAACCTCCACACGTAGTGGAAAACTTCGACTCAAATCTGGATGAAAAGGAGAGACGAACGAAAAGAGTGCAGAAGGCGAAACCAGAACCATCAGATCCCTTAGCAGCCAAAAAGGCGTCGAAGACGAAGTCAACAGCGGAAGGTTCACCTTCGCAGGTCGAAGCTGTTTCTAGCAAAATAGAATCGAAAGAAAAGAAAAAGAAAAAGACCAAGACCAAATCTGTTCAGTCACCGCAACCACCTCCCCAACGGCCTTTTCTTGCATATCTAAAGCAGTACTCCGAATCGCGAGATACCTGGAAGTTCAACAAGAACCACCAAAATCATCTCCTCAAGCACCTCTTTGACATCAACACCATTCCATCTGAATACGAAACTTTCATATACCCCTACGTGAGGGGACTTCAAGGCGGGGTGCGAACAAGGTTGCGCGACACAGCACTATCAATAAAAGTGAAGGACATTGAAGAGGGGTTTGCAGGATTCCCAGAAACCATGGCGGATCGTGAAGCGAGGCAAGCCGAATATGATATTGCTATGAAGGAATACGTTGCTACGATGATCTCTGCAGATGTCGATGCGAACATTGGCTATGAAGAGGGCGTCATGTTGAATCTTTCGGATGCTGTGATGCCTGTGAGAGTCGCAAAACGTATGCGATCAGAACGGGTCTTAGCAGAATTAGGCGCCCCAGCCGGGGATACTACCAATGGCGATGTCGCCACGACTTCTAAAGGCTCCGTGGTACCTGAAGATGATATTCAGAAAAGAGCTAGGATGAATGACGGCTCGACACAAAAAGTCGTCCGTAAACGAAAACAACGAACTGATGTAGACGAATCCAGCTCGTCTAGTGATTCTAGCGATTCGGACACTAGCTCTGATGAAGAGAACGACCCTCCAGCACCAAGGAATGGTTCGAATGAAACGACTTCGAGTTCATCGTCCAGTAGTAGCTCTTCCAGCTCCGATGATGATAGTTCGAGCGAAGAGGAATCTGGGGACAGTGATGAGAGTGGTGACAGCGAGTGAGGGATTTAGTGGTTTGATGACCTGGAGTTGTCAGCATGGGATGTCAATATTGGTTTGATCTTGACATGAGGGATATCTTCACTTCTCCTTTCTAGGCGATTCGCGTATATACCCCCTGCATTGCGATGTAGGACTGCAGTTCAAATGAAGAACCGTAAAAAGCCTCATCATGGACTGGAAATCTGTGAGGTTTGCTCGAAGTGCACCACCCCCGAGGAGTGGCTTATGAGGAAGGCATTGGCATAGACCGTGTTATCCTTGAGTCTCATGACCTCCTCCCTTCCACATATACGATATCTGTTCAAGAGGAGAGGGTGCCGCCATCCCGCTCGTTGACCCCAAACTGGAAGTCGGCAGTATTATTAACACCAATATTGATCGTGCTTCAATCACGTCCCTTCACGCGTTGTTGACCTAAAGATAAAGCTTCTAACCACTTACGAAGAGGATATGGAAGCTGGCAAGCCTCCAAATCCAACCTCAGGTAGTACCATCGGCTATCGAGAAGCCCGTACCCCAGCTCTTTCTTTTACTCCTCCACCTAATACAAACACATCAGTCAGCGAAGCACTAAGTTGATCAACCCCGTCTCTGCTTTATGCTACTTTAAAGTTATATAAAATTATTTTAAAGTACATGTAACATCCAAATTCCTTATCTCTTAGACGCGCCCGCGCATCAGATCGAGGGTCTCGTGAACAAGCACTTGCATCTACACTTTGCGTCATCCCCCCGCACAAACAGCCAACATCCAACCACCATTCCCATCTGGTGCATCCCGGATTCCAAAATACCATCTTTCCTCACTCTGGATGCAACCCTCCTCCCAAACCTCACACCTTACCAGACTTGCACCCCCAATAATCATTGGTCTTGAACTGCAAAGTATATAGCCCGCTGATATCTCCGCATATTCCATACATATACTCTTTTCCTTCACCGCCGTATTCCAATACTCCATACAGCATTGTGCATGCAAAGGTGGTGGGTGGACCAGGACCCTAGCCCCTGGGTACTTGGAAGCTGCAGTTGCGGTTTTGACGAGGCGCAGGCAGCGCTGCAAAACGGTTTCGTACGAGCCAGAGTACATTTAATTGTGCAGCCCTCAACCCCTCACTCTACCAACCACCTTCTTCCCTTATAACCATACAAATTCTCTAGTCGATTCGACTATCGGCTCGGTTTTGTCTTTTCTTTTCGAGGGTCGAGTAGGATACAGAGAGGACGAGGAAATTGGAAGTCGTCATCATGACAAGGAAATTCGTCTATGGAATTGCGCTCGTCGCTTTCGTCGCTGGTATATCCTCCCTTTCAATCTTCAATCCCAATACTGCGAACGGCAATTGAATTATAGCTGACTCTTCATCTCAGCAACCGCAATGACATTCGCTTCGATCTTCATCCCTGACTGGGTCACCTACGACGCCCCAGGCAAACCCGGAGGAACCTACCACAAAACCATCGGATTACACCGTAGCTGCACCACCGGCCACGGTTGTATCCATTTCCCAACCCACGAAGACTGCATGGCGAAAGACCGCTATTTCTGCTCCATGTGGCGTTCCATCGGCTTTTTAATGTCCTTTGCCGCGGTGCTGGAACTCGCGACCATTGTGGCCTACATTGTTGTGCTCGGGGGCGGCAAGCAGAAGAGAGAGACGGGGTGGAAAGTACTCTCGTTTATGCTGGTTTTGGTTGGGGTCGTGCAGTGTGCGAGCATGGCTATTGTGGTATGTTTCACACATTTCTTTTATGCGCGTGAAGATAATATATGTTGTGCTTTTGTGCTACGAATGGCTGGCTGATGATGTAATGTGTAACAGGCCTACCTCTTCGACGAGGATGATCGCTTTTTCGTAGGCTGGAAATTGGATAAATCGTGGATCCTCTGTACTGTCAGTTGGAGTATCGCAATTGTTTCCGCCGGCGCATTGTCATTGTCCGCCTTCGTTTTCCCGGAAGAGGGTGGCTACGAACTAATTCCCAGCGAGAGGAATTACTGATTGGAGGAACTGTTGATTGATGTTCGTTACGCTATGATGGACGAATGGAACTTTGCATCTGCATATTTGGCGTTTAGGGCTATATGATATACGAGTACATATACTTTCATGAGGTGGAGATACCAGAATTCGGAAACTGGATGTTTTTATGAGACGGGCATGCAGCTGGGTCTAGTTCTTGGTTTCGATTATGTTCATTCATACCCACTGGGGGCTACTTGATTTCCCAGCATAGCGTATTGCATATACTTAATATGTTACGGGCAGGCATGGTCCTACGGGTGACCAAATGGCTTATGAAGCTAGGGTAAACATTGACAGCTGAATTGCTAAACACCACTTTTCGCTCCAATTTATTTATTGATGACATAAAATCATAGTCGTTTAAATTTGCTCTGAATTTTTGGGTAAGATACTTAATGTAGTGCTAATTCTAGAAAGGAATCCCTTCTATTTCTAAACGGCACATTTGGAAAAAGCCTCTTAGCACAACACAACATATTCCGAACTCATAAGACTAGTCTGTAAGGTAAGCTCTCGGCTCTGCTAAAACTGCATCGTATTTCTGATAATCGCCACGTGAGATTCGGCAGGAAATATTCATATCGATTAAATACTCGGTGAGAATAACGTCAAAACACTAGGGATTAAGTCAAGATAGGTAGTTTGGTTACTTAAGTGAGATATATCTAAGAGAAAGAAACAAGTTAGACAATAAGTTATACTTTTGGGGTAGTAGGAATAGTAAAAACGGCTATTTATTATATTATAATTGGTTATAGAAACAACTTACTTCGGAGAAAAAACGGTTATCTTTATAGTATATCGATAGCACTTTAATTGATTTTAGTATTTTTACATACTAATTTGATATAGGAGGCATTCGCAGCAAAACTATTTTAGATGATTATCTAGCGATTAAAAATTTTCAAAAATGCAATTTGGATGTTGAGTTACTTTACGTGCCGTTTCATGATAGAGAGCTCATTCTGTGTTACCATGGAAGGGTTTGGAATACACCGTTTGCCGCCGAAAATGACATCGTATAATGAATTATTTAAGTCTACGTTCCTATAAGACTTCGTCCTACATCACTAGTAGAGAGAAAGTATTTCCCTTCGCTTAACGTGAGCTAGATCTGTGACGCTAATAGAGGCATGTGTCTCCTTCAATCAGAGCAAGCCTTTCAAAGTTATGAACACACAGGCCAATGACATTCTACCTATTTGCTTAGCTTGTAAAGTCTTTGACAATACCAAATAACAGATGGATAAATACAAGATGAAAATGTCTTTGCTTTGATAAATAACAGAAACAAACGGGTATAATATGTACAAATCAAGCTCTAATATGGAACTTCTTGATGCACCTCCAACATCTATACTCCAGTATATACCTCACGACATATGAATCTCTCGTTCCATACCACCATCAAATATGCTCCGCTTCAACTGTGAAGAAGATTGAACTCTCCAACAGTAGCCCCTTTACCGTCTTCCTCCCAGCATCCAGAAATGGTCAACCTCACATAATCAGCCGACTGTGTGTCACCCGCAGTCGCGACCTGCGTTGTGTTGCTCAACACGGGAACCACCTTGTCGCCACTAGCTAATGCTTCAGTTTCATTGAAGGGCAGGCTAGGTGTGATGTTGGTAATGTTGAATGCGACGACACCGTTCCCGTACACGATCTCTCCGTTTATCATATTACCGATTTCTACGACTGCAGAACGAGGAGGTCGAGCTCCCCAGTCAAATGATACACTGCTAATCGTGGTAGGTGGAGTACCTGTCATGTTGACCACAATGGAGGACGACTCATTGGTGGATGGCTGCCAGCGTGTTGCGGATGCGCCATCAATGGCGGCAAGAGGGAATTGCCCTGGTGCATACTTGTCCTCGGAAGTGGTCGGAAGACATTGAAGAAGGTTCCCAGGCACGGTCAAATTCTTCCAATACAGTCGATTCGGAACATATACTGTCTCGTTGACTCCGAGGGAGAGGACCTTCCAGGCACTGGAATTTCCGTTTGGTGAGCCGACGATGATTGGCATGGGGTTGCTGCCATATTGGTCATTCAAGCCAGCATGGGGAGGTGTGGCGAGCCTGGTAATCGTCGTGTATGTGGTATTCATGAAAGCTGCGATTGTGGCACCTGCATAGTGGAAATGTCGTATGCGAAGATGGGGGATTTGAGGCGGAAGCGAGGGGTTGATGAAGAGCACTTGCTGATTAGTCCGAATGCCCAAGAAACCAAAAGGATTCACTTGGTTCGCACCCCCGTGACCAGTCAAGAACGGGAAAGCTGGGTTTTGATTGCCATTGGTGGCAATGTTGTCATTGTTCTGCTCGGAGAACTGGAAAAATGGCCCGCGTGCGTATGGTTGAGATCCACCCGCACTATAAGTGTATGTTGAACATCCAGACTTCGACAGAGCATTTGCATTGATTGCAAAGATTGCGTAGGTCATTGCTGGACCGTCTGGGGACTGCTTGTTTGCGTAGTAGTCAAGATCCAATAGTTTTTGATTATCAGTGTAATTGGAGTCGATATAGCCCAAAGGATAACCGTTTAGCACAACATCCGCTTGCTTGACCTCGACCGAATTGTTCATCGTTTCGTACTCTTTCGTAATTCCAGATTCGGCTCTTGGATACTGGATGTTCTCTTCTTGGTCTAACCACGTGTTGTTCATTAGTAGCCCAAGGGCTGTCCTGAGGTACCAGTTCGCTTGCTTCAATGTTTCGCCAGCGGAAGCCATGGTGAAGGCGCCATTGTCTTTGTTGTTCTGTGTTCTAATTAGCATTGATCCCATGGAGACACTATCGCGAGATTGGACGACGACGAAGTAGTACTAACCGCATATTCATCCGGATCGGTCATGTTCTTGATCCAGTAAGTCCTCGTAGTTTCATTATAGTCCAATAGCTCTGAAAACATAATTGCAGTGCTGTTCAGTACTTGCAGCGGCCCATTATTGAACCAAGTCTCATTCCCCGTGGTATTCCTGAGTTGAATCATGTTGTTCGTGATATCAGCATTTAGATGATACTCGTAATCAACGCATGGCCCCGTCCCAGTACAGTTACCGTAGCCTCCAGCTGTCCAAGAGTAAAGCGATGCTCCTTCACCAAAGCCGTTAAACTTGGCATTTTCGAGAGCTTGAGCATGCTGCTTGACACGGAAATTGGGAATTTGTTTGGCCATATTTGGATAATTAAGGTTCAGACCTGGCGCCATCCAGTAATCCGCGTCCCAGAAGATGAGTCCTGCATACGAGTCAGATGTCAGACCGCCGACGGCAATACTATTGTCATTCAAACCACTTCCATCAGGTTGGATGTTTTGGAGAATATAATAGTTATTCGCAACCGATAAAACGTGTTCAATCAGGTTATTGATATCGGTTGGCAGTTCCCCAGTCACAGGGTCCCTGAAATCATCGACATCCTCTTGTCGTAGTTTCTGGGCCCATCCAGCAACATGTTCCTCTAGAAGAGCATCCCATCCTGCTGTCTGGGCCTCTAACTGGGCGTTGCGAGCTACAGCTTGAGCTTCTGGAAACTTCTCAGTCGAAGCAACACCGACATACTTGTAGAAAGTGGCAGTCTCGCCAGCCTTCAAGCTAATGTCCCAACTTTGAGCGATGGTTGAATCATTTGTCGGGATACCCGGACCAGATGCCGCTCTCGCTGACGAGATATCCGCATAGCCTTTCGAGGCGTCAAGACCCGAGACAACATATGCCGTAACGTTGGCCCGACCATCAGGATGAACTGAAGTATAAATGGTGCCATTTCCGTCGATCCCCTTGGCATTGAGATAGGCACGTACAGCGCCCCTACCATCAAGCAAATCTGTAACGGTGCCATTGAAATCGGTGGACGATGTAATTGTGGCCTTGACGGCAGCTACATTTGGACGAACAACGCTGAAGATGACATCGAAAGATACATTGAACGAGGCGCCACAGCCTTCTGGGCTCCAGGTATAGCTCCAGCTCCCCAAACCAGTGCGAAATGCATGAGTGGATTTAAAATTCGAGATGCTGGCGTTTGAGACTGTAGCATCCAGATACTTATCACCAAACGTGAATTGAATTGCAGTAGGATGAACGATGCCTGCAATAAAAGACTCCCATCCATACTGGTTCAGCCATGGATAGTTGGTGCCAGTGCCGTTTCGCTGCACGTCATACAAACCGGAGACAGTTGAGAAGGCGATTCTCGGGTTGAATAGAGGCCATCCATTAAGAGGCTGGGTGCCATTCGGATCAGTCTGATTCTTGTCGACTTCGAAAAACGGGCCGGCAGAAGCGAGCGAAGAACCAAAGTACCTGTTGGGAATTAGCAATTGCAATGGCTCAATGAATGGAAGGAACGTAACATACCCATTCGCTAAAGACATCCGCGCTTGGTATTGACCTGGTTGGTATTTGGTCGTGGTCAGACTCCATGCGGACTCATTCCAACCCCAATTTTCCGTATTAGTGACCGAGAAATCTGTCTCGGCAATCGCAATGCCAAAGAGAAGCAAAGCGATCCGAATTTTCCTTGCGGCCATTTTCGCGGCGGTTTGCGTCTTGTCAGAGGGAGAGTTGGAACCGTGAATTGAAAGTTGAAATGGCGATGTTGGAACGACCGTTTAGAGCGAGAGGAGAGAGGCCTTCAAGAGCGAGAGGACCGTTTCTTTATGCTGTGCACCAGTGGAGCTTAGCAACTCAATCGAGATGTCGTTCAAGCTATTCTGACAACGAACTGCCCTTGAACGTCATGAAGAGACTAATCGTGGAGTCGCGTGCTGGCCAATTCGCACCTACTGCTGCTCTAGTCTATCAACGGATCAAGCTATTTCTCAAACAATCTAATTGATAGCACAGGATGAGGAAGAAGAAAGGCTTTATGGGCCAGACCAAAAAAAATTCCATTTCCCCGCCTTACCGTACGTAGCAAAGAGCTCACCACAGCTCCACGAGCTACAGCAGTAAACCAGGAACAGATGACGCATGGCCCCCCAGACGGAGCAGGTGCAGAACTCTCCGCATTGCCCCCATCTGCCCATCATCCGATTCGCTACCCTCGTCACACGAGCAATGGTTGGGATGATTCCAGGAACAAAAGACTGGAGCTTTGGGCTTACTACTGGTACTGGTCTAGAAGCCAGAGCAATCGTTTCTTGTTCCTATTTCAAAATGTGACCATCTGATGAAAAGGAGCTATTATTTAGCTACTCACCAAGTACTGCTTGTTCAGTTCGAAGAGGATGGCTCTGAGCCGCTTTGTTCAAGCAGTGACCAATAATGACCTCACCTAGAACCTCCATTCGTACTTCGTGTTGGAGGTGTAAAGCTCCAGGTGACACGGCGGTGGAAAAGTTTGTCTTGGAAGGATTTCTACCCCGCAAATCCCGCTCTTGCGGGGTGATGACTTCAAGACTCGGCCCTTCTGCAGTCAAGCTTTAGTAATCGTATCGTTATTTACTTCTTCGAGCGAAACAAGATACGACTGAAGACAGGCTTGGGTCTCTTGCCGTGTATCTTCTAACGTGTTGGTAGAGATCTTAAAAAAAGTGCGATGGCTGCCGATCGAATAGGACAAGAAGAATGTGTGGAAGCGGGAGGCGCGTTCTTTCCCCATCATTCAATTCTTGGCGCTACGCTGGCCTAGATGGCATGCAACATTGACAGGAAGAGCTGCCACACCACGATTATCGAGTAGGCTGGACTAAAATATTTGTTAGCCTCACATGATAAAGTTTCTAGTTCAAGTACCAGTTAGCAACAATCTTAATTTTTAGCGTTCAGAATTCTTCCATTCCAAAAATTAGTTCATCGATGATCCTTTTTACGAACGCTGTATCTGTTCTGTTTGTATGGCTGACCATAGAATCCGCCACGAAGAATCGAAGAATGTTCCATGTCTTACGGTTGTGCGATTCGCCGCAAATTTTAAGCTTAAATCAACTAGGCCTCAGGGTTTTGTAAAATTTCTCTACTTCAGCTCGCTAAACAAAGAAAATGGTTCTGTCTGAATCGAGAGACAGCTTTGCCCAACGGACTTGCAATATTAGTTTGTGTTCAAATCTAACGAAATTAGACAGCCGAAGCGCTAAGTCGAGATTTGCCAAGCGTACAGTCTTTTTCAATGCTTTTTCAGTGTTTTTTCAGTGCGTTTTTAAGTGCTAATTAGGTAAGATCCTACTATCCAAATTGTGGCTTAGTTACAAAGTCACTGCCCAGGTGTTCGTTGGGTTATGATCCGGACAACCCGAGACTCAGGAACTACGAACACTAACAATTAATCTCATTGTAGGATATCAACAGCACCTCGCTTGTCGAGCATACTCTCGTTCCTTTCACAATAACCAGGACACCTTAAACTCGTTATACAAATCGGAAATCGAGAAAACCCCATATGTTTTAGCGCTACTATATACAGCCTCGAGTACGCCCATATATACATACGTAGCAAAAACCCACAATCACACAACCTCAAACCGAAAACCAAAATACAAGAATTCTCTTCTTTTCCACTCTCTTAGGAAGACTCAGGTGTCCCTCCTTTCTCGTTGGCTTTCAAAAGGCCAAAAAAGCCAGGAACGAAGTCAATAACCTGCGATGTCTTGACGATATCCTTGAGGTCTTTCTTAAACGCCTTATGCGCCGGGTCACTCTCAACATAATACTTTCTGTCGGCTTCATTCTCGAACTCGACGATGAAAATGTGAGTGATTCCTCTCTATTGCGAATTAGCACCAAGAAACCGGTGAAAAAGAAAGGGACTAACCTGAAGATCTTCGATACTGTTGTCTCGCCCCCCAACGATACGTTTGATATAAGGTTCCCTCTTCCATCTGGTAAGAGCCTTGTCTTTGAGCCCAATGAATCGATCACATGTCTAACGATATCAGCCTTCATTTCCACTCCCTAAACGTGCGAGAAACTCACATGTCTAACAAGTTCCTCCTCAACCCCAACCACAAACTCAAACATAACAACATGAACAATCCCCCCCAGCAACGCCATCTCCTGTTCATCAATCTCACTCCCAATCCCCTCCACCCCATTCACCACGCCAACCGTGCTCACAACCCCCGAACTCCCACCCATTCCCCCAACCCTCTCAACATGATCCCTCGCCGTCCCATACACACTCCACTGCAAGAACAACACCAAAGCCAACCCCGCAAGCACCAGACTCAGTACCGGCCCGCGATTTCCTCGTGCATTCGGGTGAGAAACAGAGGGTTTTCGTGCCGTGTTGGCTGAGGTTATGAAATTATACGCCATGTCTTACACTTCGTGCCCCTGTCAGCCTCGGCAAACAAAGGGGTAAAATAAGGTAGTAATCGATCCGAACAAAATAGTTAAACCTTCTACGATAACAGTATATACAAGAAGTATCGTGAAACAAACAACGACAATGAGAGAGAATGAGACGTCGTCGTTCGTTTTTCCAGATAGGGGGGTAAAAGAAACGCGCAATCGGCAGACCGGCTAGGCTAGCGAGTGATCTTCCGGGGTTGTCTAGCCTGAAATCGACTGATGTGGGCTACAAAACAGGGAACCAAGTGCTGGAAAAGTGTGCTACTATACGATGCAGGTACGGACAAGAAGTGGCAGAAGGAGATTTTGCTGTTTAAGTTCTGGGATTTACAGAACGAGTAAGTTTTACGCAAGACGGCTCCATGCAGCAAGTCGGGAAACTACATCTTTGGTAGATGAGGTTCGTAGAAGCAGTTTTTCACTTCACATTTTTACTACACTTTCAATAGAACAGATACACAGTAGAACAGTTCTTGACAGTATATATTATAACCAATACTACCGCATAGATCTTCCAGTTATGTTACCCCAGGCATCGGGGCTATGCCGTCCATTCTGCCATCCTCCTGCTTCAATACTCACACTCTCGTGACTTACATGTCTCGATCCATTCGGTGCAGTATTTGCAAATGAGACAAGTTTTCCAGGAACATCAACACCAGGGCTCTGCAACGCTCCCCCTGTCATGAACGGATTGTTGCTCCCTACAGGAGATGTAGGACTCCTAGGATTCATCTGCTGCTGCTGCTGAGGCTGGTTCTGCGACTGTTGAGTATTCGATTGCTGTTGTATAGTCATATTCTGATTCTGCATCGGATCTTGCATTTGTTGCTGAGGACTTTGAAGTAAAGGCGCAGATGATATCTGAGGTGCCAATTGAGGATAATTGTATAAGTCCAAAATGGTGCGCTTATCAGCTCTACCAGTTTGCTGAGGCAGTATAGGATGAGTTTGTTGTGGGTACTGTTGATAATGCTGTTGTTGTTGGAACTGGTAATTTTGCTGCGGCTGAACTTGCTGCTGGTATTGTTGTTGCTGGGGTTGCGGTTGCTGGTTCTGGAGAAAAGGGTTTGATTGCGTCTGCTGCTGATTCTGGAAACTATGAAAGGCGCCTTGCTGATACTGGGATGGCGACTGCTGGTATTGAGAAGGTGATTGTTCTACCGGGCTATTATACACACTCTGGCTCCCACCCAAAGATTGCTGTAGAAACGGATTGCTTTGGAAGCTCGTATTAATAGGAGCTGCATATTGCTGAGTTTGCTGCTGTTGCTGGCGTGTGGTCTGTTGTTGCATAAATGGGTTGTAACCTGTGTTCTGCTGAGGCTGTTGCGCAGGATTCTCGTATATGGTCTGGGAATGAAATTGTTGCGGTACAGAAGGCATCGGAGGAGTGACTGAATGCTGGTACATTTGCTGCTGAGGTGTAGGCTGAGGACCTGGGAATCCACCAGTGTGGTTTGGGAACAAAGGTTGCGAGTTCGAAACTGCCATATTTTGAAACGCTTGATTGAGATTGACTTGCGATTGGGACGGCATAAGGCCAAAGGGATTAGAGGTATTATTGAACTGCTGATAAGGGTTGCCACTCAACATGGGACTTTGTGGTTGCATAGAACCTGTAGACTGGGAGGATTGAGGTTTTGCGGGAGGAGGAGGGGCATCAAGCATCTCCCATGGATCGTTCGATTTTGGTGGCGCTTTCGGAGGAGATTTCTCTCTTGTTCGATTTATCGTTATCCCAGCATTCCCAGTGGCACTAAGAGGCGTGCGCGATCGAGATGAAGGTCCGGAATTCTCACTTCCAGTCTTCGGTACCGGAACAGGCGCTTGTCCCTCTCCAAGTCGTACGAGAGTCTCAATTGATTTCTCAAGATTCCCTCCTAGACCCTTTAGAACGGCCGCATTCCTCTTCTCGTCCCTGAAACCCATATCCCGCAACTTTTCCAGCTTCCTCTCCAAATCTCCTTCGGCCTCGTGTGATACTGTCGTCCCAAAAACTCGAGATGGCTTATTCCGTGGCGGTGGAGAGGGTGATCGCCTGTGCTGGTCGAGCTCGGATTGAGCAGCCGCAGCTTGACGTTTCGCTTTGGAAGACAATGGAAATATCGAAGAAGCAGACCGGAACCCGAATCTACTTCCAGTCTTCGGGGGCAATGGTGGAGGTTCATCTGATCCACCGGTGCTTCCCGTATTCTGTCGAGTCGTCGGCTTGGAGGTTTTATCCTGATATTTCTGTCTGATAAATCTTTCCATCGCAGAATCGGCTTCGTCGGCATCAAAAGGAATGGGCGGTCTCGTGTTCGAAGGGTTGTATAATCGGTTCGATGCGACATTGCCAATCCGTCTCATGACCTGGAAGACGTCAGTACGACCAAAACTTGGGGAGCAGTACCACTGACCTCGACTTGCTCCGTGGACCAAGAGTCCATGCTCAGAGACTTGACTTTGGTGATGTGCGTCCCCAGCTTTCGATGCAAAGCGGCGCACCGCATGCAAAGAAATATACCTAACTATTGACAATCAGCTCATATCCTGTGCGATGCCAGAGTTTGACGTATTCATGTGCGATCGGGGAATTCTTACACTCCAACTAGCCCATCCTGTTGAACCCATTAGCACAACTGTAACCCAGCCATTATTTACACTTCGCTCACCTGGATTCCTGGCCTGGCAATCGGCGCAGACATCATTGCCCGGGACACCCTTTATCAAATCCTGCAAAGCGCGCTCATTGCGCGCCTGTTGTCTCTTACTCGTCGCCGCCGACATGCTGAGAAATGAAGTTCGTGGTGAAGATGATTAGTCGAGAAAAATGCTGATGCGATAGCCGGTGCTTCGAACAGGAGAAATAAAGGCCGAATGGAATTAGAATTACAACTTTATACAAGGCATCCGGGCAAGTCGGGCTGAATGTACAGGACGAGAGGAGAGCAAGAGGTCGTCTAGTCGTAAGTCATCAAGAAGCAAACTCTTCTTCGCAGTGGCAGTCGCAAAGAAAGAGCACGATGCATCGATGGGACGGAAAAAGGAGATGGATCAGGTCTGGCCGTGGCTTGCTCGGAGAGGATTCCCCACTCTGGACCATGTTTGTTCGGATTTCGCGCTAGTGCCAATGGATTTACGAACCGAGGAAGGGCCCCCAGACGAGACGACACTAAAACATAAGATTACCTTATGACTTTCTAAATGAAGCCAAGAGTTTGATATATTTATTGAATTGTTTGTCTACACGCTCCTAATCCCACGTGGTTTTTCCTTTTCGGGCAGCTATAGTATCTGCATTATATGTTTGTGGTGCACTAAACATGGAGCTCCCGAAATCTTAACACAATGTCACAAAAGGGTCGGTCCTTCATTCTCCACTGTTTTCAACTTTCCTATCCCACGAGCTTATCAAGCTGCTTATCCGTTTGGCTGGTTGTGCTGACGGCGTGGAGATGATGTGACTACATTGGAGACGGTCTCTTACTCGAGTACCGATTTGTCGACTCGTGGTGCAGAGTAAGCTTCGATTTGAATAAAAGGTACCTTGAATCCCTCACAAGTGTCAGCGGAGTTCATGATTGTCTATTCAAACCCATTTTCAAACCCTCAAAATGACTATTCATCCCTTTTTCAGTCCCTCTCCGGACACCCCACCACCAGCACACATTGAGTCCATTATCAAAGCTCTAAACCTCGAACCACACATTGAAGGCGGTTTCTTTGCCGAAACCGACCGCGCCCAGGAGAAATTCCCTTCGCCATTTCCCGCATCCCACTCAAATACTATCGACTTAGCACCTCAGCGACCCGGTTTCGAACCCGGTGTCCGGAACGCATCAACCACCATCTTCTATCTCCTCACACCCCAAGGACCCCAAGGCGGCTTCCACCGGAATCTAGGACGAACAGTCCATACTCTCCACCGCGGTAGGGGCACTTATGTCTTGATCCATGCCGATGAGGAAGGCAGTTCGAGACGTATTGAAACTTTCATTGTTGGTCAGAACGTTGAGAAAGGCGAGAAGTTGCAATGGGTCGTTGATGGTGGGAAGTACAAGGCCTCTTTCTTAATGCCAGACGAAGAAGGTGGAGAGGAGAGTAAAGATGGTTTGCTGATCAGCGAAACTGTCGTTCCTGGATTTGAATATTGTGACCACGATTTCTTAAGTCCGGAAGGGTTGAAGAATTTGGTTCCAAAGGAAAAGGCAGAGGAGCTAGAGTGGCTATTAAGTCCATTGGGCAAGAAGCGATAGGCATTTGAGGAATGTTAAAGAAGAGCGTTTTGCGTGATGATAGAGGCAACTGATCAAAAGCCAAACTAGAAACGGAAAGACAGTTTTGGATAAATATGTAGACAACCAAGAATTTCCTGATTGTTTAGATCTCGGGCGCCTCGATCAAAAGCCTTTATGTGCCGAAGTTAAGGAAGAAAGGCAAACAGTATCATGATGAGGATACATTAAATTCATTTTCTTGTGAAACCTTAGACTATAATTCCATCTATTCAATATTCCATTTCATTATCCTTTCTAAATCACCTATGAAACAAATTGAACGCCCCATTGAACCATGCCTCATAAATAGGAGTGATCTTCTGTGCAGCTCTTGCCAGAAGCTCCCTTATGCCACGCCTATAGATTACCACCGCCCGCCTAGTGAAAACAATCATGAGTAGAAAATAAAAATAACACGCATATCGATGCTAGGCGTTACAACAAATACCTCATAGAATCGTGTAGATTTGCAAGATAATACACGCGACATTAAATGATATCATGAAGGGAAGCTGGTTTAATAATGACCACGTCTTCGCGATCGACCATTGCCAAGGTCAATATTTTTCATCTCATCAAGCAAGGTCCACGCATCTGCACCCGAAGATTGTGGAACACCAGAGTCCATACGCATAGGGACTTTGGCTGGAATGGGAGGTGGGCCGGCACTTCCGCGATAACTACCCCCATAGCTTGGGCTTGGGTTGTAGTTTTCATTTGAGTCGTATGTGGCTGTATTGGGTCTTGGCACACTTCTCGAACTATAGCTGTTGCTCTGATGTGGTGTTATTGGAGCTAAAGGACTCGACTGCGGTGCCGGCGCAGCAGACATCCTGTTTGACTTCTTTTGTAACCGATTTCGACCCGTATTCGACAATGGATCATTCGGCCCAGTACCCATGTATACAGCCGGCCCGGATGGCGAGGTAGACATAGATACTGGTCGGGCAACCACTTTTAGCTGCTTGCGACCAGAGTTTGGCTGAGAACTGCTGGGGGGTGCTCGATAATTACGGTCTGGCATTTGTGAGGCATACTTGGGCGCTTTGGATTCGAGGAGAGGTGCGTAGTTAGACTCGGGAATATGATCACTAGGGTCAATCTCCCGACCGTCATGTGTGATAATCTTCGCATCTGCGTCGGGCTCCTGGATATCGTATCTAGCGCTCAGAGAAGGTGTTGACACAGAACCAGTTATTTTAGGGTTCAAGGCGTTATAGGAATCTGGTCCGAAAGGAATACCAGAGAGGCGTCGGGTCTCCTCTGGAGCAGGACCTGGAGATGGACTCACAGACTTTCGCGCAGGTACTCTAGGGTCAGGAGAGACACCTCTTGGTTTGTGTACCACCGTGCCAGTCGTGTTGGAATATCGGCTTTGTCGCCCACTGTATGAAGATGGGGCCGCGGAAGCTGCATATGGTACCATTGCGTCTTCTTGATATGAATCGAATTCTTGCCTAGTTTGATATTGATTGTTGTGACCAGGGTCGTCATAAGAGCCCCGAGACATCGGACTTGGCCCTTGGTTGCTGAAGCTCTTTCTGCGCTCGTCATATATCCTTTCCTGGATTTCCTGAGCAATCATGGGGTCAATACCAGCGACAAGAGTCGGTGGAACCGCAGGCAGGCCATAGTCCGGTTCAATTTCTGCAAGTTGATTCCGTGATGGTTTTCGTGCCATCTGATATTGCTGTGGCAGCGAATTGTACGAGGTTCGTGAAGACATAGAAGCTGCAGTCTGGGATCGATCTCTTAGTGATATCTGAGAACTAGAAGAATTGTAGCCATTGCTGTTCGAATGCTGGTGCATGCCAGGATGAACTGGTGGGGTCGAAATACTGTTTCGCCCAGATGCAACGCTTCCTCTCCCACTCAGATTGAGCGGAGCTGGTGATGGGACTTCAGTATGTCTTCTGTCACCAGGCGACTGCGAAGCACTTCCTCTGTGTCCCGAGTAGTGTGGTGCCGAGGGAGATGGAGGTGCATCCTCCACGGTAGGCTGCATCGAGCCGTAGTCAGCACTGTACCTTCCATCATACGAATGATGTCTAGGCTCCGCCTCTTGATATGGCCTTGAATTTTCTTTTCGATATTGATCGTCCTTCTTGGGAGTGACATAAGCCATGTACGGCTTAGGTTGAGAGTACGAGGACAATGAGTTTCGATGCGCTTCGTTCGAGAGGTTCGTATCCCATGTATTTGCCCTGATCGGGGCAGCGAATGCATAGTGCTCTTGAGATCTGATAGCTGGTTGCGGGCTCACTTGACTGCTACCATGACGGGTCCCATGGGCAGGAGGCGGGGGCGGTGGCCCCACTGGGCTTGGAGGAGACCCGTACTCATCAGATGGTGGTATCTCATAGGGACTATGTCTGCTGTAGGGGTCTCGAGAATCTATGTGTTCCTCATCTTCGTTATTGTAAACCTGGTGGCCACTATAGCCTTTCGATGTTTGGCTAGTTGCGTAGTTGTTTCTTACATCCTTTCTAGAGTTATTGGAATCGTAAAGCTCGCTTCTCTCCTCGTGTGGAAATGCCCTGTTGGAGCCATATCCATCCCATGTCGGGCTTCTGTCGTAACTAGTCGTTGAATATTGATTAGATGGAGTTCCATACTCTACATTCTGCAGTGGTGATTGATTTGATATATACCCTGGACTCTGATATCGGGGAGTTTGAATATGCTGTGGAATCGCAACCGGCGATGCTCTTGAAGGGGTTTGAATGTGGTCAGGAATTGCATTCGGTGCTTGAGGCTGAGCACGTGGAGGTGTCTGGGTGTATTCCGGACCATTCATCGATTGCTCGTAACCTCGAGTTGGTGAGTTTGTGTGCTCGGGTGTCCCAGCCGGTGATTTGAACCCTCGGGGAGGAGTTTGAACGTGATCGGGGATGGCGTTTGGTGGTGGAGCTCCAGTGACTGGGTCAGATGGCAACGGTCGTCTTTTCACTGCAGGTTTCGGCTGCCTCGGTCCTTTCAGCGTCTCTCTCCCTCCATCCTCTACAGTGCTGGCAGCGCCTGCCTGTCTCGCCTTTTCTGCCTTCTCTTGCTTGGGTCGTGTGTCGTAATACGTGATTTCTACCCTGACCTCTCCAGAGTATTTGCCTTTACAGCTCAGGGTGTGCCAAGTATCGCTTTGCCCTCCCCCAGGAACCACGACTTCTTGCAAGCTGACCCAGGTCTCCCCAATCAAATCGGTCCTTTTGTCGTCGTTGAATACCGAGACCTTCAATTGCAAATAATCGGGTGAGTCGTGTACGGTAAATCGAAGCTCCTGATCCCTGGAGAATACATTAGATCAAACCGTCGCATTAAAACCACAACATGTTAACTAACCATCTGGGTGTTTGGCCTCCTCTTCGATCGGTCTCCGTCTTCTTGGCTTCTTTCCCTAACCTCGCTGCACAGTAAGGATTCTGCTTGCCAATTGTCTTTCGATTTGGGAGGTTCTTTGCTCTATCAACAATAACAACCAATGTTCCAATTTCTGGCCCGTCCACCGTCATGTCGGAGAAAATGCCGGCCGTATGCATTCCATTGAGACCGTTGACCTTCGTTTTGGCTGCCATTGCAGCTTTGACCTGAGGGCACTGTTGTTGCGGAGAGATGTGCCGTATTTCGTATTGGGAACAGAGCCTTTGTTTACAAGGCTAGCAATGTACTCTAGTTCATCATCTGGGTGTCGCGAAAGAGTGAATGAGAGATGATACAGAGTGTCTAGCACCTTCTCGACTACATGCAGGAAGAAGGAATTGCCCGGAGTACTGAATGCAGACTAAAGGAACACACTTGCGCGTCCCTCTTGGAGTAACGAATAATTGGTGGCTGAGAATTGAGTCGCAAAGAGAAGAGGCTGGGAAGCTGGGCTCAGCCTTTTGGAAGCGAGATGGTGTAACCCGGTGAACCCTACCAGTGTTTACATACACAAGTTTCATCTCCACCATTCAATATTATGCTGCACATAGTTGGAAAAAAAGAAATTTTCTATACGTATCTTCGCCGTATTGAATTTGCTTCGATTTTGATTTTTAAAGCTCTGTACTCCGTACACTATTGTTCAATTCGTCGTCCGCATCCGGCGAAATGTTGCGGGCAGGCGAAAGTTCCAAAAATAGATGGCCTTAAAAGTGGGTCCTCATATGTAAACAGTCGCTTCTCGGCTGCATAACATCGTCATGCAGAGTTAAGATATGCATAACTAATCTACCACAGTACGATGAAGAACACTTATACATCGCGACCTCGAACAAGATATTAATGAGACACCAAAAAACTCCAAACGTATCTAGGCTCTGGTTGCTCAAAATATGTGTATAAGTCCCTATGCTAATACGGCCATGGCGACACTGTAAACTCATGGTCAGTTTAACTTCTGAAAAAAAGACATGGGCTCTGTATAGTGAACTCTCCAGTCTGTTATATGTATTAGGATGTGGCAAAGCATGCACTTAAGCATTATGTCGTTAGTACATTCTACACAGGGGAACATCACATTGTTTGTAGGTACGTCCTGCGCTCGCTGATTTCTTGCTCTCTTGACTTTATTCTATTGATAGCTAAGATATGCATATATGTATTCCTTACCGTATGTATAAAAGATCTAAAGTCAACTGAAATAGGCTCGCAAACTGAAGCATGCTAACGAGGAAGTGTAGATCGAGCTCAGTTACTGCGTAGAATTAACTCCAAGTGCCGCCACCGCCTCGGCCGCCAGAACAGCGTTGAGCTGACAGCCGCCAGTCATCCTCGCCCACAAATTTATTGTGCAACGGCTCAATGCACTCTTGTTTACGTCTCTTTGACATCGTCCCACCAGTGCCTGCAAGCTTGAAAAAGGTCGGTGCTGCGTCGATGAGCCACTTGGGTTCAATGCTTGTGGTCCAGCGCATATACTCACGCGTGGTGAGGACAAGTTCATGATAGATTACCCATTCAGACTGCTTCCCAAACAGCGCAGACGATGGATGCACGAAGATTGGTGTGCGTTCAAGAAGGGTCTTGTAGCCCCCGGACCCAGCCTCTGTGTCCCTTCTCCCTACATTTCGAAAAAAACCCGGCGCAAAAGGCTCGACGCACCTGCTCCGTTCTGGGACCACATGAAGTAACTGGGTGATGATACCGTTCCATGATCTGCACGAGCTGTGTCAGTATGTCCTTTGCTTGGTTCATAGAGCGCAATTGGATAAAATTCTCAAAGCACCAAGAGCTTGAATAAGCACTTTCTTTCCAGGCGTTATACACATTCAGTAGTGTCAAGTGATCGCCATGTTGGTCATGGAATTTGGCCTTCTTCTGATCTGCTTGTTCCTGCTTCTCCGTCGGACGATAGAAGACATTTGTCAGATTTAGCATAGCAACGATAGTAAGGACCTCATTTGAGCAACCCAATTCTCCTGACAAAATCAACACTTTCGCAAGCGACGGCGCCATGGGGAAATCGGCCATTTGGCGTCCTAGCCGTGTCAATAGACCTTCGTCATCAAGAGCACCTAGAGCATAAAGCTCTTCGAGAGCAGTGAGCATAGTATTAACCGGTGGCGGGTCCATGAAATCAAAGTGAAGAAGGTCGTTAATGCCCATCGCCTTAAGCATAAGGATTGTTGTACATAGATTGTGACGTTGGATATCAGGTATTGAAGATCGTAACATCTCTGAATGGTAGGCTGTCTCAGTATATAACCTAAAGCACTTTCCTGGGCCGGTTCGGCCAGCACGACCTGCCCTCTGATTAGCTTGTGCTTGCGATATTGGGGTAATAACGAGCGAGTCCATGCCCAGCTTCGGATTATATGAATTTTGCTTGAAGAACCCCGGGTCTATAATGTAGTAGATATTATCGATAGTAATAGAGGTCTCAGCAATGTTTGTAGCAACGACGACCTTTCGACTACCTGGCGGCGTTAGCTCAAAAATACGGTTTTGTATATCCGCAGGCAATCCGGCATAGACAGGAAAAACAAGTAGGTCCGGCACGCTAGGCCCTAAAGCCTTTGCGCGTGTTTGTAAACTTCGCAGGCGGTATCGATTTCCTCCTGCCCTGTTAAGAATAAAAGAATATCTCCTACTGGCTCCATCAGGTGAATTTGCAAAACGGTGGCTAGAGCAGTGTCAAGATAATCCGGCTCAGGCTCCCGGGAGTATAGAACTTTGACTGGAAATGTACGGCCGGGGATTGTGAATATTGGAGCGTCATCAAAGTATGTCGAGAACTTGTCAGCGTTAAGGGTGGCAGACGTGACGATCACTTTGAAGTCTGATCGTCTTTTCAAAGCTTTTTTAAGTAGTGCGAAGAGAATATCGGTAGCAATAGTACGTTCGTGTGCCTCGTCGAGCATGATAATAGAGTATCGCTTTAGGTCTGGGTCGATTAGAACTTCGCGCTGAAGCATACCATCCGTCATATACTTGATTTTAGTATCTTTGCTGGTGCAATCATCAAAACGTACTGAATACCCTACTTCCTCGCCCAAAACACAGCCGACTTCCTGGGCTACACGTTTTGCTACTGATAATGCCGCTACACGGCGAGGCTGTGTGCACCCAATAATGCCGCTGCTTGTAAACCCTGCCTCAGCTAGGTATTGTGTTATTTGAGTAGTCTTACCAGAACCTGTTTCACCAACGACAACAAGAATGGGATTTTGTTGTATAGCTTCGATAAGTTGGTTTCGAAATGTAAACACCGGAAGAGATTCCCGCTGCGCCTTAATTGACATATGTGCTCTCCTTCCGGGAGTCTGGCCTTTCGTGGTAGCCGAAAATTTCCACTCTGGCATGCTTGTATTCTTTATGGCGTTCCCTTTTCCAAGTTCACTGGCGAATTTGCGATTCGCGGGGTCCGCCATTGGATCGTTTGACTGCGATGAGAGATCAACCTTCTCGACAGTTTCAACCGCAGCTTCAGCCTCCAGGTCTCGGATTTCCCTTCGTTCCTTTGCTAACGTGACACTGAACATAGCAGCCCGGTTCAGCGACCCATCAGGGGCTTTAATGATACGAACAGGCGAGAGATCTAGAGCCTGGCTAAATTGCCCAGCAAGGAATGGCGGCTCTTCCTCCCTGATTTCAATGTCAACATCTTCTTCCAGCTCCATTTTGCCGTTTCCACTAATCGTTGCGTTGTAGTCTTCTTCTAGCTGGGGATAGTCTGAAGATTTCGCAACTCCAGATGCCTTGAGTTGCCGAATCTCCCACCTTTCAGGAGATGTCAATCTTCTTTTTTGGAACTTTGCAGGACTAGTGTCGGTGTCTACCCTATTCTCTCCGCCCACAGACTGCATGTTAGCACTGGAATCGATGCCTTTCTGGAAAGTCGCGTCCCGGTCTTGCTCATTATCCTTCATTGATAGTCCAATTTTTGTGCCCTCCATGCTAAGGACTCTGACCTGGACAGATTGGCCACATTTCAATAAGTCTAATGGGTGGCTAACGCGTTTGTTTGACAGCTGTGAAACATGGACAAGTCCCACTGCTTTCTGCTTGATGCCTTGGATGCTAACGAAGGCGCCAAAGTCCTCAAGAGCCGTGACATGGCCACTGTAAACTTTTTGTAACACAGGTGTATCGTCTATCTCGGGGCTCAACCGACGCGATATCTCTTGGTCCTCCTTATGACGATCGCCGCTGCGGTAGCCATGGCGCCGCTGCTTCTCTGACATTGACACATCGCAATTATCTCTTGCATGGCGTCTCTTCTTTGGCAAATCGGTGACCGGGTTTCCATGCTTCCATTGCTGCTCCATCGATGTTTCAAGACTCCTACCCTGACTGAGACTACAGTCCCGTCTTCGCTTATTTTTTTCGACATCTCGATGCTTTGGCTCCAGAGCCTCCAGCATTGCTAAGTCGCTCTCGATAGAGCTTTGATATGACACCACGTCTGGCACAGCATCTCCAGTGGATTTGTGAGCTTTTTGGACAACGGGGCGTTGATCGCCAGGCTCATCGTATGTAATGAAACGCCTTGCCTGCATAGTCGGGTGAAGCAAGCAGACGAGCCTGTCTATGCTGTTGACGAGACTTGATGAGAAAGTGTCATTGGCGATATCATTCAACCTCCGTTCGAAGTTGTCAGAGGTGTCAGCCTCGAGGCGCTGAGCGATAACGAATTCTGCGAGAGTTTTGTCGACCACTCCAAGGTGGTTTTGCAGCTCAGCGACTACCTTGCTCACGAGCCCAGAGATCTCGAATTCGTACAGGTCGTCCATCTCTGAATATGCTTCTGGAAGCGTAGCGTACTATGATTGTTGTCGAAAGCGGACCAACAGAGCTGCGGACGAGGTTGCCTGCCAGTTGCCTACCGCTCACCTATCTATGTTGGTGTTTTGAATAAGCGCGAAGCGCTTCCCTTGCTCTCTTCGTTATCTCACTACCTACCTAGTGCTCAAATACAAAACAACACTGTTTCCGAAGAAAATTCATTAGACTTACAATCTCTTTATAAGAATATCTTGTATACATGTACCAGCTCTCGCTCTCGCTCTCGCTCTTGATCTCGTTCTCCCGCACGGACCTTTCTGCTAGTTCGTAATCAGACATGGAACTCATCAATGGACTCGACGTTGACAACTTACGGTCTCGAGTCCTTCAAGACACTCTCCAGCAAATCTCGTCGGCAACGGTTAGCAGAACCGCATGCTGCGTAATCTGTCTCGGCGACATAACCGAACAGTGCCAAGCGCAACCATGCAAACACAATAACTTTGATTATTTGTGTCTGCTCACATGGATGGACCAACGTGCAAATTGCCCACTGTGTAAGGCTGAAGTGCACGAAGTCTGGCACGATCCGGGTCTAAATGGGGAGCACACGAAAGTTTACAAAGTCTCCGAACGAACTAAAGCGTCTGACAACTCTAGTGCTGTGGATAGAACTAGAGACAATAGTGGCTGGGTGGCACGTGGACAACCGTTCGAAAATGAAGCGATTCGGAGAAGACGCTTTATATACCAGAATAATCTGCACTCTCACCACGTAGGCTCAAACAGACGACAGCCACTTGACTCGAGACACCAGGAGTTTACCCCAGAACTTGTCAAAATTGACCCCGCGATCAGATCTCGAGCTAGAACATGGCTACGCCGCGAGCTTCAAGTCTTTGTGTTTCTCAACTGTGACGGCAATCCTGAGCCGGGGAACGATCCTGATCGTGAGAAGAGACCCAGCCGTGCAGACTATCTGGTGGAGTATATCATTGCCATTTTAAAGATGGTGGACATTCAGGGCAGTGCAGGTCAGGCAGAGAACATGATTCAGGATCACCTCGGACGCCGCAACACACAGCTTTTTCTACACGAGCTTAAGGCTTGGCTGAGAAGCCCTTGCGAGACCCTCGATGCATGGGACAAAATAGTTCAGTATGGCGATGAGGATTGCAATCAGAATTAACACTGCTGCTACGCTTGACGCAAAGATCACTTCTTTGTCCTAAATTTGCTTGCCGAAAAGCTATTAAACGTTTAGTAGACTTAGCCGTTCTTCGCTCAGCACTACAGCCGATTCAAGACTACAGATTTGTAACTTGTAACTTGTAACTTACGATACGGGGCTAATAAGTTGTTTACTCCATTTCAGCATTGGTTTGATCCATTATTTAAAGAGGACTTGTCATGGACCGAAACAACCAAGGGTTTTAATGAAGGGCATGCTTCAATCTTAATATCTTATATCGAACGGCTTCTTCTTGGGACCAGAAGTGGGCTATTCATCGCCTCATACTAGACTTCTTTATATTATGCGTTTCTCGCACCGGACGGTGATTAGTTATTATTGCTATATTGTTGCTACCTTGAAATAAATACGCTCTCTATTCCTCTCGAATCCCTTTTGCTATTCAGAGAGGTAAAGGTATGTATGGAAGTGGGTGTCTGGCACATCTGCATTTGATTAATGAGTTACGGCCACCATAAATATTAGACGTGCCGGAGAACCATATATTTGGAATGTTCAGAGATGGTATACAAGTCTATCCCCCATCATCGGACATGCTGCGATCAGAGGAAGATTCTCGACATTTTATTGGCATGTAACATCCACCCCTGAGAACACCTTGAAGGAGTAAGCATCAGTGGCGTCGCCAGATAAGCGAATAGCCTCAAAATGACGAGCTACTGGATAATCTCGAAAGACCGCAAAAGTTATTTGGCATCCGCTAACAGCTTGGTCAGCTCCGACGCCCTTCAACTATAAAGCTGCTGGATAAAGTGGAACAGAGTATGAGAGCCCTCGATGATATGGAAATTTATATTGTTTGGCACGATGGTCTACAAACTTCAAATTGGTAAGCTGTTACAAGAAAATACAACAAGATACTAATTGCTCGAGACATCTACCAGGTGTAAGAATAGAAGGATGTACAATGGAAAGTTAGAACATCGCTGAAGTGTAAGACATATAGGTGGAGCCGGGGCACCATACCAAATATTACTCTCACATGAACCCTGCTAAAATTTGGCTGCTACATCCGGAAATCCGTGAAAAATTATCAGGTAGCGAAATGGGCAGCATCGGTAGTGGATTGGGTGCTGACCCGATTTGAGTTTCTCATTGCGCGTGGAGCTGGTAATCAGTCTTTGTCCCGCCGCTGTTAGAGACAGCTGCTTCGTACGCAATCTCACGCTGAGCTTTGGCAACGCCGTAATTGTACAAAAGATAGAAATTCCAGAGCAACGACATTTTATAAGAGAGAAAGAGAAGTTGACAAACCGTTTGTGCTTGGCAGAAATATTATAAAATCATAGAATGTATGTAGCCCACTAAGCTAGAGCTGGCCGCAATAACTCCATAGGATCAGTGCCTGTATTGATGAATAGTTACAGCATGTTAATTTGAATGCTGGGCTGCAAATTATTAGAATGATTGTCAGTGGTTGTAGGGATTTAAAACTTAGTGCTGTACAGTTTTGACTTCACTCAATTGTAACAAAAACAGCTCAACAACTTGGAAACCTCCCCCCACCATTACCTATCCCTCTTATTATCGAATAATGCTGTTTTAAACCCCCATGTGCTTTCTTACGCTTGAAAACCCAAGTACGACGATATTTGCATTTATCGATTAAGACGTCACCCTCTGCGTGTGCCGTGAGCCGCAGCCGAATACCGTGTCAGACAATTTCAAATACCCCCCTGCTGCCTTTTGTTCAAGAAACGCGTTCCAGGGACAAACAGTCTTACTGAGAGTATTGCATCCAAGTAGAACTGACTTCATAGAGCAATTTTCTTCCTCAAGATGTATATAGATACCAGATTATCTCCGTCAAGTACTGCTCTTTCACCCTCATATGATCAACACACTCACATTACCATGCCGTCCTCACTCCTCCTCAAAATCAGTGTTCTAAGTTTATTAAACTTGGCATCCTCCTTACCAACTACCATATTTCATGACAACACGAGAACATGTCAAGAATATATCATTCCCATCACCACCACTACAGTGGAAGCGATCCCTGCCTTCCAACCATTTAGAGATAACTTCGATGTTGTGGATTTCGTAAATCAGATTGCTGCACGCGATGCAGCAAAGAGTTTCGCTCCATTCTCGGGTACTCGTAATGCAACACATTCTTATGATATCTCGGGCACGATATGTTGGCCCACTGTGCAGACAGAGCAGGCCAAGACGATACTGTTGGCGACTCCTGGTCTAGGGTTCGACAAACGGTATGAGTCCTAAATTTTGTCTATAATCAGCTACTGATATTCCACAGATATTGGGACATTCAGATGAATGCCGAAGAATACAGCTTCGTTGATTACGCTATATCTCGTGGTTATTCCGTATTCTTCTATGATCGTCTCGGCACAGGTCTCTCCTCAAAGTTTGTACTCCCTGTGCCATATTAACGAAACTTGCTAATCAACTTAGGGTTTCTGGTTATGATGGGGCCCAAGCAAGCACTCACTTAGCAATTCTCAAACAGCTATCAGTTCTGCTCAGATCTGGTCAATACACCGGTGGTGTGGGCAAACCCTCAAAGTTAGCTCACGTCGGCCACTCCTTCGGCTCGTTCCTGAGCCAGGGTCTCATTACTCAAAATCCCGAACTCTCAGATGGAGCGCTGTTCACTGGACTTGCTTGGGATTCTTCATCGCAACCTCCAGCGCTCGAATCTATGGGATTGAGAATCGCCAATACACAGAGCGAAGGCAGATGGGTTGGTTTAGACAATCAGTATCTTACATCTGGTGACATTGCCGGTAATGCAGCCTTCTTCTTCCATGGGGATAGTTATGATAAGCAGATGTTGTGGTATTCGGATTCCGTGGCCCAGCCTCTGGCGATTATAGAGCTCTTAACTTTGACAACTTTGATTACTGGGCCAAGCAAGTTCCATGGTCCTGTCATGGTATTTACACCCATTTGGTAGCCGTCATGTCCGGAAGTGCTGACCGTCTATCAGGTCATTAGCGGAGAGTTCGATTTCCCACTTTGTGGAGGAAACTGTACTGATACCTTGAGAGGTCCAGCGGAACTTTTCTTCTCCAACGCCACAGACCTACAGACAGTTGTGCACCCTAAGACTGGTCATGCAATCAACTACTCTTTCAATGCAACGGGAGCTTATGCTGTGATGCTCGACTATCTTCATAAACATCAGGTTTGAAGTAAGAAATGGTCCGATTGAGGCATGGATGAAAGGGCATGAGCTGCGTAACAAGATTTAGATTAATTATGAACGATTTGGAATATTTTCGCTTTGATGTCACGTACATCTTATCGACATCTGTAACATTAGCCCGCTAGACATTCAAACACAATAGAAGCACGAAATATGAATTTCCACAAGGCTCTGAATTACCTAGTAACAAGCAACGTACGCGGTGCGTCCTCCTACAGTAGATATCGGCTCCATTACTGGTGGCAAAGCCCTGGATATATAGTAGCACTACTGAGTTCACCGAGTGCTTATGCGCGCTTATGACCATACTGTCCACCACGTAGCGTCGCGAGATCGATTGTGAGGTTGTTTTAGTAGAGTGGAATTAATCCAATTCGTTCCATTCCCACCGCCACCCTAATTATTCTGAATGTTGGATGCCATAGCGCTCTTTTACAAGTACAAACACCTCAGGTGTACTTGTCGGTATATCATCAACCAGATAACATATTGTGATGTTACATATAACAGACTAAGATCCAAATATAAGTGCGTATTCGCCAGATCGTCAGGAAGTGGTAGTGATGTTTTCCCACGCATGACGCCTGTGCTATGATAAAAACCAAAGTGCTTCCTGCTCTTCTTATCTAGCCTACTTCGTGGGGTACAGATGCAGATCCGCGCCGAACATATGTAACATTTTTCTTTAGATCTTGATTTTTAGATATCTCTTGGTAGAAAGTCGTCATGAAGGTGGAGGCATCATCTCAGATCCGACATCAGGCACTGGTGCTCCACTGGTCGCGGTCGGGCCAGGACAGCTGTTCTGCGGTGGGAATGTGTTTTGAGCGTTGGGGTACGAGTACATCGGAGTTCCTTGATATTGTGTGTTCGCGTTGGCCGCGGCAGCTATTTCCCAATCGTATGGCTTCCGCCCCCAAACCACGAAGACCTTGTTGTAGGCGTGGACGCGCTTGTCGGATATTGCTTTCCGGACGTCAACGAGATATACCTAGAAGTGTGAAGTTAGAGTGTAGTGACGAAAGATTCTGAATTTGGCATCAAATTACCTCAATTTCGGTCTTGCTCCAACTGAAGACCCTGGAGAATAATCCCATGCTGATACCCGCCAAACCAGCCAACCAATTATCCTCCTGCATCTTTCCCAGCGTTTTCAAATGTTTGTCTCTAGGCCATGGATTCACTGGTAATTTGAACACTCTTTCCTGAACATCTACAAAGCCCGCTTGCTCATACCATCTCTTCATCTTGTTTGCAATCCTCATCGGCCGATCCGCTCGCATTGCTGCTTCGTCCAGGTCCTTATTCCAAAGCAAAAACGGCCAGTTCGCAGGCATCGTTCCATCATCGCAGTACAAGCTCGACATAATCTCTTGGCTCTCCATGTATCCGCCGGGCTTCGTGTAGAAATATGCGCGTTTGATGATATCTCTGAAATCCTCAAAACATCCTAGCAATACGCGGGTGTGAATATAATCAAAGTAAGCCGCAGGCAGAGCCCAGTCCTCTTCCGAAGCATCGTCGATAAAAAATTGAACATTTTCTGGGACGTGGTTTGGTTGAATGGGAGAGAGGTCGGTCGCTTGAATCTGCGCAAGAGGAAATTCGTCGCCTATTTCCATCGCCCATTGTCCTGTCCCGGTGCCGATGTCTAAGATGTTCCTGGGATCGTTGAGAGGCGCAAAGTAGTTCTTGTCTTGAAAACAGAATTTGAGGATTTCATACTGAAAGTCGAGTCGGTCGGTCTCGGTGGGATCGTTGGGGAAGTTGTATGCTGCAAGAAGGTGTCAGTAGCAACATGTTTTGGTGGGGGGATTGAGGGGTCGTACAGCCTTCACGATATCCATGATATGTGCGCCCATTCTCCTTGGGAAATTCAAATACACTTTCGGTGACGGATTTTGTGTAATCACTGGGAACATTGTTAGTATGCAGCGCGCTTGAGATATCACCAACACGATGCGGGCTGCAGCTTCGCTGTACCACTTCGTACCCGGGTGGCGGGGCGAATGATTCTGTTTGTCCACTCACCTCACGTTCGAGGGGCTGTTGGCTATCGACGGGGACTGCGAGAAATGTCAGCCAGATAAAGTTTCTTTCGCCAACGTCGGGCATATGCAATGCGCAGGCAGTTGTGTCTGGTATTCTGGACGTACGTCTGCTTCAATTGGAGTGTCAAAGCCGGGTGTAGGGGAGCTCTGGCTGGAGAGGTACGCAGCAGCGCTGGACATTTCGACAATGAACAATGTTTCAAAAAACCACAAACTCTTCGCCCAGACGAGGAGCACCCGGTGCAGATTTTCTGGTAGCTATAGGCGGGTAATAAGAGTGAAAGTGTGTCATAGGCCTCTCCAACAGTCTGCAGTCTGATGTAACGTTGAAATGTCCATGAAGAAGTCTACTATTGACTGAGCGTCTCAGACCAAGGTGGAGGGCTCTGGCTTTGGAAGAAGAGTTCAGGAATGTCCCAAGCAAACTGTAGAACGGAAGCTTTCAGCGCTCTCAAAGACAGCACAAGAGAAAAAACGAGCAAAGTAGAGAACTGGCTTGTGAAAGCTTATAAATTGATTGCGCTGTGGTAGTAAAGTGTCGTAGCAAAATACGACTCGTTGATCGCCCCAGGCGGAGGCGGATGAAGTAGAGGGAGCGGGCAGCGAGATAAGTGGGCTTTCAAAGCTCCTGGATGCTGCCGCTGGTGGGCCATATTGAACGGACTATTGTACACTGTCAAGCTATGATGTCGGCCTTTGCTGTCTCGCATGGGGGTCATTCAGGGGGAAGAAGTGTCTTGGAGGAAGAACTGTCTTTGACGAGTTCGCTTGACGGCAGGAGAGCGATTGGGGAAGCTTGAGATGTCCTTCGTATGTATCTTGTGTCAAACTCCCAGGATACAGACCTTCCACGGGCTGAACAGTTCCAGCAATTTGGTTCGGTGTTACCAAATGCGTGAGTGGTTCTGCGGCCTGGAACTCTTGGGGACGCGGGAGAGGCGGAGAGCAAGTGGCACAGCGAGGAGCTGGCTGGAATCGACCCGGGAGTTGAGAAAGGGGGGTGAGTAGTTGGCTCGGCTGGGTGCACAAGCGAACGCTCCAGGTTTGCTCCGTCACTGGAATTCCAACACTATTACCCGGCAAGCCACGGCTTTTTACAATCATACTATATTGCTATACGTACTACCTTCTTGTTGTACAGAAAAAGCCGGAATACTCACGTATCTTTCTTTTACGGAGGAATCGCTCAATGTCCGGCGCTCGGTGCCATCCAGCTATTGACTAGGAATGTGATATGCCTCGAATCCTGCCCCGGCTGATCGTAGGACCCTTGAGAAATGCCAAGAAATGTTGCAATCGATGTGCACTGACGAGCCTGGTAGCTCTTTACTACTTCCAAGTACTTTTCGAAAAGCTGTTGTTGATGGTTTCGACTGTTCTTATTCCACAATCTCTTCCATTTCTTCTAGAAAACCCGACAGTAAGAGTAAAATCGGGTCCCGGACCTAAACGGCGACCCAGCGAACGGATAAAGTCCCCGCTGAATAAAGAAGGTCGCTAAGTTTGCTGGGTCACATACCTGGACGGCTGCAGACGCAGTCAGATATACATAGGGGAGACCGCATGGGCATTGCCACGAAGCACGAAACCAGTAATCGAATTGTCAGGTACGACCATACACATGCTCTCCAGAAATCAGAGAGAGGCAGAAATGGGCAGGCTCGGACTCATTCCAGGACTAGAGAGACGACGTGGACGGGTTCGTGGTACGTTGTGCCGTCGGCCATGTTACAAACGAACTATATCTGGTCCCGTTATCTATGTAACTTAATACACAAATCTGATCTGAATCTCGCCGGTTGGCATGTAATGCATGGAAGGTTTCTACTCGCATCGAAATTCTCTTGTACCAGGGGTCCAATGTCTTAAGTTGCTGACAATGAACAGGCTCTATCCTTTCCTGAACGACCAATTCGACAACTATCGAATGATATCAAGTCACCCAAACGTTTCTGAAGCTGTTGCTAAGACGTAATCAGATGGTATCATGGCCATCATCCCAAGAGTCATGGATTGTTCGATCACGGAATACTACCGTGGAATCCTACCGGCGTTGCCGCATGGAGCTGCAGGTTTCGTTCCATACCTTGATGACAAGTATAGAAAGTCTACGAGGGACCCTTCACACAAGCTGGCTGGATAGATCGTGCTTCAAGCGTTTCCAGATCCCGCCGGATGCGCACGAAGTAATCATTTTGCACTTTTGTATCTGTTGCGGCGTGGGCTTCTTGCGTTGGCTGATTTCAAGGGTTTCTACACCGCTGGTATTTGAACACCTACATTGCTTCTCTGCAGGGGCAGGACACTCCGCTTCAGCAGCGGGACGTACCCTAATGATTGGGTTTCTTGTACTTGCCCTACTTACCCCACCAACCCTACTGCCTTACTGGCCCTATTTGACCCATTTGCTCTTTGTCTTATCCTGAGTGCTTGTATTCTCCAGATCCCTTCTATTCCTTTTATGTTACCACGATTTTAACATGAGTCCTTCCCACCAAACCCCTTTCAAGTCGTCTGTAAAAGTCGGTTCATATATTTCTGCCTTTGACGAAGTACATGAATATCTGATTCCAGATTCAGTGAGAGCGAGAGCGAGAGTGTGTACCAGGGGTACGAATTGAGTCCCGAGCGACACTGGTAGATAGACAAGGATTACTTATCCCTCGAGCCCCTCCAAGAACCCTGCTGAAAAGTTAAAAGAGGGACATGTTTCTCCTCGCTTGGATATGGATCGACTGCTCGGCTTCGCTCACGGTCGTCCATCTAGGGTAACAGATTTAGCGTAAAATAAGGTAGTTTAGCCATAATTACTAAATTATCGTTTATCCTGCCTTGGGTTTAGATCTAAATTAGTAAGTCATGTGATTTCGGAGCTAGCGGAATCGGGCGTCGGAGTCTATTCGAAAGTCGGCTTTCTGAAATTTCTTCCGGCCCAAAAAATAATTCCTAAAATCTCTACTTTCGGCATCTTTTATCGGCGGCGAAACCCTATTATACCCTTATACATACAAATCTAATTTAGCTAAAACGACTCATTTTACGGTTCATTTAGCTATCTGAGATTATTTCTAAATTTACTAAATTTAGAATCTAGAACCCTACGTCCATCCCCAAACCCATTCCATTGGGGGCGGCCCCGCATTTTTCTTCACTCAACCTTCTCGATGGCCTGACCTGACTTGGCATGGTCTTCAACGAATTGCACCTCAAGTATCTATGTACCCATAGCCGTGCTCGCAACAAGATACGACTAATCAAGAGTTCCACAGCTGACAAAGGTAACTTTGGAAAATACGTGGGACCATCGCAGGAAACCGAAGACAACACGCCCTTCTTCTGAGTCACTCGTCTCTGATGCTTTTCACGTCTTCATAATCAAAGAACCTCGAGCTGTGCCAGAACCAAGATGTGTCCAAGACAATAAGATAACGAGGTTCGTACCTTACGCACACAAATACATCAAAGCAGCCACCAGTCGCCCGTGGCTTTTACTTTTCGGCTATTCACAAAGATTAAACGAGACCCCTTTACATCAAATCACCTGATCTTCCGCAGAGGACCAGTACCGACCTAGTTATCCTGTTGGAACAGACAAAATGGACTTTATCACTTCATCCTACGATATTCTACAGAGCGCTGTGAAGGAAGCTTCAACAGATGCCCTCCCACCACCAGATACAATCCTCCAAGCAACAGCGACCCTTCCAACATCCCTACCTACCTCTGGACTAGGCGAAGAAGCCACACGAAAACATCTAATATCAGATATATGTCCAGCTTTCAATGGACAGAAAATAACGGGCAACTACTATGGTTTCGTTACTGGTGGGGTGCTTCCGATAGCTGAGGTGGCAGATAATATCGTCACTGCATTCGATCAAAATGTTGGCGTCCACTTACCTGATCAGAGTATCAGTTCGACTGTGGAAGACAGAGCTTTGAGTATGTTGGCTGAGATGGTGCATATTGGGGAGGAGTTTCAGGGAAGAACATTTACTACGGGTGCGACAGCTTCTAATATTTTGGGCCTTGCATGTGGAAGAGAAGCAGTTGTCAAAACTCGTCTTGATGCCGCTGGAGAAACTGGAAGTGTGGGAGAACTAGGAATATTAGGAGCTTGTCTCAAAGCTGGTATCAAAGAGATTCGAGTATTGACTTCAATGGGACATTCCTCCCTATACAAAGCCGCAAGCGTGGTGGGCATCGGACGAGTCTCTGTCAAAGATATTCCAAGCAGCAAAGACGAGCCCTGGAAATTGGACCTTGAAGCGCTGGAAGACGAACTAAAGTCATCGAAGGACGGGATCGCTCACATTGTGGTCATCAGCGCTGGAGAAGTCAACACAGGTCGCTTTGCAACAAACGGGGTGTCCACAAACCGCAAGATCAGAGAGCTATGTGACAAATACCGAGCCTGGTTTCACGTCGACGCTGCATTCGGTCTCTTCGCGCGCAGTCTACCCCCTACCCCCGAATTCCAAGCTCTCATCCTCGCATCGTCCGGCTTAGAACTAGCTGATTCCATTGGAGGTGACTGTCACAAGATGCTCAACGTTCCTTATGACTGCGGCGTCTTCTGGACTCGCACATCCGAGACGATGTTCTCAGCTTTTCAAAACGCAAACGCGGCGTACCTCTCTACGGGCCCTTCATCTATTCCATCACCTCTCAATATCGGAATTGAGAACTCCAGAAGATTCAGAGCGCTGCCTGTGTACTCTGTGCTCGTCGCCTATGGCCGTTCTGGCTTTGCCGAGATATTTGCAAAACAAGTTCGTCTTGCCCGTGCTATTTCAGCATATATCGATCAGCACCCTGCTTTTGAGCTTTTAGCGCAAGGGCCTCCACCTTCTCATCCCACGGCACCGTTCCATCATCTCTCTCTATCAAGTCCGCAACCTACGGGTACTAATACACCGATCGAGCGGCCACCATACGAGAATACGCATATCATTGTGATTTTCAAAGCGAAGGATGAGCGTGTGAATAACGGGCTGGTAGATGGGATATGCGGAACTAGGAGGATGCATGTCAGTGGTACGGTATGGCAAGGGAAGAAAGCGGCTAGGATTGCGGTTAGTACTTGGAAAGTCGAGGTTGATCGAGATTTGGATGTTGTGAGGGGTGTGTTGGAGGAAGTTCTGAAAGGGTCAACGTAATTATAACGTTTGCAATGGGAGTAAATAAGATGTTATTAATGACAAAAGCCTTATGTCTATGAGATCATGACAGTTCTCATTTTTTTTGAACAACAGTCTCTTTCCTTCTTGAAAGTGGAATAGACTACTTTTCATACATACAGGTGAGTTAGGAGTGATGTTATCATAAACACCATTTCGAAAAGGTCAGCCTACACGAACTTTCAACAAATAGGAATTGGGGGAAACATAGCATTAATACTTGAAATTTCTGGGAATACTATAGCTAGGAATTACAACTTTAAGTCTCAAAGCAAAATGACAGAGGTGAAAGGCTATAGGAAGAGGAAGACTGAAAGCGTGTCAACTGGATATGGTCGTCTGAAGTGGTGAGATCTTTGGTGAAGGAAGCAAATGTGGTAGAATGCGACAATGATAGGCTTCGATAGTGAGAAATCTGTGGTACATATTTGCTTATCTGTAATTACCGTTCTTTGTAGTATAGACGTCGACAGTATGTATTACACCCAAAAAACAAACGGTCCGTATTTCAGACACCATCTGTTCGAACTCGGAGAAATGTACCCAAAAGCCTTTGCCAATAAACAACAGAGCTTTTCAAGAAGATGCTTACCATTCTGATATCTCCTCGTGCATTCCCGCAGTTCTCATCTTCCGTAGTTTCAATCGTCTCCACTCCCCATCCCCAGATCTTCTTGTAGCCTGTCTCCCTTCCCCCGAATCTCTTTGTGACCATCTCAACATCATTCGACACACCAAAACCCCACACCATTCAACCAAACTTCTTACTCCCGCCCTTCTTCACATCCTCCACAGTCTTCCCATCTTTCCCCTTCACAGGCGCATCCTGATTCTTCTTCCCTCCCTTAATAAGCTCCAAATGTCCCGCTTTCGCACCCAACGTCCGTTCCGTCATCGCCGTTAAACCTGCTGAATGTTTCTGTTGAAAGATTAGCCCTATTCGGACCTAGTCCCCAGTTTCCGCCCCAAGCCTGAACAAAAGTAATAGCAAAATAGCACACACCTTCGTCATCTTAGCATTCCTAACCAACCCCGCCTTCCTAGGCGCAATAGTCCTCGCACCCTTCTTAGGACCCAGCACCGTTTTTCTGCCTCCACTGCCCTTTACTGTTGGCGCAGTGGATTTTTTTCCTGCTTTGATAGTCCCTTGTGCCATGTCTGCGAGACAATTATGATTGCTCAAGCCCTGGAGAGTGTGGTTGAGGGTTTGGTGATGTCTGTATCGTGCGGCGGGAGGGTATCGCTCAAGCTTTGTGGTCAGGGGAATCTGTTTCCGAGAACTGCTCGAGTGGTGCTACAATCTGATAAATGCGATCGAACTTGACGTGAAGATTTCACAACGGAATTGCAATCGTGAAGAATTTCGTGATGGATACATTTTGTGCCCGAACAAAATCTGCAGGGGTGTCCCACCGCCTGTTAGCGTCGAATCAATTACCCCACACTAGGCGAGCAACTAATTTTCTGAGACCTCCATAGAAGTATGGTCTTGCCTAAATAATCTGCCGTTCTGGTCGAAATCCTGGAGCTACACGTATCTACCTACTTAGCTTTGTGCCTTCAGTGTTCATAGATCATCCATGACATACTCGTAATGGACACGTAAATTCAAATCTCTTTTGTTACTATGTCTAAATTCCCAATCATGAGCATCATAAATACAATGTTCCCTCGTTCCGCCAAGGTATCAAACCATCTTCGTCCCCAGCAAAACAACAGACCACAACTCCTAATCCAAAAATGTAAAGTAGATGTCATCCCTCATACTCGTAGTACTCATAAATATGTCATCGCATCGTGAAAACCAAAAGATATATCCAGTATATAATAACAGTTGTAAATAAATTTAGAGTAGCGCTGACTCGAAAAAGTATCTCTTCGGATTTGGACTCTTTAAAAAACAGTGCGCAGATGATAGACATCATCGACGTCAGGGCCGAGAAAATCTCTTAGATCCGCTCACAGGCAGAGAACATTTGATTTGCAAAAACGAACACATCATTCACATCATTCTTCTTCTGCGGAGAACGTCATCGACACCGCTCTGGACTTCTCGCGGATGACTGATGCTTGCCCGTAACTTCGCAGTCCGTTGCTGTCTTCGCTTCTCACTAAACTTCCGCTTCACAGCGCTCCAGCCGACGTACTCGACTCGGACTCCAATTCCAGGAATGGTATGTACTCTGTTGCCACCATTGCCTTCCTTGAAGCCGTAGCCAAAAGAGCCTTCTCTAGAACCTGAGCGTCCTGCGTAATATCCTCGGTCGCTCTCTCTTCTCCTCAAAGTTGAGGTACTTCTTTGTTTGACGACGCGTAAGTTTCCGCTGTTACTTTTTCGTAAAATCCTTCTGTCCTTAGAGTATGGCTGATATTGATGGTCATCTTCAATAGGCAAAATAGCAAAGGTCCTCTTGAGTTTCCCACTTAAACTTCTCTTCGGAGGTGGAGGTCTATTGTCAATGCGAGGATATCCACCACCGGTAAGCTCGTCGTCAGCAAACCCCTCGTCTTCAAGGTCGTCCCAGAAATGAGATGGCCTCCAAAATGGATGCAGTTTGCTGCCGTCTGCTGGTTGATCTTCGACCGATGGGTACAAAGTCGAAGGGTTAGCATTCCCTCGAGAGGTTTGAGTAGCCTCGTCTGTTTGCGCCTTTCGTCGGTTGTTCAAAGAGAATGTGCGCTTCAGTAGTCCGGGCAGTGGAGGGGCTGCTGGCTCCGAGTTTCTGCGTTTGCTAAATCTGCGTATCAAAGACATTCCCCTTTTCGGCTTGCTATCAGATGTCGCTGGTCTCTCCTCATACTCATCGAAGTCAAAACCAAGTTGCTTTTGTTCTTCTTGGCTAGGTGTCAAGACCGCTGGTGTGGCTGGAATAAATTTGATCGCAGGTGGTTCAGGAGGGACTCGAGGGTTTCTCAAAGGCGAGTCGACCTCGTCCATAGGGTGACTCGGTTGGGGAGGCGTATATGGTGCGGTGGCTTCGCCGTTCAGTTTCATAGAGGGTGGTGCTGACTGTGAGGGATCTGACGCCTTGAGACTCGCTGGGGATGGTTCTGTAGATGCATGTTGAACGACGAGCAGAGACTTGTTCTGGTGAGGATATATTGACACCGCTAGTGCCTCGGACACCACGGGGTTCGTGCCCGCTGTCTCATACGACATCTGTGAAAATGGAGTGACCTGCGTTGACAAGCGTTTTCCGAAGAAAGGATCACCATTTTGGTCGAAATTCGGCCGAGATGCGTGGCTTCCTAGCTCCTTGTGGGACTCGGTGGAACGATAGCTTGTCGCGACTTTAGCTTCTGGCTGTTGAATGATTTTGCTTTGAAATTTGTCATGAGCTTTGAGACTTTCAGTGGTCAAGGAACCAGCTCGAGAGGTATTGCGGCTCGTTGGGGCTGAGAGAGATGATCTCCTCACAGGAATTTTCGGTGGAAAATCTATCGTACGCACAGAGTCTCCAGACCCAGCAGACTCAGATAATGTCCTCTTCCGTGATTGTAGCTTATCGGAGTAAGATGGATCATTGAATTTGGAAGAACTAGAAAGTGGTGCCGAGCTTAGAGACAAGCTTCGTTTCGTTTTTCTACTGCTTGTTGACCTTAGAGATGGTGCTTTTGAAGATTTTGTGGAAGAGCGTCGATCTGGGATCACCACAACAGGTATACCTCCACTCCTAATCACATCACGTCTGGCTCTTCCACTTGAACTACTACTGATAGTGCCATTGGATTGTTGACTACGATGTCGATGCTCAGATATCTGACCGATCGAATGGTGAAGACGATGCGTGACTTCAGTTGACACGACCGAGTTTGATTTGGAATCAATGGTAGATTGATCTGAGCTGAAATCTCGCAGCCCAAGGTGTTTCTTGGTATGCCTTAGGGTTTTCCTCCGCACTGGAGGAGCATCGACAACTATCGCACCAATGACTGTAGATCCTGAGCGAGAAGACATTGTCGAAAATCTTCGGACATCAGGCATGACTGGAGAGCCCTCCGAGTAGTGCCACTGTGACTTCTTCGCGTACTTCTCACTCACAGATCGATCTCCGCTGTCCCTCTGCCTCCTATGTCGTGCAATTCTCTCTTGTAAAGGTAAATTCTGGTCTACTAGTGGTGTATTACGCTCTTGTAAGGGCAACTGACGTGCTGTCCGTGTAGCTTGTGTTGGTGATACGACAAGATCTTCCAGGACTTCAGGCATTGCATTATCCATATACACGGGGAGGACTCTTCCAGGCCTTTTACGGACTGTAACATTCCTCATAAGATTGTCATCCCACTCCCGCTCTACCTCGCTCGATTCGGATTCCCATTCTCCATCAAAGACATGAAATTCCTGGCCAGGAGATTCTAGCAGTTGTGGAGTAGTTGATCCCCCATTTTCGGACTCTATAGAGAGTCCAAGTCCTATCTCTTTGCGCTTCTGAAAGCTTTCTGGGATTTTGGGAACCTGTGGAATTTCCGTGGTTGAAGTTCTTCCCGACGCTGGGACGGGCCGCACCGTTGACAGGTGATCTTCGTCCGAGGAATCTTGATCTTCTAACGCCGTCTTGAATGACTCAGCGCGAGAAGATGGATATCGATCGTACGTTTGAGGACGGAAAGCTGGGGGAATTCGTCGCGGAGGGGTTACGTCTGGGGTAGGTGGGCTTCTCTGGTCTGTTGGTGTACCAGGTACTGACCCTGTCCTCGAAGGCTCTTTTGATATCGCATCCTGTCTATTTGCTGTGTAATTACCTGAGGACTGCCGGGAATGGGTCGGTGGCGTTGGTGGAAGGCTGACTATTCTCTTCGGGGTGTGTTTCAACGTTCTGGGGCTCGACGCATCAGAACTGGCAACAGATGAGGATCTGGTATCAATTTCGAGGCTCTGGATTTGGTTCGCCTTCGGCGTGGAAGGTGTATTATCTCGCACGAGCTCCTTTCGCGGGTGAGGTAGGATCTTGTGTTTCTTGAGCAATGTGGTACCGACGGCTTGAACGCGATTGGGAGGATCGAACGAGCTTCCCAGCTCCCGGGTTGGCATCCTGAGCCAGTTCGTGTTTGTTTGCGTGAGAAGCATTCAAGGCGATTCGATATAGCAGGTGGACGGCGATCTAATAGATAAATCAACACACGGCGGCTCGATTGTCCTCGAGTTTCCTTTCAGTATTCATCGGCGCTCTGTAACATTACGGACTGTTGCATAAGTAGGTATTATCGGTGTTTCGTTTCGTCGTTGTCGTCCAAGATCGGCACGGATAATGGCAGAGATAGGTTCGAGAAGAATCTGTTCGTGATAGTGAATGGTTGTTTTTTAGTTAAGGGAGCGTGGTTCTGCGGTACAAGAGGAGCGGAAGTAAAGAGTGGCGCTCGGTGGGAAAAGAGCGTGCTCGCCTGGATCCAGATTAAGGCAGCACAGGCAGAGCCAAAACTCGAACTTTCTGTAAAGGATATATGATTCGAAGGCAAGAAGGCGAGCAGGAGGGAGGCGTTCTGCACTGGCCCAGCCTCTCTTGCGACGACGACCCGAGGCCGGGTTCAAGTAGCTATGCGGAGTCGCTGGCGAGTGGGAGAAATGTGCGACGGGGGCATGCGATTCGAGGATTCGGTTGGCAGGTTATGTTATGTGACAATTTGGAGTTGCTTCTGTCGATGTCCGTGGGCACAGGAGGATGTGGTGTATCTCATCTGGTGGTCGTGGTCTTTCGGTCGCAAGATGTCTGGCAGGCGAGCAGGCAAGACCCGACCGAGGGGAAGCCGTCGAGTCGCTACGTCGCGCGATAGGTGCAAAGCGCACCAACAATCTTAGAAGTTCTGCAGGATTGGAGTGCTTCTTCGTCTCATATTGAAGGCATAGAGTGGCTATCCTGTCATATAAGTTGCGCGACACACCACCATGCGAAGCGCAGAGGAACACGAATTACAGCCGGGAAAGACATGAACCTGTGAACTTTAAACAGCCATTAAGGCGATTGCAGGTATGAAGAGCGAGGGGAGCGAATGACGATGTCTGAGTAGCGTGTACCAACCCCTCGCATTTTCCATGCAGAAGACGATCTTGGAAGGAGGATAGTATGGCGTCTGAGTGGTCGAAAATGATCAAAAAACGAACACAAGCCCTAACTCGACCAGTTACGACTGCAGATGGACAGGAGGGACCGCCGTACGACTGCGCGTTTGGCAGCAGGTTGTGTCTTGAGTATCGAGTATAGATGGCACCAGATATGGAGAGAGTGCGTCACGTGTCGGAAGAGACTGTTACGTTACCATCTTGATATCGTCAAGGAACTCAATGAGTAGCATTGTCCTTGTTGTATTCTATTAATATTTCGATTATTCAAGCTTTGGTTTTATATCTTTCGTTCCCACCTAAGGTATGTGTGCCTCGGACGAACTAAGATTGTGATGCTAATGCATGTGTACCAAACGTGATATATCTTCGCCGGCCCTTGGCCACAATTGGTTACCCGCAGCATCTATCGATTTTTTGCTCAGAACTTTCGCAGGCTGTCGACCATAGTTGGTATAGTCTTGGGTCGTTCGTCTCATGTTTCGCTAGTGACGACCAACATGTGTACCGAGTGCCATGGCGCAAGCAAGCTGGTTACAATTTGGATGAAACAATACATCTCTCATTCCAACAGCAAATATCAGAACTCAAATAGTGCTTCCCAGAAATGTCCATGAAGATAGCTCCCGCTGCCTTAGTTGCTTTACGGATGGCATCGCTCCTCAACTTGCAAACTAACCACGGAACCGTTACGTCCCATCAACCACGTTTTATGACATCGCGGATTCCAGCCCAGCCTCGCCCCGGATCTCCGCCAGGTGTTTGACGATCGACAGGTCCGTTCGTGTGTATGGAGTACTGTACTTGTACCTACCTATGTACATTTTAAAAGCAGCGCGATATCGCCGACGCCGATAAAGCTCTCCCCATCCTTATCATCTCGCATCAATTACCTCACCGCATTCTTAATTCTGCGAATCCGCCTGTCACGCCCACCGTAGCGTTGACTCGCCTTATTACCTCTTCATTACTCAATGTTCAGTACCAATAGAAAGTCAATTGATAGGTAATGCTGCTGCTAACAACTGTCAATTATTCATACTCCTTGTCATATCACCTTCAGGTCCTTTCCTCATTCAGAAGTCTTTATCTTTACCCCGCCAAAATTTCACAAATTATTTCTCAGAAGTCCCCTTACCCCTCCAAGTCCTCCAGTAGGAGCTTTCATAGCAGTGAATATAAGGTAATCCATTGTAATACCTGTCAGGTAATGCTCGGAGAGCTGCCGCCGAAGATAGCCACTGTTGAAGATGACATTCGCGTTGGGATAAGAAGATGTCCCCTTGGACATCGTCGGAGACCTGTAATATCGCACAGTCAACATGACGCCAGCATAGTGCATTGAAGCAATGCCAGCGCAGCAATTCATATAACTCTGGTTCCTCCAGCAAGAATGTCCGTCTCTCTTTCCAATTGACCTCACACTCCGCTTTTGTTTATCCTCGTAACCATGCTATCCAAAACCCTCGCCGTCGCCTTACTAGCCAACAGTGTGCTTGCACACGGTGACCATGAGCACCAGATTCCCATTCAAGGTCCTCACAAAGCTCTCTGGTACAATACCTTGCCCGGTGATGGTGGGACTCAGGTACGTCAATAGTGGGATTGACTCGAAATGCGGCACAATTGACTCTCCCTCAGGCGGACTCTGTCTTCTCTGGTATATCGACATTCGGACGGCTGCCATACTTTCCATGCTTAGCATCGGATGATGCAAAGTATGACATCGCTTTCATCGGTACGTCCTTGATATATATGTCTCGCAGATACCCATCAAGGTCCCTGACACTAACATCTCTTCATAGGAGCTCCATTCGATACCGGAACTTCGTACAGACCGGGAGCCCGTTTTGGGCCTTCTGGAATCCGACAAGGTTCTCGCCGTCTCAATCTTTAGTCAGTCCCCCCGCCAGCATAAAGGCTGATAGTTGTTGTCCGGTCATAGGCTCACACAAAATCCGATTTAGTGGTGGTTACAATGTTCCACTTGAAACAAACCCCTTCAACAGTTGGGCGACGGTCCTAGACTGCGGAGATATACCAGTAACCTCGTAAGTAGGCATGATGAGTTGGATCCCGCAAAAAAAGCTAATAAACCTGCAGATATGACAACACATGGGCACTCCACCAGATAGAGGAAGGACACAACTCCCTTTTGACGCGCGCACCCGCAACGGACGCAAAGAAGAAGGGCCCAGCAAAGAATGGCAAGACTCTTCCAAGAATCATTACCCTTGGTGGAGATCACACCATCACCCTGCCGCTGCTTCGCTCCATCAACCGCGCTTACGGGCCAGTTTCTGTCATTCATTTCGACTCGCATCTAGACACCTGGAAGCCAAAGGTCTTCGGCGGGTCTCCAAGTAAGGTTGCAAGCATCAACCACGGTACTTATTTCTACCACGCTGCGCAAGAAGGCCTGCTTGCCAATGACACCAATATCCATGCTGGAATCCGCACAACTTTGAGTGGACCCAGTGACTATGAGAACGACGGATACTGCGGTTTCGAGATTGTCGAAGCCCGCGAAATTGATACCATCGGTATGGACGGGATCATCAAGAAAATTCGCGACCGTGTTGGTACCACGAAGCCAGTGTACTTGTCACTCGACATTGATACTCTAGATCCCGCTTGTACGTATATTTTCGACTTGTGATAATAGAAAGTACTGACATGGAATAGTCGCGCCTGCCACTGGCACACCCGAGACTGGAGGGTGGTCAACCAGAGAACTCCGAACCATCATCCGAGGGTTGGAAGGCATTAACCTTATCGCTGCCGATATTGTTGAGGTTGCTCCTGCGTACGATACCAATGCCGAGCACACTACAATGGCTGCCGCCGATGCCCTCTACGAGATCATGAGCTTGATGGTGAAGAAAGGCCCTTTGAGCAAAATGATTGACAGTTCAGAAGAAGAGGGTCAGACTGAGATGTAAAGAAGGGTTGATGGTGATTCGAAGATAGAGATAAGGGTCCAATTGGTAGTGGCCAGTCTGGAAGTTGACAGTGCGATCTATCGATATGTTGTTGCATGTTGAAGAATTTAATTGACGATGAAAAATTTCATGACTGGATGATTTGCAGCAAACCTGCGATCTTGACTGTCTCGTGACCTGTGAAGCTGAGTCGCCCAGAAAGGTTAGCTGATTTAGGACAGTTGGGTGGCCCAAGCTCCCATCCGCTAACACCCCATTTCACGACGCTAATTTCCATCATTAAACTACATCTCAGTAGCACATCGGACGAACTGTTCGAGCAAAAGTCATGGCAAATCTCTTTCCTTCTCCAGAATTCCAGCATTACCTGAACCAACATTGTATCCTGAGCAGCTTTTAGCGCCCATTCTAGGTCAACTTGCTGGACACGGTAGGCGGTCGAGGCAATCTTAGACCTGATGTTTGCTGCGCCTCGATGCAATGGATGCATACTGCGAATGAGCATTTCGATTAAGTCGATGTCGCTTCCAGGCTTATTGTTCTCTTCTCGTGCTATCCTTTCTTTTTCTCCTTCACATAAGCAGACCAACTTTTGAACTTATTGATGCCTTTCCAGCGCGACTCAATCCACACCTAGCCACACATTTAACACAGCGAACGGTCTTCCCACCGATTATTATCACCACCATAGAAAAGGGCGACCTCACCATCAGTCCCGACCATGGCTTCACCTTGCGCCTCAGCGTTGTCAATTGCCAGTTATCTTCCCACCGCGACTAGAAGTCTGTACCAACACAAAGAGTCTGCAACCAGCTTTCCAGACAACGATCCAGACAGCGATCCGGACTCAGACGGCAACCTTTTTGACAAACTGCAAGTTGGAGCGAAGGCGGCTGTTGCTATCGGAATTTTATTTGGAATTGTCTTCATTGTTGCTTTTTCAATGTGGTATTGTTGCGGCTGTTGCGGGATTCGAAACCAACGTAGGGGAATGGTTCCAGATGGGCAAAGGAGAATACCCTCGAACGATATATCCGCACAACCGACGGGAACTGTACTGCCATTGCACGAAATTCGAAGCCGGAGCCCACAGGCTATGAGCCCACCGCCAGACCCTTCCCCTCCATCGTATGACGAAGTTGTGTCTCCTCGAAATCGAGCACCGCCTGGAGGGATGTTTCTGAGCCGACCAGTGGATGAGGATGGAATGATTCCTGACGGAAAGACGCCACTGAGTGAGATAGTGTTTGAAGATGTGGTATTAGATCGCCCTCATACTGGGGGGTCTTCGAGTCAAACATTTGAACAGAGACATCATGGCGCGGGTGGTAATACGCAAGGCCACACCAACACTTGAAAGGTCGATTTTGTCACCAGCATTGACTGTCCTTTCAAGAAAGAGATCGATGTATATTGGTCTCAATACCGTAGCAGAGCCGTGCCGTTGGCAAAACACGGTACAAATATTCACATCACAAGCACTGAGCAGTTCAGAGCCAAGGGGAGACGTTCACGCTTCTTCAGGAGTAAGGAAGACCGACTTCACAAATTATCTACTGGGCAGAGGTCTGTAGACCCCCAAACCAAGCAAAGCGGACTGCTACAGATGTTAAGGAGGGACGACGGGACTCGATAGATTCACCGCGTGTAGTTGATGTAATAATTTTTAATTAAAGCTATCATTCACGGTCTTGAGTTGGCGGCGGTACCAGATGATGGATGGGGTCATATTATATTATTAATTCAATATGCATTTTATTTCTAGTATACATTCATACAGATCTGGTTTCTCTTGCCTGACAAACCCGCTACTCAAATTTCTACTCAAAGACCAAATCGTTAGATGTTCTGTGTGGTAGCGAGTGCCTTGCAGGTGGATTTTGGGACTCTGCCTTACCAGAAATTGAGGCTGGGTCCAAAAAAATACGAGGGGTGACGCGTCGTCGGCACTTCAGCTTTTCGAATGCGCGCCAGTCCAGAGTTCTGTTGTTTTTTCTACAATATTCTATCTTGGCTCTGATTTAGGAATAATAATAGGTTTTATTATTACAAGAAAGAACTTTGGCCTTTGGATTAATCTGCGAATAAGAATATGCTGTTGAGCTACCTAGGTACTCGTTCGAATGGTACAGATCAAGCATGTCACCTAGCACACGTGAGCTTGCACACAGCTGCTTTCCGGAAAACACAAACGACTCGCACAACTCAACCTTTGAATTGAGAACATTTTTACTCTTCAAGATTTCTTTGCAACAGGCCTTGTTAACATGTTTCTATCAAATTGAAGTACAGGAACGCTTAAATCACGTGCGACGGTGCACAAAGCTTCCCCCATCCTTTCGCATGGCCATTCCAAACTGGGAAGTCCTCGAACTTTCCTCAAGCTGGGCCGGATTACCTACAGAACGCTGCTGCACAACGCTTCCTGCTCAACATGGTACAACACTTGCTTAATTCCTCCGAGAGTGGCCGCAATAATGTCCAGTTTGAGCAAAAGATAAGGCCAATCCACCATCTTCTTATCCATCTGTACTACCCCATGTTGATGTGCATGCAGGAACGGCTAGTCTTTAGATTGAAATTGATGTTGACATGGATCTTCATCCGTCCCCGCGATCTATATGTACGATGTAGCTCCTCGGTACATTACTTCTGAGTCTTTTCCCAGTCACAACTTCTCTCTGTGCCCTCAATGGCTCCTCAATCGTTTCTGGGCAGATTTGCTTTCCTTTGTGTCTGTCTGCCGTGGCTGTTTGGCTCATCGTTGGCGACACCAACCCCGCCGAAGAATGGAACATGCACAAAGACTAAGGTGGTCATTTTGGGTGCGGGCATGACGGGAATTGCCGCTGCGCAAGCTTTATATAACGCTTCAGTAACAGACTTTATCATTGTGGACGTCAACGATTATATTGGGGGTAGAGTCAAGCATACCACATTTGGAAAGAATGCTTCGACAAGTGAGCCATATGTAGTGGAACTCGGGGCCAATTGGGTCCAAGGTCTAGTTTCTCCAGAGGTAGTCTCATCTCCTTCCAGTGTATAAGTGAGACATTGACGGTTCTCAGGGACCAGAAAATCCAATTTGGACTTTAGCGAAGAAATGGGGTTTAGAAAATACGTACTCGAATTATTCTATGATTCAGACCTATGACCAGCATGGAGCTGCAGATTTCGCTGGCCTTCTAGACGACTACGAGACTGCATATGCAACAGTTGAGCAAGATGCTGGAACGATTCTAACAGACAATCTCCAAGATCGAACGATGAGGACCGGGTTGAGCATCGCAGACTGGAAGCCGAAGAAGAATATGCAAGCACAAGCTGCCGAATGGTGGGAATTTGATTGGGAGTATTCATATTCTCCAGATCAATCTAGTCAGACGTTCTCGATTATTGTATGGATTTCCTTCATTGTCAGTCCCGCAGAATCCGAACTAAACTCAAACAGAACTTCAATGACACTTTCTACCAATTCAGTGACGAAAACAATTTTGTGATCGACCAACGTGGTTTCAATTACATGATTGAGGGCGAGGCATACACATTTCTCACCCCAAACGATACGCGTTTACGACTCTCCACCAATGTCACTAGTATTACCTACAGTTCTTATGGTGTTATCATTGGTATGGCTGATGGATCTTGTATTCAAGCGGACTACGCAGTCTGCACATTCAGCCTTGGTGTCCTTCAAAACGATGTTGTAACCTTCGATCCGGTCTTACCTGCTTGGAAACAGGCAAGTATCGAGGGTATGCAAATGGGAACCTACACTAAAATATTCTTCCAATTCCCCCCGTCTGCAGACGGGACCTTCTTCTGGGAACATGGCGACGATGCGGCAACTCAATTCTTTCTTTACGCCGATCCGACAGAACGTGGATACTATCCCGTTTTTCAGTCACTAAACGCTCCAGACTTCATCCCTGGTTCTGGTATTTTCTTCGTTACGGTGGTTTATGCACAATCATATCGCGCCGAACAGCAGTCTAATGATGCCACAAAGGCAGAGGTCATGGAAGTTCTCAGAACTATGTTCGGAAGTGATATTCCTGATCCAATTGACTTTATGTATCCAAGATGGAGTACAGAGCCTTGGGCATATGGAAGTTACTCTAACTGGCCTCCGGGACTGAGTCTTGAAACCCACCAAAATCTCCGAGCAAATTTAGGGAGACTGTGGTTTGCAGGAGAAGCAACTAGCGTTGGGTATTTTGGGTTCTTGCAAGGTAAGATATTTTCCACTACAATTCTGAAGAGTCAAAAACGCTAAACAAGTATGTAGGAGCATACACTGAAGGGCAATTCGTTGGTAATACTATTGCTGGTTGCTTGGGCAACAACAAGACTATTTGTAAGAACGAGGCCTCATATTCTAAGATAAGAGGGTGTACAACAAGCGAACGGCAGTTGACCGCTAATAATGGTTGGTTCGTATCAAGTATGCAAACCTTTGGATTCGAAGAATAGCTAGCAAGCTTTTGCTAGAGATACATTAACGTGGGCTTCTTGATGGCCATTTTACTTCTCTCAATTTTGAGCCATTCTTTGTGCAAGTCCTTAGTTACAAGGCCACGGAGAGGAACGTAGGCAAAAGTCGACGTTGAGCAATGTATTCCTGAGACATGTGCTCGTAGTAGGCTTCATCTTAATATGTTACAAGTAGATATTGATGTCTCATCCGCCACTGACCATTCCACGACACTTTTCAACTTTTTGGCCCAGCTTAGCCACTTCGCTCAGTACGGCCGGGCTGCTCAGTGCAAAACCAACACCGCCCACTTCATCCACAAGGCTCCTAATCTGCGAAACCTCCGCCACAGCTCCAGAGACAGTAAGTCCAACCACGCAGTCTGCAACCTGGAAAACCACAGTCGAATCAAGGGCAATCCCAAAACACTTCTTCGCGGCGGATAGGGTTCGTTTCCCAAACAACCCCCCAAACAGATCCCCAATGTTCTCTCCAACATTTCCAAGTACACTCGTCACAACAGGCACGACAATTTTTGGTATTTCCGCAACAGCCGACGTAATCTTTGGTATTTCCGCAGTGACTTTACTTTCCACCACGTTTACAACACTACTTGCTTTCGCCGGAATCTCACTTACGATGCCAGCGACTTCTGAAGCTTGACTTTCCACTACCGCGACGGCACTCGTGATGACTGCTGGGACCGCGGAGGTCACAGAGGCGAATTGTGAGGAAAGACTGACTATCAGAGGTAGGTTGGAGACGAATATTCCTTGGAGGTTGCCGGAAAGACAGTTCCGGATTTTAATGAAGAATTCGTTTGTTCCGTCTGAAGACGTCAGATCTGCGGGAGACATTGAGCTGATGAGATTTAGGAAGGCTGTTAGAGTGAGGGTGTCGAGAACTGAGGGGGTGGGTGCTGGTGGTTGTTGTAGTGTGGTTGTAGGGGAGGGTACATCTGTCGGCTGGACGTTCATGGTATTGCTAAGGCTGAAAATGACTGATTGTGCTGTGGATGATGATATGGCTGCTGCGAGGCATATCTCTGTTAAACTCAAACTTGCTGCCAAGTAGACTGAAATATGGTTGAAATGCATCCTGAAAAGAAGTCGGTCGCCGGGACCAATGGGGGGAAATCTATAATGAATCTATAAGAAAACGAAGGATATTGTTACTAAATGAAAGTGGATAAGTCGATGTGCTCCGAGTAGAAAGACATTCTAGCAGCTCATCTATAACAATAATGAACTACGTTGGTCTTGCGGCTCAGCAACTTCATCGTCTCACTCATAGCCTTGAAGGAGACCATACAGAGTCTCATATGATACTAGTAACATGGGACAAGTCTGTTCGTTTCTTCTCGGGTGACATGTGCTCCCATAGCAGACGTATTGATTGGACTTGCTGAGTTTTTCAGCTATTTCAACAGACGCCTTCGTGGTCTGAGTAGACCAAAGCTGACAGGTAATACTTCCAGTGCCATTCCATAAACTGCGGCTCACTCTCTGGTAGCACCAAGCTACAAAAGCCATAGGTCTGAGGGCGGCAGCGGGTAGATGAAACGTAGCGCAAAGGTCGTCTTCAAGGCCACAGGCTAATGGGTTCACTTAAGCGCTTGTTTGTTTCATGACTGGCTATGGCCATTCGGAATCCAAAGCTGGGGTACAAGAGCGAACTGATCACGATCCTCCTGAGCAATAATTTAATGTCTATGTTCTACATTATCCTCTGATTATATATGCCAAAGCAGATCCAATATTCATTGGCCAGATAATAATAATTTCGTAAGTACCAGATGATCTAAGGGTTCCGAGGCTTGAGTGAAAACAAGGTCTTGATTACAATTCAAATGAAAGATGAAAAATTCTTTTTGTTTGAAAGATGCTTTAACCATTTGCACATATTGATGTATTCTCTCAATGTCCCGAATCATTTTCTCCGCACTAACGATACTGGTTACTATACATGGGCGGCGGTGCTTGATGATTCATCTGCTGTAAATCGACGTCGTTCTGCGAATGATCACCTCTCCAAGGTTCCGCTTGATAACCGCCACTTGGAGCCTTTGCAGCTTCCGCCTTGTTTGCCTTTTGCATATTGCGTCGCCATCGCCAAAAGATGAATGGACCAGAGAATATTATTCCAAAAAGGACCAGACCAAGTAATGGCCAGTTGAATATGGAGTTTTGGGCTAGAGGGAAGCCACTAGGTAGTGTCAGTAGAGGTTCAGTAGCATCTCTAAAGCGATTGACTTACACAAAACCGCTCACTATACCAAGAAGAACAACGAAGCGGCCAAGCCATACATGGATTGGCCCTAGCTTCGTTGGCAGCTTCGTCTGAGAATACATTCGGTGGTGCAGAAAGCCAAGGATGAACTGTCCGATCATTGCAAGAATAACGATCAGACCAATGACCTGATGGGCCGAGTTGAACTTTTTCGTTCGGTTGTACATTGTCCCAATCTTGAAGCCTAATCCCATACCAATCAAAGCCAAAGTAGCAGAAATAGTCTGGACAATCCCGTGCCATTTCGGGCTATTGAGAATGCGCAAGATCATTACAGCAAGTGGTATGAGACCAACAAAGGTAAATATCATGATCAAAGCGTGAGCGCCAGAAGAGAAATCATGGTCTGCTTCCTCAGATAACTGAGCGGAGCCCGCAGAACTGACGTTTGCAGGAGTGACTGCCTCGCCTGCACCGACGGCCTTTGTGAGATCCATCTTGAATTTTCCATACGAGCCATGGCGTTTGAGATTCGCGGTGAGTGAATTCGATTTCAGGTTGCCAACTCCTGCGTTCGCCCAAATAAAGTTCGCTTCGGTTTGCTTTGGATCGATTGAGCCTTCTTTCCATTGTCGACAATTGGAGCACTTCGCATTGACAGTAGTAATGTTATCGAAGACACCAGTTCCCGGCAAGTAAGTCACTTTGACTTCGCTGGTGTATACCGGTTCGACATTGTTGTAAGATAATCGAGGACTCAGCGTGACATTTTGTCCAGTTTTGTCCTTGTATGCCATAAACATCAAGGAATTCTTCATATTTGAACTTCCTAATCCAACAGCTAGCCAACTGCAGCTGCTCGGGCCGGACATCGAGAAATAAAGCTCATTGCTGTTTTCTTCCTGTGGAATGTTTATCGTGAATTTTATGCTTTCAAGATCTGATACGAAGGCGGCAGATGACACTGCTACAGTATTGGAAACAAATAGAGCGGCTGTAAATTCAGATCAGCTTAAATTCTTCTTAGATTACTCGAATGACATGAATAACTTACCGGCAGCAACCAGCACTGAGCGCAAATGAAGCATTTTGATATTTGGTAGGACAAAACTACTTGATCCAAAAATTGTGTGGAAAACTAGAACGCAAAGGAAAATAAAACAATGACGGAAAGACAATCCTTCAATCCAGGAGTTTCATGGCCTTCAAGTACCTCTCTTCGTCGTCTACCGCCCTGGATGCGTCGCAATGCCGCTGGGGCTGTAAGCGCTCGCGAAACTGGGGGCCCAATGAGCACTGCAGTTGGCAACCCCCTAGGCGCCACGATCTCAAAATAATTACCAACACAGGAATTGTGATAGGCTAAATCATGTGCATACAGGCACTGAAGGTGAAAATGTATTTTGGGCTCAGACCTCAGACGCGTACTCCAGGGGTTTGCCCAACATCGGCACTGAAAAGGTACACACCTCAATACTGCCTCCTCTTACCCAAAACTATTCAACGGATCGATCGACTGAAGTTTAGTATCTTTCAACGTAACATAACGCAGTTGTCAAATGTGCATTTCACAGTTTGGCTACCTGAAAGAACTCTCGAAATCTCTGCCTCGGCATGGTAATCAGCGGGTATTGAACAATCAGAACAACAAAAATCTTTCGATACTATGTGAAAGTTCTTAGATTCTTGTGAGTCTGGTTCCTCTATAGCTGTGGAAAGAGCCGCTACAACTGATATTTCAAGCTCTGGGCCGCGCCTTGATTCTCACCACTCTTGAGCATCTTCTCTAATATCTCAAGATCCGCAAGAGCCTGCTCAGGAGCCTGGCCTGGATTTGGAGTTCCTTCAGAGAGACTCTTCGCCCAAGCAGCGACTTCTTGTTTCACGCCGGCTCCCTCTTCCTTAAACTCCTTTACTGTTTCCTTCTTGTCTTTCTCCATTCCCAATCGAACTGTGACTTTGCTAAATTCGACTGCGACACTCCCCTTTTCGCACGCAATAACGTACTCACTACCAGAAAGGGTAGTGCCAAAGGAGACGGAGAAAGTGCCGGATATCCCTGTCTTGGTCTGCCAAACGGAATTTACTGTGTCCACGGGAGGGAGATGCTCCTGCAGAAGGGTAGTGAAAGCTGTCAAAGCTGTAGGAGTTGCCTCCTCTCCTAGTAGCAGTCTGGTAGCAGCAATAAAATGTACACCACCGTCAAGTAGAAAACCACCCTGGTATTCTGGCTTTTTTCGCCATGCCGTTTCTGCGACAGGTCAGTTCAATCCAACCATACACATTGGATCACTAACCGAAGTACTTAGAACCAGGCTGAACGTTTCCGAACATCTTTACTCTGAAGCCTAAAACTCTGCCAAGCTTCTGGACCTCTTGTCTGGCGAAAAGGAAGCTATCCAAGAATCTGAAGTTTTCTGCGACACCCCATGTTGCGCCACCCTTAACTTTATCGCTCTTGTAGTAGTCAATCAACTTTTGCGCACTGGTAATGTCTTTCGCAATTGGCTTTTCTGACAGGACATGCTTTCCTGCTGCTAGAGCGGCTTCGACGTATTCTGGTTGGGCGGGGATAGGAAGTGCGAGGATTACGGCTTGAATATCGTCTCGGAGAAGGAGATCGTAGTAGGTATTGCCAGACCCTGAGTCGTCCGAGTAAAGATCCACGTTGGCTTCTAACGCTTTTGCCGACTTTATTGACCGCGAATAAATGGCTTTGAGGGTGAGGTGTGAACTGGCAGCTTGGACTGCTGGCTCTAGCGGGGTAAGTGACTATTTCAGCAAGAATTGTGATAAATAAGTGCTTACTAAATGCTCCTCGCGTACAAAGATCCCACCACCAATAATTGCTACACCTATTGACATTTTGAATATAGTTCTGGTCTGAATTTACTTTAATATATTGCAAGGTGATTTGGTTGTTGAGTTTATTTATCGTGAGGCGGGTAAAGCCATCGTGAGCTGCCCACTTTACCCGTTGCGATGAAGTCATTACCTCACAATCAATTCGTGTGCCGACACGTGAGTAGTCAGTTTAACTTCATCACAGCTGATAATTATTCACCTATTTCGACCCGAATATTTGAGACAATAAGCAATGAAAAGGTTATTTCTAAAGCTAGTTTCCAATGCACCTCATTACAGCCATAAGCTGATGTTAAAGCCGATGAAGTTTAGCTAGTACAGTG